GGGGCACGGCGGACGCTGCGTCTGTCGGGTCCCGGGTGCCATCCCCGGCGCCCCGCTCAACGGCGGGGTCGGGGTCCAGTCGCGCCAGCTCCCCCACTCACGTCCCCTCTCCCGCATCCGCATAAACGAACCCTCAGCTGAGGTTCGTTCGCATCAAGAGCCCGCACGCGCATCCGTCATGCGCACATATACTACCATATGACGGTAGGACTGCTCCAATTTGCAGTCTGTTTCTATTCGTCTTCCTAGCGTGACCGTATCGCGTTCGAGCATACGGTATGACTGCCTCAATTGGCAGTCCTAAAAACAACTAAAACCTCCTCCCGCGACCGTATCGCGTTACAATCCGATAGTACTGCTTCAAGTTGCAGTCACTCTCGTCTTCTCACAACGTCCACATGGCGTTGTGTATACCTCACCACTACCACTCGTGCGACCGTCTCGCACAAATAAATTCAGACGGTAGCGCTGCTCCAATTTGCAGCCAAACATTGTATATAAATGTTTTGTGGTTCGGTATCGTCGAGGAGCCCCAATTGGCTCCTCCATCACCCTTGTATATAACCAATGGGTCGCGCACGCACCGCGCGCGACCTTGTATATTTCGGTGCTAGCACTGCTACGAGTTGCAGGCGTTCATCACACCATTGTATTATACAACACGACCCGTATGTCGTGTCTAGAGGGGGAGAGTGTAACGACCCAGGATCGGGTCGTTACGGGCATCGTACATCCACGAGCCCAGCGCCGTACGCGCTGGGCAGAGATAAGATAATGATGTATTAAATAGACGCGTGCGGCGTGCGGGTATTCGGAACCCGCGCGCCTAGTGCGGGCAGCCTTTCTACCTGCCCCACTATCCTACGAGTACGCCGAGCCTCAATAGAGCCCGGACCAGAGTACTTGCGGGAAAGGGGCTACAGATTGCGCCCCCCTATACGTGAGTTTTACAAGGCCATTTTCAGCATCGCGCATGCGCGCCACGATCGCCTCGGCACTGGCTCCACGTCGGATAGAGACAGCCACTAGCTGGCGCAAGCGCGGCACATCCATGGTTGCGATGGCCATGGAGAACCGTTTGTAGTCATCAAGCCGCTCAATGCAGGTCCCACGCCGACGGATATCGTTCAACTCCTGCCATGGATGGTGAGTATCAATCTGTGAAATGATAACCTATTCTGCTTACCTTGAGACGAAGTTTCTTAACCTCGGAGGTCAATGTCCCCGCAACATCGCGCATTTGCGCGTGGCTGCGGTACGCGTATGGTGTGTATTTCGATAGCACTGTGGCCCGGGCGACGATACCTGACCAATTCCTAGATGTTGGTACCGTGGTACACCGCATACACGCCAAAGCAGCTCCAGCAGCAACGTCGAGACAGCCGTCAGCCCGGATGACTAGAAGCTTTCCTTCGTCTTCTATGCCGCACACCTGGAATCCAACGGCACTGTCCTCGGCGTGGATTGCGAAAGGGTATGTGGTGTATGCATTACCAACAGGCCACGGGATCCTTATGCCACCACAGGGGCTCGTCCGACGAGTGTGGCCTTCGGAGAGAGTTCGATGGACCTGGGTAGAGACTGAAGGGAAAGGTGTGGAAGGCGGCTCTCCTAGTGCAGCGCAGGGGGCCGCTTCCTCTTCGGTCAGTGTGGCACTATCCGGTGTGCCTTCTACCGGGTCGTCAGGTTCAGAGTCAGAGCTAATCAAGCCGTTCATATGGTAGACTGGTGTTGCAATCGAGCCTGGTACATCATCAGGTAAGTACACATTTCAATATACACTGCTAGTGGAGCGTAATCACCTTCGGCGCTGTCCTCAGATGGCGCAGGCGACACCCGTCCACCCGGCACATGTGATGCGTCTTCCTCATCCTGTCCGCGGCCTCCAGAGCGAGACGCGGGTGCTGTAGGGAGCGCGTTCCGTGCGCACTTGCTAGAGTGGATGTGCACTTGGTAGGCCCAGTCCGATATGCGCGAGCGACCGAGGCTGATCCATTTGGCGCAGGGGCCGCAGTACTTCTCCCGAACTCCGTCAACCTCCCGGAGAGTTGGGTTGAACTCGGCATCAGGAGGAAGACCATCGTTTTCTTCCCGTATAGTGCCGATTATCTCCTCAGGATGAGCGTACATGGCCCCAGTTCTTTGTGCACAGACACTCTCCTCACCAGAGGAGTCATCGCCGCCATCCATTGCGTTCGGCCCACCAAGTACGGAGCTTTGATTATTGAGAGACTCCGAGTCCGAGTCGGAGCGTGCATCGGGTGAGCCAAGGCGGCGGCGCATGTAGAGGGTGTTCAGCCGCGTCCAGAGCCCGAAAGGTCTCCTCAGCCCAGAAGAAATTGAGGGAGTGCGCTCGATAGATGGGTCGTCAGACATAGCACGCAAGGAGAATTTAGTATCACGCAGCGTAGTTTTTCGTCGAGCAGAACGGTGTGTGTGCCGAATTAGGAAATTAGCCGCTCTCTGAGTATGGTGTCGGCCGTCTTTTTCCTCCCACACGATGTACTATGTCATGCATGATCGTATAAATTGCTCTGAACAACTCTCGAGTACCACACGAACTGGTAGATATATGATACACCATACTTTGCGGGCCCCGACAGAAAGTCGTGCAAGAAGTTCAAACTAGGACCCCGAACCGCTGCAGGGTATGGGATACGGGGGGTAGCTAGAAATGGGCGCTAACTTTCTGCCCCCCGCTTGCCCGGGACTCCCGGCAGACCTCTACGCCCATTCGACAAGTCGCGCGCCTAACGAGAATTCGCATTGTATGGTGCGTCCGTATTCCATTAATGAACTCTCGACCACTGTGTATACTTCGTGTCCCATCAAAGCGGACTGGACGATTGTACTACTAGTAGACGATGTACTAGTAGCTACGCGTACGTGCATACATATGCAGCATGCGTATTCGAACTCAGACATTCCCACGAGTACCTCACTACCTCCCGGTACATACGGTGTTCTGGCCCTGTGTGCTCTCATGTTTTACACTGTACAGCAGCAAGGCGTACAGGGCTTGTCAGATGACCACAGGAACAAAATAGAGATGTTCCCAAGCACACGAAAAACAGAGTATGGGATTCCACCCCGGTGGCAGCCCGAGAATCGGTTCCACGACCCGAAGGAATCGCCACGTCAGCTTAGCGCGGAGCACCGGATTTATACCAGCGCTCTTAGCCGAACTTCTCCAGATTCCAGACCGCCAATCCCCCCCTACACTTTTCCTACCACTCTGCTCCTGCACGTCGCGCGTAAGGCCCGTCGACATGGACGCACCATGGACGAAGACCGGAGAGGAAGTGCTGCAGTACTACGCCGTGGACCAGGCCAGGGGTCTTACGTCGGAGGCTGCTGCTAAGCACGCAGAACTTTACGGGAAGAACGGTGCGTGATTCCCGTCTGTATTGCGCAATTCGTCTTGTGGGTCCTCATATCACTCGCAGAGCTACCCGAAGACCCGCCAACACCACTATGGGAGCTCATCCTCGAACAGTTCAAGGACCAACTCGTCCTCATCCTCCTGGCATCCGCTGTCGTCTCCTTCGTCCTCGCACTCTTTGAGGACTCGGAGGGCTCGAGCTGGTGGAGCGCGTTCGTAGAGCCCCTTGTCATTCTGCTCATCCTGATCGCGAACGCGACAGTCGGTGTCATCCAGGAGACCAACGCGGAGAGGGCAATTGATGTTAGTCGTCCGTGTGTGAGAATCCGCCTCAGTCGGGCTGACTAACTCTTGCACAGGCTCTCAAGGAGTACTCCCCCGACGAGGCGAAGGTCCTCCGCGACGGACAGTGGACTCGTATTCATGCGACGGAGCTCGTTCCTGGTGATGTTATTTCCATCGCTGTCGGCGACAAGATCCCCGCCGACTGCAGGTTACTCTCCATCGCGTCGTCCAACCTCCGCGTCGACCAGGCCATTCTCACGGGTGAGAGTACCAGTGTCAGCAAGGTCCTTGACATCGTCGCGGACACTCGCGCTGTGAAGCAAGACATGATCAACCTGCTCTTCTCCGTAAGCATCATTCTATGAAATATGACGTCTGTCCCACGCTAACTCCGTATTTGTATAGGGCACTACCGTTGTGAACGGAAAAGGAACCGCTGTCGTTGTCTACACTGGACAGAAGACTGCTATTGGCGACATTCACAAGTCAATAACGTCCCAGATTAGCGAGAAGACTCCGCTGAAGCGCAAACTCGACGACTTCGGCGACATGCTCGCAAAGGTCATCACTGTCATTTGCATACTCGTCTGGCTCGTCAACGTCCGGCACTTCTGGGACCCTGCCCACCACGGCGCGCTCAAGGGTGCTGTGTACTATTTCAAGATTGCCGTCGCTCTCGCTGTCGCTGCTATTCCCGAAGGTCTCGCTGCTGTCATCACTGCTTGCCTTGCTCTGGGAACGAAGAAGATGGCTCAGAAGAACGCGATCGTCCGTAACCTGCCCAGCGTAGAGACTCTTGGCTGCACGAACGTCATCTGCTCCGACAAGACTGGAACTCTGACCACCAACCAGATGAGCGTCTCGAAGGTCGGTTCTTCGTTAATTATGCCGTGCGATGTTTCTGACAGATGGATTAGTTCACTGTTGTCGACATCTCCGGCATTCCTCGGGAATTCCTCGTCGAGGGCACGACCTTCGCGCCTGCAGGGTCGGTTCGCCCCGCTGATGGTAAAACCATTGCTGAAGTCCGCTCAGAGCCGCTGCAGCGCCTGGCTGAGATCAGCGCCATCTGCAACGACTCCAAGATCGTGTACCACGCCGTGAGTCGCATTTCTCTCCATCAAAATATTCATGGTCCAATATAATAATTGTGAACAGGACAAGAAGACGTACGCCAACCTTGGTGAACCTACGGAGGCTGCGCTCAAGGTCCTTGCTGAGAAGCTTCCATGCCCGGACGCCGAGCTTGCGAAGAACTTGCAATACCTCGAACCTGCTTTCCGCGCCAACGCTGTCAACGACTTCTACGAGAGCTCGATCCCCCGCCTCCTTACCTTCGAGTTCTCCCGCGACCGCAAGATGATGTCCGTCCTCGCTCGCAAGAACGGCACTGGTATCTTGTACGCCAAGGGCGCCCCGGAGTCTATCCTCGAACGCTGCTCCTCCGTCCTCGTCAACGGGCGCACCATCCCCATGATCCCCCAGCTTCGCGACGCCCTCCTCCAGAGCACGATCGCGTATGGCTCCCAGGGTCTGCGCACGCTTGCCCTCGCCTATGCGGAGAACCAGTCGCTCGACTTAGACTACTACAAGTCGGAGACCACTGCCGGGTACGCGCGCTTTGAAAAGGACCTGACCTTCGTGTCTCTTGTCGGCATGCTGGACCCGCCGCGCCCCGAGGTGCGCAACGCGGTCGCACAATGCCAGGCTGCGGGCATCCGTGTCATTTGCATCACTGGCGACAACAAGGGTACCGCGGAGACGATTTGCAGGCAGATTGGCATCTTCGGCGAGCACGAGGACCTCGCCGGGAAGAGCTACACCGGGCGCGAGCTCGACGATCTCAGCCCCGAGGAGAAGCTGAAGGCGGTTATGCGCGCTAGTCTGTTCAGCCGCACGGAACCGAGCCACAAGAGCCAGCTGGTTGACCTCCTGCAGAGCCAGGGCCTCGTCGTCGCTATGGTGAGTGCATCGTTCAAGCTTGTGTTAGCAGTTCGCTAATTTCCACGCTTCAAAGACTGGTGACGGTGTCAACGATGCACCTGCACTGAAGAAGGCGGACATCGGTGTGGCTATGGGCAGCGGCACTGACGTCGCCAAGTTGGCCGCCGACATGGTACTCACCGACTCGAACTTCGCGACCATCGAACAAGCCGTCGAGGAGGGCAGGTTGATCTACAACAACACGAAGCAGTTCATCCGCTACCTCAGTGAGTCCACACTTGACGTTGTTCACCCCGATTAATTGCTAACGCATGTTCAGTCTCGTCCAACATCGGCGAGGTCGTCAGCATCTTCCTCACGGTCCTTCTTGGCATGCCCGAGGCACTCATCCCCGTCCAACTCCTCTGGGTCAACCTCGTCACCGACAGTCTGCCCGCGACCGCGCTCGGCTTCAACCCGCCCGACCACAGCATCATGCGCGTTCCACCGCGTGATAGCCGCGAGCCCATCGTCGGCAAGTGGCTGTTCTTCCGCTACATGGTCATCGGAACCTACGTCGGTGTCGCGACTGTCGCCGGATACGCTTGGTGGTTCATATTCTACACCGAGGGACCCCAGATTACCTTCCACCAGCTGGTACGTCGTAGCTATCCTCTTCTGTCAGGCAAGGCTAACATAGCTTGCACGCATAGACGAACTTCCACCAATGCTCGACGCTGTTCCCCGAAATCGGCTGCGAGATGTTCACGAACGTGATGGCGCAAAAGGCGACGACGATGTCCCTGTCCATCCTCGTCACCGTCGAGATGTTCAACGCGATGAACTCGCTGTCCGAGAACGAGAGTCTGTTCCGCCTGCCGCTCTGGCGGAATCCGTTCCTCGTCGCCGCGATCGCGCTCAGCATGGCGCTCCACGTCGCGATCCTCTATATCCCCGTCTTCACCGTGAGTACTCCCGTGCTCCCTTGGCGGGCTTGGTCTAACCGTGCTCCTTTTTGCAGACGCTCTTCCAGATCGCGCCGCTGAACTGGACCGAGTGGAAGGCTGTATTGTATCTGAGCGCACCCGTGCTGCTCATCGACGAAGTTCTCAAGTTTATCTCCGTGAGTGTTAACGTCGATCATATAGGGTGGCATCGATACTAACCTGCACGTTCTCTACAGGCAACATTCGTCTCGCCGCCGACAAAGCTGAAGGCGGAATAGACGTCCCGGGATAGAGATTACACATACGTGCACGTTAGGACTTTGTAATGACTTGTAATGGCTGGAATAGTAGAGCTACTTGAGCTCGAGCTGCACCATCTCCCCCTCACGCAACTTGTTTACCGGACTCGGAGGTAAGTAGGGGTTGTCTACAACGACCGATCATGACGGTACAGGGAGAGAATTAGTCAATCTGCCCCATGGCTGAGTTGGTTACAGCGTCCGACTGTTAAGAAGCGAGTCTTCGGTCATCGGAAGGTCGTGAGTTCGAGCCTCACTGGGGCAGCTGTTTTGCTCCTTCGCAGGGGAAAGTATGTACTGAGGTTTGGGGAAAACGGCAGCTTCTTGTATGTATGTGGCCACCTCTTCCGCAACTCCGGGGTCGACGTTCTTTTTTTTTGACGGAGCTTATCACGCGCGGTAGGCATGTACCTTTCGTGATAATTGCTGAGCGGCGAGGGTGATAGCCTCTGTGCTCGTCGGCGTCCGTACGGAGGAAATGCTTTACGCACGCAGGTACGCTGTACCCCAGTGTGGGACTGCATGTCGATCCGTACGGTCTCGGGTCATCCCGCCCCCTGAACGTACAGTCGCAGCGGCCTACCCACTAAAACCTCCTTTTCTCGGGTCCAGTCTGCCGGTAGGCGGTGTTCATCGCGCAAGGTTTTCTCCCAGGTCGCACACACGGCCGTCGCTGGTATTGCCCGGTTGCCAGCAGTTCTCTTGCTCGCGAGGGAGCGGTCTAGGTGGAGGCGGTGCGAGATCATCTTCATCCATCGGTTCTCAACATAGGTATGCTCTAGATTTCCCGGCAAGGGCTCCCTCTCGCCTATCACACGTTCGCAGCGCAGGACCCAGATGAGGTACGCCGTGTCCGGGAGGACAAGTCGTGCCAGTCTCGTAGCGCCATGGAGCAGCTCGCCGTCCGCATTCAGGACGGAATAAGTATGGGCGCCCAGGGCAAGCCCGACGTTAACTTCCGGGAGGTCAAAGCCCTTCTTCTTCAGCAATCCACGGGCCAGCGCCCACGCCGTTTGCTGACCAGGCACAGTACATTGGGTCAAGATGTGCTCCATGGACTCTAGCACACCGCACACCGAGCAGAGAGCTCGTCCCTCGTACCCAGGTATGTGGCTCCAGAATTTCCCCACGCGGTGGCTCCCGTGCAAGGCTTTCCATACAAAGTCTCTTGTTTTCTTCGAGATTGGGTCCTTCCTGAGTGAGCACCAGACCGCCTCTTCAGTGGGCTTGACAGTTGACGCTGACATTACCGCCTGCTGCACCAGGATCATAATCCGGCCTGTCTCCTTCCGGGTCGTGACACCGTTCCACTCGCGGACACCATGGTACGCCGCTCGCTGTGTCAGGTACAAAATCGATGCGCCACGGACATTGTATCTAGCCGGAGCAGGCAAGAAAAGGGGGCGGTAGGTAGGCGGAAGCGCAGCCCCTTCCCCGGCCAGACGGTCTGCTTCCTCATTTCCCCTAACACGTGCATGGCCTTTGACCCATTTAAAGGTTGTCGGCGCACTCCTCGTGCGCAACAGTCCCACGAGATCGCGGAGAGCTGCGGCGTTCGCAACGCCCAGCCAACCTCGGCGCTCCCACATGGGCAGGTGCTTCGTCAGTCCGTCCACTACGTACTTCGAGTCGCTAACCACATGCATAGGCGCGAACGGGGGCACTTTCTGATGGGCTAGGGTTACCGCATATATCTCTGCTATTTGGTTTGTCTGTTCATCGTATGGCACTCGCACTCCTTCATTACGCTCATCATTTTCACCAAACCAGGCGCCGCTCCCAGCACTCGCACATCCCGTGCCATTGCCGCGGGCTGACCCGTCCGTGAAGACTTCAACCGCTTCCTGCAAGACTTGGAAACGGCTGGACGGACGCAGGGCTGGCCGTACGTCCACCGTCGCCGTCGGGACAAAGACACGCAGGGATTCAGCTATCGGGGCGTCTGTGGACATCGAGGGGTCAAACAGCACACGGTCGTTCGCTACACGTGCGGACACATTCTCCCTCTTCCTTCTCGACGTGAGAGTCAGTCCGTCCCCGTTGCCCCTCCGTCTCGGGTTCCATTTCTCCACTATCCGACCCACAATCCTCGCTGCAGCATTCGCACAGCGGTGCGGGTTGTCACATCCATACAAGGATCGGTCTCGTTCACAATGGTTGCACGGGCAGCAGGGACGGGGGATGTGGTTCAGGTCCAATTTCGTTAGTCTCTCTGCAGCAGCCTCGCATTGTTCTACCGTTCTAACTTGGTGTCCATTCCGGAGGCATCGGCACCCCGGTGAGTTCTCTGCGCATCGACCCGGGGCTCGTCCAATGTGGCTCCAGACAGGTAGCTGCGCGCGGAGGTTCTCCGTGGGGTTACTTGCATCACACCTGACGTTATACTTCTTCGCGGCCTTCATCATGTTCTGGAGGCATCGGGGCATGCCAGCTTTGGTACGTGTACTGACGTTCCACGTTTGCAGGAAGGTGTTTACTCTAGCTGGTAGTTCCGTGGTTTTCGAGTCCGAGGCAACAGCTCGTGCCAGCAATGCATCCGCCAAGTGCGTCCACATCGGCCTTTTGAGGCCAAGGCCAAGGTACGTTCTGAGCCACATCAGGTTTATTGCGTCGTTGCGGGCTTTTATGTCCAGCAGGTTCAGACCCCCCCTACTCACAGGCTCATACAGTACTTCGCGTGCTATACGGGGGTGTGCATCTCCATTCCATAGGAAGGTTAGCATAATTTTCGTCAGTCTCTTCTCCACGCTTTCAGGCATCGTCTGTACTACCGCACGAAACTGTGTTCGGCCTGCCAGTTCGATTCCTATCGCCAGCTTCCTTCCATTTAGGGTGGGCTTCCCCTTCGCCCACTTCGCGAGGTTCGTTTCAATCGTACTAATAACCGGGGTCCACGGCGCAGCTTGATCAATTTCGTTTCCGATCCACGCTCCCAGGCAGCGAATAGCTTCGCCATCTTTGACAATGTGAACCGATCCGGGGATCACGCCGCCATTCGGGGCGAGCCTTCTCGTCGTGATCACTTGTTCACGGTACTCAGGCGAGCCAATCGGTAAGATCTCAGTTTTCTCTGCGTTAAAACGTGCACGGGCTGCCCGGCACCACCTCGCCGTCACTTCACAGACATCAGCATACTCATCGTTGCTGCTCAGGTAAACTGTTGTATCATCCGCGAACAGCTTTGCTATGAGTCTCTCCGCTTCACCAGGGATTCGGAGTCCACGTAGACCCGACTTTCGGAGGGCACACGCCAGCGGTTCTATAGCTAAGTCGAATATCAGGCAGGAGATCGGGTCGCCCTGCCGGACGCCCCGTGTTATTCTGAAGAGGGCACTGCGCACTCCATTGACGATAACACAGCTCTCCGCCCCAGCATATAGGTGCATGAGCGTCCGGACAAAATTCTCCGGGAAATTCATCCTACGGAGGACAGCCCAGAGGTATGTATGGTCGATTTTGTCGTATGCTTTCTCCTGATCAAGGGCCACAATAGCTCCATTTACTTCCTCCGCCTCTGCGTATTCTATCATCAATTGCGACAGTTTGATATGGTCGAAGATTCTTCGGCCTGGGATAAATCCCGCCTGGTCAGGGTGTATGATGGCGGGTGCAGCTTCGACAAGCTTGGAGGCTAGGGCCTTGGTCATGATTTTGTAATCAGAATTTAGGAGCGTGATTGGGCGGTAGTTCCCGATCTCGCGCTTGTCTTTTTTCAGCTTGTACACAGGGCATATCCAACCGTGCGCAAAGTTCGACCCGGGGACAATTCCGTGCTTCTCGATGTCGTTGAAGACTCCCACCATTGCTTTGGTCATGTCCACGGCCGGTTTCCCCTTCTTAATCGCCGCTCTGTACCAACGCTCATACGCCTTCCAGATTTCCGTGGGTATCCCGTCTAGCCCCGGTGCTTTGCCTGACGCAGCATCCTTAATCGCGTCCGCAACATCGTCTCTCGTGAGTCTCTGGGCCAGTTCAGCCTTCGCATCGTTGCTAAGCTTCGCTTCCGTGTCCACAAGCGCTTCTTCGATGTATGCTTCGTGGATTTCCCCCTCCTCCAGCGGGTCGTCACGTTGTAGGTCGTCATAGAAGGAGCGTGCTATCTTGGCCATCGTTTTGGAGTGGTTCGTGTAGGTCGGGGGGTTTGACCCTGGTTGGAGCATTGTATACATAACTTCAGTCACTTCAGGTGTAGTATTTCCTCTCATCCAGTATTTCGTCATAGTTTCACTTTGCGCCCAGTGTCTTGCAGCAATCTCACTGCGTTTCCAGCCAAATCGTTTTTGTTCCAGTTTAGTGAGTCTATCTTGCAAGATCGCGGCTCTTTCTGCTCGTTGCTCATCCATCTCCGCTCGCGGGATCTCATCTCCTCGCGGGTTCAGGGTTTCATGCAGGTCGCTCTTCAGTCTGTCAATTCATTTTTGCATTTTCGGGATCTTCTGTTTCGCTCTGGCTCTCGCAGCAGCAGCAAGTTCGTGTTTGAAGGCGGCGTACGCGGTCTGCGGGTTATCCTCCTGGGTTCTCTCTGTCATACAGCCAATCTTGCGCGTCAGATTAGCAGCAAGCGCTAGCATAGTCTTCTTCATCTCCTCGTCCTCCAGCAGGTGCACAGGCCAGACCCATCTGCCTTTGCCAATAAACGGGGCCTTATAATTCTCCACCGCCACAGCTACCATTAGGTGATCAGTCGGTATACCGGGTTCCACTATACACCACTCGGAGCAGTCCTTCATCATCGGGCGCCGGACATATATTCGGTCTAGTCGGGACTGGGCAGCAGTGCTCTCCTGGAGGTAAGTAAATCCTTTGTCCAGCGGGTTAGCGCCTCTCCATCCATCAACGATCGAAAGCTTTGTGCACAGGTCCTGGAGTGCTTCGCGCGGTGCCTCCGGGTCCTCTCTGGGAGGTAAACGGTCCGCCTTGTCCTCCACGACGTTACAGTCCCCTAGCATGAAGTCCACACGGCCAAGATTAGCGTTCTCAAGCTCTTTCCAGAAGTCGGCGTTCGCAGGTGCGTCGTTCGGTGCATATACATTCAGCAGTTTGAGTGTTCTGTCTTCTGACCACTGTATCGACATCAGTGCAGCCCGTCCCGGGATCACAACTCGCATAGTCACGGCACTGTCCCTTAGGACCCTCTTGTTCACAGCAAAGGCAACACCCCGTGCACCAGTGCTATTCGTGGGGTCCGGCGAGTGGTATACGGTCATGTTTCGCCCGAAGATGTCGTTCAGCCTGGCCGCTCTTCGGTCATCTAGGTGCGCCTCCTGTAGAGCGAGCACCGCAAGTTTCTGGTCCCTGACTAACTGGTTAACAAGCATCCATTTGCTAGATCCCTCGAAGCCGCTCTCCGTTCCGTATCCACGCATATTCAGACTTGCAATCTTAATCCGCGCTTTCGATCTCGGTTTGCGGGTTCGCGGGGTCGTCGCCTCATTCTCTCTCTCCCCCGACCCCGCCGCCGCATCCAGGGCGTCCGGTCGCGGCTGGCTGCCGCCGTCCTCGGGAGCCTGGGCGCGGGGCAGCGTCCCCGCGGCCGTCCGGTTGTCCTCCCTGTTCGCAGCGCTGCCGCCGTGTTCGTCGCCGCCATCATCGGTGCCAGGGTTGGCAGACGGGTCACCAGCACCTCCAGCAGCGCCGAGGCTCGTGCCGTTTGCCTGATTTGTGTACCGCGTGTCATCGTTTCGGTTTAATGTGATTCTGTTGTTGGTGGTTGGCAATTTCCCGTTCCGCTTCAACCAGAGCGGGCGGTCAGAAAGCATATCCCGGCTTTCACGGTCGACTATGCACTCGGCGCGTGACTGCCTCCTTCCGCAGCAGTACTGCACACTGGCTTAAGCTTCTCAGCACGGCACGTCGAGACCTGAATAGGTCGCCGTTGTTGTGATGGCCTCCCGGCTTTCCTGCGCTCGCAAGCCAGTATATTTGGGCACGGGAGGGACCTCGCTCGTCAGCAGGTGGTCAGGTGCGGGTACTGGTCTGCTGCGTTTGTTTCGCTCGTGGATGGGGCGGTCAGTTTCATCCACAGTCCAGACAAGTGTTTCCTCACTCTCCGTACATCGTGCTTCTCAGGATACTGACATATTTCGTCAGGCAGAGTGTCGGGGCACGCTTCACAGAAGTCCTCGTTCCATCCCGTCTACACACGCGTAGCCAGATATGTGCAAGCGATCGTGAATTAGCGTCTTCAACAAGAGTCTGTACAGGCGAAGCGCAGGGCGTGTACTGAGAGTCCAAGATTCAGGTAGTAGTCAGGCAGGGTGTATGTATGGGAGCTCGGGTCGTTAGTTGGGGGGCGGTACACTACTAGGAGCTATGTAGCAGAGTGAGAATGCAAGAAGCTAGCAAGATGATACGTCAAAAACGGCGGGGACGCCTCGCGGTCACGAGTCCGCAGGCGCGCTACTGGTGCCAGTCGCCCTCCGAGGGGCCTCCAGCGTGCCACGGCTCGCTGCTCAACTGGCGGCCCCGGTACGCGTGCCCACGCGGCTGCCCATGGTCGTGTCCGCTGCTCGTGCTCTCCCCCGCTGGGCCCTGCTCGGACAGGCCCAGGCGCGGGCCGCCCTCGTTCTCCTCCTTCGGTTCAATCCACGTCGAGGGGCCCGCGTACGTGTTGGGCCGGTAGTTCTGGGGGACCGAGTTGCGGAAGCCAGCGTACCGCGCCTGGTCCGGGTTGTTGATCTGGATGCCATGCTGCCCTGTCTCGCCCCATTGCGGTGGGGCAGACGTGTTCCTCGTCTGCTGCGCGGGCCAGTTCTGTCGGCGGGCCGTTCGCGACTGCTGCTGGCGGGCTTGCTGCTGCGGGTGTTGCAGCTGCGGCTGCGGCTGCTGCTGGGGAGGGGGCGGGTTCGAGTTTGGTGGCCGGCTGGGGGCGTACGAAGGCGGCGGCGCAGTGTTCTGGCGCGCTCCTTGCGTCTGCGAGTACCCCAGGGGGCGGCCGGTGTTCGGCGCGCTGCTCTGCGCCCTCTTCGGCGGGTCCGGCGTCGGGCCAAGTCGCTCAGCCCATCCCTTGATGGCCGCAAAGGGGCACTGCGCATATACGTGGTCACCGCCGTGGCACGCAACACACCGGACCGGGTCCAGAGGCTTCCCAGTCGCCTCGAAGCGGCAGTCGATGGGGAACTCGAAGAGCGAGCTGCGCCACTCCTGCCAGCGGTAGACGTCCGGCGTGGGCGGCTTACAGTAGACCTGGGCGATGTAGTCGGCCTCCTCGCCGTTCACAAACGTCGGGTATGTCTTGACTTTGATGGTGCGGAGAACCTTGCGCGCGGCCTCCAGCTCAGGCTCCGTCGGGTCGCGGTCGGTGGCCCCAGTCATGATCGTGGCGAGGTAGGGGAGGCGGCCTTTTTCAGCATAGATCCTCTTGATTTCGCGCTCAATGACGGCGGCGTTGCCTTGTTGGAAGCCGCCATAGGACAGGAGGTACTCCGGGACAGTCTCGAACGCGCCGTGGATGTGGAGTGTCATGAGGAGCATCGGCCACACGCGCTGGCGGAGAAGCATGCTCCATTCCTCCGGCGTCAGTCCGTACAGCAGCCAGGCGGTCGTGAAGTCTCCCTTTCGTTCGCAGTTAGATTCAGGGTCCGGTGAGACATAGAGGAAGTCGTCGCGCCCCAGAATGGTCGAGACGTGGCTGAGGAAGAGCTTCTTCGCCAGTCGCGCGTGCGCGCGGTCGCGCATGTCACGCTGCCACTCGATTTCCACGACGACCCAGGTTCTAGGCTCTAGCTCCTCCTTCCAGCTCTCGATTTTCTGCGGGTCGAGGCCGCGGATGAGGTCGTGCGGGCCCATCGGGTGCTTGACCGGATACCCGCCCTCCGGCGGAGGGATAACCGTCAGCTTCCCAGCACGGGTGAGGGCCTCCGCTCGGGTGGGGCGCTCCGCCAGTTGCTTCGTTTCCTTCGCCTTTCCCTTGTCGTGACTCGTGTGCGTCGATGAGGGGGCGTTCTCAGTCATCGGCGGGGCAGGCACGGGACTGGCAGCCGCGAGTTCGTAGGTCTCAAGCGGCGGAACTGGGGGGTCACGGACGTGTGGGGGGTGCGCGAAGTTGGGGCCGTCGACGTCCATCATGACGAGATCACGGCCAGCGGGCGGCGCTTGGGCGCGCGGAGTGGGATTGGGGGGCTCGCCGCTGCTCGGGGGAGCGGCCAGGGCAGCCGAGAGCGCCACGGGCGTCAAGGAGGCCGGGAGGGGAGGGCAGACGCGGGGAGAGCCGCGCTCAACGGGCTCAGGCAGCGCGTGGCTCGCGTACGCGTTTTGATACACTGCCGGGCTCTGGTGCGTTAGCGTGGGGGGCGCCGCGAGGTCGGGGTTGAGAGGCCCGCCGTTCTCAAGCCTCTGCGCGTTCTGGTAGAAGCGCCAGAGGTAGTCGAAGGTGTCTTGGTCCGGCGGCGGCCTCACAGAGTTCAGGTCTCCTCTGCCATCGTTCAGGGCCAGGGGATGGGGGTTCGCGGCTCCGTACGGCTCAGTCGCCGTTTGCATCGATCCCGGTACGGGCGCGTTCGGGGCGCACACAGCAGGGGCCCATGGCGCGCTCGGAGACGGCTGGACAGTCATCACCATGTTCTGGCCGTCACGGAAGGTCGGGGCAGGGGCTGCTTGAGTCAGAGCTTCGGTGCACATCGCGGAGCCATTCACGCCACGCCAGAGGGCTGCAAGATAATCAGGAGAGACGTCGCATATGTTTAAAGTTTTCTCACAATCAGGGCGGCTCCCGTCCGCGCGTTCAACTAGTACATTCCCGATGTACTTGTCACCGGTGAGGGGGTCAATGACAACTTGTGCCTCTCCGCGCGGCGTGTTGCACATCGTCGCGTTAGTCGGATACACCGCAGACGCAGGCGTAGCCTGGCCAGGTCGGGCGCCGAGGTCGCGATCGTCCGCAAGCTGAATCATGGATGCCGTTCTCTGGCGCTTTCTCGAGTGGTTCCCCGCTTCGACTGGCTCGCGGTTCACATCGTACGCTGGCAGGACGTAGTCGCTCGGTTTCGTGCGCGCGAGGTCAGCGTGTCGATTCGGGGCAGGCGTAGCGGGCGGGGGAGGTTGCGTAGCGGGGGACGGCGTGCGGAGTGTTCCTTGTGTGCTGGCCATGGGGATCTGGTCGTCATTGTGCTTTGGGGCCGCCGTCTCGAAGCCCAAGGGGCCCAGACGTTGGCCCTTGCCTGCCGGCGTCGGTGAGACTTCGTTTGATCTCAGCGGGGACGCGTCGGTGCGCGACGTCTCATCGGGTGGAGAGTCACTCGTCGGCAAGGCCAACTATATATTTGTTAGGTATGCAGGTTACTCGGTCGTCTGTCCTCGCACCTCAGTACCGGCTCCGGCGGAGCAGCGGGGGCCGTGCTCGGGATCCGCGCGCTCAGGGCGGTCATGTTCAGCTCCATAGAGACTCGGGGCAGTCGAGAGGTGAACCGTCGGCGTTCCGGTCGCGCTCTCCGGGGAGGAGAGCCAGTAATGGGCGTCGTCCGCCATGCTGAGCAGTCGAGTGGGGGGTTGGTAGCTGGGAGGGGGGCGAGCGCCCCTCCCGGGGCATCCGCCTCGCACCTTAAATCATCGCGCGGGGGGGGGGCTTTCTCGGCTCTCTTCTCGCGCAGACGTTCAGGCCTCACACTGGGGCTTGATCGTGCAGTCCTGGCAGGTAGTACAGGCGAGCGTCCACGAGCGTAGAAGTTGTCTGTCCGCATCCGGCTCCGGGCGGGCGGGTTCTTAGTCAGCGCGCCGTTTGCGACCCAATTTGGGCCGCGCGCACGGTTCCTCGTATGCACAGCGCCCCTTTTGGCCATCTTCTACATTCGTCCAGGCCGCATTCGTCCACTCGCGCGTCCGTCGTAGCTCCTTCCGGCCTGCCGTTCAGATCCTCCTCAGGCATCTCGGCTGTCGTCGGCCGACTCATGTTTAGCAGCAGGTCCCGGACAAAAGCGGTAAGTCGTTCCTCACTCGGACATTTCTACTTTCAAGTTGTTGTTCACGGTTTGCAATAGTGTCTCTCGCATCTTCCACTCACGCGCCATCGCGCGCCACTTCTGGGGCGGTACTCCAGACTCAGGTTCGTGATTGGTTAAGGATTTCAGGCTTGCTTCGGGACGCTGCGTAGGGTACAGCTTGCAGCGCGCTGCGTCGGGCCCCGGGTGGCTCGGTCGGATTTCCGCCGTTCATCGCACCGCGGCATGTCGCGCAGGGCCCGTGGTCATGCTTCTGTCGCGGGGTGTTTTATTTCTTCAAGGTGCCCTATGTTCGTTTCACGGATCCCCGCTAGTCAGTCGCATTTCTCCAGTGGTCCGTCAAATCCAGTCACCGTTCGTTGCGGCTCGTGTCTAGCGGTCTGGCCTTGCAGCCGTTATATATTTCTCGCGCCAGCAGGGATTGACTCGCCCAGATTTCATCCATTTCGGCAGTTTCGGTTGCACTCGCACATTCAGCCGTATCATCCTTGTTTATTCCGGGCTCGTTTGCTTCACCATTGGATCACTCCGCTAATGCTCGCGCATCAGTTCACTTCGTTCGCGCATGCTTCCGTCGTGATTCAGGTCTTAGCAGGTGCGCGTGGATGATCGGGTATCATCGGCGTTGCTTCATTTCTGCTTACTTTCCGCTCAGGTGCTCAGTTCATCGCTGCGTCGGCAGCGTCCGCACAGGTAATTCCGGTCAGTCTCCCGTAGGCGGGCTGTTCGTTGGTTAGGCTAGTGATGCCCATCGCCCGGGGTACATGTTGTTCTGTCCGTTCCCAGACTCCGCTGCCCCTCCGTGCCTCCTTCGCCTGCTATTCCCTGCACTTCGTCCGTCGCTCTCGTCCACGCTCACCGACACGCCTCAGCCGTCGTATGCAGGCGGTTCATCCTCACTCTCCGAGTCCTCCGTCGGCCGTTCATCCCTCCAGATGCTGTACGTTCGTGGGCGGACGTCTGCGTTTCTCTCGATCTTGATTTGGCGTGTGTGGAGGAGGAGGGGGAGTAGGAGCGTCCTCGCCGCTCTTCTCCAGATCTCGAAGCGTACCATTTCACCCTCGGCGTGCGGAGTCGCCAGGTACGCAAACTCCGTGAGGGATCGTCTGTCCTCGTTTCTGACAACGAACTCCGTTATGGCCAGCTCCATCGTTCGCACTGCGGTGATCGTCCCTTCAATGTTCGTCAACTCCGACCAGTACTTCGTAGGTCCTCTCGCCTGTCCTCTCTCGCCATCGTCCTCAGTCCTCTCTCTCAGGAGTTTGATTCGGATGCGCTGGCCAACGTGGAGTGGGATGGCAGGGGGGATGGTGACGTCGAAATATACCGTGTCCATGATGGTTGCCCGCCTCGGGAGGCCAGCGGGTGCACTTCCTCTCGGATGGGCATAGACTGTTGTGGCAGCGGCCAGGTTGTGCTGTGCGGTGGGCATGGCTGTGGGGGGAGGAGGAGAGAAGGGAGACGCGGGTGTTGGGGTTGCATTTTAAATAGGGGGGCCCTGCTTGGATGGGAGGGCCTTAGGTTTGCATTATAGCTGGCGCCACTCCAGCGTTCTACACTCAATAATTTGGAGATCCTTATAAATTTCATTGGCTCTCTTAAAGCCTATATTCTGGGTCTTGGGTGTGTGCTAGGCCCTAGGTGTGAGAGTTGGTTGGCAGGGTCCAGCCTTGTGTCTGTGTGGGTTCCTTACTCTCTAGTACTCTACTCTCTGTAGTCTGGCATCCACTGCAGTCCTACCAGGTTTCAGGGGCCTCCAGTCCCTAGGTCATGTGGGTTCTTCATGCATCAGTAGGAGGTAGGCCTGTGACAGGAGTGGGAGGGGGCGCCGCCCTTAATCGGCGCGCTTAACCTCTTGCATTTAAAGGCAGTCTTCAATGCCTAGGTCCCCTTCTCCCTAGAATTTGGGTATACCAGCAGACACCCTTGGGTTTGTCATATTAGGGACGTTTCGTACTGAGGATATAGTTCATGAAACAGTCAGGAATTCTTGGTTTACAGGTAGAGGGGAGGTCAGCACTCTTGAGGGCCCCCCTCACCTTCCTCAGGCTTCTGGACATTCATCCCGGCTTGGCCAGAAATTTAGGGCTCAATTCCACCGCTTGGAGTGCCTTGGTTATGTTTTCCTCGCCCGCCCGGGGCCAGCTTTATGATCTTATCATCCACTCCTTCCGGATTCGGATGCTTCTTGATCTAGGCGCTCTACAGGCGCTTATCTCTCAAAATTCCGCGTCGTACGATATCGGGCTCAGGGTGCACTCAGCAGTGCGGGGTTCCCTCGGTATGCAGGAGAGGGAGTCGTTCTCTATTCCATACGCATTTTAGACCTCTGCTACAGAGCAGGCATCCACGCTTACACGCAGGCATCCACGCTTGCGCGCGGGCATCTACATCACGTAGGCGTCGGCCCTGGCCCAGTCTCTGGCAGCAGGACACACATCCCACACTCTCCCTCCTAGTTCTAACATCACCCGGGGTCGCAGGCAGCCAGCGGGGAGTTTGGGTCGGTTCTGTACGGTTCCGTTGCCTTGTTGTTTGTGCTATGCCTTCCTCACACTTGGGGAATAGCGTGGGAATAACATTGATGGTGGTGGTACAGAGTCAAGGCGCCCCGGGGGGGGGGGGGGGTCGACGTTCTTCCACCTCGCTTATAGGAGTTGGCGTGATAACGGGACAGCTTTGTCTCTCGTCAACTTGAGAACAAACTAACCACTTACGACAATACACCACCGATCGGTGGTTCCAAGTGAGAGGTAGCACTCAATTACCGGCAAGACCTATCTTGTTGATGGGGCGCCGCTGACGATGCCAAGTGGAGGACCTCGACATCCACAAGCTTGCAAGCGGTAGAGGGCTAGGCCGTCGGAAATTTCAGCGGACGCGTGCCATCCGCATTAATGCAGGATCTATCACCGGTGGGTAGATGAACCACTGGCAGGCCGACAGGTTCCATGCATCGACGCACCGGCAGCAGCACCACGTTCCACGGGCGTCCGGCAGCAAGCAGACAGCGAGCATGCACCGCACCGTGTCGAACCTTGCCAGAAAATAGGCGTGACAGGCTTCAACAGGCTCGTCCCCCGAGTTCGGTCCGATGGAAGGAACCTTGCAGGTCGTGGTGGGCACCGCTGCATGGCGAAGCTGCGCAGGCGCATGCACACAACGCTGCACCGCGGTCGAAGCACGCCCGAAGCCGCCCGCGCGCGCAAGACGTCCAGACGAAAGAGGCAGTCGTCTACGTTCGCGCACCCGGCGCGGTGCCACTCCTTGGCTCCCGAGCCTCACCCCGACGGGCGCGTGCCCCCGGGGGCATATGTGCTACTGGCGATGCGCTGACGATAACCCCCCGAACCCTCGACGTCGCGTTCGATTTTTGGGACGCTCCGCGGGCTGTCGGTGCCAGAATATCGATGGAAACATACCGCACCCGCGACGGGCCCCCATGGCCCCTTGGCCGAATATAAACCGTCGCGCGAACGCCACAGCACACGGCGCGGGCCCGACGGCAGAACGGTTTCGCTCGTTGGTGTGGTCATGGACCAGCGGGGCGGACGTTCGCGACGGAACACGCCCATCGGAATGCGTGCCGCGACGAGTTACGCGCACGGAGGTCGAGTGGGGCAGGGTGCGCCGGCGGGCGGCGCGGGCGCGTCAACGATCGCGAGCTCGAGGACGGCCGAGGAGAGCGGGGCGACCGGTAATCAAGCTCGGGCTCGAGATCCCAACAAGCGAGATGCGCGCGGGCCGATGCGGCGCTGATCGTGGAACATGCAATATTGGCGAGATCTGATGCGCGCGATACTCAAAATACCTAACCTCGTTGACAATGTCGTACCAACGCGCCTTGGCCGATGACCAACCTCTCCTCCCCATTGGCCGTTACCGGACTCCAGGAGTCCGGTCGGGGACATGGGTCAGCGCAGGGTATAAGTTATAGCGTCGAATAGCAATGACGAATATGACTGTTACACAATGTACACCATCCAAAGAACTATTAGCAGGCGTCCGCCTTGGGCAAACAAGCAGCCGTACGGGACCGCGCTATGCGGACGGGCGGGCACCCACCGCCGTACATACAACGAGCCGAGGAGATTCGCTCAGACACGGTCCTCGCCGTCGCCCGCAGCGGGCACGGAGCCGGTCGGGGCACGCGAACGCGAGTGCGAGCGTGCAAGCTCTTCGGGGGGAACGACATCGAACCCACTGCGCCCAAGCTCGGAGGGAAGCAAGGCGGTATCGTCGAGGGCCTCCTCGGCGAGCAGCGTGGCCGTCTCGGCGTCGTCTTCGGTCGGCGCAGCAGGCGTTTCGCTCGACCGGGGACGCAGGAAGCGCGGTGGGTTGACCATGTGGTTGAAGAGGAACTGTTGGATGGTAGACGATCAGTCACTATGAAATCAGCAAGTAGGTTAGACACGTGTTGGCACTAACCGTTCCGTATCTGCATTGTGAAGAGAGTGCGTGAATATCGGGATGGTCTTAGAAGCATCATATCACTTACACCAGAAGCGCGAAACCAGCGACCTGCAGGAGGGAGACCGGCCAGGCGAGCACCTCCCAGCCAAGCCCGAGACTAACGATCCAGATGCTGAGCGTTCTGCACGAGTCGATCACGCTGCGCGCCGTCGCGCTGATATGGCGGGTCACGCTGAGGCCGAAGAAGTTGAAGAGCGAGATGGATAAGGCGATGACGACGCCGGACCACAGGACCGCGGGGGTGTCGACCATCTGGTGCCAGCCACGCGGCAGATCGAAGAACGGAGACACGGACGAGAAGCGCGCGAGAAGCGGCATGGCGAGGACGATGGTGAGCGCGCCGAACAGCCCCTCATAGCCCACAGCGACCAGAGAAGGGACGGAGTAACGGGTAAGAATCTTCTCTGTGTGCGCAGCGTGGGAAGTGGACTGCGTAAGACGCTGTTTGCGCGGTAGAGAAGCAGTATATACTGACCTTCGACGACGAATTGGGTAGCGGTGCTGCAAATGTCCGAGTATCGGTGAAATGTGCGCGCGCGGAAGAGAAGCAAAGGTCAGCAAAGCACCCTTGATAGGATACGCCACATAGCAGCGCGGATAGGGAGAGAAGTGGCTGAGAGAAGACGTACAAGACCTGAGCGAAGAGGATGAAGAACACGCCTGGAGGTCGCGGTCAGATGACTTCGAAGCAGACTGCGCACGTGAAGTGAATACATACCGACGAGAACTTTCGTGACTTCCGGCTCTTCGACGGGCTCCGTCTCGTCAAACATATTCACTGCGGGTTCTTTCACGGCATCCTTGACCATGGAACCGCTCAAACCGACAAGTGACACGCCTGCCATAACGGTGATAAGGGCGGTCCATCTTAGGAACAAGAGTTAGCAGAACATCCCGCATAAGTCGCAGGGTGCGCGGCGTTATGCTGCATGCAGCAGAATAGGTGGGAAGCATGGCAAAACTCAACTGGTAGAGCCAGAGACGCCTGCGGAGGAAGATGACGGAGAGGGCGCCGACGAACAGGACCAGGGCGCCCCGGGTCATCTGATAGATCGAGACCGGGGTGTAGAGCAGGCCGACGTTCATCAACTATATGGGCGCATTGTGACAGAAGAGGTCAACGGGACGCATAGACGTGCGGGGGCGTTTAGCATGAGAAGTAGATGTCAAGAAAGGGTAGGCAGTGGGCGTACCGTGGTGCCGGCAAGATCGCAGGCGGCGGGGAACCATAAGAGCAAAACCTTCCAGCCCTCGAGGTGCTGCTGGGGGATCTCGGCCTTTACGCCGGCGGCAGGCTCTTCTTCGGAGTCGGCAGGGAGGCTCAGAGGCTGAGCCTGGCGCTTCGAGCGGGCCCAAGAGTAAATGACAGGGAGGAAGCCTGATGAATTACACGTGCGCGGACAAGGTGATGAGAATCACCGCTAGCGAGCGAAAAAGGAGACGTACAGAGCATCTCTCCGACTGGTGCGGGGGGTGACAGTAGGTCAGGGATGCGGACGTGTGTGGGTGACCGGAAGAGGAGTACGCACGGAACATCTGGAGAGTCTGCCACACGGGCTGTTCATACAGAACATGGTTTGCCGGATTCTTGTCCCCGCAGTTCTCTACACATTGCATGTCCTTCGCGTTTGGGATAGGTCAGGTCAGGAGTCCATGAGATACGCGTGGCGGGCGTGACGGACCTGCCATTTGCTCCAGAGGGAATTACTGGAGCCCTGCAAGCGGTCAGTACAGAGTGAATGCGCATATATGGACCGAGCGGACCGTGAAGAGCATGCCCCCGACGAGGATAGGGACGAGCAGCGAGGACGGCATGGCGGGCGAGGAGAGAGGTGGGTTGCAGCGGGCGCCTCTCGCGCAGTGTGGAGGTGGCGGGGCGTGAGCGAGGTGCGGGCGGGAAAGGTGCCCGAAATGGGAGGTGCCGGGGAAATAATGAAATAAATAAATAATGGGGGGAAGCGCGGGTGGAGTCTGAGAATTCGGGAGGAGTGATTGGTATTCTCTGATTCTTGGAGGACGATGGACAGCTTGTTGGATCACCGAGCCCGAATCCGAACCCCCTCCCGCATCCGAACCCGAACCCGAATCCGATTCTGAATTCCATCGCCATGTACTTATATCCCGCCCCGCACGGCCGACGCCCCTTCTCCCCCCATGGTCCACCTCGTCCTCTCCACCACTAGGGGCAACTCTGGCAACCGCTACTTCCCCCACCAGGGCTATCTCGGCCTCACCCCGGTCCGCGTCGAGGGCGGTACGTGCCCCACCCCGCCCTGCCCCCCACCGTCCCCGCTGACATCCCCGCAGTCGTGCGCACAAAACTAGACGAGGATGGCAAACCCATCCCCGCGCGCGCCATTTCCATCTCCATTCGTTGCTACCAGTCGCGCCTCACGCGCTCGCGCAATTTCCGCTCGACCCTCGTCGCCGACCTCACCGACGTGCTGTGGCAGAAGCCGCCCGACAAGGACTATGCGGACGTCGCGGAGATGGAGTTTCCCTTCAAGCTCACCCTTCCAAAACGGACGCCCGGTTTCAGCACAGCAAACTACCAAGACTACCGCATATTCTGGCGGTTAGAAGCAGGTATGTCCTCCCCCCCGTCCCCGCGTCTCCCCCCACCCGCGCCGCCTCTACCAAACGCGCAATTACCCCCATCTTACCTCGCGCCCCAAAGTGCTGGATCATGTGGATATTCCACGCGTCGGCTCCCGCATTGTCCGCTATTACGACCTCGGCCTCGTCCGCTATGACTTGCCGCCCTCCCTCAGCCCTCCATCAAATCCCCCGACGTCCCCCCATGCGCTACTCCATCAAACGTCCAAGCCTCGCGCACCTGTCGTACGTTATAACGTCTCCATCCCCACGCTTCCTGTAGGCCCGTCCGACATAATCTTCACGACTCTCTCTCTGCAACCGCTAGACCCGAGCGTCACCGTTCGCAGTGCTACTGTATCCGTAGAGCGACGAATTGATCTCCATAATATTCCCGCCGCTCCCACTCCACTCGTAACAGCAGGGATCAACTACTCGGCAGCCGCTTCCCCGTCCCCCATCACTACCTTCTCACCCTCCTCCCTAACTCCCTCGTCTCTCTCACTCTCAGAGAACAGCTCAGACAGTGCTACGACGCCTACGAACCCGCAGTTTCTTCGTGATCCTACAGCCTCCTCGTCTTCTTCAAATCGAAGTTTCACTACGTTCGACTCTGCGACCAGCCTCACCTCGGGCTCATCAACTCGCCCACTGCTGTCTCCCTCGACGTCCGGCGGACAGACGTCGCCCATCCCCATTCCCCGGCCACAGTCCTACGCCATGCCCCCACCGTCCCCCTCCTCGTCAACATTCATGCCCCCACTTTCTCCGTCCTCGTCTGCGTCTTCAGAACAGCTGTTGAAGACATTCACCGCGACACTTGTCTCCGCTGAGTCTACCTCTTTCGCGCGCGATCCCTCAGGTATCTGGTCAAACACTCTGACACTTCAATGGCCGGAGAACCGCGGACACTACCGGTGGGCAGTCGGCGAGACCATGCAGAGCGACTTCGCGTCGGTACGTTTCTTCGTGCGAATCAGGGTGCTCGTGCACGGTCCGGGAGGCACCGACACATTGGAGCTCGAGCCGAAAGAACTTACTGTCGTTCCGACGAACGGGGCGGACCGGCGAACCGCGATGGAAAAGTGGGCTGAGCAGAAGGAGAGCGCGCTTCGGAGCAAGTCGAAGAGCCCTTGGCGACGGCGCGGCGAGGAGGCGAGCGTCGACGGCACGAGCACGAGTAGCAAGGAGCGCGGCCATGCACACGGCCACGGCCACGGCCTGCCCTCGCCCCCGCAGACCCCGGCGCATTCAATCGAGGGCACGAGCTCTCGGCCACCGCCCTCCTCGGCGCACGCGTCGAGCAGCCCCAAGCCGCGGAAAAAGTCTTCACGGAGACCACACACATCCGCCGGACCGCGGGACAAGGCTCACTTCGCGTACAGCGCGCCGGCGGAGATTGGTCTGCGCTCAGACCCGGACCACGACGCGGTCGCGAGCCGGGCCTCGGGCTCGAGCTCGTCTACTTCCCAAGGACACAGCAGCACACATGTGGGAAGACGCTTCAAGGAGACCGGGCTGGGCGAGAGCATGCTGTACGCCGTGGAGATGGTGAAGGGCAAGACGCGCGCGCGCGAGGGCGAGAAGCGCGCACGCGACTCGAGCACGAGCCAGGAGGAGCGCGAGCGGCGGGAGCGCCTCAAGAGCACGGGGCTGCAGCTCGGGCTCGAGCGCGACCAGGTGCGCGCGTGGGAGGAGGAGCTCGCGCGCATCGAGCTGCAGTCGCGCCGGAGCAGCGCGAGCATGCTCGGGTCGTGGGGCCTCTCGCGCCGACGCAATGGCGGGTAGTTGCCGGGCCCGAGCCAAGTTTCGTTCCCCCATGGACTTCGCGGGCGCGCGCCTCGTGCGGACGTTGTTGGTTCGCAGACGTGCTCCATCTTTTCTGTTTCGACTCCATGCGATCTTCTCTGACGGCCGCCCGACCGTGGCGGCGCCCCTGCCCCAACCGTTCCCCTTCGCTTTCGCGCCGTGGGCCCCTTGGCTCTGCGGGTATCGATTCTTCCTTTTCGCCGCCCTGCTGCGTGCGCTCTGCCTGCTTATTGTTGCATTCGACCGGATTTGTCGTCTGTGTGTCATCGCTCTCGTACTGGATTCGCTCCTGTTGTCGTATAGTATTGTCGTACTCATTCCCCACTCGCACCCGTCCGCACATACGTATACTCACTCGGTCTCACCTGCATTATTCCCCCGGTCTTGTCCATCCACCCCATCGCGCATCCCCACCACCACCGTCATCCGAATCTGCACCCGTCCCTGCGCGCTCGTGCCCGCGAGCGCCGCTGTAATATTATTATACCGCCTGTCGATAATACCCGCGCGCTCGCGTTCCTACGCGCCCTCCCTCGGACCCGCCCGCGCACGACGACGGTCGACGGTCGACATCCCAATTTTCGCTGCAACGCCGCCGGAGCGCACGGCGGCGCCCTAGCGCGCTTTTCGGGTTCGACGGTCGCACGTCGACGCAAGCTCGCCGTGGGGCCGTGAAGTCATGCAACTGTCCCTGCAGGTACTAGGACACCGATCGCACCCCCGTTTTCGCATGCGTGCTTGACAGGGCGTACGCAGGCCGCGCGCAAGCGACACGTCCACACGCGTCGCCCCGGATTAACTTCCTGCAATAATTGCCCGTTAATTTTTGACGTCGACGACGTTGCCGTTCGATGTCCATCGGAGCGAGCGCGTGTGTCCCCCGAGACGCGCGCGGGCAACGAGCGTTGCAACGCGCGCACTTGCCCATACGCGTCGCCGCGGCCGAGATCTAGACGCGTTGCAATTAGCAACCTACGCACCATGCCCCCCGCGACACTAGGTGGCTACCGTGCGCGCTCGCGGGCCAGAAGAACGCGGAAGACGTCGTCGGACGGAGACGATCAGCGCGCTAGCAGGCCGTACAATAAACCTCGTCATGGCGCCAAGCGCAGACGGACGTTCTCCGGCAGGCGTCCAGCCGAGTCGACGACGACGCTTCTGTTCTGAGCTCCCATCGCGCCGACGCCCTGCACGCAACGCAACGCTTCGAATTCCAAGACACAAACACGCGTTTGGGTTGCCTTCAGGCGGCGCGCACCTGCTGCCTTCGCGCGCGATCGCCCGGCGGCGTGCAGCGCGGGCGCGCGATGGATGCGGGCGATGGCCGTCGCCCGTCGGGGTGGTGAGGTGCTGATAGACGCGGCCGCACGCCCCGCGCAGCCCCGGGCCTAACCGCCTTTGGGGCGCGTCGAGCTTCGAGCTTCGCGGATTAGAACGGCGGGCTGCCAACCTTCCTCAGCGTCGGGCCACGCCTGCCTGATCGCCAGCGCACGCACGCACGATCGTTATCTCGGCGCGCCTTCCCGTGTCGGCGAGGTTTTGATCAAGCTGCCCGCCGGTGGCACACTCCCAGCCAAGGCGACCGTCGACGCGCCCGCGGCGTCGGCGGGAAGGCTCGGGAGCGTCGCGCGGGGGCCAGGAGGGCACGGCTTCGGCGCGCGCGCGATGCTGGGGGCGTCATGGGGCCACCCTCGTCGCCATGGGGCGGCCCAGAACCCTGCGCGGACGGCTGCGGCGTTGAATTCGAATGCTGCGAAGATGCTGGGAAGCCCGCTGCGTCCCCGGATCCGCTGCGGCGGCGCGCCGCACTCCAGGACACGCGCTGCTGCAGACGTCTTCGGGCGTGAACGCGAGGCTGGCGAAGCGCGACATGCGCTCGTAGCTCGGGTCCAATAATCGCGCCGGCGGGCGGTATTCATTTGCGCAACGCCGCGACTGCGCAAAGGCCTTGTGGAGGGAGACGGTCGCGGTGGCGTATGCTGCGTGCCATTCTATACGGGACGTCTGGTGTGCAGAGCGTATGGGGATCGTACTGCGCGTGAGGTTGGGCCAGGACGATAGTCCCGTACCCACGTGTGGGCGCGCTTCCTTCGCGCGTCAGGCGTCCACAAGGAACTGTCGATGATGGTGCGTAGCTACGTCCACCTCCAGCGTTTGTGGCAAACTCTGTGGCCACAAGGTTGGAGGTTGGTCAGCCTGGTGTGCCGTACCAACAAGTACAGTTAGGCGGAGAGCAGCAAGAAGCAAGGCTCTCACACTATCATTATTGAATACACCGCAGACGGGCCGCCGGCACGGGAGAACGCATACGGGCTGTATGACGGCTGACCTTGGGTGACGTACATATCCCATTCTATCGAGCTCATGCCACGATGGCTGAGCCTTTGGTGGCGTTCGGATGAGTAGGCGACAGACGTCCACGTCCTGCGTCGGCAAGGTTCCGATTCTTTCCAGCAAAACGCGCCATGTTGCTGCGTGGGATAAGCCTCAGCGGTTTACCAAGCCTATTTACACCCACTCCTTACTATGCACGGCGTGCCGCGTGGGTGGCGAACGTCCGACGGACATCGGAGGATTCGTCAGTGCATGCTGCAGATGAACGTATTGCCACGAGGGGTGATGTGGGTGCCACTTACAGGGGTCATCCATGTGCGCATCGACACGGCAATAAGGCTCAACCTGTCCCGCAGCATAAAATATTGCAACTCACATCAGACTAGAATCAAGGGAAGATCTCAGCATATTGTGGTATATGGGAATCGGACACATGGATAACATACCCGCACCTCCGAACAAATAGTGAGATCACAGGCTGGGAGCCAGCTCGGCCCGAACGCAATATGCGCCCAGTTGGCGGACATCCCGACCTCCGACGAGTCTGCCATGCTCAGGGTCTGCTCGTCGATAGACGACGGCGCGCAGTAGGGGCAAAGTAGCAGTGTGGTCTGGATATCACGATGTCGAGGGACTCACCGCCGCATGAAGCAAAGACGCTCAGGCGTAACGGTACTTCTATATGCGGCAACTGGTGTGCGTGAAGCAGTCGTACCTCCACAACTTGGATCTGCCGCCCATCATCCAGGAGCATCCAGGTCGCCCCATCTACGCTACATCCACGGCTGATCGCAAACATCTCCTGCTTAACCGCCATCGTATGTGCACTTCCTCTTCGGAGAGCTACTGATCCTGTGAGATATATGAGCATGTGGCCATAGTACAGCATCGTGATGGCATTTCTCTTGAACGCCATCCCCACAGAGTCTGTACGCTTCGGAGCGCTCTCATCCGGCGATGCGTTTCGCGCGTGTTCGCCAGGTCCCAGGACACAAAGGTACGTCTACGTGTTATCCGATAACTCGCGCCCCAGTCTCACCAGTTCTCACAAACACGTTTGCGATCGCAGGCGCCACCCCACCCACCGGGGTCGGTAGGTAATCCAGAGATGCCCGAGCGTTTGGGCTGCAGACCGCCGCCCATGGTCCCACCGGCTGACCCTCTCGGGGCCTGTCGAAGACGCAGCACCCCGCCCTTACGGCAGCGCGGCTCCGAAAGTACAAGGGCGTCGGGTGGCCTGGCCGTCCGAAGCCGCGCCAAGTCGAGCTTCCCGTCTTCTCGCCATCGGTAGCTCCACCCCTCGTGTACCTACGATGCCGTCGATGCGTTCACTATCCGCCCGTGGACAAACCTTAGCGGGAGTTGTATGTGCTTCTTTCGGCGCGCCGCAGCGTTATCAGGTCATGCTGATTAAGTTATCAGGACAGACCTGGTTTATGCCCAATATGCGGGATAACCGCTAGAAGACAGATATGTCGATGAATCCTGAGGTAAGAGGGGTTGCGTCCCGAAGATGTCCCAAAGTCGAGAGAACCTGACTCATTAACGTATCTAGATTATGTAGAGCTACTCGAATCAGCTCTCGGCCTCCAATAGCCTGAACATTATCTCAGGACTCAATAGCAGCAGCCCCGGGACGCCAGTGCAAATGGGCATCCCGAGATGGAGAACGCCTCGCAAATGACTATCAGCAGATGCGAGCTGTCAAATCAACGCCCACCGTGGATGATCAGCCTTGTCATTGTCAATCCGGTCATACCTGACAAGACGCTGATGTGTTTCACGCCGCCCAGGGTGAACGTTTTCGAGCCCTTCCGCGCCCTACTCTATCGACGGGATCCGTCAAGCCGACCCCCTCTTCCCGCGCCGCTGCGGCGTTCTGTGAGCGTCGCGCGTTTGCGGCGGCCGGGGCCCTCCAGACGCGCCCGGGGACGCCTTCTGCGCACAAGCGTCGACATTCTAGGCATGCGCCGCCCTTCCCCGGGGAGGGGTGCTCGGCGAGAATGCCGCGGCCGGATCGCGCAAGCAGTTCCTCCCGCCGGCACACTGCAGGGCCTCCCACGTTCTCGAGGTGCGAGGCAATTTTCCGCGCTTCCCGTGCGCGGCGGGGGAGTGCCCCCGGGCGGGGTACGGGTTCCGTAAAGGAAGAGAAGGCTGCTGTACGCTTACACGCGGTGGCCACTCTTCTTTGTAGCCGAGAGTGTAATCGGATATGGCTTTCCGAGTCATGGACTGTGCGTACTTGGGTCGACGTATACCAGGTAGGGTGTTATGTGTGGCGGTCTGGAATGGAGTGGGCGGTGCATATGTCGCGCGCACGGTGTCTTCATATATGACCGTATACCCCAATTGCATGACACAGTATGGTACACAGGAGCCGCTGTACACTTAGCATCATCGTGCCCTGCTGGGAGACTCCCATATTTAGCTTGAGACTTATAGCAGCTTTTGCGACATTCCCCGGTCCAAAATCATTCCCGCAAGCTCCCAAGCAAGCGAGGTGCTTCGTGTGTGATCGACACCGTTTACGGAATCCCGACAGCCCGTACAAATGACATACATGCTTGCTTGCAGGGTCCGTGGCCTCAGTACGCACACATTGTTCTGAACTAGTCCACTTATTCATTGGGCCGACGTCCCATGATGCTGCCGAGTGCGATCTTTGGCCGTCAAGCGGTAGCGGGAGGGGAGAACCCTTTCTTTATACGGTCTGCGTTGTCCTCGGCGTGTGCGATGGTTCACTGTATTTTCCTAACACGGCTGAAGGTCCGTGTAAGGTTCGCCTCCTCCATGTGATAGTCACCTTTGGAGATATCTCCGCCAGACAGAGAAGGATGCGCGCGAAGTCGAGCACGCTGATATCACGCCACTTGTGGGTCGCGGACGCCAGGGTGTCCGGCGCATTCACCCCGCCGCTAGACACGGACATCGACCCTGCAAAGGCGGACCTCGCCTCTGCACCCTGCAAGCTGCGCACGAGAAGAACTTGTCAATTAAACTTGTCCTGCAGTACGGCGCGCCAGAACAGTAGACATACGTCCCCCAAGCGGAGATACAGCATCCGATTCACGGTAGTGGAGCGGGGAGCATCCGCTCTATCTCGTCCTCGGACTCGTCGTCGCTATCTGTGTCTCGATCGACGTCCTCGCGGGTCAGCGCCTCGAGCTCCTCTAGCTCCCAGCCGATGGAGAGTTTTGGTATCCGCAGATTCTTTACGGCATCCGCCAACTTCATGAGAACATCGTCACTGAGTAAAAGGGTCGATAAGCATGGACCTTGACGGATGCAAAATAAAGAGAGGCGGTTACCTCGCGTAGGCAAGCGTCCACACGCAGAAATCGTCAACCCAAATCTTGCTGTATACGTAGTAGACGTCGTGGTGGTCGAGGATGTCCTTCATTCCCAGGAGACATCGTGTGACGACCCGTTTGCCGCGTGCGAGCAAGGCAGCTACATCGGCTCGGCACGCCTCTGCAAGTGCGAACGACCGGTATAGTGGAAACGTGAGCGACCGGCGGTAGGAAGCGACCAGAGTATCCGCTAACTCGGCCTCTGTGAAAGCGGCAGGGTCGGGGGAAGAGGCCTGTCCATATGGCGGAGGATCAAGAGCAGAGAACGCAGGCGTGAGAGTAGCGAGGGTCCACGCGCTCTCCGGTGTCGGGTCGCGCTGCGTCGTGCGCGTCTCGTATGTATGGGCGAAGAGCAGCGTGAGCAAGGTGAGGTAGAGGCTATGCGTCTGCCCGGGCGTAGGCAAGTCTAGAAGGCGGTAGAAAATCAGAGACATGATCGGATGAATATTATTCGTGACCACGCACACTCCTTTCGGGGAAGGCGGAGCATAACAAGGTTTTCTTGGTCTGTGTATTGGAACTCTTCGGTGCTTGTGGTGAGAGGATTTGGCCACGCGATGAGTTCTCGAATGTACTCGTCATCGGCATAGTCGGCCCTGAGGTCGGCATCAGCAATGCAAGCGGTATCCGGTGGTAGGACCGGAAAACTTACATGTAGTGGTCTTCATCCCATTTTTGTTCTTCATGTTTCAAGCGCCGTTGACGGCGCTCGTGCGGAGCGCAGGTCTCTGCATCCGGGCCTAGCTCATTTACTTCGTTCTCCGCGTGTTCCACATGCCTGAAATAACCAGAGTGCATATCCAAAAATCCATACCGACGTTCTACGGCGGTCTGAAGCGGCGGGAGGGGTTCAGGAATAGTTTGCGGTAACTGCCAGTCATTTTCAGCCGCTGGATAACCGCGGCTATCAGCTTTAAGCAAGTTTAATTCGGTAAAAGGAAACAAACCTTCGAGTATCTCTTGCTGCTCGAGGCTCAGTCCTTGCGTCCGGGCTGCCAACTCTTCGTCCGCATCCTCCAGCTCCGTCTCCTGGGAGTCAAGAACTTCGATGATTGGCTGCGCTGGGGCTGTGTTTGACGGCCGAGGAGCAAGGAGTTTGGCAAGAAGGTCGAGGTCCTTAAACTCTTGCCCGGGGACCTCTTTAGTCAACGTGACGGTCAGATATCCGGTGCTCGGGTCATAGGCGGCAGATGAGGCATCGTCTTCCGTGAGCGGATGTGAGAAGTTGAGGCGCAGGAAGTATGGGTTGATGTGGACGCTGAAGAGCGTCTCGTCGACATTGATCTCGACGTCGGACGCCTACTTCCGGATCGCAAATTTTTCAGCACATAGCTAGCATACTGGCGCGCGGAAGACTTACTCGCACAGAAGGACAGTATATTGAAACGATGACCGAGTTGTCCGTCTGCGAGCAGGAAAAGCGAGGAGTGATCATGGCGGTTTGAGGATGTGCTTGTGCCGCGAGCGCTCCGTCTCGGAGTGAGTGGCAGACCTCCGAGATCACAGATTTGGCGTGAGCATTCCTCCGCGACCACGGGATGTGTGGTCTGCCCCCACCCCGGCGAATATAAAATACGCTGGGTTCATTATCCACTCCACCAGCAGTCGGAAGTGAGATGAGGTGGAGAGTCAGTGTCTGATGCAGGTGACTCAGAAGTGGACCGCGGGCTTTCCCCGGCCCTTACAAACTGCCTCTCATAAAACGGTCGTCTTGCCACATTGCACGTCCACCAGCCATTCTTGACACCTCCTCAGCAATGTCTATAGACACCCAGGTCATTTCGATTTGCTCTTGACGCCGCGCAGTTGATTTGACCGACATCCAAAATCTCTGCAGAAGCTACCGGCGTTCCCCCCGCTCGCTACGGTCGAGCAAATCGTCCTCAAGGAGAAGCGAGGAAACTGCGTCCCGGTATACGTGGAGCTTCCCGGAGACCTCCTCACACCATGTGTAGCATATCTCCGGATTGCGAAGGACTCAAAGTACAGTTTCCTCTTGGAATCAGTGGTCGCGGGAGAGAACTTGGCGCGGTATAGTTTCATCGGCGCAGGTGCGTTCCAGTCTCTCTCTCTCTCCGACTCGTCTGACTCTGACTGAACGTCAACGTAGATCCCTTCAAGATTATCCGGGTTGGTCCCAATGAAGAAGTCACTGGAGATCCCATGGTCGCGCTGCAGAAGGAGCTCGGGATGTACAAGTACGTGAAGCTCCCCGAGGTACCGACATTCACTGGCGGCGCGATCGGGTACGTGGGGTACGATTCCATCCAGCACTTCGAGCCCAAGACTGCGCGCCCGCTCGAGGACCCCCTGCGTATCCCCGAAGCCATATTCATGCTGGTTGACACCCTCCTCATCTACGACCATCTCTACCAAAACCTCAAGGTCGTCTCTCACGTTCACTGTCCCGGAGATGCGAGCCAGGTCAACCTCTCCTTCATCTACCAGACCGCAGTGTCGAAGGCGCGGCGGTTAGCGAAGCTCGTTATGAGCGGCGCGACCCCCGAGGTGTATCAGCAACCTATCGTCCTCGGAAACGAGGCGGTCTCGAACGTGGGGAAGGAAGGATACGAGGGCTTCGTGACGAAATTGAAGGAGCACATCGTGAAGGGCGATATCATCCAGGCCGTCCCTTCGCAGCGACTCGCACGACCAACCACTCTGCACCCTTTCAATGCGTACCGGCACTTGCGGCGCATCAACCCCAGCCCATACATGTTCTATCTCGATTGCGGTCACTTGCAGATCGTCGGCGCGAGTCCGGAGACGCTTTGCAAGGTCGAGAAGAACAAGGTGTACAACCACGCTATCGCGGGTACAATCCGAAGAGGACAAACTGTTGAAGGTCTGTCCCTTGTCCTGTTTGTTGTGTGTTGCGGGATACTGAAACAAATTGCATTCTGCAGAGGACGAGAAGCTCGGTGCCGAACTGCTCGCATCAGAGAAAGACAGAGCAGAACATATCATGCTGGTCGATCTTGCACGAAACGACGTCAACAGGGTAGCCAGGCCTGAAACCGTGCACGTCGACCACCTTCTACGACTGGAGAAGTTCAGTCACGTCATCCATCTCACTTCTCAAGTCTCGGGTCTGCTACGAGAAGGGAAGACAAGGTATGCGCTATTCATCCTATTGCCTTCGTCAATCTAATATCTCCGGATAGATTCGACGCCTTCCGGTCTATCTTCCCAGCAGGCACGGTCTCGGGAGCCCCGAAGATTAAGGCGATCGAACTCATCTACGAGCTGGAGGGGCAGCGCCGCGGAATCTATGCTGGTGCGGTCGGCCGCTTCGACTTTGCAGATGATGAAATGGATACTTGCATCGCCATTCGTACAATGGCGTTCAAGGACGGTATTGCATACCTACAAGCAGGTGGTGGGATTGTCTTCGACAGCGTAGAGGAGGATGAGTACGTGGAGACCATTAACAAATTGAAGGGTAACATGCGTGCTCTGGAAGCGGCTGAAAGTGAGGCATCTGTTTTCTTCGTAACATGTTGCAGGGCGCTGACGGATTGAGCAGAGTATTGGTATGATATCCAGAACGCCAAGGTCGCACCGGCACCATGATGTGTATTAGAGGACATAATGTAGTAGTAGTGATCTATGCCATGTGCTGTTCCCTGGGCCGTGACGGTCTCCTGCTTGCTGCTCGTGCCGCTTTTGCCTGTTCTTCGTGGTAAATCGCCACCCCTTCGCGACCTGCTACGCTCAGCAGTCCACCAATTAGCTCCGCCGTCCGGGTGCTCTCGTCGTTAGCGGGGATGGGGTACATGACAACCCGAGGGTCGACGTTCGAGTCGACAATGCCGATCGTAGGCACATGCTCGAGTGCACATTCCCGGATGGCGTGGATGTTGGGGATGGGGTTGAGGAAGACCACGAGGTCTGGAACGACCTGCTCGTCCCGGGCGACCTCAGGACCGAACATGTGGACCTTGTTCGTCAATGTGCCCGGAAGCCACCGTTCGCCGACGTGGTAGCCCTGCTTTCCCATGCGCTCTGCGGCGAGGCGAACGGTCGAGCGAAGGTCCGCCCGAGTCCCGACGAAAACGATGGAACCGCCTCGTGCAGCAACACCACGCACGACCTGCGCTGCTCGACGGAGTAGCGGGAGGGTGTGGTCGAGATCGATGATGGTGATACCGGCGCGAGTACCGTACGCATAGGGCACAAAGTTTGGGTTCATCCGTGTGTGGGAGTGACCGAAGTGTGCGCCAGAGGCAATGAGGGCGGAGAGCGTGATGTCGGAGGGGGCTACGGGTCGGTGGAGGGTGTGGTGAGGCTGGAAGGTGTTGTCTCGTGTCTGCGTTGAGCCATATTCGCTGAACGTTTCGACTATCATATGTGTCAGAGCTTCGTAACCCTTGCTATGTCTGGGATACACGCACTCAGGGACTTGTACTCGGCCCGTTTGAGCTGGAGGTTAGTCCAGTCCTCTGGCGCCTCTAGTGGGGTCTCCTCGACCTTGGCGAAGGAGGAATTTTGTCGGGCGTTGACAGCGACCGACGCCCGCACGGACGACCGGGAGCACCTGGCTGCAGAGACGGCGCCGCGTCGGAGGAGAGGGAGAGCCATGGGATGAGGTGGACGCGGTGGCGGCGAATGGCGCACGGCGGGTCGCGCGTCTGGCGCGCGTGGCAGTCGCTTACCTCAGCGGGGCATGCCGGTTTTTTTTCCTCATCTTCTCGCTCGTCTGGCCCCCAGCTTTTGGCTTCACCCTCTTCCACTCCCTCTTCTCCTCCCTCTTCACTCTTTCTCTTCTCATCAAAAATGGAGGACGCATTTGACGGCGCTATTGGCATTGATCTCGGCACCACCTACTCGTGAGTCCATTTCGATTTTTCCGATGCGTTTTGAAGCTCATCTGCTTCTCAAGTTGCGTCGGTGTTTGGCAAAACGACCGTGTCGAGATCATCGCCAACGACCGTAAGTAAGCTCTGCTGCCTGCCGAAAACCTTTCCCGACGTCCTCGCTGCAGAGGGCAACCGTACCACCCCCTCATATGTCGCTTTCTCCACCGAGGAGCGTCTGATCGGTGATGCCGCAAAGAACCAGGCCGCGATGAACCCCAAGAACACCGTCTTCGATGCGAAGCGTCTCATCGGCCGGAGATTCGAGTAAGCGTAGCATTTGAATGCGGCGATCGTAGATGCTGATTTTTTGCGCGTAAAAAGCGATCCTGATGTCAAGAAGGATATGACCCACTGGCCCTTCGAGGTCATTGAGAAGGATGGCTCTCCCCTCATCAAGGTTAACTACCTTGGCGAGGACAAGACCTTCAGCCCCCAGGAGATCTCGTCAATGGTCCTCACTAAGATGAAGGAGATTTCTGAGGCTAAGCTCGGCAAGACCGTGAAGAAGGCTGTTGTTACGTGAGTTTGCGGTTGATCTTGCAATGCGTCATTGCAAGTGCTTACCCTACTGTTAGCGTTCCCGCCTACTTCAACGACTCCCAGCGTCTGGCCACCAAGGATGCTGGCTCCATCGCTGGCCTCGAGGTCCTCCGTATCATCAACGAGCCTACCGCCGCCGCCATTGCTTACGGTCTTGACCGCCAGTCAAGCACGGAGAAGAACGTCCTCATCTTCGACTTGGGTGGAGGAACTTTCGATGTCTCGCTCCTGAACATCACTGGTGGTGTCTTCGCCGTTAAGGCGACTGCTGGTGACACCCATTTGGGTGGTGAGGACTTTGACAACAACCTCCTTGAGCACTTCAAGAAGGAGTTCCAGAAGAAGACCAGCCTCGACATCTCCGACGATGCTCGTGCGCTCCGTCGTCTTCGCTCTGCTTGCGAGCGTGCCAAGCGCACCCTCTCCAGTGTCGCTCAGACCACCGTTGAGGTCGACTCGCTCTTCCAGGTTTGTCTAGTGACTTTTTTGAGCCAGTTTGAGAGGCTTACGTGCATTTCGTTAGGGTGAGGACTTCTCGGCGAACATCACCCGTGCTCGTTTCGAGGAGATCAACGCTTCCCTCTTCAAGTCCACCATCGACCCCGTCGAGCGCGTGCTGAAGGATGCGAAGATGCCCCGCGAGAAGGTCGACGACATCGTCCTTGTCGGTGGTTCGACCCGTATCCCCAAGGTCCAGTCGCTCGTCTCTGAGTACTTCGGTGGCCGCCAGCTCAACAAGTCCATCAACCCCGATGAGGCTGTTGCGTACGGTGCTGCCGTCCAGGCCGCTGTCCTTACCGGCCAGACGTCGGAGAAGACCCAGGACCTCCTCCTCCTCGACGTCGCTCCCCTCTCCCTCGGTGTCGCCATGCAGGGTGACATCTTCGGCATTGTCGTCCCCCGCAACACCCCCATCCCCACCAACAAGTCTCGTGTCTTCACCACCGTTGAGGACAACCAGACCACCGTCACGTTCCCCGTGTACGAGGGTGAGCGGACACAGTGTCGCGACAACCGTCTGCTCGGCGAGTTCGAGCTTAACGGCATTCCCCCCATGCCCCGCGGGCAGGCTGAGCTCGTCACCACCTTCGAGGTTGACGCGAACGGTCTCCTCAAGGTCACCGCGCAGGACCGTGCATCTGGCCGCAAGGCGCAGATCTCGATCACGAACTCCGTTGGCCGTCTCTCGTCAGCTGAGATCGAGCAGATGATCAAGGACGCTGAGCAGTACAAGCAGGCGGACAAGGACTTCAGCGCACGGCACGAGGCGAAGGCGGACCTCGAGAGCTACATCCACCAGGTCGAGAGCACGATCACGAGCCCCGAGATCGGCATGAAGATCAAGCGTCATGCTAAGTCGCAAGTCGAGTCCGAGCTCGCGCGCGCACTCGAGAAGCTCGAGATCGAGGACTCAACGGCGGACGAGCTCCGCAAGGCGCAGCTTGGCATCAAGCGCGCCCTCCAAAAGGCGACCGCTGGTATGCGGTGAGGGGTTCCCTGCTGGGTCCCTTTTCCTGCCTGTCGGTCTCGTGTAGATTGGGGGCGGGCGTGTAGGATGTGTTGATGCTCTGGTCTGGCGTCGTCTTTGTTCTGTTTGCACCCTGTTGTTGTTTCATGTTCGCACGTACAAAATTGAAGCTCCCTTCTGTACCATGTACGCCTCCATGTCGCTGTCACGACCCGCATGAACGAACATCTTGTCTTCCCTCTGAAATATGTGTGAATTCGAAAGCGAAACGACACGATATGCTTCGAAACAAGTGCTAGTGCTACAGAAGATGACGGAACGGCTACGGCAATGACATGGCGCGGTGTATGCGCAGGCCCACCTCGAGGATCCACAACTCCTCGTCTGCGCCGTCGCACAGCGCCTTGTCCGCCTCGGCGAAGACGAGTGCAGCGCGGGACTTCTGACGTGCAGAAAGCGTAGGGTGCATGATCACGTAGTCATGTAGCTGTGCGAGCAAGTGGTTAATTCTCGACCAAACAACCACAAAGTTATTCCGCTCACCTGTGAGATGATTTGCGAAGCAGAGTACCCTTCCCTAATGATCTCCCTCACCTTCGCCCGCACCCCATCGAAGCCCTTCGCCTTGAACTCCCCCTTCTCGTCCACCTCCAGATCCACGTCCATCCCGTCCCCGCCCATACGCTCCACCCCAAGCGCCGCGGCGAAGCCCTCGATGACCGCGTCGGGCACGACCCCCGCAATCTCCTGCACGTCGCGCGCGGTGATGGACGTGGGCGGCGTGCTCGCGAGCGCGAGGCGCGACGCGGACTGTAGGTAGGTGATTGCGCGGCGCAGATCACCTTGTGAGGTGCTAATGAGCGCGTCGACGGTCTCGGGGGTGACGGGGACATTCTCGGCGGACGCGACTTGCGCGATGCGCGCGGAGGTGGAGGCGGGGTCGAGCGGCTTGAAGCGGAATTTGGAGCAGCGGGAGGCTAGTGGCTCGATTATCCTAGTACGCGGAATAGTGGGTGAATATGGGCGTGAGCAAAAGCACGGTCAAAGAAAGGAGTGGGGAGTTGGGGATGAGTGGGGACGCATACCTTGTCACATAGTTGCAGACGAGACAGAACCGCGTTATGCGGGCGTAAAGCTCCATGATACGCCGGAGCGCGGCCTGAGCATCCTGTGTCATGGAGTCGGCCTCGTCGAGGATGATGATTTTGTACGGAGGACATGGATAGACGGTGCCGTCTGCTGAAACGGCCTGCGCGCGGGGCGTCTGGCGCGCGAAGTTCTTGATTTTCTCGCGGACGATGGAGATACCGCGCTCGTCAGACGCGTTCAGCTCGAGCACGCGGGATCGAAAGTTCTCAGGGCTGAGAGAGCGTGAGTTGCGAGCGTATCTGGAGCATAGTGGGGTAACGTACCCGAAGAGTTGTCTGGCAAGGGCGAGGATGGTGGATGTCTTTCCGGTCCCTGGTGGGCCGTAGAAGAGCATGTGCGGAAGCTACGGCTCGGTAAGTGGCTTGCATAAATGCTGAGCTGAGAAGATCCTGAAGGCGGCGGGATATGTTCCGCAGAGCGTGCTCCGGAGTATATTTTGCATTCTGGGTGACAGAGAGTGACAAGAGTATCATAGGCCAGCCCATACGAGGCGCGAGGCGCGAGCCCGCCACCAAGTCGCCAGAACGCGGAACGTGTTCTGCGAGCCAAATCTCGCCGCCGTGGGGACTTTCTGGCTGATCTGCAGGTACACTCACATTTGTGGAGGTGAGGGTCTTTCGGAGGACGGCGACGGTGTGCTCTTGTGCAGACACATCTTCAATGGTTTTGGGTCGGCTGTTCACATGGTCATGAGCATCGAGTAGCAGGGAATTAGCTGTAGACCTGTAGACGGACTATTTCTCGACCCATGGCTGGTGTTGTGTGTCCTCCTGCTCCTTCTTCTGTGCTGCCTTCGACTGTTGCTGCTTGAAGAACGAGTTCATGGTGGCCATCGTGTGCGTGGAAGGATCCTACCCGTACGCGTAGCTGGTGGCTGGTGGCTGGAGAAAGCAGGCTCGGGTACTGGAGACGCGCCGTGACGCGTCTACGATCGCGACCCGTCACAACCCGTCACTCACGGTAGGCGGCGTGACAGAACGCGTCTGGAGGCTCCGCCCTCGTCCTCCTCCGTCCACCACGCCGTGCTCACCTCTATCGACAGCGCGCACGGCCTGATGAGCGTCATGACAAACGCAGACACGAACAAAGGTCCGTCCCCAGCCAACGTATGTTGTGCTTGAGCTCATGTGCTTAGCCACAGGAGTGACCCAACCGGAGGTCGTGCCCGGCGGTGAGCACCTACCCCAACCTACACGTGTCAGCGCCCTCATTCCGTGCAGACAAGGCAGATAAGCCTTCATTGGTGGAGCTCAAGAATGGAAAGCTCGTGTTTAAGCAGAAAACACTTGCCTTCGAGAAGATGTCCGAGACTATGCAAGGTACGTGTGCTTTTGCTCACGCAAGCCAGTGGCGCGTACGAGCGTTCGACCATGCAGAGATTGTCAAGTTCCGTGAGATGCTGGAGCAACGACTCGAAGCGAAGGAACCGCCTCTCAGCAAGGTGCCGGAGGAGCACAAGCGTGTTATAACTAAACTGGTGCACGAGAGGTACGCGTTCAATTTAGCTGAAGACTGTGACGAGGTGCCCAATTGGCCATAGCGACAAGACATTACAAGCCCTCTCCAAGCATGTTCAGCAGCAACTACTACCGGCAGTCGACGAAGATGAGGAAGAGGACTCCACTGCGGCCATCCTTCCTCTCGACACAGTTGAAGACGCGATCAAATCCGTGGCCAAACGCGTGAACTATGGACTCGACAATCCGTTGGACGGTGGCAGGGCGCCTGCCGCATGGCACATCTGGAGATGGGAGGTCTCGGACGAGTGCCGAGACTGGCTGCCAAAGAACACGAAAGAGAAGGTGGAGAACAGGTTGCGAGAGAGGCTGCAGGTGCGTCCGTCGTTTCCATGAACACCCCGCGCCACTGAGCGCCGAATCGACAGGCCAAAATCGACGTGAAAGCTTTGTTCGAGGCGTTGTCTGAAGATGAGCGGGTTATCATCCTAGGCCTCAAGCATGTCCCCAAGCCTCTCCCCAAGGCGAAGAACGCGACGAAACCTATACCGGCACCCGCTGTGGTAGATCTCACAGATCCCGCGAAGAGCACACCACAACCTACCTCGCGACCCACGGATAACGTGGAGAACGATATGCCCCAACCTAACACAGCTGAGGTATGCTGCTATACCCATTGCCTGTTTAGACCGGCATTTCTCATACAAGGCTAGGATGTCTCGCAAGAGTCTCCTGAGAAGAAGGGGCCCGGTCGTCCGAAGAGACCTACTGACCCTGATAAAGCGGCCGAACGAGCTGCTAAGGTACGTTTTGTACTTGCCTGTCTGTTCAGTTGCGTTTACACGCTATTTTTTCTGCTAGGAAAAAGAACGACTAGAGAAGAAGGCGGCCAAGGTGGAGCGCGAGAAGAAGGAACAAGCCGCCCAAGCAAAGTCTCGGTCGATCATGGCCAGTTTCTTTGGCAAGCCAAAGCCTGCTGCCGTCTCTGGTGCATCACCAATGAAGGCAGGGCCGAGTCGAGACGGCGCGAACGGGTCCCCGGGACCTACGACGGCTCGGTCAGACTTTGAGCGCACGTTCAAGCCGTTCGCGTTGAAGAAGGGCGCGGTGCTTGCACCCGTGAACTGGTTTCATGAGTGCAAGAGGCGTGAACGGCGGAGACAAGCCCGTCGGTCTCAGGGTGACGTTATTGTCATCGACGACGATGAGGAAAGCAAGGCAGACGAGGACGTGGAGATGGCGGATGCGCAGGACGACGAAACCTGGCACACGCTTCCTCGTGAAGGTCGGTGCCAGTTTGTGTCAACGTAACATACCGAACTGAATTGTTTCCAGAGCGGATACGCAACATCCTATCCCGCTTACCTCCAGGCCTGAATCCTCCTCGACGACCACGGCAACCGACTGGCTACAAGACGTACTGGCCCATCTCCGTACGCGGACTCATGAACCAGCTGAACGAGGCGGAAGTCGCCGGGGACGACAACGAGGTTCGGCGACTGCTCGCCCTCCTTCGTTCACGGCGTGCACTGCCTGCGAAGGCCCTGGTGTTTGCGGACGACGCACGCCCAGGGTACTTCGGGACCTACACACGAAGCTCGCGCGAGGTCGGTCCGCGGACGCCATTCGCGCGGGACGTCGTCGGGATCGACTACGGGTACGACTCGGGCCTGGAGTGGGCCGAGGAAGACGCGGGCGAAGCAGACGACGTCTTCGAGGGCGACGGGGAGGAGGACGAGGGCGATGATGGGGAGGCGGACTCGGATGCCGACAGCTGGCTCGTGGACGACGACGCAGTCGAGGACCCGGGCACGCCCATCGAGGAGCGCCTGGGCTCGCCCGACTTCGACTTTCCCCCTTTGCCGCAGAAGCGCAAGAAGGAGAAGGAGAAAGAAAGGGCACAGGAGCCTGAGGGGGAACGGGGCGCGACGAGCAAGAAACGGCGTGTGGTCGTGCCCCTCGTGCCGTTCACGAAGGGCCCGGAGTGGGAGCCGGTGGTGAGCCGGTGCACGTACGAGCTGTTCAAGCGGTATCGGATACAGTTGTTCAACGGTACGTTGTGCGTTGTGCATGTTGTGGGTCTACATACTGAAATGCAGCATTGCGCAGACACGCCGTTCCCGATCGACCCGTTTTCATTCGTCTCCCAACCGGCCGAGCACGCCGCAAGCGGACAGCATCCACAGCAGACGACAGACGGCTTCGTCATCCCCGCCCTCCCTCCACACATCGCCAAATCCACATCCTCTTCCTCAGTCCCCTCAGCCTCCGGTCCCAACGCATCCTCGAACCCGCCAACGCCGTCAGGGCCAAAGCGGGGCGCGCCCGCGCCAAAGAACCCGTTCCCAGACGCGTATCTGCCACACCTGCTTACACGGATCGAGGAGCTCGCGACGAGCAGTCTGCATTGTATCGTGGAGACGGTGCATCACGAGTTGCAGGCGCATAAGGTGAAGAAGAATGCGATCGAGGCGAAGGTGCGCGAGGTCGGAGAGAAGAGCAAGGAGCGCAAGGTGTGGGTCGTCCGTCCGGATGTGAAGGTGAGCGGTGGCGTTTGTCGCGGAAGGGGGAGGAGCTGACCTTTTCGAGTAGGCACAACATGGGATGGCGTGAGCGTCTCGACGTGGGGAGAGGTATACCCAGGTGGATGGGCCCGCTGGTAGAGAGATGCGAGTGCGGGGTCCCTTCCGCAATGTACCGTGCATGTTGTATATATATTCTTATTGCGTTCTGCTTATCGTACATTCCATATCGTAACACCAGGGAGAAGGATAACTTAAGCTAAGGTGGGCGTGTCAATATGGACCATGGGTAAGTGGGTATCGGGGTACGGAGAGGAGAATACTATGAGGAGGCGAGGTTCCACAGCAGTTGAGCGTACTCGTCGTCGGATTTGGGCTGGTCAAACGTTACGCAGTGGACGTCACCCGAATCCGCACCTGGAGATACAGTCAGAGGAAGCCACAGGAACGCGGTAGGAAGAGGTACTCACGAACGAGCACCTTGGATAACCGTCCGTGTGCGTCCACGATCGGCTCGAACCCAGCGCCCTTTTGGATCGCGAGGCGTAGCCTACAGAAGTACTCGAGCTCAGCACGTCGAATGGCCGGCGAAAGCACACAGAGCGAATGCAGAGAGAGGACACTCACGCAGTAGAGTCGAGCTCGTGCTCCGCAGCCGGGTCGGACGACTCGAGATTCCGCGTCTCCTCCTTAAAGCGCGTGAGCTCGGCCTCTTTTGCTGCGAGCGCGCTCTCGGCGTCGTTGATGGCTTTGGCGAGCGAGAGCCGCGTCGCGTCGAGATCGTTCATGTGCACGGCGTGTTCTTCGGCGGAGGGGATGGTGGAGGGCCGTGTGGCCGAGGCGCGGGCGGCTTCGAGTTTGCGGGCCAGCTCTGTAGATGACATAGCGTGCCGCGAGATTCATGCATGGAGGGGAAGAATAACCGTAAGTCGGGCGCGAGAGAACGTAGGTGAAATCTTGAGCCTTCCGCGATGTAGAAATGTAGAAATGAGACTCACGTTTGACTTTGACGTGTGCGTCGTGCATGTCCTTCTGCCGTGATTCGTGTGTCATCGCCATCTGCTCCTCTGCGGCGGCGATAGTGAGGTAGTCGTCCTCGGGGTCCATAATGGGGATCATCTCCCGGATGGCCCTCCTGCATACATCGGGCGTTCAGACGGTGTGCAGACAGAGTATATTGAGCACGAAGACAAACACAGTGTCTTTGATGTTGATTGACATCGTTTCGAAGAGAGCTTGAGCAAAGCCGAGGACGTGGTCGAGCAGTAGGAGCGGAATGTGCGGGACGGTTGGACGGCTGTAGAACGCGACGCGCTCAATCACGCTCACGTGGCGTTCGGTCACGCGTGAACGCTCAAATTAGCGCTCATAGCGCGGCGGTGCGCCACTCGCAGTACATGGTACGCCACCTCAGAGTTCATCTCATTTTGGACAGCCAAGGGCCCTCACGGAGCTGGGGCACTGCAGCGCATGATAATAATTTATAGATTCGGATGATGCCCATGAGTAACGAGTGAAGGTGCCACAGTCCTGGCCGGTTACTGGCGCGAACCTCGTAGCGAAGACTACCATAGAGTCCACGACGTTTGGCAGCCTCCGCTTGCAAGTGCACTCTGGATGAAAGTATACAGTATACGTAGCTTGGCTATGCATACGGAACTTAGCCCGCTATGTCGATACAAAGTGCACTAGAGTGGATATCCTAGTTGAGCCCTATGCTATCAGCATGACTAAGGAGACCATCTCCCCAAGTCACCGCTGCTAGCGCTTGCACACAACTGCAAACTCGGCCATCAGACACGCTCGAGTGCGCAAATGAAGAGGTGGTCATCGGCATCAGCGCAAAGGATGGGCCTGGTGGCAGTACGAGATCAAGGGAAATGCCTCGCTAGAGCGGGCTCGGAGCTCCTAGTATCCGGTCATGGTCGCTTAGTAAGTTATGTAGTCGGCGGGTCTTGACTGAATAATCGGAGTTTTAATCTTCTTAGCACGGGATGAATGCCGAGGGTTACTGATTAGACAAGATCTATCGAAATCCCGTAGATCTCGCCCTCTGCCCACTTGACCGCCACAGCTTTCCGCCTCCGGTTCAGTCAGCAGGGTTCGACACCGACCACGACGACGACGACTACTGCACGCGTCCATCGATAGCATTGCCACCATGGAGGCAAGCGCTTCATCTTATCCCTCTTCGCTCGTCCCCCATACTCACCAAGATGCATCAGGGCATACTCGACTTCTCCAAAGAGTTCGATGTCTCGCTCATGGACCGAGTGGTCATGGCCTTCTACTCCAGTACTGGTCAGGAGGTGCGTAAGGTGGATCCTATCGGCATGCATATCTCTCACAGCGCCGCGCGATCCGCGTAACAGCAACAAATGGCGCAGCAAGTCCTGACGCAATTTCAAGACAACCCCGAAGCCTGGACAAGAGTACCCGATGTCCTGGAGCGCTCGTCTTTCCCGCAAACGAAGGTGTGTCGCATCTCACCTTCACAATTTGACTGTTTCCAACCGCGAAGTAGTACATTGGCTTGCAGATCCTCGAGAAGTTGATCACCACGAGGTGGAAGTCCTTGCCCGAGGGTCAGCGGCAAGGTATGTGTTCCATGAGTGGCACGTCCTGCCCATAGCTCATTCGGCGAACATCAGGGATCCGCAATTTCGTCGTTGGAATCACTGTGAAGGTCGCGTCCGATGAGGCAATGATGCGGAGGGAAAAGACATATCTCAACAAGTTGAACTTGGCTCTCGTTCAGGTGCGTTTCCGCTCTACTCAGTCGAATCCCATTCGCATAACACGCGTCGTTCAGATCTTGAAGCAAGAATGGCCACACAACTGGCCAACATTCATCCCCGAACTGGTCGAGTCCTCCAAGACCAACTTGTCGCTGTGCGAGAACAACATGGTCATCCTGAAGCTGCTTTCGGAGGAGATCTTCGACTACTCGGCAGAGCAGATGACGCAAGCGAAGGTCAAAAACTTGAAGAACCAGATGTGCGGAGAGTTCTCGGAAATCTTCAAGCTCTGTTCAGAGATTCTCGAGGAGGCACAGAAGACTTCCCTCATCCGGGCAACACTCGAGACACTTCTGAGGTTCCTTAATTGGATACCTCTTGGCTACATCTTCGAGACGACCATCATTGACCTTCTGCTCAACCGCGTGAGTAGAGTTACGCTACCTCTCCGTCCCTTCGCGAGCTTACCCATATTGCCTAGTTCTTGGAAGCACCAGACTTCCGGAATGTTACCCTCAAGTGCCTAGCAGAGATTGCTGCGCTTAACGTCGGCCCAGAATACGACCCCAAGTTCGTTATTCTCTTCGCCATGGTCATGACTTCCGTCAACCGCATGATCCCCCCGAGCACGAACATCGCGCAGGCATACGCGAACGCGGGTGATGCTGGTCAAGAGCTGGTCCTCAATCTTGCCCTCTTCCTCTCCAACTTCCTTTCACAACATCTTCGCGCCGTGGAGACCGAAACCAACCGCGACGTCCTTCTGAACGCCCACCTCTACATGGTGAAGATCTCGCAAGTGGACGAGCGCGAGATATTCAAAATCTGCTTGGAGTACTGGCTCAAGCTGGTTGCGGAGCTGTACGAGGAGATTCAGAGTCAACCTATGGGCGAGAGCGGGCTGCTCATGAACTTGAGTCTCGGGGGCTCGGGCTCGGGCATGCTTAGCGGTGTGTCCCTACGCAAGAACATTTATAGCGATGTTCTTTCCAACTTGCGTTTGGTGGTGATCGAGAAGATGGTCAAGCCCGAAGAGGTGCGTTCAATCCCGCTGACAGTCACCTGGTTTGTGAAACTTATGCCTTCTACAGGTCCTCATTGTCGAGAATGAGGAGGGCGAGATCGTCCGTGAGTTCATGAAGGAGAGCGATACCATCGTGCTGTACAAGTCGATGCGTGAGCTCCTCGTGTACCTCACTCACCTGGACGTCAACGACACCGAGAACATTCTTACCGAGAAGCTGCAGAAGCAGGTCGACGGCTCCGAGTGGTCGTGGCAGAACCTCAACACGCTGTGCTGGGCAATCGGTTCTATCTCGGGAGCGATGAGTGCGTGCTTCCCAGTTCATCACCCGAACGACCGGACATTGACCACATTGACTGCCCACCTTCTATAGACGAGGAGCAAGAGAAGCGCTTCCTGGTCACCGTCATCAAGGACCTTCTGGGCCTGTGCGAGATCAAGCGCGGGAAGGACAACAAGGCCGTCGTCGCGTCCGATATTATGTACATCGTCGGACAGTACCCGCGCTTCCTGAAGGCGCATTGGAAGTTCTTGAAGACGGTCGTCAACAAGCTCTTCGAATTCATGCACGAGACGCACGAAGGTAAGCTCGCGCTTCTAAGGCGGCATCCGCGGAGCGCCGTTGCTTATTGCTCCGAATAGGTGTCCAGGATATGGCGTGTGACACGTTCATCAAGATCGCGCAGAAGTGCAGGCGGCATTTCGTCATGCAACAATCGGGGGAGTCGGAACCCTTTGTGGATGAAATTCTGCGCATGTTGCACCGTATCACAGTCGACCTATCTCCTCAGCAGGTACGTGATACGCCCTTTATGTCGTACGTTGCATGCTGAAGATGCGGCCGAAACAGGTCCATACATTCTACGAGGCGGTTGGCTACATGATCTCCGCACAACCCAACAAGCCTCAGCAAGAGAAGCTTATTTCAAAACTCATGGAACTGCCCAACAACGCCGTATGTGGTTTGCAATCTTACAGGAACGAGTATCAAGTCACTTACGCGGCATTAAAAGTGGGATTCCCTTATGGCGCAAGCCGCTCAGAATGTGGACGTCCTGAGTAGCATGGACAACATCAAGATCCTTGCAAATGTCCTGAAGACGAACGTTGCGGCATGCACGTCGATAGGAACATTCTACCTCCCGCAGATTGGCCGGATATTCCTGGACATGCTCGGCTTGTACAAGGCCGTCAGCGGCATCATCAGCGAGACGGTCGTACGTGAAGGTCAGTCGTGCATGCCCTTTTCTCCGCCGAGGTTTCGCTCATTCATCCGCTAGGCAACATTGCGACGAAGACGCCGAAAGTCCGACAGCTGCGCACAATAAAAAAGGAGATTCTCAAGCTGATGGAGACGTTCGTCAAGAAGTCGGAGGATCTCGAGACGGTGAACGGCAACTTCATGCCGCCGCTGCTCGACGCCATCCTCGGGGACTACAGCCGCAACGTGCCTGCCGCGCGCGACGCTGAGGTGCTCAACGTCATGGCCACGATCATCGGCCGTCTCGGGGTGCGTTCATTTTCTCTACGCGGCGCTTGACCATCCAGGTACTGATCCTCGGAGTAGGCGCTGCTCACCCCTCAAATCCCTGCGATCTTGGAAGCCGTATTCGAGCCGACGCTCAACATGATCAACCAAGATTTCGCCGAATTCCCCGAGCACCGGGTGGGCTTCTTCAAGCTCCTGCGCGCGATCAACCTGAACTGCTTCCCGGGTAAGTGGGCGCCTGATGTGAAATGAGTGGGCGCGCGTGTGCTGACGACATGCACAGCGCTGTTGACGATCCCGCCGCCTCAGTTCAAGCTGTTCATGGACAGCATCATCTGGGCGATCAAGCACACGATGCGTGATATCGCCGAGACGGGTTTGAACCGTAAGTTGATTGATACCGGCGTTCATTCGGGGTGCTGACCACAATTTGTTCGAAGTGTGCTTGGAGGTGGTCAACAACTTCGCCAGCGCGGATCCCTCGGTGTCCAATGTGTTCTTCCAGCAGTACTTCTTGAGCATCATCCAGGACATCTTCTACGTCCTGACGGACACAGATCACAAGAGCGGCTTCAAGCTGCAGTCGCTGCTGCTTGCGCGGATGTTCCAGCTCATCGAGACGAACCAGATCACGGTGCCGCTCTTCGACCCCGCCACCGTACCGGATCCCAATATCGGCAACTCGGTCTTCCTGCGCGAGTACACCGCGAACCTCCTCAAGTCCGCGTTCCCACACGTGCAGAAGTACGCTTCTTTTGTCCGTTCGTGCCCGAAACCTTCGTTTGACGCTGACTGTGCCCGCAGCTCGCAGATCCAGACGTTCGTGGTGTGCCTGGGCGAGTTCCACAGCGACATCAACCGCTTCAAGCTCGCGCTGCGCGACTTCCTCGTGCAGCTCAAGGAGTTCTCGGGCGACAACGCGGACCTGTACCTCGAGGAGAAGGAGGCGGAGGCGCAGCAGAAGGCGGAGGCGGAGCGCGAGGCGGCGATGCGCATCCCGGGCATGCTCAAGCCGTCGCAGCTCGAGGACAAGGACGAGGACATCTGAGGGACGCACGCACACGCACGGACCGCGCCGCCGCATGACTTATGGCTCACTGTATGATAGACTTTTCTTCCATTCCCCCCGCCCCGCCTCCCCTTCTTCCCGCGTTCCGCACACATGCTTGCCCGCTGCCGCTCCGTTTCGGTTTCCCCTCCCATTTTTTGTTGCGCGCTGCCGCCGCCCGGTGTTTCCGCCCGTTTTGTCCGCCGCCCCTGTACCCTTGCTATCGCGATCTCGCTGTTCACTGCATCTACAACACATGTAACAATAGCTTACGACAGAGGAATACGAGAAAGTAATGTATCTTTGCGTCCTGGCCGAGGCCTCCGAGCCACGTCCATCAATTTGTTCGCGAGTAGGGTTCGAGGGGCTCTCGGGCTTAGCGGGGCAGAGGTGAGCGAGCGATGACACCGGCGTGGCCGCGCAGGAAGGTCGAAGGGGTACAAGGGGGGATCCCGCGATGGCGATGATGTGGACGCGCGCGCTAGCGAGTACTATTGCCCAGCCGGGCCGGGCACAGGAACCAGCGCCAGGCCTCTATGTGTATAACCGGGTACCGGCGGAATAAGGCTTGCGTAAGCTCAGAGTTTACAATAGCTTTCCAACCCCGCGAGTGGCGAATGCCGCGTCTGCCGGATGCAATTAGCCCACGGGGCAGATGAGGATGTCAGACTCGTCCTCTGTTGTGCTGACGACCTTGAGCTCCGCCGATGCGTTGGGGTGCGCGAGAGGCTGCCCCAAAGACCTGCGTGTGCCCGTGCGCAGCGCTGTGCATGTGCTCCCTCGCCGCCGGCGGAGCGCCACCGTCATCAGCGCTGGAATGGCGGAGTTGCCGCATGTGCGTGTCCATTGGCTGGAGTGGCGGAGCTGCCCTCGAGGGCCGGGCGCGCAATACAGTACTAGTGTTGCGGGAATGGACACGAGGAGTTCCCGGTGCACACTATCGGCCGCGCTGGAACTTCGGGGCGGTCAGCCCAAGATGTGTATCAACAGCGCTCGCTGGAATGCCGGGATTCCTGCACTAAGATGTGTTCTTGAGCGCGTCGTGGCGGCCCGGCGGTTACAGTGCGGTTGGAGCATCATCTCCGCGTCGAATACGGCTGCCGTTGGCGGTACTGAGGTGTCCGTGCCCGTTCAACGGCGGAGAGAGCGGGGGGAGAGCGTCAAGTGTGGCCAATTCGGAACGCGGAGACTGAGATCGCGAGCTCGATCTGTGGAACGAGCGGTCGATCGCGGGGCGCATGGCGCACGAGGGGCGTCGGGCGTCGCCGAGATACGCATCTGGCGCGGCGACGGGCGCCTGCGAGCACTGCAGCTCCGTCCTGACCGCGACCTCGTACCTCCGCCCTCGATTGCTCGCGATATGTTCAAAAAGTGCGCCCATCACGTCCGCGGAGACCGTACAGACGCTGACTGCGAGGCCCAGGTTCCAGCCCTCCACAGACGTCTCCGGCCAGGTCAGCGTGAAGACCTCGGTGCAACGCTCCATCCGCAACAACATCCTCAGCCAGTGGAAGATCACCCCGGAGACCCTCGAGCAGATCTGGCCGAAGAAGGAGTCGCTCACGCTCGTCAAGTGGTCTGTCCCCTAACGCCGCGATCCCGATTGGCCCGCGCCGCTGACTCGCGGAGCGCGCCCTCGCAGCAGAGAGCACATTTCCATCTACACTCTGCACGGCGAGCCCCTCTTTTTCCAGCACTTTGACGGGCCCGTCTTCCCCACACTCCGGCTCCTACACAAGTGTACGTAAAACGTGTGTCGCGCCGGTGATGTTCCCTCACGCGCAGCGCATCCCCCGCAGACCCCTTCGTCCTTCCACGGGTCAGGGTAGACCGCGGCGCGATTCGCTTCCTTCTCGCCGGCGCGCACATGATGTGCCCGGGCATGACATCGGCGGGGGGCGAGCTCCCGCCGGCGAGCGCGGCGCTGCCCGCGAACACCCCCGTCGCGATCCACGCCGAGGGCAAGGAGCACGCCGCTGCGATAGGGCTCACGAAAATGGACACCGAGGAGATCAAACGGCTGAACAAGAACGTGGGTGTAGAAACGGTGACGTACCTCGGAGATGACCTGTGGAAGCTGCAGCAGCTGTGAGAGTTTGATGATGTACCAACAGGAATGTCGTGTCTCCCAGCCGCGCTTGCGCGCGCCTGGCTGTGTTGTATCACCACCATCTAAACATGCGGACTTTCCCTCCCGGCTCGACGCTGACCGCCCCGGGCGCGTGGCAGCGATGCCCCTCTCAGCGGCCCGCCTGCCAATCTAGCGTGTTCCGCTCGGTGTCCCCCGGCGCTGCCGTGACGTCTGCCGCGATATCAGAGCGCAGAACACATGGAGGCACCGCCCTGTCGCCGCTCTGCTGTGTGCAATTCCCAATTCAATTATCGGCTCCTTGCGGGGGCGCTCAGTGTGTAGATCGGTTTGTTGGCGTGATGTAATGGTCGGAAACGGCCGCTGCTCAACGTGAGGGATGCGCCGCAGAGCGGTACGATGCTGGGGTCCTATGTTCGATGGCGGCGCACGATGAGGGCACTTTTTCCTTTGCAACGTCGGCATCGCCCAGCCGCGCTGCAACCCGCACGGTAAGTGCCGCGCCTCGAATATCGCAAATTGGGATCATTGACTAATGTTCTCCACGGTCAATAGAGCCACCAACCCGGAGGGCAGCGAAGACTGTCTGGTCGTCGTAATGTGCCTGCTTCTCGGCTTCTTGTCTCACGGGTCCGCAGATGAGAATCTCGATGGAGGCTATTTCGAGTCTGACGCCACAGGAAAATATGTCAATATCGCCAACTCCCAAATATTAGCTGCCAACGGGAGGCGCGCACAGAGACCCTGCCTGCCCGCTGCGTGACCCCCCGCGGGTTCACGGTGTCGATCGAATCAGAGAAGTCTGTCGGCGTCCCTGGCGTCCCGCACAGACGTTTGCAGGCGGCAATCCACGGACAGTGGGTCCATAAAAATGCGCCTCCCGACGAGCTATTGTTCGAAGCTCAACCACGCCCCTCCTCCGCCCCTCCTCCTCAACCCCCTATACCCATAATGGCCACAGTAGAGCGACGCAACCGCCGCGCTTGCCTACAATACTCCAAGCGTAAAGGTGCGACCCCACGCCCCCGGTGTCCTCTCGACATACGACGCGTCATACTCATCGGCGCGACGCGACATTCCTCAGTGCGCTGCGAGTTCAACGACGAAGACATCCGGTGCGTCGAGTGCACGACGCGGGGGTGGGTCTGTGAGCCGCGGGCCCACCCCGCAGAACGGCCTTGCGAAGAGTGGTGAGCCGCCTTCATCCCCTCTCTGTTCCCTGAACGCGCACCCGACTGACCTGCCCCGCTCCCTCCGATCCTCCGTCGCCAGCAAGCGCGCCCACATAGGCTGCGACTGGATTGGCCACGGACCGTGCACACACTGCGCCCGCGTCCCCATGCCGTGCTCCTTCGACACGCCCTCCTCCGCGGGGTCCGACACTGGTGGGTAGAGCGCTGGCTGCAACACCGCCGTCCGTCTAACCGAACACTTCTCTCGCCAGGCTCGACCTCGGGAACCGCGACAGCTCCCTCGCTCGTCGTGAGCGCTCCGCCGGTCATTGCGAGCGCGTCCGACGGGCACCCGTCGCCCCCGCCGTCCCCATACCCCTTGCGGACCACGTTGTCGCCCACCCCGTCCGTCCCGTCTCCACCCCCACCATCGCCCGTCTCCTCCGAGTCGCGCTCGTCGTCGCTAGCGTACTCGCGCCCGCCGTCTCCGTCTCCGTCGCCTTCTCGGGCCACACCCGCGCCGGCGCTGCGAGTGCCGTGGCTGCAGACGGTTCTGAACACCGAGATGCCGCCGCACCCCGGGATGGGGATCGCGCGCGCGCAGAGCACGTAAAAATTGGCCGGGGCGCTGCCTTCTTTGGCATCGCCGGCGGCAGCGCTGGGGCTGTGAGCATCGCACTGAGTCTCCGTGTGCGCCTGTGTATACCCTAACATCTTTCTTATAATGATGCTCGTATCCCCTTGGACGTTCGGGTGTGTGACGAGCGTGAAGTGCCGTATCGCCCTTAGATGCCCGGATCGTCGAACGCGTGTACATCCCCAAATCTGTGCTAGCCCCCCTCGTCCTCCCCAGACCGCCACACGTCATGACGGCCCGGGGGGCTGCGACACACGCAGTGTCGCGCCCGCACGCTCCGCACTTTCGCTGATGCAGGGGCTACTCCGGGCGCATGCGGAGCATCTCACGAAGTCGAAGTCGAAGCCGCTGCCAGCTGCAGGCAGCGGCGGGACGCGACGGCGCCGCGCTACGCCCGGTCAGGGGAGGGGGCTTCGCGCCGCCCCTGCGTCCATGCAAGGGGGGAATGTAGCCTTCAAAGTGCAGATGGGCGAGGCGAGGGCTTCCTGGCGTTCGCGAGCGAATCTCGCGACGAGAGCCGAGGTCTGCGCGCCCGAGATCGATTTGGGACGGCTGATCTTGTCCGGCCGTTGGGTAGAGCGTGCCGCATCGACGTCGAACGTCGAACTTTTCCCACCGCAGCGGCGTGCGCACTGGCGCGCAGCGGCCACTGGCACGGCCGGGCACCGTCTGCAGCCTTCTACTGCTAGCGCTGCGTCTGATGGACCCGGACGCGCCCGCTGGGAGCCTTCCTCGGCAAATGTGTATTCAGACCCGGGAAAGTGCACCTTAATTTTCGAGCGGCTTCGCAGCCTAGTCGGAGCTCCGAACGCGTTAATGAGACACAGCACGGGTACCTCTCAGTCATCACGGGCTCGCGGGTCGCGTACACGTCGAGCTGGGCAGCGCGGGCAGGGACTCTGAATCGGAGGTGCTGGAGCAAGCGCCGCGGTGCCTTGGTTTGACATGCGCGTTCCGGCGTGATGATCGTTGTCGTCTTCGCGGAACGGCAGCGCCGGCGGTAGAGCGCGTTCGTCTGCTCCGCTTCTATCTCTCTATCCTATGCTGGACTCGGGACGGCACTCGCAGCGACTTTTCTGGGCTTGCGAAGGCGCGAACACTGCGCGTGGCAGCATGCGCAAGTGGCGTCACGCTTCCGGGTCGCCGACGCCAATTCTGACACGATCTCCTTGCCACCGTCCTGGGCCCTGTCGGTGCTCTATCTCGTCCGCGCGCTCCGAGTCCTCACTTGGTAAAAATCTACATGGGGATTACCTCCTTTGCTGCTGCTCTAGCTCGGACGTCACTGGGCACTACGCGACGCGTCAGAAAGGACGCCCGCCAAACGCCCGCGAAGGCTCGTGCTCGGACGAAGACTCGAAGAACTCAGGGAGCATCATGGGAGCATCCTGACAAAGTTCGAGGATCCGTCCTTCTGACGTGTCAAGGTTCGAAATTACTGCATGCGCGCGCGCAGAAGGCCTCTCGTGGGCACAGGACCCTGCAGCGGGCATGGATTCCGAAGAGAACTAGGCGATAAACGGTATGTGCAGGATGCGTCGGCGGGCGTTATGCTCTCCAGCCAACAGGCCGAAGAATCAGAAGCGGGCGTGGAGAACGGACTTGAATGGGACGGTGTTGGGCCGCGGCTGGCGGGGGTTCGGGAAGGCAGCGTTCAGGAACAGAAGGGGAACGAGTGGTGGTGCGTGCCCGTGCCATTCAGTCCCTTGCCCTCGGCGCGCGGACTCGTGCACTCGCAGTGGAGCACGGCGCGTCGTGCCCTCGAGGAACGACGCGTTTCTCTGCCTACGGATGGCAGAGGAAGCCTGCAGTATCCTCAGACGTGTTTCAGGCCGTACCGCGAGGCGTGGCCGGTATTCCACATACCCACATATGTACACGGGCTCCCGGCTCCTTGTCAGCGGCGCATCTGAGCGCTGGAGACCGACGGCGACGAGTACGAAAGAGATCTCAGTTGCTATAGGCAATTTCATTGCATGTTCCATTGTCCTCTCCAGAAGCCGTGCCGGATCCGTAGCGAGGGCGCGCGCTGCATCGTACTCTGTGCAGGGTCGCGTAATTGTCGCAGCCTCCCCTTGCTCAATCATTGATTCCAGCTGGCGGCCGCGATGGCATGCACGCTCATCATCCTCGCCCCGCCACGTTGGGCAGCCATTGTTCGTGCTAGTGCGCCCGATCTGCTCGCTTCGCCCTCGCTAGCCTCTGTGGCTCGGCGACATGCAGACTGCGCCGCGACGCTCCGAGTCCCTGCACGGTTCTGATCGTACACTTGCCCCATACAGTCGGAGAGTGGCTTTCGGCGACCTCGTCTGGCGTGCGCACGTTGGCGCACGGCCGTGATGGGTCGAAACCTCGATTGGAGCGAACAGGTGGATATATCCGGGCCACGACCAAGCGTGTCGCCGCAGCACAGGACCGCCGCCGCCGAGCCGCCCGCCGTCCTCAATCATACTCGCAGAAGCCTCGCTCGTTTCGTCCCTCCCGTTTCCCACTTTCCTCTTTGATATTCGCCGCCGAGTCAGCAGAGCGCGGCGCCGCTGGGACGGCTCGCGCGTTGCCCAGCGATGAAACGATTCCGTCGCGCGTGCCGGCCCCCCTTGCAGAATGCCGAGGCTCACGGTGCGCTCCAGCCCGCCATTATGACTTGTTTACGACATGTGCCGCCTAAAGCGCGTACGCAGCAAGGGTCCGCCCACGCGCACACCCCCGCGTCCGCCGCCGACGCGGTCCCACGGTGTTGTCCTTTCCTGCCAGCCCCGCCGGGATGAAGATCCCTTTGAAGCTGTGCCCGTTCTGTGGGGCCCGCGCGAGCGAGTATATAACCCGCCCACCGCGTTCCTCGTCGCCCCACTCCCCTCCCTCCCGCCCCTCCGCCCGTCCTCGGTGCCCCTCCCACTCGTGTCGCGCTGAGGAGCAACAATGGCCAGAGAAACAGCTTGCCGCAACTGTGCACAGAAGAAAGGTGAGTTCATTCTGCCCTCCGTCGCGTCTTCTGTGCTGAAGACGCGTTCGCGCGCTTGCATTGCATAGTCGGGTGTAAAGCCGTCGCGGGCAGCAACATCTGCGAGCGGTGTGCCCGCAAGGGCATCGCGTGCGAGCGCCCCGTCCCGCCCGCCGTCCCCACAAGCAACCTATCGCGCAAGACTGCTTGCGAGAGCTGGTACGTCGCGCCTCACGCGTCATCGTGTCTTAGGCCATCGCTGACAACGCACATGCAGCCGCAAGAACCGCACCAAGTGCGAGCGCGACGTCAACGCGGTGCCCGCTACCTGTGTCCACTGCGCCGCCGCGGGTCTGCCTTGCAGCTTTGCCATGCCCCGTACGTGCGCCGTTTCTTCACCCGCAGTTCCGCGCTAAGCCTATGTGCTTTCCGACGACTCCTTGCGCTGTCAGGCGCGTCGACGAGCGCGTCAGGCACGCAGCCGAACCTAGTTGTCGACACCGCGTCCGCGTCCGCGACGCCCGACTCGGCGCCCAGCAGCACGCGCAGCCCGAGCCGGCCTTTCTGGGAGACGGTGCTCGCGCCGTCGCCTGGCGTTGACGGTTGAACCTGCGCCGTTGTGAGGCGCCAGCGCTTTCTTGTATCTTTCTTTGCTCTCACCACTGTCTATTACTTACGATACACACCACCCCCACTCTGTGACTGGTTCGCTAGGCCTCGTTCGATACTCCTACCCCTATAGCCTATTCCGGAAGACATCCTAGTTACATCGCCCATTTGTAGCACCCACTGGCGACCCTTTGCTCGTACCTAGTATCATATACCACACTTTCTTTGTATCCACAACACTGGTGCGAAATCAAGCTCAGCGGCGGTACAACAACCCCACAAACGCGCCATCGCTGTGCATCGCTGAGATCAAACGGCGCATCTCATCGATGGACGAGGACAAAGGGACGAGAGTGCGGGGTTGGGGTCGCTTAAACGACGGCCGGTGTTTACCCAGCGATTCAGTCGAACGTCCACGCGCGGCTCCTCGGGCGCCAATCGCGCTTTCCCTTTGTCCCCGTGCGAGCGGCGAACACATGCGATCCCGCGTTCGATAGGCACATGTACACAGTGACACACTGCGAAAATTTGCTCAGGGCGTCCCGCGTCGCGCGCAGTGCGTAGCTCGATGCACAAGCGAGCCCCCGCTTGTAATTACAATCAGGCCCAGCCCGAATGCGAGTAAGTACTATTACCGGCGGGCGCACACGCCCGCGAGATTCGTGCGCGCGCACAGATCTTCGACGCGTTGAGATGCCGGCGCCGCGCCCAGGGGGCGGGGGGCCTACATCCATACACGTAAATGGAAGGATAGGTTCTTGTGGGCGCGCCATCGCGCGAAGGGCGCGGCCTGCCCCTGAGCGGGGAGGGCGCAGTGGTGCAATTTTCACTCCCCGCGCCCCGGGGAACTGCCGCGGTGCTTGACATGGGGCGAGCTATGGCTCGTAGCGAACAGGTCATATGCCTTGTTGGGCACCTCGAGCAGGTCCGTGATGGCGCGCGAGGGATCCTGCCGGCAGCGGTTGAGCGAAAAGGTGCTAGGGCTTGCGCTTCTAGGATGGCCACTCACATGAAACGCGCGAAGGCGAAGACGCGCCGCGAAGCAGCTCATAGCGCGTACCTCTCGTGGGACAGCGACCACAAGGTGCTTAATGTATCGCCAATGTCGCTGAAGTTGCTGTCGCCGTTACGCCCGATGGCGGTCGGGACGCTCGCGCCGCCTGCTGTACCTGCTTGCGAGTTAGGTTGCCGTCCACGTGGCTCTATTTGGCCGTGTTTGAAACCGAAGCTGTTGGCGTCTACGCACACCTCCCAGCGCCTACTGCTCTCCGGTGTTTTTCTGAGACTGGTGAGAGTTTTGCCCCTGCTTCCGGCCCTAGACGCAGCTAAGCGAGCTGCCCCTTCTGAGCAGTGTGTCGACATCATCCTTGCTTTGTCACCGACTGCCATGTCCCACGACGAAGGCAGCACGCAGTTTGGCTACGAGGATCCCTTTACTCCAGCCCGGACCAAGAAGAAACGCAAGAATAGGCCACCAGTCGCTCCCCCTCCCCCCGACGTCCTCCTGAACAGAGCATCGGAGGAACTGGCGGAAGGCGATTGGCTGCGCGAGACACAGCGTCCGTCGCTCTATCATTACTATCGCTACTTTCCCCTTCTGACTCTCTATTCCCGCAGAGAGCCTGCGCGACTCGCTCGAAGAGGCGTTCGCAGCGTCGGACGCCGCCCCGGACGTGCTGTGCCTCGGACTGGGCAGCCCTGCGTCGTCGCGTGATGCATGCGCGCAGCTTGCGTTCCTCCTTGCGGCGTGCGACGATCTGAGCATAGTGTGTCTCCTTCCCATGTATGTAGGCGTTCCCCATCAAACATCAGCGCGTGCCCGTCCACCCAGGACCACACCAAAGTGTCCGTGTACGACCCCGTCTTTGCGGAACAGGACCTGCGCCTTCTGACGCTCCTCGGCCTCACTGCCCTCCCCGAGAACCGAGTACGTCGTCTGTCCTCCCATCCCCTTCCGTCCGCAAAAGGCCTCCTCCGGCCTTGTGCTACCTGTCTTACTGCTCGCGCGCTGACTTGTTCACTCGACCCGTCATTGTGGCTCCTCTCCCGGCGCGTCGCACAGCAAGCGAGCTATGGCCTCCGATCGCCCACGATCGTCTTCATGCCGCATTGCGACCTGCACCTGTACGAGAACCTCCTACGCGAGAACTGGACGCGCGCGCGCCTGCCGCACGTCCTCCTTATCGCCAACCGCCTGCGTGAGTACGCCGAGAGGTGCGTGCCGCGTCCGTCCCATCTGCCACACATCCCCCCGAGGCCCCCTCCGCTCCCGTTCCGCTTTCGCCAGCTGCCCTTCCCCTTTCTCCGCGCCTGCCTTCCCTGGCCCCGTCGCTAAGCTTACCTCTCCGCCCCCTCGGCATCCTCCATCCAGCATCCCGTCAAGGAAGCTCGCATCAGAGCACCCGTGCGTCGCGCGCCTCAGTACGTCACCCGCGGCCACCCCCGTCCTCCTCCACAGCCCCTCCCCATACTGACCCCGTTCGCCCCCCTGCCCTTCCCGCGCGTCTGCTCGCATCCTCACCCGTGTCCATCGCACGCGCTGTCTCCGCTTCTTCTCCCCGCCGCTTCTCTACTGCGTCTGCGCACGTCCGCTGCAGCCCCCTTCCTGACGAGCCGCCCGCTGGCGCCCTGCGCGCAGTTCCCGACCGCATTCAACAACACCGCGATACAGTACGTGCGCGCGGACGCGCTCGCGGACCGACCTGCCGATTGGTGGACGCTCCCCGGCGGCGCGCCCGCGACGGACGATGTTGCGGGAACTCCGCCTGCCCCGGACGCCCGCGACATATCGGTTCAAAGACAGACACAAGAGGCGCCTACGTCTGAATCCGTGGGGCCCCCGGATGCACGCCCAAACGCCGCCGCCGGGGAGCAGGACGCAGACGCAGACGCAAACACGCGTGCAAATGGGGACGCGACTAGTGCCACTCCGCCGTCTCCGCCGCGAAGCTCAAGCGACGACGCGTCAACGTCACCGTGCAGGACAGGATCACCGGGCGCGGGGAGCGGGCGCGGGCTGGAGAATGGAGAGCAACCGCCGCCGCCGCCCAAGGAGCTCGAGGCACAAGCTCGAGATGGGACGACCGCCGCATGCGCTGGATCTGAGCCCGGGGCGCGGGTGCGCCTCGAGGCCCGCGAGCTCTGATCTCCGTCCCGAGCTGCGCCCGACGTCGCACGTTCGGGCAGGGCGAGACGCGTCGCGGGCTGCTGCAGCTTGTCGCCTCAGGCTGCGGGCTGGCTCTCGGCCCCGCGCATGATGCTGCGTCCGACGGCGCGGACGGGGGCCCAGGCTGCCTGACTCGGCGGGGGAAGGGAGGACAAACTGAGACTGGGGCTAGGGGATTGCTGTATCCGTACCGCGTTCGCCGCGCCTGTATGCACAAATCGGTGTATGAGTATCACCTTGTCGGACGGGCAGGAGCGGTGCCCCGTCTGAATGCGATCAGCACGCTGTGCGAGGCCGTACGACTGGCAGCGGCTGCCACGGAAGGTATACGGTGCGCGATCGCGCTGTAGCTTAACCTTGTTGCGCACGGGCACGCTGCAACTGTTCCCCGCCCGCGTCTGCGCCTGCGGGGGCGTGCTCGCCACGCCGTCGAGATACCGCACACGCCCCGCACATTATCATTGTTCACTGAACTCTGATCACCGTGTCTATCACGCTCGCAAGTGGTATCGCATTCACTCGGAATGGGCAGGCGGCTGCAAGCCGTGCCGCTGCGATATAGGATTCGCAGGAGGGGGCCGCGAGCGTCCGACGTCAAAGGGCGGTGCAGACCCACATATCGCAGAACGTTCGTACAGACTCAGCCTGCCGCTGCAGCAGCTGCAGCGCAGATGTCCGGCACAGGCTGTGGTCGCACGACCACGAGCGGCTGAAGAGCGGAGTTTTCCCCTGGTTCCTCGCGCGATCGCAGAGGCTAGCGCGCGCGCATGTGAGACCCCGGTGCCCGGGCGAAGTCGCGAAGCCCGTGCGCGAACGCACCCCGGACCATTACGTACGGCTGCTGCAGGCGCGGGGGCGGAGTGCGCGGACGCTGTTGTTATCATCGGAGACAGCACCCAGCTGCATTCAGGGACGAATATGTACACCCAGCAATTAAGGATAGGTCGGGCAGACGTGACGCGGGAGGGACGGAGAGCATAGAGCAGTAATACGGTACGGTGACAGACCAGGCCAGTGGGGAGGGGGGCACGCGACGCGGCGTGGGCGAGTGTAGGGGAGGGGGAGCAAGGGGGAGGGTAGGGGTGGTGGGGGAGAGCAAGTGGGGGAGGGAGAGAGCAAGTGGGGGAGGGGAGGTGATGGTGATGCGAGGGAGAGAACAGTATGATAACGGAGCACACGAGAGAATATGGACACATGCAAATAACTAACAATCCTGGATCATGGAGGGACGGAAGACACGAGCAGAGTCCGTATGGTCTTCGTCGTGGAAGGGGAGGGGCGGGTCCAGCTCAAAGGGGTAGAAGTAATCGTCGTCCGTGTCAACGTACACGTGTGGGCGGGTGTGCAGCCGCGTGCGCGTCTGTGGCAACGACAGCGACGCGGCGTCGCGAGGGGAGAGGGAAGACATGGACTGGCTGTAGGGCGTGGACAGCACGTCTGACTCGTCGTCAGAGGTGTCCTCTATCGCATCCGGCATGGGGAGACCGTCTACGTCGTCCACGTCGTAATACGGGAGTGGGTCATGGTACAACGGCACAGCCGTACTCGGTGGGGTGATCGAGTCGTCGCCATGCGCGTCGAACTGGAGCCAAGAAGGAACAAGAGGGGGGTGGAGTGGGGGGTAGGGGACAGGGTAGGGCACGGCGATGGGAGGGGGCTGGTAAAACAGGTGGGCATGGTTGACGAGGTCGTCGGAGGAAGACATGGGAGAGCACAGGGGACTTAGCAGTTCGTCGTCATCGTCCACGGCGAGGACGGAGACGGAGGTGGCTGTGCTCTCGAGGTCCATGTCCTCGTCGTCGTCGCCGAGATCCTCCAGCAGGGAGTCCAGCCACTGCTTCTCCGAGTTGCTACTGCTGCCGGCAGAGCGGGAGGCAAGCGAGTGCGGATCGGGGAACATGAACGTGTCCTCCTCGACGAACGCAGCGTCGTCGCGGGGGTCGTCCTCGTCGCGTCTATATACATGTTGTACATCAGTGACATCTGCCTGCGGCTGGGGCGGGGCAGTGTCGACTGGAGTATGTGAGCGGGTGATGGAGTTTTTGAGGAGGACCCAGCGGTGGAGACTGCAGGAGTCCCTGACGCCACTGGAGACGACGGACTGCAGCTTGGAGCGGGCCATGGTGAACAGAGATGGTGATTCGAGAGCGAGTGCTTGTAGTTCCGGTGGCATGGACGAGGGCGGGGTTATATGCGCTGCGTGCGGGAGGAGGGTGTGGCTGAGGGGGCCGGTTGAGCGACACGGCTAGCTAGCGGGGGATGCAGGGTTGCGTTCTGGAGAATGCGGTCGACGCGTGTAAGCAGCGATAACGCGCGAGACGTAAAGTGGGCACGAACGAGGCAGGTGGGGTGGGTCTTTGCGATCAACGGTGTATACGGTAGACGATGAAGGGCTCGAACAGGATGGTGCCGTTCTGGGAGATGCGGACGTGTTTGTTAACCATGCTGGATTCTGTGGGTCGCCTAGACTGTAGCGGGGTCCGTCAGGGCGAGGCAAAGAAAACAGATGATGGGAGGGGCGGGGGCGGGGGAGAGCACTTATGCGGACATGGTGGCAGCAGACAAGCGGGGGACGCTTGGGGAGATGCGGGCGGAGACGCCGCTTATAAGGGCGGGACTAAGTCGTGACGCGCCCGGCGGTGACTCAACGCCCTGCCTAACTCGGCCGATTCCCACTCCTCCCCTCAAATTCGTTGCTGCCACCACAGGCGCCCGTCCCGCCCGTATTCCGCCATCCCCCTCAGCCTTCGCGCCAGCTGCGACATCCCCCGCCCCTGCGCACGCATCCCCCATCGCCTCCTCACACTCGCGCCATCTGACAGCGCCCGCCGTGTACCATAATGGCGTTACATACAAGCCTGAACCAGTGTGATGCCGTGCTCGTCCGACACCCACGGCGCGCGCCCACCCCGGAGGTCTCCGACCGATGCGGTACTTCCGCGCATGTTGTGTTCACCAAGCGCCTACAGACATTGCCTGATTCACACATAGCTCATCTGGTGCGGATAGCTGGAGACCTGAGCTACAAGCATGCGCTCTTTATAGCACTGACCTGCCCATCTGCCCGCCTTTGTTGTCATGTTGCACATTTCTTCCGCAAGCTCTAGAATATGCGGGCCGCAAGGTAGAGGAAGGAGAGCAAGGTAAGCACCAAAAACGCCCCGTTTACGTTACGCTGTGCTAACTGATACCGCAACGCTCGCTCGCATATAGTCCTTCCCGGTAAGCCGTCCGCGTGGAAGGTAGGTGGTTTGCTACCTACCATCATCGGGTACGTTCTCCTACGTACGTAACAGGAATTCTAGCAGAGTTATCTTCGATCAATCCCCCATTTCACCGACATCTGCTCCGTATACAGGCGAAACCGTCATAACCCATACCTCGGCTAAGGGCTTGTTTCTCTGATCTCTCGCTCCCAGAAAGCCCCAGGCCCTTCGGATGCCACAGGGTATGTGCAGCGAGTCATAGCGCATCGAAGAGTATAACTTTTAGGACAAGTTCTGCGGAAACCGAGGCTTGGGGGTCCTGCCGAGAAGTATGGGTTATGACGGTTTCGCCTGTACCTCGATCGTAGACGGACCGACTTTCTAACACACAGTACTCGCCGGCGTAGAATGTGCAACGCGCGCGTTTCCTTTGCGCATATCTGCAAGCACCGCCACATAGCATACCTGCCTGGTACGTCGATGTCTCCTTCCCCCTTTTTGGAATGCACTGCCAGGCTGAGACCGGATTGGTTGGTGCGTCTAGATAGCACCTACGATGTGCAGCTCTAGACGAAGAACCCAATTGGGGTTCCTATGATAGGGGCCGCTGTGTGGAGTGTGACACATCGAGCGTTGCAGGACACCCTGCGAATGATCGTCATTTGCATGCGAAGCAACCACGCCCACCGAGATCGGGGCCACGCAAGCCATGAGAGACCGTGATATAGGCCTGGAGGTCGTTACCGTCCGGTCCACCACGACGCGTCCGTCTGAACCCCTGCGGCCGTGGCACCACTCATCTACAAGTTTCTTACGCCAACCCTATCCCCTACGGATGGCAAGTGGTGGAAGCAGGGTGAGGCGAGCATCAAATAGGCACTACTTCGCGGTATGAACTCGTTTGCGCAGTCTTTCCCAGACCGTTTGTGTGGCTGGTGAGTCGTCCAACGCGTGGATCCCGTATGCCCGTCTACCAGCTACCGTCATTCGGGGAGTTCTGCTACGTAAAAGAACACTTAACCCCGTCGATCAACGATCGTTGCACATAGCGGGTTGTACACAGCACCAACCTTCTCCTCCGAAATCCCCGCCCAACGGGAGGCACCGGGGCGTACTACTCTGTGACTATCTGACAACTGTTCTCATATCGATAGGCCGTAGAAAAATCTATCACGGATAGCGGTTTGAAGCGGTGACGCGGGGAGGACATGGATGTACACATATAGGTACGTGTACCTCTTCGCGGTCCTCACGCCCTGCTAACCGCCTCACGCAAAGCGTCGCCGCCCCGGCTGGGCGTGAACGCCTCTGTGGGTGTTTTCCTCGGGGGTCTATCGATCTGAGAACGGCTGGAAAACGTACACAGCGGATTGCAAACAAACCCCTTCCGCGATGCATCAAAGTAGGCTCGCACGACACTATAAATTTCACTGAATTAAATTACTAAGCATGTGCAAACATATCTCGACAGAGAAGTGACCACGGAAGACCATAACATTCAATTGGGTATGTTCTATGAGTTCACCGTACCCGCGAAAGTTACCCCGGATCGATTGGTGTTCTGCTAGACTCAGCAGAGTTGCATGCGTCAGATCGCAATCGCACTTTCGGACACGGAAATTGCGTGACATAAACTCGTCAGTGCGCAAACGGACTACTTGCTGCTTTTGTAGGCAACAATTCAAAGAGGAAGAAAGACGTGCCCTTCAAAACGTCTCGCTCCTCGTGTCTTCGCGAGGCTGGCAAGTTCACGCTTCCTTCTTCCCCTCTTTAGGACAACCGAGTCAGGGCTGGCGCGTCTAGATAACACCTACAATGTCCGACTCCGTGCAAGAACCCAGAACGCAAAGCGCGGTCCCTCTGATAGGGCCCCTGTGCGTGTGCGGAGTGTGGCATATCAAGCGCTGCAGAGCCCCGAGTGATCGTATATGAGCACTTCATTTCATGCGTCCGCGAAGCTGTGGTCCACCACGCACTCATGTCCGAGCTTACTGAGCTCCTGCGTCCTGGGTGTGGGATCACCTGAGTACACCGGCGCATATCTGTGGTTTACAAGTGAAAAATCCAACTTCGCGAATGTAGAACATGCGCCCGCGCCCCGCTGGCCGTCGGGGTAGATCATTAATCTGACACGCACGCAATTCCAGAACCGCCAGCCGCCCTACCCCTCGTCCATCACCTCCTCTCCCACGTCCTGCGGCTTGATGCTCTCCGCCAGCCTCCTTATCTTCGCCAGGCTCTTCGGCGCCACGTCGCGCACCTCCGCGAGCAGCTGCGTGAACTTCACGTTGTCGCCCGTGAGCCGGTACACCTTCGCGAGCTGGAACAGCACGTTCGACTCCTCGGGCGACGTGTCCTTGAGGTACTGCAGATCCTCGAGCGCAGCCTGCGGGCGTAAGCGTGAGCGAATCAGCAGCGAGAGAAGGTTCCACCAGCGCCAAAAAGTTGAAATGAAATCGAACCCCGCACAGGCGCCACAACGTGTATCAATCGGCCCACTGGGTCCCAGCAATTCGGAAGGTAGGACGCCAACACTAACCGTGTATCTCTTGAGTGCGATAAGGATTTTCGCTCGATGATATCGCACCAGCGCGTTCTCCGGCGAGAACTGGATCGCCCGGTGGAACAGCTCGAGCGCCTCGTCGTACTTCATGTACCGTTCCCGCACCTATCAGCGTCGTCCCAGGCGTGCCGTACGCCGTCAGTAATGTGATACTCGCCATGCTCGCGTGACCGCACGTACCATGCCCACGCAGCCCAGGAGGACCGCGTTCTGCGGGTGGATGTCCGACGCCTTCCGGAAGTGGTAGTCGGCAAGACGTAACTTGCTCATCCGCATATAGCACGTCCCCAGGCCGTACCTGTGAGACGCAGAACCAATCGGCATGCGATAAGAGCAACGTGGGGGGAGCACAGCACACAGTCAGAAGCGGGCGCGCGGAAGAGGCAGGAGAAGAGACGCACCAGGCGTTGTAATGTCGTGCATCAGCACGTAATGCGGACTGGAAGAAGTTGATCGCCTTGTTCAGGTCCTCGTCGATCGACTCGTGCCCGCTGAGCGTGTACGCATAGGCACATGTGGGGTCCAGCTGTGCTGCGCGCCGGAAGCATGTCAATGCCTGCGCCTTCTCCTTCTGCAGGGAAAAGCAGTTCCCGACGGCTATCCACGCTTGCGGCGACTTGGGGTCTGTGGAGAGCAGCTCTTGCGCCAGGAATGACAGCCGGATGTTCCTCTGCAGGTGCCACAGCAGCGTCGAATACACCTCCATGTCCCACAGGCGATAGGGTTCGAGAATCCGAACGGCCTCGAACGCACGCTCGGCCTATACGACGAGCAGGGCGTGAGTTAGGGCGCGAAGCCAATGATACTCCGACGAAGCTGACTCACCGGAGGGTACTGCCCGAGTTCGTAGTGCGCCTTGCCCACTATGGCCATCACAGACGCCGAGCGCTGGTGCTGGTGAGGCAGCTTCTCCAGCTCGCTCAGACAAAGTCGGCAATCGTACAACGCTAGTGCCCGCACGGAACTCGCGAACTTGCGCATCACATCGTAGATCTGGTAGTCGGCAACCTCAGTGTCATACGCCTCCTTTGCAGCGCGCTCCCGTTCCGCTGTCCACTCAGCCGACGGAAGGGGCGGCGACGCTTCCGAGTGTGCATCCTGCACGCTGGGTGATACCGGCGCGAACGCCGAACTCGCGCCCCCGGGCTCCTCCTCGAGCCCCGAGTCGTGCGACTGCGATTGTGAGCGAGTCTTGGTGGGCACTCGACGTCGATCACGGGTGGCAGTCTGTATGAGGTAAAACGTCAGTTATACGTTGAACACGATGGCGTGCGGCAGCGATAACGGACCTTTGAGGGTGGCTTGCCTGTGCCGCTCTGCAGCCGCGTACTCCGCCGCGTCGCTGCGCCCACCGCTGCCTTGCCCGCACCGAATACGATGGATCTAGAGGACGCCGCGACGTTCTGAGCAGAGCGACCGGGAGATGAGAAGAGGTTAGCAATCGTCAGGGCCGGGCGTGCGCGTGCCTTTGAGCTTTTCGGACGGTCGTCTGCCGCCGAGGGTACCGCGCCAGCAGACTTGGACGGTTTGAGGTGATGCGCGTCCGCCGCGGCCGTCGAGGGGGGCGCGGGCCGCTGCCGTGCGGTAGACCGCAGCTTCTTGGTCACTGGGCCCGCCTCATCGGCTGAAGAAAGGGGACGCACAGCTGGTGGTTGAACCGCCAAGTTGGCTGGTTGAGACCGGCTCGCGCGCATGGGGATCTGAAATGACGGCTCGCCGTAGAACGAGGAGTCGGCGGTCGCGCTGCGATGAAGATGTATGTTAGTGTGACGTCAATAATTGGGTATCTAACAACTAACATCGAATCTCGTGGTCCAGCGGCTGCGTCCATCGCCTTCAGGCCGGGCTTCCAATCGTGAAAGAGGTTACCGGCACTGCCAGCTTCAGGCGTGAAAAATCCGGCACCTGTTGCAACTGGTACAGGTCTACTGGGGCCCTCCTCCCCAGGCTTCTGCAATACCGGCTCCGGTCGCGGAGGGAAGAGGTTGTCTATAGGAGGGACATCGCCTATAATCACATTTTGCATGAGTGTTAGCCATTCGCACGGCGGGCAAGGGTACGGGCTGACTGCGAGAGAATGTGCAGGAAAAGTGTGGTCTCTTAGGCACTGATGAACGCTACGGCAATGCATACATTTCCTGCGCATTTCTCGGGAGGCGGCCTGTATACTTGCCCATCGCGTGACATCAATAGAAACGCACCGATTGCACAAAGACCTTCAAACGCCTCCCAAATCATTGGATTGAGCGCGAGCGCCTGGCGGTAGCTCATCGCGGCGCTCTCGTGCAGATTTCCCTTGAGCGCACTGTTCCCAGCCTGGCAGCACAGGGCCGCGGCATCCGGAAACGCGTTCGCCGTGCGCTGGCCCATGGATCCTACGCGAACGTAAGAAGTGCGACGCGCGGTAGGAGCCACAATGAAATACGCACGCGTCGGTACAAACGAGTTGTCCCGCAGGCAGCCCTCCAGTGCTTCTCGCGCCTGTCTGTGCCGCCCAAGCTTCATGCAGCATTGCGCGAGGACGTGGAGGCAGCCGGTGCAGCCGGCCCCCTTCGCGGGCACGTTGACTAGTCTGTGGGCGGAATGTGGCTGGCCGGCTTCGATCAACACAGTGGCATATAGGTGTCGCGCGTCGTGGTTCTGGACGTCCTCAACGAAGTATCGCTCCGCGTAGAAGAGCGCAGACTTGTGCAGGCCGGCGTCGAGTAGAGACCAGATGAGAGCGCCATATCGCTGACATAGCGGCTGTGTTATTGGAGGACCAATGATGGAATCGCGCTGCATGGCGTGGTGCGGTTAGCGCATAGAGCGTGTGTTTTTGGTTCCGCGCGTCGTGTGTGGTGTCTATGGCGCGCGCGATGGCGAGGGTGTGAGGTAAAGGGAGGTGGTGGGGGAGTGGCAAGGTGCGTTGAGCGGTCAACCAGCTGCAGCCATCTTCGCTAACCAACCGCGTCTATGGTCACGTGGCTTCCCGGGTCACAATGTGACGCCGCGGTGGCTAAGTACAAGGAACTGCGCGCTCGGAGGTAGAGTCCGCCCAACAAGGTTCACAACAAAGCATGCATTCCCAGAAGATGCCATGCCGCTGATAGATGGACTGCCTTTGAGTACTGTATCATTGGCGGGTGATGTACAATGCAGCAAGAGTCATTATATACGCTATGCAGCCGTCACTCCTTTCTACTTTCCTTCCTCTAGTGCCCGTGGGGATCTTCACCCTTTTGCTCTGCAAGGGACAACGGCGTGAGCACGGAAGAAACGAAGAGCCTGGAATCGTTACTCACCGGGGACGCACTGAATGGCGTCATCTATCCGCAGGATCGACACCGCCGCCTCGAAGGCAGACTTCAAACTGCGGACCTTGCTCACGGTCGGCTCCAGGACACCCGCCCCGACGTTGTCCCGGACCTGTCCGTTGAGCAGATCAAGGCCGTACCGAAGGAGGGCCTTCTTGGGATCGCCGATGGGCGCATTTTGCGCGGCGTTGTGGTACGAGCGGAGCTTCGCAACCAAGTCGGTCGAATCCTTCGCCGCGTTAACCGCAAGCGTCTTGGGAATGACGAGAAGTGCGCTGGCGAACTCCGCAATCGCGAGCTGTTCCCTCGAGCCCTATAAGACGCATGTTAGGGTTTTCTAATGCACTGATTGAGCTGGAGTAAAAGACTCACTAGAGTCGTCGCAAAGTTCTCTAGGTAGATGCTGAGGGCTGTCTCGACGGCGCCACCGCCGGGAACCACGGAACCACTCTCCAGGGTCCGTTTGATGATTGACAAGGTGTCATGGAGCGCACGCTCCATTTCGTCGAGCATGTAGTCGTTCGCGCCGCGCAACACAATGGAAGCCGAGCTGACGACTTTCGTGCCCTTGATGAGGATGAGCTCGTCGTCAGAGATGCGCTCCTGAACAACCTCGTCGGCGTGGCCGAGGAAGCTAGCCTCGAAAGACTCGTCGCCCTCAAGGTTGGCAAGACTGGAGACCAGAGTACCGCCGGTCGCCTTCGCGATGCGGCGCAAGTCCTCCTTCCTACACCTGCGGACAGCCATGGCACCAGCCTCCACGAACTCCTTCAGGCAAAGGTCATCGATACCCTTGGTCGTAAGGACGACGTTGGCACCAGCAGCCAGGATTTTGCGGATCCGCTCGATGGTAATCTCAGACTCCCTGAGGTGTGTTTCGTGAGTAGCGTATTTGCGTTGAATTCTGAGGCTACGTACCGCTTGCGGATGTCTTCGAGCTTTTCGACATCGTCAACGAGAATTTGAACACCAAGTTGCATGCGGGCCTTCATCAGGTTGATATCAAGGCATGCAATCTTTGCGCCCGTGATACGCTTCTTCATCGCTATTCAAAATACTGTCAGAGTTGCACAGGAAGAGGCTAGGATATAAATCATACCCTGGCTGGCAACAGTGCAGTTCAGCGCGTAGCCTTTAACAAACAAGGACTCCCGTGCACTCCTTCCATGCGCCTTCAGGACATTCACGGCCTTGACGGGGTATCTGATGTCGCCACGGGAGTTAATAGTCTTCACCGCCAACATCGCGTCCACAGCCATGGGCGCAAACAAATCATCATCGCTATCTCGCTCATTAGATCTTGATTGTCTTTTTAACAGGCATAAACACACTCACCCTCCGATGATTTTGCTCGACATGCTCGTCTTCGCGGCATTGATGAGCGCCTCACGCCCAAGCGCGTCGACCTTCACGCTCAGCTGGTCCTGCATGAACTTGCACGCCTCCCTGCACGCAAGACGGTACCCAGTGATGATCGTCGTCGGGTGGATCTTCTGCTTGACGAGTTCGTTCGCGCGCCTGAGCAGCTCCGCGGCGATGAGCACGACGGACGTCGTCCCATCGCCGACCTCCTTGTCCTGCTTTTGCGCGAGGTCGACGAAAACGCGCCCCGCGGGGTGCTCGACCGCGAGCAGCCCGAGGATCGTCGCGCCGTCGTTTGAGATGGTCACTTCCTGCATACCGGCAAGCACGGGACGTTATATGCTGCCTCTGGGGACATCGTGGAGGGGGTACGTACACCGATGTTGTCCACGAGCATCTTGTCGAGCCCCATGGGGCCCAGGGAGCTCTTCACCACGTTCGCGATCGTTTGCGCGGCGAGCACTACGCAATTAAGGCCTCTTCAGCAACTTTCCGCCGCGTCAGTAGGCTGAAAACGCACCATTTTGGTCCCGGACATCTTGGCCTGAGACACGGTCGCCTCCAAGGAACACACCGGCACGAGGATCGCGTTGGAACATGTCGTAGACGGTTGAGAGGACGCGGATGAGGCAAGAGCGTAAGAGATCGTGCTTCAGAGATTTCTCTGGAATACGCGGCCGTGCTATGTCCACATTTGGCAATATAGTTCATAAATCTAATTCATTAAGCGATGTTTAAGCGCCGGTCTTCCTCCCTCCTCCCACCACCACATGCGGTCCGCTCGTTCTAGGACACGGGGGTGTAATTGGCATTGCTATTAGGCGAATTATGCCTAAAGCAGGCTAAGAGAAACATGAAACGCTGAACGCCGGAACCTAAGACTCGGACACCGCAGCAGCTATTCAGCCAAGAGCTGCACACTTAGTACTGCAGGACATTGACGGAAAGTGACATGTCGCAAGAATGGCCAGAATTCCAAGGATGATAGAGGTGTAGAATATCGGTACAATTTCTATGATGTACATACAACGTCCATTCGATGTCGGTAAATATTGTCCGTTGCACGAAAGCGAAGTCCGACAAGATCAGGCCTTCGACCAGAACGCTAGTCGAGACTCGCGCACAGGACTCATGAGCCCTGTGGGGATCTTGACTTGTAAGAAGTCCTGGGACGCGCGTTTTGGTGACCTGAGGAGAGACCATCGGCGTGATATAGGCCGCTGTGACTAAACGTTCTGTGAGTTGACATACGACGACCCCAGCATGTATGGACGTACCGTGGTCTCTTCTCGGGGGACTGGAGACGCTGCAGTGCTAACGACGGGCAGAGTGGATTGACTTGCCGCAGGCGAGTCCGCAAAGGGATCCGACGTCGCATTCACAGTCAAAGGCGACACCTGCGGCTCCCTGCCAGTCGTCGTGAAGATAGCGGCCTTCTGAGGCGCGTGGCCCGCATCTGCAATGATGTGCGCGGGGCGGAATGCCCGTACGGTGCGGTGGACAGGCACGCCGGTGTCCGCGAAGGAGTCGAATGATTCAGTGCGGCCCATGCTAGCCATCGACTCGTTCGTGTCGCTGCGGAAAGGGTTGCGCAACTCCATGCCAGATGATGAGCGGCGTTGAAGCATCATACGAGGGCAGGGATTGTCGAGTGGAGGAGCGGAAGGAGGGCGCTGGGCCGGTTGAAGGCTTTGTGGGTGAATCGTAGGCGGGGTGAAGGAGAATGGCGCGAGTATTTCCGGACTCGAGAATCGCAACGGCTCGGGGATTGTATGCTAAATACCGGTTAGCGGCCACTCAACGTCCTAGATCCGCAATAAACTTACGTGAGGGGACATGCTCTCGTCGTCAAAACTGTGGCGGTGGACTATAAGTCGATCCTAGATGTTGATGTGTGCTCAGCGTAAGATCACAGATAGGGGTAAGGTATAGACTTACGCTTGCGTTTGAGTCAGAGGCACCTGGAGCGGTCCTAGGCCGCCTGCTGGACTGCTCGGCTGCTTTCTGTTTCTGGTTTGTGTAAGCCTTTAGCGATCCTAAAGGAAAGAGTCGAGGCTTACAGCAACACGGTTCCTCCTGGCGAGTTCGGAATAGCTACAAGGCGGCTCGTCCGACGAGTCCTTCTTCTTGAAGACACGTTCAAACATGGTGACTGTGCCGGACAGTGAGGTAGTAGGGTGATGGCGGTGTGTTGGGTGGATAGCTGAGGCAAAAGGTGAACTGGAGGCCAGATAGGCCCGTCATATATGCGATGTGAGCAACTTCCGAGCCCCCTGCGCATGCGAACGCTCCGCTGTACATCCGCATATGATCGAGCCCGCCTTCAGGGGTTTAGCTCACATTGGAATATTCTGAACTACTAGATAGGCCAGTCACATATGACAGAACCACGTAGGATATCGGATGTCGAGCAGATACTGCGGCCGATTTCCGAGTCAACATTGCGATATGTCCCGGCAGGGGTGAGCGATTAAAGTCAGAGGATGTGTCGAGCTTGGCTTTCGAAGCGCCGGGAGGCGGGTCAGAGAAACCTTAAACTGGGGTTTGAGTTACGGTCTAACCAGAACGGGATGCGTCAGTGTGACGCGTCGCCGCAGAATGCCGGGCGCTTACCGCAGCTGGTGCCTCGCTGCCGCCACCGCTGTCGAGCGTGTGCACTCGTCTTCCGCTTACCACCATCCAGCCACCATCTGTTGCGTATGTGCTGAAATGGCCCCGATGGATTCTCCTTTGAATGCGGTGAATATTGCTTGAGGTTGGTTGGCAAGCTCGCAGACAGCTGACGGAGCTTTCGCACGACACTTTCTGTGACCACAGGCGCACCAGCATGCTGCGAATGCCGACGATTACCTTGCCCGTGGGCTGCTCATTCCTGCCGCGGAGGAGCATTACAAGGCAGCGGAGGCGTTCCAGGCATGCGTAGATGCCTCTAACGACGACAATGTGCGCCGTTCGCCCTTCAGTCTTCGTTTTGTAACATGCCGTTCTAACTACATCATGTCTGAAATTTGCGATATTTCTCTGGGTTGAAATATATACATCTCCATTGCAGACGAAACGTACCCTTCGAATGCTCCACAATGAACACATGAAGCTGGGTAAGGACCTCCAGCGGCGGATTGCGAAGCTGCGCGAGGAGAACAAGGACCCCGCGCTTCCCCAGAAGCCCACACGCACGGCAAGCTCGAATGCAAATGCAGGACCGTCTTCGAGCCCGAGTGCTGCAATACCCCCTCCACAACCCGTGCCCTCTCCCCCTCCTCATTCTCAAGGCAATCGACTGTCCGATTCACAACAAACGGTTGATGAATCGTTCATGCTCCTAGGTCAAAGGGTACGCGTCGCTTTCCTCCCAGGCTTGTCCATTAGCATAGCCGCTTTCGAACGGTTGCAAACAATGCTAGGATATGTCTTTCCGGTGCATGCATTGCTATGTTTGTTTTGACGAGGATAAGCAGTCATAATTTCGAAACTGACATGAGCCGTCTTCGTCCAGAGCGATCCCGGCGACGCATTCCACCAATTTTGGAAAGCTACCGAAGGCATGCTCGACTACCTTTCCCGCCCCGTCGCATTCGCCACCGCACCCCTTGCGCCGGAAGAACCGCCCCAGCCACCATCTTCGCCTGGCCCGCGACGCGGAGCGAAGACGCGCGACGGGAGCTCGAGCAGCGACACCGATTTCGAAGACCCCATCTCGCGCAAGATATCGAAAGGGATCAGTCTGGTCAAGGCTGCGCATTCGAGGATGCTGACGAAGTACGACTCGGTATACGGTGCAGCTGGTGCCGGGAGTGCGAGTCCTGGTGGCTCAGAGGGAGAGGGCACAAGCAGGACAGGCTCGAGTGTTTTTCCGCCCCCACCACAGCCAAGCCATGCGATTGACCTGAAGGACGATTGGGACGATGATATCCGCGCTTTTGAAGGTACAGCCCTGTGTGATTTACATGCAGGCATAGACACGGGCTGACAGAACAATTCAGACGACGATATGGCGGACTCGTTCTGCCTCATCCCCTCCAAGGCGGACCCAAGTGCGCCGTCGCTAAAGGATGAGAACGCTGCGCTGAAGGCAGAGCTCGAGAAGCAGCGGCAGCAGCTTGCGAACATGGAGCAAGCACTCAAAGTGCGCCAGGAGCAGGACCTGCAATTACGAGACAGCATTATGATCGCGCGGAAGGAGGTGCGTTTATTGCCTCATTCTTACTTCCTTGACACTGACACAGCAGTCCGTTCGGAAGGCGCACCGAGCGATGATTTCCTCCAATGTCCTTCCACGATCAGCCCAGCCGCCTCCAACCGTCGATATCGCAGCTCTCAACATCAACGTCCCACCGCCTGTACCTGCCCCTGTTGCAGCGCTGAATGCGGGACGAGACCGCGATCCCCAGTTGGTGCGCCGCGTCCGCGAGCTCGAGGAAGAAGTACGCAATCTTCGCTCCGAGAACGAGAAGCAGGTGCGTTACCTTCTCTCCCGGCCTGCCTCTTCGCGATGAGAGCGAGATGAGGGAGTGCTTATCGAGGGTGGGGCTGATGTTCGTGAGCGGGTAGAAAGCGATGATTGTGCGTTTCCGGGAACGATGGGAGAAGCTGAAGGAGTCGGCGAAGCGCAAGAAGGAAGCGAAAGCAGCGGCAGAGACGACGAACGTAGTGGGCGAGCGGATCGAGGAGGACCCTGAAGCGGAGGCCGCAGCGGAGCAGGACGATGCGCGGGCGACGAAGGGGGAGGGGTCGAGTGCCGTGGGAGCGTAGTCGTCCAAGTCATGGATAATATCTGGGTCCTAGGAGGGACCTGAGAGAAGAGCGTTGTGTCTTCTTGGCTTATGTGTCCGATCATGTGTTGCTGTTTTGCTTTCTGGACTTGTATCTGTATGTAGTCAGCTGCTGTTCCGTAATGTGTACAGTTTATTGCCTCCGGTCCAATCATTGGTTGCTCTGTCAAATGATAGACACAGGATGTAGAGGGAGATCGAGATCTTCTGAAGTAGTAGAGCGTATGATGGTATTCGCCGAGCACGGCCGACCAGCAGGACTACTGTACACTGTTTATACACCTCTACCGCCCACAGGTCAACTAGTAGTATTTTTCAAAACACATGCGGGGACTTACTATGTCATCTTCTCTTCTCATCTACTGCATCCCTATGCAAACAAGCCATAGTCGACGATGCGCAATGAACGCGCTGCAGTGTTGAATGCGTCCCGAGCGGTGCCCCACTCCTTTTCGGTGATTGCGTCCCCGTCCGAACCGGTCATGGGCGCATTCATAGTCATGACCAGGTCGACCTTTTTCTCGGATACACGGTAGAGCGCAAGCAGGATGCGGACCTCATCCGCCGTCGCCGTGTTGAACTTCTGCACGGCCTGGGTGCCGTAGAGAACGGTCGGGTTCGGAGTGGCACCCTTGGAATCGTTGGAGACCTCGACAGCTTCGATCACGGACTGTGATTTGGCGTCGTTGTCGTGCGCTAGCGAGTCAAAGTGCTGACTTGAAGAAGGTGAGACTGGGAGTCCGAGACGGCAAAATGCGCAGGCGGACGTACCCAGCTGCTTCCCGAAGGTCGGTGGCGGAAACGCTCTCGAGCACCTCAACGATGATGCTGATTCCTGAGTCGGGAGACAAGTAGACCTCTTGTGTGTCTGGTACTTGTCGAAAGTTTCTGTGCAAGCCATGAGGATGGAGGACCCGGGTTTTGTTGAAGAGACATACGATGCATCGAGGAACGTTACGGGCAATGTCGCGGTGATCGCACCCCCAAAGAGTTCTCTTGAGCCAGACATGATATCAACGATGAAGGCGAGGGTGAAGAGCAGAGTTCGGTGATCAGCTTGTGGTATTGGAGAAAGCCATCGGAGCCGTCAATATTGCTGCAGTCAGACTCGCAGTCCGAGGCGGAACCTCGGCGCGGAGGACAGGCATGGGCACGTGCTCGCAATCGACGCGTTCGACGCGTCTCGCGTCTCGTCTTTGTTTGCTTTCCACCACCATCTCTGCCACGCCCCTCCGCGTTTCTCCTCCTTGCCGACGCGTTCTCCTCTGGCTATGGACTACGCTCGGCGCACGACCATGCAACCACACGGCGACCCATACGCCAACGCGCGTTCAAACCTCCCTGTACCTTCCACAGTCAAGAAGAGCACCCATGGCCATGGTCGCATGTCTCTCGCTGGACCCGCTATGCGCGCGCCATATCCTATACCACCTGGAACCAACCCAAGACAGTCTCTCATGCGTTCTCAGAACGTCAATCCGCTTCTGCAGAGCGCGAGCAAGCCGCAGAACTTCGGGCGTACACCTATGCGCAGGTGAGTGTCTGGTCCGGATCTAGTTTCTCCCCCTCGGCCTCGTCGGTTCGCGACCACGCATATACAAGGTGCGGATGTAAGAATAGAGAAGTCAACTCGTCTATCTCCCGAAATAAGCCACTCGCATGACGAGGCCATGTGCTATTAGAACCAGGTTGCCGGTAAAGTATATCGCAACGTTTCGTATTGATGGTTGAATGTCGGCTCATTGGTCTCCTTCTCCATTCACTTCTCCTTGCCGTCCTTATTCGCCGACCGATATGTATACCCGAAGAACTCTGTCGATACGTTCTGCCGGGTTACAATGCAATCCGGAGCTGTCGAGGCCCATATTGGAAGGTCTCATGTTTCGTACGCGAGTTCTGAATTGACTTGCTTCGACCGGCGGTACCTCGTAAACGTGGCTGACATGTACCTTCCCCCTTTTTAGTACGAACCGAAGGGGGTCTATGTGGCAGGGCGGGAGCCAAGGTTCCGCGCCTCCATCTAGTCAATCGTATGCAAAGGACATACGACCTCTCCGAGACCGGTCGTTCCAGGCCAAGATGCGCCAGGACGTTGGGCAGTTCCTCATGGGGACCGGCTTCGAGGTCGCGCCGCAAATGTTACAGAACATCACCGGCAAGGATTTCCGAGCCGTTTTTCAGCATCTCATCGAGTGTTTGGATCCTATTTGGTCGTTCAAGTCCGAGCAGCGTTTTGAAGAACAGTTCATGCAGGCCTTGAGGGCCATGAAGTACCCTTACATTGGCCAGATAGATCTCAAGTGGCTACCCACCCCCGCTGCGATGCATTCTTGGCCATCACTGCTAGGCATGCTGCATTGGTTGGTAGAGCTTTGTAGGGTAAGCCCTTTTCGGTCTCTAGCTGCTGCCCTGTTTGCTAGGAAGCCCATTGATCAACCTACTTCTAGGCCCGCGAGCACTACATGAATAGCGGACATCCTACACTGCAGGAGCCGACATTGATACCAGACGAGTTCGACGACATCAGCCACCATTTGGCCCTTGCTTTTGACCATCATGCTGGCGCATATGTGGACTTTCTCCAAGGGCAAGACTCATTCCCTGAGCAAGAAAAGGTGCTGGAGGATCGCTACGGTATGCCCTTCGTGCACCTCGTAGGCGCCCTGCTGACTCCCTTGACAGCGAGGAAGGATGCCAGAGTCCTGGCAGACCTGGAGCAACTGCGGGAGAGGCTAACTGAAATCCAAGCCGAGTGGGAACACCTCAAGAAGTCGGCGGTCAGTATGACGCCCCAATCCCGAAACTGTGGTTGACACCCGCTGATGTCGGATGTAGCCGCCGTTCGAGGAGCTCAAGAAAGATAACGGGTCGCTACGACGAGACAAGTTAAAGTTCGAGGAAATCCTGCGACGCTTCGAAGAGCGGAAGCAAAAGTGGATGCGCCTCGTGCAGGACGAGAAGACCGAGCTCGAATACAACAGTCGGTAGCCTATTACCCCGTCCTCCCAAGCGCGCGCTGAACTCTATACCCCACAGTCGCGAGCCTGGAGAAGATGCATGCGGAGGATCAGCGGCTCGCGGATATCGTCAAGGTTCAGAACCTGTCACCGGAGGAAGTCCTACGTATGAACTCTGAGCACGAGAGTCTCTCACGCGAGCTCGAGTCGCTGAAGCACAAGATCGCGGAGACGTCGCAGGTGGTCGTCCGCCTCGAGGTATCGCTCACCCGCAAGGTATCGGACGCGGAGGAGGCGCTGGACCAGTACACTTCCCTTCTATCCACGCTCGGGCTCTTCCCCCCATTGGCTCCGCCACTCGAGGATGTTGACCTCACGATCGACCTGCACTCCGCGGCGTCAAACCCTCAAGGGCTTCTCAGTGGCGCTGACATCCGCAAAGTCGTCAAGCCGACTCTCAGCCGCATAACCGAGATGAAACGCACCGCCCATGCGGAGATCGAAAGCGAGCGGATTCGCGTCGACGATGAGCTGGACCAGCTTACGTTGGAGTGCGAGACCATCGAGGAGGAGGCGCTGGAGGTCATGAACAAGACAAACGCGCTGAACGACCAGGCCGACGAGCTCCGTGAGGTACGCCGTCCGTCCCTGTTTACCATATCTCTGTGGCATTTTGAATGCTGACCGGGTGCGATGCTTCATTATCATCGGTTGATGCAGGCCGCGCAGCAGGAGGGCCTCGTCAGCAATGCTGAGGCATCGCGCCTCGAGCGGGACCTGGCCGCTGCGCGTACGGCGGCGATGGCCAACGGCGTGGGCGTGAAGTCTCGGCTACAGGCCTTGCAGATCGCGTACGTACACTCCCTGTCAACCTCCTCATTCGAGCATTGCATTTTCCTTGTCTTGCGCTGTCAACGGAAACAGCTTGGCTGATGGCGGTGTTGGCAGGTATCGCGAACAGGTCGAGAAAGTGAACCGGCTGAAGGAGGACACGGTGCGGGCCGTGATCAAGAACAGCAGCGAGGTTGTCGCGTTCAAGGACGAGGTGTCGAAGCAGCTCCAGTACCTCAGGGACTTTGCCGAGGCGAATTAGCGGGGAGCGGCGCCGCGAGTCGCTGCATTTGCCGGACCTGGCAAGCCCATACCCTGCGCCTTCGCTCCTCTGCCCGCGATGGCCGCGCGCTCCACGATCTATCCTTATGCGTCTGTTCTGTACTGGTACGCCATTGTCGCTTTGGTGCTTCATCCACCGTCTGTTGTATTACATTGATTTGTTGCGATGCTGCCGATGCGAACGACCCCACCGGCGCCTCGGAACCTTTTTGAGTTCCCAGCAAGAGGACGCCCTGGGAAGAGCTGGGAATGGATGATGGATGAGCAACATCATGCCCACGTCCCTCCGCCCTGAACGCCCTTCCGTGCCTGTGCGTGCTTTGCACTCGGAGCCGGTCGCAGGCTTCGCACAGGAGATACGCATGCCGGTGTGCGCCTGTGTGCTTTTTGACGTCTAGGCCGATGAACCTTCGCAAGCCCGACTTCGCGCGTGCCATGGACGAAGACTGGAAAACTGTGTTACGCTGGTGGCGCACACACGGGGCGCCTGCAACATCCCAGCGCCGTATCCGAGCGCGTCGGCCATCTGCCATCTGTGACACCGCCCCGAACGAGTGTTCCCAAGTTCGCTGCATCTCCGACCATCCGAGTCCGAGCCGCTGCGGCCGCGCGCTGGTGGCTGGGCGGCGGGCAAGCTGCGACACTAGGAGTGTGCGAAATGGCCTCTTCGAGCCTCATCTCGACGCTCTCCGGCCCTCGCGTTCGAGGCTGTCGCGTCCGTTGTGTGTCGCGCGCAACAGCCGACAATTCATCTTGCATACCGCATTAGTGCTAGCGCGCCAGCGATAATTCCGGCGTCGGAGTCATGTGCACAGCCAGGGGTGTTGGCCACCGGGCCTCGCGTGACGGCGCCCACATCGCTCCTTCGTACTTGCGCCGCCTGCGACAACTCGACACCGTCGCGGCTCGACAGACTTGCGCGTTTCGTACCGGACCATGCCTAATTCGCGGAGCGCAGGGATCAGGCCGTCGCGTTCCCTCGCCTGCCCCACTTGCTGTCCTCACAGCCTAGGCCCAGCTGTACAACTTCATTTCGGGCGATCCCCCCCGCGGGGCATCGGCGCATCGCTGCCCTGCGCGCACGCCGTCCTGTGGATTCGGGACGGCACCTGCCACGGATACCGAGCTTCCGGCGAAACCTGGCCTGAAGGTGCAGCGCCCCGCCAGATCGGTATGGGAGCGCGCCCTGCCGTGTGCGCGCAGGCGGCGCAGACGGTGTGAAGATCGCTCTCTATCCGCTCGCACCCATGGGCGCGGGTCTGGCGCACGATCCCGGGCCCCTCCTCTGCGTCTCTGCGCCCGAGTCCCGTTATCTTGGGGTGAGCGCTGCCGGCCCCGGACGCGCACGCGGGTGCCGTAAGAGGTACGCTGCTTCGCTCGCTCGCCACATTGTGCCGTACTCACAGTGGGAAGGCGCATCGATCCGTATCTTCCGTCTGCGCAATCTGTTTGTTCGAGAAATGACGTGCGTTGGCCTATCGCGTTACACGTTGCGTTGCGTGTTGCGATGTCTGAGCTGTTCCTCGCCTCATCGGGCTCGCGCACTCCTTAGACCGGAGGGTGCGAGTGCGACGAGAGCGGGGCGGACCCCGTCGGCACGCCCGTGGACGTCTGTCAGATCTGCGTGCAGGCGGGGGCGGTGGAGGCGTGAAGTCATCGTTGATACAGTGAGCGCGCCGAGGTTTACTGCACGCGGGCTTCCTATTCGCCCGTGGAATAATCGGAAGCTGTGGGAGCGCAGAATGGGGCATTCACACCGCGGAGCTGTGCACACTCCCCCCGGACGGGTGTGTGAGTTTCGCCCAGTCCGGGTGCGAGGAGTGATCTCCCGGGTTACCATTCTCTGGCGTGCCCTTCCCGGGGGCTAACGCCCAAGATGGACGTGCACGATCTCACACTCCGTGCCTGCCTCGCGCTTGCGTTGTGGATAAAGGCCGGCGGGACTTTCGTCGGACAGCGTACCTCCCCTCCCGTCCCGGGTAGCATCTCATATACCGACAGAGCTACTCTTCCTCGGACGTCACCCCCAGCTGCTGCACTGATGTCGTCAGATTCCAGCCCGAGAGGAGCCGCCCCCGCCTACGACGACGCTGAGAAGGGCGTCTCCGACTCCGTCGTCGTCTACCCCGTCGACAAAAAGCCCGCTGCTTTCCCTGTTGACGAGAAGAACACCGTCTTCCTCGACGAGAAGAAAGATGTTGCCCCCTTCCAGCCGCCCCAAGTGAAGCGGGATCCCTACGCCCTGGTCAAGGGCGCTCCGAAGAGGGAGGCGACCAAGTTGACCGTCTTCTTGCTTTGGTACAACATGTACCGGTAAGGACATCTTCGCGGTTGATTGCACGGATGCCTCGCTGACGGCTGCGATCACAGTAAACTATTCACGATTGCCTTCACCGCCAACATCATCATGTTCGGCTTCGCCGTGTCTGGCCACTGGCCCTACGCCACTATGTATGCTGGCGCGTTCGCCGTCGCGAACTTCAACACGGCGTTGCTCGTGAGGAACGAGATTTTCGGCCGTTTCCTGTATCTGTTTTGCAACACCTTCTTCGCCAAGGTAAATTGATCTCATATATGAAAAGAAGCAGCCGCTAATCATCTTCCGCAGTGGGCTCCTCTGTGGTTCCGTTTGACCTGCACCAATGTGCTCCAGGTTCGTGATGTACGACCTTCAGTCTACGGGTGTGATTCTCATCGCGACTACAGCACCTTGGCGGTATCCACACTGGCTGCGCCGTCTCTGGTATCATCTGGATCACGTACAAGGTGGTGAACACCTACCGCAACCTGGTCAACGAGAACAACGCCATCCTCGTGGTTGGGCTGCTCACGAATGTGACGCTTATCGTCACCGCCGTGGCGGCGTTCCCCTGGGTGCGCAACAACCACCACAAGTATGTTTCCTAGCTTTCATTCACCTCGCTTTTTGTTGACGGTTCTTGCGTAGCGTCTTCGAGCGCAACCACCGTTTTGCGGGATGGACGGCGCTGTTCTTGACCTGTGCGTAAAAATAGCCATTGGTGTTTTTCAGTTGACTCAATGAACCTACAGGGGCGTTCACTATCATGGGCGACCTCTACCACCCCAACAACAAGTCTTGGGTACCGGATGGCCGCCACCTCGTCCGTCAGCAAGACTTCTGGTATGTCATGCTCATGACCACCTGGATTGTTCTTCCTTGGATCTGCACCCGCGAGGTTCCCGTCGACATTGAGTTGGTACGTACACTTCGCAGACGCGGCCGAAAATCGACGCTGACGTGTTTCCACAGCCGTCGCCCAAGGTCGCTGTCGTGCGCTTCCGCCGTGGGATGCAGCAGGGCCTGTTGGGCCGCATCAGTCGCTCCGCCGTGAAGGAGTACCACGCATTCGGCATCATTTCGTGCGTGTCCCCTTGTTCCCACTGTGAGGATTTCTCACTGATAGCCCGTGCGCGCCGACAGGGAGGGCCCCCACGCCAAGTACCACTACATGATTTGCGGTGTGCAAGGTCCGTTACCGTTGCCGCTTGCGCTCCATGAATGGCTGCCGACCTGTCATTTTGCACAGGCGATTTCACACGCAGTCTCGTCAACGACCCGCCCAAGACCTTGTGGACGCGCGAGCTTAAGGTGCGCCGCTTCCCCATTGCGATGACTCTACCATCACGCAGCAGGCTTGACTCACACACGCATCACAGTTCGCGGGCATTTCAAACACCTCCACTCTGTACAAGCGCGGAATCCGTATCTGCACCGGCACCGGCATTGGCGCGGCTCTCTCGACATGCATCCAATCGCCGAACTGGTGAGCGCGTCTTCCCACCGGCGCTGCGTAATTATAGCGCTGACACACCGCTTCCCCCCATCGCGCAGGTTCTTGATCTGGATCGGTACGTGGACGCGCATTCTCGGCGCTGCGGCGCGTAAGGCGGCAGAGATTGACTTTATGGCTGCGTGCGAACACAGGCTCCGACCAAGAGAAGACGTTCGGTCCGACCATCAGCGGGCTCATCCACCGGCACGTCGAGCCCGAGCGGTTGCTGCTCTGGGACTCCAAGGCACGCGGCGGACGCCCCGACACGATGAAGATCCTGAAGGACGTGTACAAGTCGTGGAACGCGGAAGGTACGCGCGCGCATAACTCGTATCTGCTCCCACCGCACAGGCCCTGACCGCGCTCGCGCCCGCTCGCAGTCGTCTTCATCACATCTAACTACATCGGTAACACGGAGATGATGCAGGTGGGTAGTCTCGGCGGCTGTGCTGCAATGTCCGTCCTCACCGTGCTCGTTCGCAGGGATGCAAGGAAGAAGGGATCCCGTGTTTCGGCACGCTCTGGGATTTCGTGAGTGCCCCCCTTCCCTGCTTGCTGTCTGCTCCCCGCGCAGCGCTAATCGCGTGCCTCCCACAGTGATCTCGCGGCGACAACACCACCGCGTCATGCACCCACGGCCCCGTACGATACAGATGTCACGACCCGCACAACACAACACACCGCTTCCCCTGGGCGTATCTATCCCGCTTTATCATAATAGACAGCGAGAACAATAATATATTGGGCGCGCTGTTGTACTAACTATCCGCCCGCACTGTACATACCGCAACGCACATACCGTATCTCCTGTATCCTGCATCTTCCCTGGTCACGGTCGGACACGTCTAATAGAGTTTATGTTTCACGTCAGACGCGCCGGGGGCCAGCGTTCGGAGGGCAGGGGATGCGTGTCGCCGGGTCCGGAGGTATTACGAGCGCAGACAGGACGCGGCGGGGGGCACGGAGGCATGGAGGATCCATTCGCCCAATCACACCTTATCCGCCCCACCGTTCGAACGTCTACACACACGTTCTGTGCGACAATTTTCTAGGGTGCACGCAGCGGGCGGCGGGGCACGCCCCCGTATATCTCACCTGTCTCACGCCGGGAGCCGCGTCCGTGTGAGCCGGTTCCGCATATGGGACAGTCGGGACAGGGTGGTCGACGCGCGGAGGCGAATCAGGACGGGGGGGACGGGAGAAGGGCTTGGCGGCCACGCTATATCGAGGCTCGACAGCAGCGATCGTGTACAACGTCCGCGCACACCACGGAAGCACACAAAAGAACCACCGCGCTCACCTCCATCCTCCTCGGCACCTCCCCTGCGCCACGCTGGCCAACCAGAAGCGTGCGCCCGAGGTCCCGTGCAGCGGCTGCGGCCGCACACTGTGGTCTATGGATAGTACTCCTCGAGAATCCGCCCGCGCTTCCCCATCCATGGCCACCGACGGTTTGGGTTGATAGGGGTGTTGGGCTCGAGCTTCCAGCCACGTCGAGCAAGTTCGACGACGAGGCGGGCGATGTTGCGTGTGTCCTGCAGGTCCAATTTGGGTGCATATGTGAGATAGCGCACGGCGAAATGACAGATGCTCAGACTGCGGGGGTGGAGCACGGGATACTCACGTCGATGCCGCTGTGCGGTCGGCCCTCGAAAGGCTCCAGCCCGAGCGCATGCAGCTGGCGCGGGATGGAGAGCGTCACCCGTCGTGGGAGGGGAAATGCGCCGGACTGCGGCTAGAATGTTAATTTACTGCGGTGTATGTATGATGGCGCAAGCCGGGGGACATACAGGTCGACGTTCTGCGCTTCTGTCTGCGCCTGCCGTCGCGCTCGCGTGCCATTCGCCCACTACGCGACGGACGTCGACGACGTCGGAAGTGAGCCACGCGGGTGGGGCAATCTGTGGCGGCCGTGGTCAGGAAGCTAGGAAGCCCCGCGAGCACACGCGGGTGGACCTGCCTTGGAGATGAAGCATTGCTTCACCACGAAGTCGCGCACGTCGTACGGACCGTCACTGCAGAAGCAGAAGCGGGCGAGGCGGCGCCCCGTCGCGTCGTCGATCAACTGGTGTTTCGCGAGGAAGCCGCGGAAGTGCTCCAGGACTTCGGGGAAGGGCGGCGCGTGGTCAACCTGCTCCTGTAGTGTGCGGTCGCACGAAGACCACATGAGTAGGAGCTATCGTTAGCACGGCGGCCTCGCCTGAGAGCTGCGAGACAAACCTGGGTTATGCCTGTTAAGGTCGTGCAGAAGTCGGAGAGCTGAGGGCGCCATGTGGGGCGCACGAAGCTACGGAATTCGTCGACAACTTCGAGCTCCTCTCGTGCTTTCCCTTTGGTGTCTCGGTCCTTCCAGCGTAGAAGACACACTGGCCATTCCTGTTTGGGTCACGCATGAATGGTATCGCAGTGGGCACACGACGGGCAATAGCCTATCTTGTTCCGCCCCGGGGAACGAGCAACTCCACTGCACATCTGCCAACACCGTATTCTGTGTATGAACATGTGGACGGTGGCGACTGTGATCGTGACTGTGGTACAGTTCTAGCGGTCGTTTGGGGCTGCTCTCGGAGGGGATGATGGAGCTCTGCCCGTCGTGTGCATAGGTCGAGCCTAGTTATTACTTACTATGATCTCGTTGGGGTAATCAAATCCGGCGCCCTCTACACAAGTGGCCTCTACATCGAGCACCAGGAAGGCGTCGTAGGGCTGCTGCTTGTTGCGCTTGTACATGCTGTCCTTGATCCTTTGAGATAGCGACTCGTGGGTGATAGGATTGGTGGGACTGGGAAGAGGTGCTGCCCCTCGTGCAGGTGCTCTACTTGGGTCGCGGGCGGTACTTGTCTGTGCTTCACACGAAGGGTTCTCTAGGCGCCGTTTCGCCGCCAGGAGATAGAGTACGAGGAGGGTGGCGGCGAGGAGGACGAGAGGGTGCTGAAGATAGCGAGAGAGACATTCCAGCGCTGCACGCGACCTGGACTCAGACATGGCCAGTGCGACAGCGAACGAGCGAGACAGCGCGGGACGCTAAGACAACCCTGTCCACCTCCAATCCCCGGCGATACAGTGCGGTCTTCGGGGTCCTCCGCTGTATCCAGCGAGCCAAGCCAGAGAGAGACCTCCATAGACACCTCCTCCAAGGCAAGCCAGAGTCGTTCTGCGAACCCAGCAAGTTCGTGGACCAAAAGAAGAAGCGGTTTGATGAGCCGAGGGCGTTGAGTAGCGTTCCACATGCTCAGCCGCGGTGCGGCAGGCGCGGCGCAGACGCCTCTGTCGCCGTCGCCCTCATTGGCCAGCGGCTCCCGGCCCGCTCGTCTTGTGCGAAAGAAATTGCATACCGGGCGCCTCGCAATAGTCCGGCCTCCGCTCTCGCGCAATTCAAGAGTGCACTCATAAAGCTCTTCCCGCACTTTCTCCTACTTTCCCTCTTCGCCCCGCAGTGGCACACATCTCAGCCCACGGGGATACCCTTTGACCACCATGGCAGCACAACGCGGTGACGACCTCGAGGACGACTTTGTTCCCGACGACCTGGTGGCATTGTCCGACGAAGACTCTGACCTCCCTAACGCCGACGACATTGCAGGCCTCCTCAGCGCGGACGAGGACGGCGACAATGGTGCGCAGGCAAGCCAGCCACCCAGCGAAGCAGCGATGGAGAAGAAGCGCAAACGGAGAGCAAAGGAGAAGGAGAGGAAGGCGAAGGTGCGGTCCCTTCGTCTCAGCGTTACGAGAACGCTTCTCACTGTGTATGCGCGCTGGATAGAAGCGGAAATTGCAAGAGACCCTTGAACCCGTAGAGCCTGTCTCAATAGCTGCACAACCGCCCGCTGTGCTAGCAGAATACATCAACTCTATGCAAGCCAAGACATTTAACGAAATGTCCGATATTGAACTGGCCGACGTCCAAATACCGGGTGTGCACATACGTTCTCACTGTGTAGTTTCGTATTGAGTGTTAACGCATAGACAGAGAGTGCTATAGCGGACACCACTATATGGGCGGGATCGAGGAGCTTGGACCAATTGGTGGACTTCATCTCCAAGGGTACGCTGCCACACTCGTGTGCCCCGGGTTCCAGGACTTACCCACGAACCTACAGCGCTGCCCAAACTCCATACTCGCATGTCGCAGAGACCCAAAAACAATGGAGCACCAACGCTCCTATATGTGGCTGGGGCGGCCCTTCGGGTGGCGGATGTTACCAGGGTGCTTAAGGACAAACACCTTCGCGGAGAGAAAGGCGGAGACGTTGCGAAGCTATTCGCTAAGCACTTCAAGCTTGAGGAGCACGTCGCGTACCTGAAGAGGACCAAGATCGCTGCAGCAGTTGGAACGCCAGGCAGGCTGGGCAAACTGTTGTGCGATACGGGTGCGTCTGTGTTTCACTATATCAGTCAACATGTTCTAACAGACTCCATCTCGCGATGCAGATGCTCTTGCGACGACCGCTCTGACCCACATCATTCTTGACATCTCGTATCGAGATTCCAAGAAGCGGACGCTTTTGGACATTCCGGAGACACGGAACGAGGTTTTCCGGACAGTTCTTGGTGCGCCGAAAGTCCTCAACGGCTTAAGGCAGGGGACAATCCAGTTAGTATTATTCTAGACGGCTCGCTACCCACATCATTCCCCACCCCCCACACGTCCCCTTACGGCACCTACAGGTCTGCAACAGGCCTCCATAATAGTCGGGTGTATGATACAGCGGAATATATAGTGCAAGGGGAATCAGAAACCCTTCGGGTTTGTCCTCAGGGTCAACTGTAAACACGTGAGCGTCCAGACGAGCTGCCGATGGATAGCTGGAACGTACCCTCGTCCACTTGGGCACTTTGTGAATACCCTTGCGGTAGCCCTTGGCGTGTGGTGAGAAGACGGTGTACTTGTCTCTCGCTGGCATCTCGTGTTCTTTCGGGAGCTCGAGGGCCTTAGTCTGTTCGCACAGAGTTCAGACACATCGAGCGTAGCTTAGTTCGCGGACACGTACCAAGGCAGCGCACTCTACTCCGCTCTCCTTCACGGCCTCAATCACGGAGTCGACCAACTTCAGGCGAGAACGGACGTTCGCCTTGCGCGTGCGCGACAATTTCCATGGGGTCTTCCTGTTCACACCGGCGAGTTCTGGTCAGTACTACACCATGCTAAGCGGTCGAGCGTTGGCACGTACCACAAGAGACCAACCATGCTCGGCTGCGTAGCTCTAAAGGCCCCAAACATGCTCGCACACCGCGTTCAAGAGGAAGTTATGGCCGCTGGCCTGTCCGAGGTGTGGACAGTCGAGGGTCGAGGTGGACGTGCACGAGAAAGGGAAATTCTGCTGACTAAGCGAGCGCGCGCTCCCTTCAATTGGCAAGCGCCCAGCGCCCTCAGGCGCGCCCGTCAGCGCGGTTGCACCCGCTTGCTCAGAGCCTCCGCCATCCTCACCACACCCGACCCCCTTCTTGCTTGTTATCGGGCAAAAAAATGAGCGTAGCGACGCAGAGTATGCCGCCGCCACCGACGCCGGCGTTGAATGGCAATGGGGTCGTCGGGAAGCCTGCAGATGAACTGAACGGAGCGAAGGAGCCCAAGTACGCGAGTGGGCTCATTCTACCTCCCCCAGAGATCAAATGTGAGTGCCCAACCTAGGCAAAGCGTGATAAACCACAGCTAAGCTCATGTTTGGGGGAACGGCAGCCGTCATCGACCGCACCGCGCAATTCGTCGCGCGCTCGGCGAACCCGCCCCAGTTCGAGGAGAAGATCCGCGAGAACCAGCGTGGGGACCCCAAGTTTGCGTTCCTCAACCCGGCGGACCCTTACCATGCTTACTACAGACACCGCATGGACAAGGTCGTCCGCGGTGAGCTGGAGGAGGAGGCCGCCCCGAAGGAGGAGAAGGCCCCGGAGGAGGTCGTCGAGGCCGCCCCCGTGGACATGGGCGAGGAGCCCCCCGTGCCCGACTTCATCCTGAACATCCCGAACATCAGCGCGATTGACCTGTGCGTCCTTTACTCTTACCATGTGAGTTTGTGGCGCGCTGCTAACTCGGGTGTGGCGTACGTAGGGACATCATGAAGCTTACCGCGCTGTTTACGGCGCGACGGGGGCGTCCATTCCTCGCGGCACTATCGACACGAGAGGGGAGGAATTATCAATTTGACTTCCTGCGGCCGACGCACTCGTTGTTCGGGTACTTCAACAGGTTGGTGGAGCAGTACTCGAGAGTCCTCCTCCCTAGTAAGGAGATGCTCGCGCAGCTTAAGGAGCGCACGCAAGACGGTGCGCGGTGGAAGGATCTCGAGCTTGCGCGGAAACGCGCGCGTTGGCAACAGATGAAGGCGGAGCTGGACAAGAAACGTGAAGACGACAAAGAGGCCGAGAGGAGTGAGTTTGGACCTATTCTTTCTGCTCGCCACAAACGCTGACTGTCTCATCTCAGCTGCATTTGCTGAAATTGATTGGCACGACTACGCCGTCGTGCAGACGATTGAGTTCACGGCTGCTGACGCCAACGCAGAGCTGCCGCCACCCATGAGTGTGCAGGAAGTGGAGAACATGACGCTTGCGCAGAAACGTATGGCAGCGATGATCATGGAGACCACTGCCGATGACATCGAGGCGCACCGTGCACGGCAGGCCGCCGCGGAAGCAGAGGCTGCTGCGGCAGTTGGCGGTGCTGGTGGCGCACAGGACGACGACGACACGGCAATGGAACAAAGCGACGACGAGGATGACGAGGTCAAGGACCGCAAGCGTCGCGATGACGAGGAACGTCGTATGGAGATCGAACGCGCAAGAGCTGTTCAGGCTAGCTCATTGGAAGCGGGCGGTCCGATGAAGATTCGGACGGACTACGTCCCCAAGCGTGAGTGACACCTGCTATACTAAACAACTGATGAGACCGTGGCTCACATACCCCTTCGTCGCAGTCGGAAAGAAGGGCGGCGAGAAGCTCACTACGTGCTCCATCTGTGGGCAGCAAATCCCCGTCGACGAGCTGCAGGAGCACATGCGTATCGAGCTGCTCGACCCGAAGTGGAAGTCGCAGCGCGACGCGCTCGAGGCGCGCAAGGCCCAGGCGTCCGAGCTGCAGCGCGGCGCGAACGTCGTGTCCTCGCTCAAGAACCTCGCGCGTACGCGTGTGGACATCTTCGGCGCGGAGGCGGACGAGGAGAAGCGCAAGAAGGAAGAGGAGGAGGAGCGACTGCGCAGGCGCGAGCGCGAGAAGGTCGTCTGGGACGGCCACACCGCGTCCAAGGCGAACACGGTCGACAAGTTCTCGACGAACGTCAACTTCGACGAGCAGATCGCCGCTATTCATCGTGCGAAGGGTCTGGGACCGTACGTGCTCATACCCAGCCGCTATAAACTGCTTTCCACTGACATATGTCCTACAGACAAGATGCCAATGCAATTGGGCCTGGCATTGGCCCTTCAGCTGCGCCTGCAGCTCTCAACTCACTTCCTCCTGCTCCTCCATCGTTGCCCCAGCCACCCTCAGGAGTCGGTGCTGCCGCGATGAACCCTGCCTACTCCGCCGCCACTGTGTCGTCTGGCCCGCAACCCGCCTCGATGTTCCCGCAACCCGCTCCCGTCATGCTACCGCCCCTACACTACCAGGGTATGGACGCAGCCCAGCCGTTCGGCTACCAGCCGCCGCCCGCTGGTGCGCCCATGATGCATCCGGCTCGTGCCGCTGCGATGGCTGCGCCCATGCCGACCGGTCCCCAGACGGGCCAGGTGCGGACTGCAGACGAGATGGAGGGCGGCCAGGATGACGGCGTTCCACCCGCGAAGCGGCAGCGCGTCGCCAAGCTGCCTGGGGGCAACTACTACCCCGAGCAGGACTGGATCAACATGCACCCCGTAAGTGTCTCTTTTCCTTGGGAAGAATTCTCACTGAATGCGCTCTCGTTTCTAGCACCCGATCTCACTGCGCGTGCAGCTGCCAAGCGAGCCCGCACGGCCGGACTGGAAGTTCGACGGGAACGTGGTGACGATCCCGGACCTGCCGCTGAACTTGCTCGTGTCGACGCTGCGCGACCGCATCTTGCAGCACACGGGGAGTATCGTGGGCGCGTCGAAGATCCGGCTGGCGTACGACGGGAAGATGCTCACGAACATGCAGACGATCGCGGTGTACAACCTCGAGGACGAGGACCTCATTGTGCTGAGCGTCCGGGACGACAAGAAGAAAAAGTAGACAGGGATCCGGTCTGCTCTCTTGGTCTACCTGTTTTTCTTCTGCTTGTGCGTCATCGTCGATGCGGTTCATGTTGTACTTATGTTTACTTCTGTAATGTTCCCACTCATTTTGCCTCGTGCGATAACATGCACACACCACGACATGCAAGTCCTCAGGCAAACAGGCATATATCGCAAGACGGTTGTTGAGAACAGTCCATGATGAGTTCCATAAGCGATAGCGACACAGAAGACCGAGACCACAGCCGAGTATACTACATTATTTTACAAACCGGCCGAGACCCAGAGACCATCCAACGGAACACATACGCAAAGCAGCAAGGGGCATCCATCACAGGACCCTCCGACAGACAAGCGCAAAGAGCAGTACGAGCAGTACGCAGATCGCCGTGTCTAAAAGGACAGGTGGCCGGCGGGGTGTGGTCTGCCGCAACGCCGCCGCGAGCGCGGGCTGGGGAGTACCCTCACGGGTCGTTGGCTGTGTAGTAGGCTGGGATGCAGGGAGGGAGGGCGGCACCGGCGTGCGGGGTGGTGTGAAGGACTGCGTGAATATGGACGCGACCGCTCCGGGCCGAGTGGGCTTCGGCGCGACGAGCGGGATGGGGCGGGCCATAATCTTCGGCTCAAGAGCGGCGGATTGTGCGGGTGCGGGCTGTGTTTCCTCGGCGGTTTGTGGGGCGGCGGATGGGGTATCTGAGGGTGCTGCGACGGGATCCGCGGGGGTGTTCTGGACTGGCTTCTGTTCTGACGGCGCATCGCCGGCCGCTGACGTGCTGCCGCTAGTGGAAGCACTCGCCTCGGGCGGATCAGGCAGGTGCTCGATGTTGGGCATGTTACAGCGCGGGCAGACCCACTCGCGCGAGCTGGAATGGGATCAGCACGGGTGCATACGGCGGCGGGAGTAAGGGGGATCACGTACAGCGCCGCGAGACGCTTGCGCTCGGTGGAGGGATACTCGATTGCACCAACGCCCGCAGCGGCCGTTCCCTTTAGGGGAAAGAAGCCTTGGAGACCAATGATGGCTGCAGGATAGGCAGTGAGAATGGAAGACTAAGCGTCGTTATATGCTTAACTCACCAGTCCGAACGCCCCATGCCGGCTGCCACAGCTCTTCGTGGTCTGTACAAAGAGCGTAAATAGCTATACCTGCATCCCGCAACGATAAACGCACAATTTGTAAAACTGATGCAGATCTACGAGGGAAGATTGAGTAATCGAACGCACGGTCAGGAGGCATGTTCTTGGCGAACCTTGGTATTGAGCTCGAACCTCCCGTTGGGGGTGAGCATCATGATCGCGGGTGGACGGAAGGGGTATTCGGAGGGGAGTAGTATGCGGAAGTGGTACAATCCGCCCTCAAACTCTGTGCCAGCAGGTCCTCGGATGGTGCAATGCCATTCCTACAGGGGAAGGTCAGAAGCCCCGGTCGTGTGGGATCGCTGTAGTTACACTCACGAAGATATCATCCTGTGTGGTGGTCGGTCAAATGGTGCATACAGTAAGATGCGAATCATAACATATACCTCAAGAGGTGCCGCCGAGTAGTCCGTGCATGGGTCGTTCGCGAGCTCCTTGGCCTCCTGCATGATACGCTTGACAGCTACTCACAGTGAGTTACTCCGCAGTACCAGGCCGGATGCTGTTCACTGACCGGAGTTGTTCTTGTTCAGACCGGCTCGAGCCGCCATTTTGGGCAGAGTATGGACGAGACAAGCTCAGATGCAAGCGCAGCACGAAGGAGGGAGTAGAGGCCGAGGGCGATGACTGTAGAAGGTGAGAGAGCGGTGGCAGCCTGGAAGCGCTAGACGCCCAACTACTTCCTGGTGATTTCCCGAAGCGCCCATAGTACGTGGAGACACGTGCCTCGCCCAAAGCGGGATTCCCGACTTTTTGGAGACAAGTCCCGACGACGACCATCCACCTCTGCACGCTGTCCAAGGTGCGCCTCGCTGTGGTCTTGGGATATCTTGGAGACTGAGCGGACCGTCTTCGTTCCACTCTACCCATCTACTGGAACTGTCATCCGGTGTGCGCAGGCGTTAGACGAGGGTAAAAGGTGCGATGTATATCGAGAAGCTGAAAGTCCGGCCGCGTCAAGGTGCGTCAAGAAACGATTCATAGCATGCGAAGACTTACCTACGTCTCGTATGAATGAAATAGCGGCCGCCATTAGGCCCTGCACGCCCCAGTTCGCAGCCATGCTGGCATGCTGGTCCGCTACCAACGATATCATGTCTACTAGTGCATGCGCAGACTCTGCGAAGGCGCTGTTGACCTGCATGCGTACCGCTGTGAGCATATACCCCTTTGGTGACAAAGCCGGCGTGCTGAGCTCATATCTTGCAGCCCGCGCCCACACGGAAGCACAAGCCGACCATCAACTACCATCTTGCACGCCTAGGCAAGACTCTCAACTAAACCGGCGCGCTTCCTTGCTGTGGACACACTACGTCGTAACGACAGGGATGGCCCACCCCCATATCATACGAGACTAGACGTATGTCGTTGTATATTACGCCATTAATTCCTCACTGCAACTGTCCAAGCTCGCTGTCCCCCCTCGCAGCCCTCGAGAGAAGGCCCTTAATCCCCTACCTCAGTGCACATCCTTTAGAAGATATATATGGAGGCTGTTGCAGCAGCGCCTTCCCCAAGCACCTGGGCACAAGCGTCTAGACTGAGTAGATCGACTGGAGGTAGCGGACGATTCTGTGGGACTGCGGTACCGCAGCCCGATGTCTGGGTCGGCCACGAACGTCCTGTGCTCTGTTTGCTGACTCTTCGCCAACGTATTCGTAATATTACACATCGCCCTTCCACGTATTGTAGCATCATACGGACGTGCGCGGTGAGGTGCTGCGAGAGCCGAACCGAGTCGGCCCAAAGGGGGGAGCTTGCGCGTTGTTGTGGCCTGTTGTGCTGAGTCACGCGGCGCGGTCGCGCCCAACTCGAGTGAGGCGCGCCGTTTCCTGCCTACTTCAGTTCATTGTCGACCTCCACCATCTCTCCTGCTTCCCCTCGTCGTCCACCCCGCCGCTCGTCCTACACCCACCACACCGTCGCGACCCCCAGCATCTAAGCAAACATGCGTTCCAAGTTCAAGGATGAGCACCCGTTCGGTTGGTGGCGCACACCCGTCTCGATGTGCGATCTATGCTCATCAGCATCCGTGTCTCGCAGAGAAGCGCAAGGCAGAGGCCGAGCGCATCAGGCAGAAGTATCCGGACAGGATACCTGTGAGTACTACGTGTCCTCTAGAGGTGTCGGCCATCGATTGTGCTTATGCTGCGGAATCCGCGACTCGTAGGTCATTTGCGAGAAGGCAGACAAGACCGACATCCCTACGATTGACAAGAAGAAGTACTTGGTACCATCAGTACGTCGACAATCTGGCGGTTTGAGATTGCAGGAAGCGGGCGTGCTTAACGGGGCGTTACTAGGATCTCACCGTGGGCCAGTTCGTATACGTTATACGCAAGCGTATCAAGCTCGCACCAGAGAAGGCGATCTTCATCTTCGTCGACGAGGTCCTGCCCCCAACGGCGGCGCTGATGAGTGCTATCTACGAGGAGCACAAGTACGTCGTGTGGCTTTCGTGGCGTGTGCCCCCATACTGACCTGATATCAGGGATGAGGACGGCTTCCTCTACGTCAGCTACTCGGGAGAGAACACCTTCGGGTCGCGGTGAATGCCCCCGCGCCTGTCTATATATCCCTCGCCTTCTCTCGCAGCTTGCCTCGTTGGGTCTCAGTTTCATCCATTTGTCGTAGCGGCGCTCAGCAGACGCGGACTCCAGCAGCATAGATACCGGCCGGGTGCATGTACGGGGCTCTCTCTTTCTCACCTTCTCCCTTTCCCCGCAGACACCCATCCGGCGCAGTCGTCGCTCGCCGTTGCGGCCACCCCTCCCCTCTTGCCTCGTGTCTCCAGATGATCGTATGCCGGAATCGATATCTCCCGCCGTCCCGTTTGCTTCTTCCGGATGGCGCATTGTATTTTATGTCAGCTTGTATCTTCTCAGAGCGCAGTCGTCGAATGGAATAATGATACGTGTATAAGGACTCATGACGGACGATATCTGGACTTCAAAGCTTCACCATGAGTCACACCATATTGCGAGATATCTCGATCTTGGGGGTGGTTCCGCGATAGTTGTCTATCTGTGCGGCACTGCGGCTCCGGCCGGCGCGCCAACCAACTACCAGTTCCGTACATGGTTACCTGGTACCACGTTCATCTCAAACCTTGTCACTTCTTAACACTTGCTGCTAGTAGTAGTACCGAACAAGGATATCATCTAATGTCTTGAGCAACGTTGTATAAGTATGTATATGGCTTTGGGTAGTTCATCAGCTCATACAACGGGTTACATTCCTGCGGTCGCCGCCATATCGCCGATATCTATGAATCGAGTACGACTAATAGTCTTTAGAACGGTCACCAGGCCTCTAAACAACACTATTAAGTAGAACGGCTTCACAGAGCGGTAAGTAGTTTCGTTGTATGACAGATTTGTGGTTTGTCTAACTTGTATCGCTCACAGAAAGAAAGTCCAGCGGCACAACTTGCCTCGCCATTGCCACGATAAAACGGTGCAAATAAATGGCGTCGTGCGACTTTCTAAACGCCGTATTCACATTAAACTCGAATAGGCTTTGTGTGGAGAGGCGTAGCCACCCTTCAAATTCGTAGCAGGGAGGAGACACTTCCCTCAACCACTGTCCCCGCATATGGTCCTAGCATGGGCGTCCCTAGCTCTCACTACTTAGGCGCATAAGACGGCAGCCGCAAAGCAACGAACTGGGGGGACATCGCAATACAACCGAGCTCTCCATCGCGCACTCGCAGGTGCCCAGTCGGATCCCCCTGCGGCCCCCCTGTGCTTCCATCCAAACGAATCTCGTCCCGAGTTGTCCGGAGATGCAGGTACCATTCATGATCCCATTGCTTTAACCACGCTTATTCACTGCGCAACACGCTTTGATAGGGGTTGACCCGGCTGTCATTGACCCGCCCGCCGCCATGACAAGTGCCCATTGTCCGCTTAGCCATGAACCACCCGTGCTTTGCCCTGTGCACGGATGCATTTATACTCGCCACCCTCCACTTGCGACGGGACTTCCGTTTGACTCGCTCCTTGCTTCCCTTCTGCCAGACCGGTGAGGCGTAGAACGCCAACCTTTCATCCCCGTCCTCTAGCTGCTACATCACAAGAAAAAACACGTCTCACAGCAGCAAGGATGGTGTCTATCGCCTTTGCCATGAAGTTTTCTATGAGTGAGTGCTCGTTGGTTTGGATACCGGCAAGGCGGGGATGCTGAACAGTTCCGTGTTAGCCATTTTTCTTCTCGGGCTGCATCTTGGCCTCGCCCTTCTTTTCGTTCTTTCTCTTACAGCGCGGTCTGGTGGCAGTAAGTGCAAGGACAATTTCCTTGCGGTGGCTATCTCTAACCGCTTCTCCTACAGATGTCGAAGCCATTGCGCTTGGCATAGAAGCCGTTCAGCTCATTCTCATTCCCATTCGGTGAGTGCCAACCTCCCTTACGCTGGCTGGCGGTGCTAACACAGCGTGCAGATTGTACTTCTACCTTCGCTACCGCAAGTCGCCTTCCCGCTTGCAGCACGAACGGCTGTTCTTCGTCTGTCTGTGGGTAATCAGCCTCGGTGAGTAGTCCCTCCGTCTTTCAGGCCCCCAACATACCCCAGTGCTGATCGATCCCCACAACTCAGCCAGCGCAATTTGGGTGAGCATCCACAGCCCGAAATTGCTGGACGACTTCGCAGGCCTGTCTTACCCCGAGCCTGCCGCCATCGCGGCGATAACCCTCACTTGGCTCGCGTGGACCCTCAGTGAGTGTCCATTTATCCCTCCCCATCTCCCATCTCCCTTATCCCGCAACCCTAACATACAACTGCAGTCGGCTGACATCCTACTCTTTCCCAGCTGTCCACCTCATCTGGATCACCGTGCAAGAACACAACGACGCCCAAGACGACGACGAGCCCGTGCCGTGGCCCGCATACACGAAGCCGCTCCCCCCAGTAAACCGCCCCAAGCGCATCTCCGCGAAGATTGTCGCGGTCGCGCACGGGTCGGACCCGCTCCTCTGGGACCGCAAGAAGAACCGCCACGGACAGGACTACCCCCCGCCCAAGGCGCCGCGACCGGCCATGCCGACGTACGACCCGCGCGACCGCCGCCAGGCGCCGATGCCGCCCCAGCTGCCGCAGGTGCCGCGGACGACGTACAATTCGTGGTATAACGCGGAGGCGATGTGAGCAGGGGCGGAGGTGTATGCGCGTTGTGTAGTTTCTGGCTTTGTTCGCGGTTGTCTTTTAGAGGCCGCACCACTCTCTTTGTTTCGATTAGATTCTTCTTTCCTCTCGCTTTTCAGTCTGATGTAGCCGTACAAGCCTGTGTTTAAATTATATCTCGTAATGGAGCCGGTCAGTAAATGATACATGTAAGTATATGCACAGCGAGCACAGCAAGAAAACGCAAATCGAAAGCAGTCCTCGACGGAGTCCGTACACGGCACGCTCGCTCTAAATGTCCGCAAACATATCGTCATCGGTCCCGTCGCCCCAGTAGAGCTGTTCGGAGTTCGAGTCCGTGTCCTTCTCCACCGGAGGCCCCGCCTCCGCCGCCTCCGTTGCATCCGTCGCTGCCTCCGCTGCTGTTACGCCTCCCGCTGCTGGGGCGCCCATCATTCGATCTTCGACACTCCCGTACAGATGGTCGTCGCCCTGGGAGTCCTTCCAGAACATTTGCCAGTCCTCGTCGAGGTCAGGTTGGCTTGATGGCACCACGGACTGGCTGATTGACGGTACGGGCGCCGGGGTAGCCCGCGGACTCGCAGTCGAGCCGCTGGCGTACGAGAGGGACTGCTGGTACCGCCCCGGTTGCGACTGGCTATTGCTGCTCGTTGATGGCCCGGCACTAGGCTGGGGCTGGGAGTACCCGTGGCTTGTAGGGACCGCGCTCGAGTCTGGGGGGCTCGCGGTTGGGGTGCGAGGGTAAATGAACGTCGAGGGTGGCTGCTCCTCCGGCGGGAATCCGACGACGCCCTCGTCGAAGATCACGTAGTCGCAGAAGGCTGGTGGGGCGACCGACGAGAAGATGGCTGTGAAGCGGCGGAAGGGAACGGATTCGTCGACGGTGGCAGTTCCCTCCGCCGCCTTGTCTCCTTCGAGCTTTCGCCGTTTGTTGGCACGACCTCCCTGCTCCTGGGGGCGGAGAACGGAGCGAGGTCGTGTGCGAATGGTCCGGCTCATCATGACGCGTGCGTTGAGCTGGTTCGGCCATACATGTCCAAGGACGGCCTCGTGCGCGTCTTCCCCGGCAATGGTATGGGCGCGGCAGAACCAGCGGGCTTGGTCCGAAAATCTGAGTTCTCCAGGACCCGTATCGCATCCGTCAAGCCTGGGGAACGTGTTGCCCGCCGAACCAAGCACGACGACGGCGAGTTGATATTTGGTTATGAGCCGGTGAAGGACGATAGCAATGTGCCGCAGGTGGCGCGCACGAAGGGGTATGTCTTTGTATACCGGATCGCGCAAGTTATCGAAAATATCAGTGAAGGTGTCTATGATGAGGAGCTTCACAGGTTTGGCGTCGGGGTCCGCGGCTCGTTCATCTGCGGTTTCCGGTAGGCTTGTGACGAGCACTCTCTCCAGGGCGGCATAGAAGGGAGCTTTGACCGAGTGGATATCAGGGATGCCGCAAACCTCGGGAGAGAGCAAAGGGTGTTTTTTGCAGATCTCCTCTATGCGGCCAGTCAGGATGTCCCCTCGAGTACTGATATAGCATGCGGAGCCAGATAGTCCGCCCAGATGCCTGGGCAGTTGTACGGTCAACGACAGCTGAAGCGCGAGCTGGGTCTTCCCTCCATTGCTGCCGATAATGGATCAGTCATATGTAGACATCGGAAGACATGACCAAGCTTACTTCTCTCCAGAGATATCCCAGAGCATCCCTGTTCTTATACCTCCTCCGAGTACATCATCCAGGTGAGCATCTCCGGTAGTGATCTTCTCGTCGCCCAGGTGTGCAACGTCGCTGAGTAGCTGTGGCGGGGTGGCCACCTCTTGGCAAACTAAGTCGATCAGGTGGTCCATCTCCTTGAGCGGTATCTTGCACGTCTTCGCTGCTTCGGCTGGCGCTTTGTTCAGCAGGTCCCCAATAGTCTGCAACTTGCCTTCTTGGTTCCGTCAATGGCTACGCGTTGCTGGAGATGCAAGTCCCAGCGTACCCTTAGCCAGCGACATCTTCTGAATCATGCTTAGGCTCTCAAGGCTGGCAAGAAACCTGGACTCCATCTCTCCTGCAGTTGCAAGGACCTCTGGCGACGATGGCAAGAAGAGAACGTATGAGGGTGTATGAGGAGGCGCGACGCGTCGGGGTGATCGACGTTCGCGGGCAAGACGCGATCGGCGCTGATGCCGGGTTTACCACTCCCCCTCACGTGATCGCGACGACTGGGAAGACATCCGTACACCTTCGAGACAAAACTCAGCCAAGAAGTTACCTTACGAGCAATACGCGGCGTTGTTTGCACATATTCGCGTAAAAACTAGGTTGACTTGGGACTCTCCACCTGGCTGGTTTGATGCTCAAAAACCACATCTCACATGGGTATTAGGATGAACAGTGATGGTTACACCGAGTAGCTGCACTGGCAGCAGCAGCTCTGCGTGCAGGGTTAGTCTCCGTGGCTGACTATATAGTAGATGAGATCTACATACGGTACTGCAGGGTATGCACATTTTTGATACGCTCCCTATGGGCGCTTACTCATTTCGCCGTCAGCGCTCGTCGGGCGTCTATCGAGGTAACCCATATCGTGCGATAGCCCATACCGTACTAGGGCCGTTCCCGACGGGTATGGGTTAGGAGGGTTTCGACTGTACTGCTAATTAAGCATATATATCAGTTCCTCGTGTAAAGTATACGTGGAAGGCAGCCGTACCTGTACTTACATGGAGAGATCTGAGATCGAGCAGCTACACCGCCAAATTCGACAGGCGCCCATGTAGTACCTGCCACCGCTCCCGGATCTCGTCCATTATACCTCCACATCGTCGTTTCTTGTCCCTCTTCCCTCTGTATTCTATACCTGGGGAAGCCCCGTGTCCGTAACTATGGACGGCTTGAAGATGTTCACGAAGCTGCCCCAAAAGATACCCGACCCGTTCAATCTCTTGGGCGACCAGCCCAAGCTGGCCTTCCGCAGCCAGCCCGGCGGGATAGCGAAGCTTGCCACCACGCGCGTGAGTGCGAAGTTACCTTTACGCAAAGTGGAGGAGGTGACTAGATGACGTGTTGTTGTATGATGCTTTAGAACATCTCCGAGAAGGACTCATACTGGGAGCAGGTGAGTACCCAAAGCTTCGAGAGTCCTTACCCCGCACATTGACCAGAGAGCGCACCATGTCCTCAAAGTATGTCGTGCTATTCGACTCCGCATCGGACGTCTTCACGCTCATTACCCACAATGATGGTACGCCCCCACACCCCACGCACCCCTCCACTGTCCAGCCCGCCCCACACAGCTAACCCCCATGCCCTACACCCCCAGTCCGCCGCGCCCTCTACGAAGCCCCGGAGAACGTCGCGACGCTCGTGCGCGTCATCACCGCGCGGCTCTTCAACCTCGTCTCGGACCACACCTTCCCCGCGTCGCCCGCGTCCGTCTCCTCCTTCGCGTCCTCGCTCATGCGCTCCGGCACCGGCGCCGCGCAGGAGCGCAACACGACGAAGGAGGTGCTCAACTGCATCCGCATCCTCCAGCGCGTGCTCCCCGCGGTGTTCGAGATCGAGAGCGAGCCGAGCCGCTTCGAGCTCGAGGTGCTGTGGAAGCGCCTGCCCGTGCGCGAGGACGCGAGCGGGGTGGGGCCAGAGGGTGGGGCGGCGGTGGACGAGGCGAGTGCGCAGGCGCAGTTTGTGATCGAGGATGAGGACGAGAGCGATGAGGAGGGAGAGGGAGGCGCGCCGAAGAGCGCGCCGAGGCAGCAGGTGCAGAAGAGTGCGGAGCCGGCCAAGGCGAAGGAGACGATGCCGTCTATTGCGGAACGGTTGTTTAGCTGTCTGATCGACCTCATGTTCTGCTGTGGGTTCACGCTGCCGACTAAGATACAGGTGGACCACTACAAGATCAACTATGTCATCTGGTACGTCTCGAATAGCTTCTACCCCTTCGTCGTGGTGCTCATGTCGAATCCAGGGAGAAGGGAGTAGGGTCTACCACGGACCCGGGTCCAAGCCAACAGTACGAGACGAACAAAACGGAAGTGCTTCGGCTTCTGCTCGTCCTGCTCTCGCGCCAGATCTACATCCCGCCCTCCGCGCTCTTCACCTCGCCGTCCTCGTACACGCTGCACTTCGTGCAGAACCTGCCGCGGCGCGACGTGCTCACCGTGCTGTGCTCGCTCATGAACACCGCGATGAACGGCACGCACCCCGCGAGCGCGAACATGATGGGCACCGTCGCCGGCCGGCTGCCGTACAACCACCTGCTCATGAAGGGCGAGGACCCGCGCACGGCGCTCGTCGCGATCTCGTTCCAGGTGCTCTGCGTGCTGCTCGACTTCCAGAGCGGGGGCGCGCGGGACGCTGGCGTGGAGGGCCAGACGCAGACGTCCGGGCCGACGGCGAAGACGAATGCGTTCCGGTATTTCATCGCGAAGCTGGTACGTCGTCAGATTTTTCCGCTGATGATGAGCGTACGACTAAATTAGCTGACATCATACATTGACATATGGCAGCATCGGACGTCGGACTTCGCGTTCATTCTGAACGGCGTGGTCAGCATATTCGAGACCGAAATGTCCACCCTGCACGGCCTCCTGCCTGGGTCTAAGAAGTCTGTGCCGTACATGGTCGAAGCTGGTAGGTACCGTTCTGTTGTATCAATAGGAGTTTCGACCTGACCGCTACACAGTTGTCTTCTTGTGGAAGATGCTTGAGCTGAACAAAGTACGCATGCACACTTTCGAGCTCGATATTCCCCAGTACTCATCCTCTATCGCCAGAAATTCCGTGCATATCTGCTCGACTCCGACAAAGGCATGGACATCATGGCATACCTCCTGTGCTATGGACTTGAGATCAAGGACAAGCCAGGTAAGCATCGTTCGGGGATGCTGTAAGTAGGTTGGCTGATGGGGTTCGATATTACAGAGCAACATGGCATGTGTCGTGTACTATCGTACATGGTCCAGAGTTTGTCCGCCGAACGTGCGTTCGGAGTCAAGCTTGGCTCCCCTCTAAGGGCCCAAATCCCCCAGAAGTGGGCCACTGCAGGCACTGCAGGAGACTTCATAGTCCACGTATGTTCAGACGCATTCTTACCCCTTAATCTGTTCTTACATGCACCTTTCAGGCCATATACTCAATGGTCGCCACCACTTCGGGCAGTCTCAACTCCCTCTACCCCGCACTCATTATCGCGCTCTCCAACTCCGCTCCCTACTTCAAGAACCTCAGCGTAACCTCCTCAGCGCGCCTCCTGCAGCTCTTCAACGCGTTCTCCAACCCATCTTTCCTACTCTCGGACGAGGGCCACCCCCGCCTACTCTTCTTCGTGCTCGAGGCGATCAACGGCGTGCTCCTGCACGCCCTGTCCGACAACCCGAACCTCGTGTACGCCGTGCTTCACGCGCACAAGCCGTTCGAGGACCTCGGCACGTTCACGCTCGCGCGCGGCCTGCGCGAGATCCGCCGCATCCAGCAGCTCAAGGAGGAGCGTGCTGCGCAGGCGGCTGGCCGTGATAGCAAGGGCAAGCACCGTGCTCCGCGCGACGAGGAGGAAGGGGGTGGGGGTGTCGAAACCCCGGCGAGCGAGAAGGCGCGATTGTTGCAGCGCGAGACTGGGTCGCTGGACCTGGCGTCGACGGACACGCTGCCGGAGGGTCGGGCGCGCAGTGTGGAAGAGGAACTGGCGTCGACGCGGCCGCTGATGTCGCCGACCGCGTCGGAGACACAGATGGGTGGGTCGGGACGGCCGGCGGTCTCGGAGAAGGCGAGGGGCAAGATGCGGGCGGGGAGGACGTCGTCGGGCGATATGACTGGGAGCTTAGAGCGGTTGGCTGCTTCTGGTGTCGGGCGGAACGGGTTCATCCCTACACAGGAATGGGTGAGTCGTATCTCGACAGTCGAGAGTCAAGCTTGCTAAGTGGGTGTATGCGTATCTAGGTTGCATCATGGCAGCAAGGGTGAGTATTTTCTTTCGTATTCAAAGAGCTGGTGCTGACTTGCGGCCCCCCAGACTCCCCTTGGACGCGGTCATGCTCGTGATATCTGAGTTACTGCCGAAGGTGCAGAACCTGCAGTCGTCGCTCAGCGCTGCGACCGCTACCAGCGCGATCACAGACATGCTGAGGAGCGCCAACCTGGACCAGGTACTTCCCAAACCCCCAGCGCTATCTCCTAGAAGATTCATGGTAAATTTCCTATCCTCATATTATGCGCCAGTGCTGAAGCGCTGACTGCTGGACCCATGTATAGTGGTCGGAAGCGTCGATCGTATGGCTGACCTCGTTGATATGGGGCGAGATCTACGTGCGCGGAATGACCCCGCTGGGGATCTGGAACAGTACGGCTGTGCGACTATTCTACGTCAAGCACGCACAGACACAGCCGCGGCAGATCACGGAGACGGTGACAAACGTGGTGGGAGGGCTACTCGGTCGGACGGAGTCGACGCAGTCGCTGAGTCGGCGCCAGTGAGGGCATTACGGGTTTCGTTGGGACTGAATGTGCTCTTGTGTTACCTAGGATTGTATACTTCGTCAGTAATCTGTACATACAGATCCATGTTCTCCTCTAGACTTGGATACGGCACCCCTTCCGCCACTGACAGCCCTGCACATTGCACCGGGCAAAAGTCATGTCATAGCCATGAATGGTGATATTAATTGTAAGACTTGGGCATCTCCGCGGCAAGCAGCCGCTCGCCGGGCTTCAAGCTTCAAACTTAGTTGGACGGGAGAGACTGATGGTTTCAAAAGTAACGCCCTGATGCGACGCCTCCTTCGCATCGTTAGTTGAAATGCTGTATCATCTCCGCATGCCCCGCATAGCTGCAGAATACGAAATAATGCAGCGAGTCCGTGCTGGGCGGGTGGTGGTCGAAGACAAGCCATGCACTGCCGGCGCGGGCCGAGTGAGCCGCCGTACGACATCCCTTTGCGCGCGCCGCGGAAAGCCGCGGACCGAGTCCGACTCATACATCCGCGGTCGTACTTCTCGACACACCCTGGTCGACTTCTTCCTGCGCCCATCATTTGCAGGTGATTAGCAAGCAGAAAGAGCGTGTATAAGCCTCTTCTAGCCTGCTCATTCAGCAATAGTGAACTACCGTTAAAAGCTGCAGCCAAAAATCGGAGACGCATATACAAGTCATTGCCTAGATCTACAGATCATGAGCAGCGCCGTTCAAGACATCTCGAGCTCATCCGGGTTGTATCCCGGAAAGCTGTGGCTCGAGACGCCCCTCATCCGCTCGACGCACATCTCAGCGTTGCTGCAGAGCAACGTTTACCTCAAGCTAGATGTAAGTCCGCATTGCTTTGCTCACCTTGCATTATTGACCGCCTCCACAGAGCTTGCAGCCTGCTCAATCCTTCAAGTATCGCGGCATCTCCCACTTCGCCCAACACGCCCTCCGCACGTACGGTCCCGAGACGCACCTCATCATCGCATCGGGCGGCAACGCCGGCCTCGCCGCTGCGTGCGCCGCGAAGGTCCTGAAGCTCCGATGCACGGTCTTCCTGCCGCACGGGGTCAACCAGTCGACGATCGACTTCATGACCAAGGAGGGCGCGGAGGTTGTCATCCACGGCAATTACTACCTGCAGGCCCTCCAGGGCGCGAAAGAAGCGGTGGCTGCTGAAGCCAAAGCGTAAGTATATTCTGTCCGATGGTGCGACTTCGCGGGCTCACCAGAGACAGCGTGATGATTCCCGCCTACGACGACCCCATCCTATGGGAGGGGCATGCTAGCATGGTCCACGAGATCAAGCAGCAGCTCCCCGAAGATGTCAAGCCCGACGCCATCTTTTGCAGCGTAGGCGGAGCTGGCCTCATAGGCGGCATCATGGACGGCTGCAAAGCTGTCGGTTGGGACGACGGTGAGCCATGATGTACGTGTCGTGGATTCCCTACTGACCTACACCCCCCGCAGTGCCGCTGGTCGCTGTCGAGACCCACGGCTCAAACTGTTTCTATCAATCGCTGTCTCTGAACGATGGCCCGTTTGTAGGGGACGTCTCCTCCAGGCCCGTACCTAAAGGCACTACAATAGAGTTGATTGCGGAACACGACGTGGCCATAGCTCACCTAGCCTCTCTGGCGTCGAAGGCGACGTCTCTCGGTGCGTCCTCGCCCGCGGCGGGGATTGTCAAAAAGGCGCTAGAAAGGAAAGGCGGGGTGAAGAGCATCTGCATCACGGATGAGATGGCGATGCAAGCCACGCTCAACTTCGCAGGCAGGTCTTTCGAAGAGTTTATGGGTAGCGAGATCGCTGAACATGCCACAGAGGACCACAAGACGTTGGTCGAACTCGCATGCGGGGCCGCCATTGCCCCTGCATACAAGCCGAGTGTCTTCCACCGTTTGGTGCCGCGGTCCACGCCGGACAAGCCGATAACCGTCGTCCTCATAGTCTGCGGCGGGTTCAAGATCTCGCTGGATGACGTCGAGGAGTATAGACGGATCGTGAAGGCGGATGTTGCGGCAGGCGGGACGTGGGACGTCGCAATCAACGGAGAGACGTTCCCGACTTCCAAGGCAGAGTGAGGTGTAGCTTGTGCGGGCGTAGAAATACAATGCGGGACAGCGAATATTAGAGCGACATAAATGGCGAAAGATGGAGAGCGCGACACCTATCCCGGCGTGAGTCTTGAAAGCTTGACGAGCGGCAGGCTTAACGGGCGCACTCACCGATGACCAAATGCGAGGATCACTTCCGCTGCGCCTCCTCCGCTTCCCGCTGCGCCTTACGTTCAAAGTTCCGCGCCCTGATTTTCGCGAGCTCCTCCTTGAGCGTCGTAGAGTCCGAGGGGATGTTCTGTAACCGCGTCAACGCCATTGGACAACCCCGGCCACACGGAACGTAAAGGTACACACGGTGTTAATCCTGGACTCCGGTGGGAAGATCCTGTCCTTGTACTGCGTAATGCACGCGCGTGAGCGGCCCGCCCATGCACACAAAGACGCCCTTGCAGAGTCATCGCGCACATACCGGGAGGACGTTGTTCGCATACCACTCCGGGTTGCCGAAGTGCACCAGCATGACCACCGGGAAGAACACGTACACGGCGAACTTGAAGACTTCGAGATTGGGGCCGCCCATGGTCGTGTTGGCCTTCCTGACGGTCCGAGATGGTGGTTGGGAAAGAGAGGCAGCGGAGGGAAGCAGGCGGGAACGGCGAGCCCGAGTTTCAGCGAGTCGCCCGAGCGTCTAGACTCAGGGTGCGGAGAAGCAAGCGCCCGTCTCCGCGTAGGTTTCGTGATCGAGACCACATCCCAAAAAGGAAGCCGAATAGAGTTCAAGTTCGCCAAGACTGCAAGGTACCAACATGTTGCCAACATGACAGTAACCCGTCTCCGATGAGGCCGGCTTCAAGTTGACGCATTGACGGCCGACCAGACCACCACATCCAGGGCTGCATTCATCGGAGAAAAAAACCTCCGGAGCACTCTAAACGCGCAGCGAGCTCGCATCATTGCAACGGGGGTAGTAGGGTATAATTCATTGTGATTGATTCTGCGAACGTGAGGCAAGGGAAGGTAACATGCTCGCGTCTACGAGATGCCAAGGACGGAGTACTAGCGTGAAGAGTCCTAAACTCCTAAACATTATCGTCATATCCAGACTACGTCTAGCGGAGCCCTGCAGTCATCGCCGTCGCCATCTACCTAAGCCACTCATGCGAAGACCATCGCGACACCGAGACCGATGAACGCCGCAACCGCACTCGAGGCACCGAGGCTGATCGCGCCGTTGCTGCCGCTGGAGCCAGAGCTGGAGCCAGAGCTCGCCGAAGCGGTGGCAGCAGGGGTCGCGGTGGCCACCGCGCCGATACCGCCAGTGACGGGGCCGTTGTCGGTGATCTGTATGGTACAGAGTATGAGCTCGGAACTCGGTGGCTCCGCAAACGATGCACATACCGTCTTCTCGCCAGCGCCGACCTTGACAGCTGCCGCTGACCAGGCGTCGAAGGTGTTGCCGGTTGACGGCGCGTTGATCGAGCTGACCATGAATGAGAATCTCGACCGACACTCACTCGCATTGAAGTGCACTCACCCAACCATACCCTCACCGCAGTGAGCGACCTGCTTGCAGAAGAAGTAGATGGCTAACGGCAGAACGTAAGGTTAAGCCGTGGAAGGGGAATATGATGGACGTACGGATCTGGTCGTTCGTAACGTTCAGCGTGAACTGGGTCCCCGCCTGCAATCCGGAGTCGAAGCCGCTGACGCCGTTCTGTGCGGCAATGGGCACGCAAGGGTTGGAGAAGTCACCCTGAGTGACCGAGTGGGGGATGCCGTTGCTGTGATCGCGGTTAAAAAGCCGAGCTCGAGGAGGCATTGACAGTGACTTACTTGGGGAAGAAGAACGTGATGAGGGTTCCGTTGGAAGCGGTTACGTTCGCCGGGCTGAATACGAAGTTACCACCAGCCGCGACATCGATCTGCATGAGACAATGCGTGAGCCATGAAGAATGTCCGAAAGCATTATGTAAACGCACGTTAATCTGCCCGTTGGTGCTGGGGGGCGCAGAGGGCACAGCCGCCGCTGCCTGGGTCGTGGGGCCAGCCGCAGGAGGAGCGTACCCGTACTGAGGGTTGGCCACCGCGAGGAGGGGGAGGAGAGCAAGCGAGAACACGGTCGACAGCATTTTGAAGGGTGCGGTGGTCAACGACGGTGAGCAGGGGAGCGACGGCGGCGGTCCTGGAATGGCAGCTGACTGGCAAGCGGTGAGGGACAGCAGCGAGGGAACATGAGCCTTTATAGCGTACCACTTGACGGCCAGGAGTTCAGGTCTGACAAGTCCTTTCCCGCGCCCTCGCTTCATGGGGCTGCGCAGCCGCGCGGCTGTGGATGTCCTACGCCGTAGAAGTCGTGAGTAAGTCGGCATGAGCACTTGCGGGGGTGGTGGAGCGGCCGCCCGAAACCTGGAAGCCGTCACGCCCAATCACCGTGCTGTCCGCATCTCGACGGCTGCATCGACGCATTCAGCGATGAAAAATGAAGACAGATGTTCGCACAGAGAACGCGCGCCGTGTTTCACAGATCCCTTGTCGGGGCTTCTGATTCCCTCGAGTATGCAGATAGCCCTCTGGGTGACACTCCGCGCATCCCACAGTGGGAAAATTCGCGCGCCTTTGGCAACCCTGCAACAGGTCGTCTTCGCGAACAAGGGCCGGAACACGTACCTCCAGTGCATGCCATGGATGCCGTCCTCCGCAGCCAGGCCCTTCCGAGCTCTGTCCAACATGAGACCCTCCCGCGGGCCACAGCTCGGAGAAGGCGAGCCCAAATCGCCGCGGGGGCCTGCGAGGATGACCGTAGTGATCGGAAACGACGAGTGCTTGTGGGTGTCAAGTACGGGCGCGTTCCCAGGGTTCCATCTCGATCCACGTGCCCGAGGAACCCCGCGATCCCAAGGCGCGACAGGGCAGCCACAACGAGGTCCGCAGCAGCTTCGTGCCAACTCCCCGCAGTCTGTACCATCCCGACGTTCCGGGGTTCGACATCACGCAATCAAACCATCAGGGATGTCGGGGCCCCGACGGTGCTGAATCCGTGGGAGGAAACTCTATAGGCTGCCTTGTGATGCTCGGATTCTCCACTTGAGGAGGCAATTTCGCTCAAGTAAGCTGTTGAGGCCGTGCATTTCAATTTACCGGGACGGTCGGACGCAGCAGACGAGCACCTGCGCTTCAAACGCAACCAGACATCGTGGAAAGGCGCACCGCGACGATGCCGGCCGGAAGTTGTACACCACACGCTGTCAGGGTGGACGACGTTGGTAAGCATGCCACACAGTCCTTTTCCGCAGCGGACTAGTACAATAGAGACGACCCACGCCAGGCAGATGGACGGCGGCCGGGGAGATATGAGCACCGCTCCCATTACTTGCGAGGATGGGACGATCACTACGTAGGCGTCACGGGTAGCACTTGGGCGGGTGCACCAGCAGCGCGGATGGCTGACGAGGAACAGCAAGTGAGACCAGCCCCGCGGACTCGGACTCGGAGATTGACAATGACAGCTGCTGCGCAGCAGACTCGCCTCGGGATCCCAGAAGCTGTGTCCGAGACAGACTGCATCCGACTATCGGGTACAGGAACGGCCTCGCTTGCGTGCGTTGGGTCGTAAGGGACATCTATAAGTGTACACAAGCAATCTCAGGTCAAATCTGGTGCAGAAGGCCCTCGCTTACCGAGTTCCTCCTCAGCCTTTAGCATGAGGGCGTGCTCTGCCACCGAGTGCGACTCCCCTGACGACATGCAGAGAACGTATGTGGCCAAGACGACGGAAGAGTGTTTGTCCGCCAACTTCGGTTTCCAGGCCGGCTTCCATATGAGAATAGAATGCCGGCTCGGAGGTTTTGCAGGCTGAATAGACGAGTTATAGGACTCAGCCTCGTTGCACACTGCGATGGAAGCTCGTCTCCATGCCTCATCCGCGACCCAATGCCTACAACGCCTATGGTCGCCAGCAGCACATCCAACGCGTCAAACGCGTTGAACAGCAACAAGATGAGACCAGTGACGCCAAAAACAACATCGCTGGTGGTGGGGCCGGAGTTGGAACGGATAAAATGGCGCCGAAAGAGCGGATGTCTGCCAAGGCGGGTGGTATCACTGCCTTGAACTCCTGACGGATTCTTCCGCAGACATCCAGTGGGAGCCCGCGCACAGTCGGAACGAGGGGGTGGGCTCGATCGTGAGTGGATGGATGAGGGACAGCGCAAAGAGCCTGCAAGAGCGCCACCAGGACGTCGGGCCAGACTCGCATTGCCGCAGCATAAGCGCCCGCCCTCTTCGGATCCCCTCCCAATATGGAAGGTGTACAAGATCATCCGACTCTAGCCGCCGAGTCCCGCTTGAGCAGACATCGGTATGTGGACATCCTACACACCTTTGGAGCTGGACGACGCGGCAGGAGAATGGGTGCCAATTTGCTTGCATCATCGGTGGAGACACATGACTTTGTCGGATACTTGCTCTACAAGCATATAGCACACCACTCCAGGAAGCAGTTCTAGCAGCAACATCTTTCACTACCATCATCCATCTACCACTCATCGCTCACCCTTCGATATCAACCACAGACCAAGAGATCCAAACACCATGTCCTACGTCTACACCCCCACCCCCGCCCGCTCAGAGCCCGCCACAATCTCCGGCCGCCGCCTCTCCACGGACGCCGACTGCGGCATCCACCAACACATCACCCTCCCCCGGCGCACCTACTCCGTCCCCACCGCGTTCCCCACCCGCCCCACGCAGAAACCACGTAGGGCCGGACTCGCGTTGCTGGGCATCGGCCTCCCCAGCACGCGCGGCGGGGCCGTCGCGGGCTTCCACCCACGCCCCGAGCGCCCCCGCCTGCAGCGCCAGGCGGGCCCCAGGCTCGACACGCCGTTCACTGCGGTCCCCATGCGCTCCATGCGCCGCCGTGTCGCGGGCAGCTTCCCCATGTCCCCAACCGCGCGCTCGCGCAGCGGTACGACGCACGGGCTCGGGCTCGCCATGCAGCGCGAGGGCTCGCTCCCCCTACATGCGGAGGACGCACCGCACCCCGCCATCACGCTCACGCTCGCGGACGCGTTCGACTCGGAGGGCGAGGAGGAGAAGTTCGGGCCCCACAACGCTGAAGAGGAGCAAGCGCACGCATTGGGCCCGCGGTACTCCTTCCTGCCCCCGGGGCTGTCGTCCCCGGTCCCGTGGCCCTCGTCGCCCGTCGACGAGGCTCCTCCCGCCGAGCTGGCGATGGCCGCGGCCACCCCCACGGCGCGGCCCATGATCTTCCGGCGGCTCGCGAGCCCCGCCATGCGCGTGCCGGTACCTGCGGACGACCCCGCCATGCCCGGGGCGCCGCTCTCCCCCTCGCTCTCCCGCTTCGGGACGCACCACCATTTCCCTGGGCTCGACCACAGCCCGGGCGGAGTGGGGGACGAGGACGCGCTGCTGGCGGGGATGACGGGGGCCGTGCCTTCGCGGTCAAGGACGAGGGTGCCCATGACGCCGCCGAGCGCGCCTCGTGCGCCTTGGATGGAGCGTTTTTCGAGCGATCGTTTGTACCACCAGTACCACTAGTTCATAAGCCTGTCACGCACCGCTTATAATAGCTCTCAATTCGACCTTCGTTGTATACAAACCTGCATGAGAATCGGAGCAGCGTCAACGCAACAGTACGGAGATCAAACGGAGATAGAGTTGTTATCCAAATAGTGCTTGCCTGAACAAGACAAATCGATGAAAGGCATGCAATATAGTGTTGACAATATTCCTATTCGTACACAGGCTAACGTGCTCCTACCCCGAGGAAACCAACCGCCCTGCAGAAGATGTGTAGCGCAGCGGTCACGTCTCCCCGCCACCGCCGTTCATCCCCTCCACCGCGAACTGCACCTTCCTTACCGCCAAAGTCCGCATGTTAACCAGCACCAACGTACCCGAGTCCTTGAAGCTCGGCAGCAGCACGATCCGACACCTCTTCTGCGCCCGCGCCCCGCTCTCGTCCTCGTCCTGCTCGTCGTCGCGCACCAGCTTCGTCGCGAACGCCGGCTGGTTCCCGACCACATACACGTCTGGGGTCTGCGTGATCACGAACGGGTCCTTCGCAAAGTACGGGTGGCACCACAGCGTGTCCGGCGCGGTCGGGGCCATGTGCCGCCACCGCAGCGTCGCCTCCACGAGCGTCATGCGCGAGATCGGCGGGCTCGGCACGTACTTGAACATGTCGTCGACCGGCTGCCCGGAGTGCACGAAGATAGTCCGCGTCGGGCGGGTGGTCCCCTCACTCGCTGCGGAGGTGCCGTTCGTTTTGGGTTTTGAGCTAGATGCGCCTGGCTGGGAGGCACGGGACGAGGACTGCGCGGAGGGGTCGTTCGGAGCGAGCTGGATATAGGTCGGATTGGATTCCGACAAGAAGGTCGCGTAGTGCGACGCCCCGCCAAACATAGCGCGTGGGAGAGGTTGCTGAGGGAGAATCGTCGCAGCAGGGTCTGAGGGGCCTGGCAGAAGGTGGACCGGTATCGAGCGGCAGACGTCTGTGAGATGTGCGGCGAGATTTTGCGTTGGGTGCGGGGTAAACGAGGATGCTTCGTTCCCGTAGCGCCTCTACGATCGCAGCTGAGCTATCAATAGACAAGAATAGCTGGGTAAGGTACACACGGATTTCCGTTCGGTCTCGCCATTTATAACGTCGGTGTGGCCGGTAAGTGCCCCGAGCGAGTTGCCGGCGATGATAAGCCTGGAGATGCGCGCAGCCTGGGACTGCTCTTCGGAGCTGCTGATCTCTGCGGCGAGGTACTCTGCCAGCATCTGGATCTGGCCGTCCGATGGATTCGTCGCGCCGACCTCAAGACCGGAGACCAGTGCTATCCATTCGTCCGATGAAGCGGAGGTCGATGCCGACCCTGTTCCCACCTCGCATGAGACGAGTCTGTCCACGGAGTACAAGTCGGTACGCACCATCTACGTCCATAGCGTCGCCCTTGACCGTTGGCGCAGGCCATTCAATACCTGCCGAAGGTTGTGGGGCCATCCCAGGGTAGCACAGATCGACCACTTCGAAGTCCCCGTTGTGCGTCTCGATCCCGAGCGCACCAAGAATAACGCCAGTAACCAGGCATGCCGAGCGGATGCGATCGCCCACCAGGCAAATGCGCCCGGACTCGTCTTCTAGCATAATGCTGTCTTCATCCGAGTAGAACTTCTCTCGCGGAGGCGGCGCTGGCAATGAACGCTGTCCCACAGCGGAGGTATGTTTATAGCCGCAGCAGAGTCAATAGGCAAACTCACATCGCGTGCGACGTCCTCGAGAACGTTCGGCTTGAGGGGCATGTCCATGTAGACGGTGCCAATAATGAAGCATAATTGACCCTTCTCCACGTCTAGAACGCGCGGCACGAAGACGGGGTTACCTGCGAGTCATGCGGCGTTTGCGACTGTGAGCTTCTTGACTCTCCTTCCGAAGCATACACACCTGCGACCTCGTTCCACCGCCCCTTTGCCCGCTGCTCGACGTGCTGTCTGAGCGCACGCAGGCGCACGAAGTAGATGTTGGAGTACTGGTGCTTGTATGACTTGTCTGTGGATTTGATGATGAACGAGGCGTCTTCCGGTGGAGGAATAACGGCGGAGGAGGGGCGTGTGCGTGGAGCGGAGGGCACAGGGCTGCAGCACAGTCAGCACAGGCCTCTGAAGATATTCGGAACGCGTACATGGGGTCGAGGACGGCCATGACGCGTCCGGCAAGGCTGTGGGCGGGCGGAAGAGAGGTCGAGGCGAGAATGTGGCAGACGGCAAACGCGTCCGACGCGTCGCGAAAGGCGTGTCATGGCGCGTTGGCCTTGTTTGGTTCCCGCGGATATCCGGACCGCGCGCTAGATCCCTTCATAGCCTCCTCCTCCTCTTCTCCGTCCGCAGCGAGCTCCTACAGCTTAAACAGCCTCGGCGTGTCAATAATAGCTTCAGCTGGAGTCTGTTGCGCCCTTTACGCGTCTCGTCATCTGCAGCTTCCGTCACCAGTGACCACCTTGAGAAGGCGTCTGACGGCCATCATGGGCTGCAATCTGTCGAAAGGCCGGTGGCCAGAGGCTGGACTTCGAGTCTCATGACGGATTTTGAGCCATCTAGACCCACTGGACGCCAACAAATGAAGTGCGCATCCTGTGGGACCAATGTGGGACGGTCCCGAGTGACGGCAGGGAGCAGCAACGTTGCAGTCGTTCTGCAGCGGCCGTTCCTGGCTGCACAGCGTGGAGGCCCGTGATGATGTCACCATATGGGCCATCTACTGAACTCAGAGCGGCGTTGCGCTATTAATATCTCACTCGTCACTGTTTGTCGCGACATATAAAGCTCCAGACTCGCCGTCTTATGCCCTACACCCCCTCCCCTCGACCTCCAACATGTCTCTCTCAAAGGTTTGCGCTCACAAGCACGCGTCGACGCAGGTACCGTACGCTGACTCGTGCATCGTCGTCCAGCACCTCAACGCCGATCAGCTCATCCAGTCTGCAAAGGTAAGCTTTCGACCATCGTAGCACATCGTCTTCATCGCTAATGCTCTTGTAGGACCACAAAGGTCACCATGTTCGCAGCTCCATCAACCACCAGGCCGACCATGCATACGGCGCCCGTTACGGCACTGATCCCATCCCCAAGTACAAGCTTCCCTCCAAGGTGAGCGCATCTGTCTGCATGACCATCTTAGCGGATGTTAAATGTGTTTCAGGGTGTGGATGCGGAGGCCGCGTACCAACTGATCCACGACGAACTCTCCCTCGATGGATCCCCGGCCCTCAACCTGGCGTCCTTCGTCCACACATGGATGCCGAAGCAGGCAGATCAGCTCATGATGGAGAACCTCTCCAAAAATCTCATCGACCAGGACGAATACCCCATGACCCGTAAGTCACGCGCTCCGATTGCTATGAGATCTGTGCTCACCTTGTTTGTTAGAGGTCCTCCATACCCGCTGCGTCTCCCAGCTCGCTGATTTGTGGCACGCACCCTCCACGAACCAAGCGATCGGAACCGCCACTACTGGCTCGTCCGAGGCCATCCAGCTTGGCGGGCTTGCGATGAAGCGCATCTGGCAAGAGAAGCGCAAGGCTGCCGGAAAGTCCATCCACGAGCCCGGTCCCAACATCGTGATGGGCGCGAACGCACAGGTCGCACTCGAAAAGTTCGCTCGCTACTTCGACGTTGAGTGCCGTCTGGTACCCATCTCTGAGGAGAGCAAGTACCGGCTCGACCCCAAGCGCGCGATGGACTACGTCGACGAGAACACCATCGGTGTCTATGTCATCCTCGGAAGTACGTCCGGATGGCCTGTCTGCAGGGAACAATACTGACCTTACCACCCTAGGCACCTACACCGGCCACTACGAGCCCGTCAAAGAGATGTCCGACCTTCTCGACGAGTACGAGGCGCGCACCGGCAACTCAGTACCCATTCACGTCGACGGCGCATCCGGCGGCTTCGTCGCGCCCTTCGCCAACCCCAAACTTGAGTGGGACTTCCGCATCCCGCGCGTAGTCTCCATCAACGCCTCCGGCCACAAGTTCGGTCTCGCGTACGTCGGCGTCGGCTGGGTCGTCTGGCGCGCGAAGAAGTTCCTCCCGAAGGACCTCATCTTCGAGCTGCACTACCTCGGCTCGGTCGAGTACTCGTTCTCGCTCAACTTCTCGCGCCCGGCGCACCCGATCATCGCGCAGTACTTCAACTTTGTGCACCTCGGGTTCGAGGGCTACCGCAATGTCGCGCTCGCGGACCTCAAGAACGCCCGGCTTCTGAGCCGTGCGCTTGAGAAGAGCGGCCTCTTCACCGTTCTGAGTGACATCCACCGGCCAGTGGAAGGCGTCGCTGCGGCTGTGAAGGGTGTGGTCGGCTTCGACGAAGAGAACATCGAGGTGCGCATCACCACCTTTCCCCCACCGTACGTCATGATGCTAACATATGCGCCCCACAGAACTACGTCCCGGGATTGCCAGTCGTGTCGTTCAGGTTCACCGACGAGTTCAGGAAGCAGAACCCCGACGTCCAGCAGAAGTGGGTGCAAGTCCTCCTGCGCGCGAAGGGCTGGATCGTCCCGAACTACGAGCTCGCACCCAACCTGGAGAACGTCGAGATCCTCCGTGTCGTCATTCGTGAAAACATGACCGCAGTGATGGTCGACAGGCTCGTCGCAGACATCGTGAGTGGATGCTATATTTATCACTGTAGTCTGTCCGCTCACGCGCAAATATGTAGCTTGAGATCATGGAGAGCCTCCAGAAGGCGGACAGCCCGGTCCACGCCCTCAGTGCGCTGCAGAGCCGCAAGACCGTTGAGGGCCACCACGGTCGCCTGGAAGAAGGCTCCGGCAGCCAGTCGAGCGGGACATACGCCAAGCAGTGCTGAGTCTGCCTATCTGGTCCCCGGGTTTCTCTGTCGATCATATATGGTATAGCAGCGTGTACGATACCGCGCCATGTACCGCGACAAGTAGCTAACGGATGGTGTACGTTAAGGTGTAACACAGGACGTCTCTGCCACAACGAAATGTATTCAAATGATTTGTATGTCCATGCAAATATTGTGTGATCCTGCTCGACGTGCTCTACAGTCGACACCCTCTTAAACCATGCTCCCCATAACCCATAAACCGGGATAACCCATAGGAATTCCGTAGGTATACCTTACCTCAAATCCCATTTGGAATGCCTTCATCATCGCAGTTAACTCAAACTGCTTTCCATATGTTCACCCCTGTTAAAAGAGGGTTTTGCAGTCATTGCATAGTGAAGAAGGGGCGCTTGAAGCTTTGTTACTCTCGTGCAAAACAACCACGTTGGTCTATTCTGTGGTGAGTGTATCTTGACGCTTACACCCCTATCCATTTACCTCAGCTCTGATGTTTCGGTCATTTTTACAGGTTGAAGGTCCCAGATTCCGCGTCCGTTGCTTGTGCTACACCTTCGAAGCCGCGAATGTTTCTCCGTTGCATGTGATGACCCAATCTCCTCCCGCGACCACATCCGCGGCCACAATCCGCCTGTACTCCTCCATCTCGGCCAACGAGACCTTGAAGCCACCGCAAAGGACCAACACGATACTTGCAAGCTTCATACCTGGTGCGCACTCCGGCACCAACTTGCGGAAGACGCTCGGTTTGTATGCAGGGGCGATAGTTGCTGAGCATGCGAGCTCAACCAGCGTTTTGTGGTCCTCTGCAGGAAGGAGTCAGCACACCGAGCGTACGGAAGATTTTCCACGAAGAGACGTGCCTGCGAAGTTGAGAGCAGCCTGCATCGCCATTTCGTCGGGGATGCACACGCTCCTCACGCCGCCCTTCCTTTCCAACATCTTCTTGACCACCGCCCCGGAAGGCGAGGACGCGCCAAGAGATGTCGCTTTCGATGGCAACGACGAAAGGTGAGCGACGCTCACGCCATGCTCGACGTTCTTCTCTGCTTTGGTACCTTCGGAGATGGCCCGCGAGGCTGCCTCTCCCACGAATGGCCCGTCGTTCAGAGACAGCGACTGGTAGAAGCAGTTTGAGCCATGGGTCTCGACGCCTACAAGTGGTACTAGCTGGTATGTGAGTCCACTTCGCAGTTCACGTTCGCGAGTAATTGCTCACCGTCATCCCAGCCAACAACTTTACAACCCTCTATGATGCCACCCGCCAGACCGCCACCACCCAAACTGCAGAAAATAGCATCCGGACGTGTGCCGTCAGGCAGCTGGCGCTGGATTTCATGCACCATACTTGCGTGCCCTTCCCACAGTATAGGGTTGTCGTATCCGGGTACCATCACTCTGTTGCACATGTGAGCTGATGTAGTAACGTATTGGACATATCATACTCACGCTTTGGGTTCGGCTTCGACGGCCGCCTTCGCGCATTGCAGTGCCTGCGAGTAATAGGTACCTTCCGTGACCACAACCTCTGCGCCTTCTCTACGCATAAATTCGATGGTAGAGTCGCTGACTCCCTGAGGCAGAAAGATGGTACACCGAAGCTTGAAGACCTTGGAAACGCAAGCGGCAGCGATCCCAGCGTTACCGCTCGATGCGATTATGAGGTGGACATCTTGACCATGCGTGCGCAGGGCATGCTGCGCGAAATGGGAAATTCCACGGTATTTGAAAGATTGAGATGGCTGTAGCGTCTGGGGGGATGTCAATTCCTGGATCGTACGTCGGGTATGTGTAGAGGCCGACGCTTACCTCCAGCTTGAGGTATACATTGCAGTGCAGCAGCGATGAGAGGTGTGTAGAACGTATCAGGGGCGTCTCGACCCACAACTTCTCGCCGTATTTTAGGTGATCGGCGCTCATTCTGGCCATCTCGTACTAGGAAACTGCAATGCTTGATTTTTTAGGGCCCTATACATCGGCGAAGGACTCATATCATGTAGGTCGAGTCAAATTCTAGTCGAGCGCGGAGGAGGGGACCGTACGTGCCGGGCGGGAACTCGGCCGGAACAGTGTCTCGTGCCACCGCCGTGCCTGTACATCTCAAACTTGCCTCTCCCCGAGCTGGATAGTGTTCATCGCGAAGGTCGGCTTCACATGCTCCGCCGCTCGTTCAATCTCATCGTGTTCTAGATTGGCCATAATGCGCATCATGTGCGAAGCCTAATCGGCTTCAATCGCCCTGCACTTGCCGCAGTCGTGCATCCACGCCCCAGCACTCGGTAAACCGCAATGGTTCCCCGTGCCGCACAGGCGGGAAGACGCGGGCCGTTTCGCGTTGTTCGCTGAGAGCTTGGCTCGGGATAGATATAAAGGGCTCCATCCCACTCTTCTGCGATGGTCCAGTCCACACCCCGGACATCATGCGGTTCAACGACGGATTCTGGCTTTTGAAGAGTGGCGTCAAGCCGTCTTTCGGCCTGCAGGTCGTACAGGGCTTGGAAGATGGCAGCGGCTACAAGCTCCAGGTCTCCACCAAACCGATCCGCCACCGCGGCGATACCCTAGCCGGTACGCACCCCCCATGGCGCTACGAGATATACGACCACTCACCACTTGACCACAGGACCCGTGTTCAGCGTCCGCGTGCATTCGCCCACAGAGGGCGTCGTCGGCGTGAAGATCGAGCACTTCAAGCACATCGACCCCACGCCCGACATCGCGCTCTTCCCGGACGACCCGCCCGTCCCGGCCGTCGCGCTCTCGAAGACGGAGACGACGTGGACGGTCGCGAGCGGCGGGCTCTCGGCAGAAGTGACGCAGAACCCGTACACCATCACCTTCCGGTCTCCCACGCGCACGCTCACTGCTGCCGGTTACAAGCACCAGGCGATCTATGACGTCCCGCACAAGTGGACGCTGCGGAGCGCGTCGAACAGCTCGTGCCTCGCGACGGACGTCAGCGCGAACCCGCGCCCGGACGCAGCGCCGGAGACAGTGCGCTACATAAATTCGGAGCTGAATCTGTCGCCCGGGGAGCTCGTGTATGGCCTGGGCGAGCAGTTTGGCGCGTTCGTGAAGAACGGTAACCGCCCGTCTTTCATGTTCTGGGTGTGGGGGCGTACGCTGACGCGCATCTGTGGCAGGCCAGTCCGTGAGCATCTGGAACCAGGACGGAGGGACGTCGAGCGAACAGGCGTACAAGTGTGTCCCGTTCTACATCACGAACCGCAACTACGGTGTGTTCGTGAACCACCCTGGGGAGGTGGAGTTCGAGGTGGGAAGCGAGAAGGTCAGCCGTGTGGGTGCGAGCGTTGCCGGTGAGAGCCTGGAGTACTTCATCATCTATGGCCCGACCCCCCTTGAGGTGATGGCGCACATGCGAGTGTTGTGGAGACTATGCTGACGCTTATACGCAAGATCTTGGAGCGTTATACGCGCCTCACTGGGCGACCTGCGTAAGTTATGTCAGTTGACTAGCGACGCGCGAGACTGACTGAGAGATACTCCCAGCTTGCTGCCCTCATGGACGTTTGGCCTATGGCTCTCCACCTCTTTCCTGACATCCTATGATGAAAAGACGGTCTCCGGCTTCCTGCAAGGGATGCAGACACGGAATTGCCCCGTTCGGGTGTTCCACCTCGACTGCTTCTGGATGAAGCAATACGAATGGTAGGTCGGCGTCGTTGCTCCTTGTCCTGGCTGGGTGTACTGATGGCTTGAATCCAGGTGCTCCTTCACGTTCGACCCCGACAATTTCCCCGACCCGAAGGCCTATCTATCTGAAATCAAGCAGAAATACGGCGTCAAGATCTGCGTATGGAGTGCGTCTTTCCAGCAAATGCTCGCACCTATCACTGACATTTATCTTTCCTGCTCAAAAGTCAATCCCTACATCTCCCAGCTTTCTCCTATTTTCCAGGAAGCCGTGCGCGGAGGCTACCTGATCAAACGGAAGGACGGAACCCCATGGCAGTACGCGTATTCAGTATTTTTGTGCGTGACCTCGGGACTAACAAGGGGAAAGGTGGGATCTGTGGCAGCCTGGCTTGGGCGTCGTCGACATAACCAACCCGGAGGCGAGAACGTGGTATGAGCAGAAATTAGAGGCTCTTGTCGACCTAGGGGTAGACACGTTCAAGGTAAGCCGTGATCCACCATAAACACTTTTTTTTTGCTTACAGTGAATGCCTTTGATTTGCTGAATAGACTGACTTCGGCGAGCGGATCCCACACGCAAATGTCGTGTTCCACGACGGATCGGATCCTATGCGGGTGCACAATGCGTATTCAGTCATCTACAACGAGATGGTGTTCCGTCTGCTGGAGCGTCGTTTTGGCAAAGGCGAAGCGGTCGTGTTTGCGCGTTCAGCGGCTGCAGGAGGACAGAGGTGAGTAGTATATTTGCAATACGCTGTTTCGGGGCGACCGTGCTGAATTCCCCAATTTCAGGTTCCCAGTAGTGAGTCGCACTAGCAGCGCGTGTTGAGCTGGGCTAACGACTTCATAGCACTGGGGTGGCGATTGCGAATCGACGTTCGAGGCTATGGCTGAGACCCTGCGTGGAGGCCTTAGCTTGACCTCTTCAGGTTTCGCCTTCGCTTCTCATGACATTGGCGGATTTGAGGTGAGAAGAACTGATATTGTTGGGTAGTGCGCCAATCTGACACTCTGCCGCAGGGACATCCGCCCCCAGAGATCTACCATCGCTGGGTCGCATACGGGCTATTCTCATCACACTCCCGTCTGCACGGCTCCATGTCCTATAGGGTGCCTTGGCAGTACGGCGAGGCCGCCGCGACCTACATGGCTAAGTTCCTTGACGCGAAGCACAGGCTGATGCCCTACCTGTACAACCTGGTATGTTTCTCTGTAGCATCTTAGCGCCATCCGTCCGTGCTAACTGCCCCGACAGTCGCTGGCCGGCCGCGCCAAAGGTCACCCAATGCAACGCGCGATGTTCATCGAATTCCTGGACGACCGCACGACCCACAGCCTCGACCGCCAATATATGCTCGGCCCGAACCTGCTCGTTGCGCCCGTCTTCGTGCCCGAGGGCGAGGAGTCCGAGTTCTACCTGCCCGCGGGCCGCTGGACGTCGTTCTTCCACCCTTCCCGCACGCTCACGGGCCCCGTCTGGGTGAAGGAGGTCGTGCCCATCGACGAACTCCCCGTGTGGGTGCGACAGGGGAGCGTGTTGTGTCTCGGCCCGCACCAGGTCGGCCGACCGGACTACGAGTTCGCGAAGGACGTGGAGGTACATGTGTACGAGCTGGATGAGGGTGCGGTTGTGCAGACGGAGGTGCCCAGTGGAAAGCTTGCGGCTATTGCTGGCGTCGTGAAAGCGGAGGTGCGGGACGGAGAGGTGCGCGTGAGCGTGTTGGAGGGCGAGGTTGGCCTGCGTTCTGTGACCTATTTCACGGGAGGGCAGCAGAAGACGGCGGCGGTTGGGCAGGGCCAGAAGGAGGTGTCACTCAAGTTGTGAGCGGGGACTATCGTATAAGCAAAAGGTCGTGTGTACGTTACGTTGCAATGGACGGATATGATCCCTCTTCGCCCTGCTTGTGATTTGCGAGGTGTGCTGAAAAAAGTACGTGCATTCTGCGTGAAGGTTGAGGTCGTTGTCAACCCTCAGTATCCCCGCAACGGCTCGGCCCTATCCCAAGTCTCACGTGCTCAACGAAAGCTTTGTGATGCTGAGACTGGTAGCATGCGGCGGACGAGAACCGCGCACAGCACAGCATACATGAATGAAGGGGGTTGATTAGGGCGTGAAACGCGTGGGAGGACAAGAGGGCTGCGAACACCGGCCGGAGCAGGTAACACTGCCTGTGAGAGATATGTGTCCCAATCGCGGAAGCACCGTGGTACCTTTACCCTGGCATGACGGCAGGTCAATCGTCCGTGAGGTAAAACACCATCTCGGATGGACCGCACGAGGAGATGGCCGGCGTGCTGAACTCATTCGTCGTCGTGCAGTTCTTTCCACGCCTGCTCGGTCTTGGCGCGCCGGGACTTCGCGTCTTCACGGTTTTTCGTGGTGCGATCGATGCGCTAGTGTAGTAGAGATAGATTGAAGTGCTGTGGGAATTCGAGAGTGCGGCTACTGGCTCACCTCCTTCCTAAGGCACATATTCAGGTCATGCTTGGCCTGATTGCAAGCACCCGTCCAGCGCGACCACCCGTTGGCGTGGCAAGCGTCGAGCGCCTGGATAAAATCCAAGCAGACTATGAGAACGCGATGAGTCAGTGCCACGGAGTTATGCCGTGTATGGGCGTTGCAGAACACGGCCGGCGGGGGATGCGAACCTAGCTTTTTCTCCGTCAGCTGCGGGTGCATGCTGTCAGGTGGTAGCGCAGATTATGTCGGGTGTAATGCAGCTCAGAGACCGGCGCGAGACCGTAGACACCACTTGCCTGCGAGGGCGGCGAGAGACGGTGAGCAGGGGACGGGAGGTGGTGGTCGGAGGGCAAGGTAGGGCCGGACCGGACGCGGGACCCGGGGGAGAGCAAGCGCCTTGGGGAGGATGCCCGATTAGATATCAGCTCAGGCATGTCGTGACCGGGGCGCGAGGGAGTATATAGCGCGGTTGCTAATCCGCGCTCCCCCTCCTCTCCTCATCCCCACCATGTCCAAATTCACTGCCCACTCCGCGGACGACGTCGCCGTCGCCACCATTCGTGCGCTTGCCGCCGATGTCGTGGGCAAGGCCAACTCCGGCCACCCCGGTGTGTACTTCTTCGGCGGCCTTCCGGGCGCGGCGGACTAAACGATGTGCAGGTGCTCCGATGGGCATGGCCCCCGTCGCTCACGTCTTGTTCACCCGGTATGTTCTTCTCGATGCCTTGAGAGAATCCCGCTCACTCCGATCCCAGCTTCTTCAACGCTAACCCCAAGAGCTCCAAGTGGTTTAACCGTGATCGCTTCGTTCTGTCCAACGGGTGCGTACCGATTTATTGCACGCGCTTTTTCAGGATCTAACGAAGCGCGTCGTATGATAGCCATGCGTGAGTCCCCTCGCCAAGAAAGATGCCAGGTTTCCCTCTGAAGGCGCATGCCTGTTCAGTTGTGCGCTGCAGTACATCCTGCTCCACCTTCTGGGCTACAAGCTGTCCCTGGACGACCTCAAGCAGTTCCGTCAGCTCGGTTCATTGACCCCTGGTCATCCTGAAGCCGGCCACACCGACGGCATTGAGGTCACGACCGGTCCCCTTGGCCAGGGTTTCGCAAACGGCGTCGGTCTCGCCATTGCGCAGGCGCACCTTGGCGCGACCTTCAACAAGGACGGCTTTGAGCTCATCAACAACTACACCTACGGTGCGTCTGTCGCGCGCCGGGTGTATCCAAGCGACTAACGTGCGAGGTCCGCCAAAAGTCTTCACCGGTGACGGCTGCCTCATGGAGGGTGTCGCGAGCGAGGCTGCTTCGCTCGCCGGTCACCTGCAGCTCGGCAACCTGATTGTGGTAAGTACCTGCGCGAACGTTTTCCCATGAATATGTTCTGATTGCGTGATATAGATCTACGATGACAACCGTGAGCGCCGTTGCATTTGGTCACCGTGCCAAGGAGAGGCTCAATTGACTGTGCATAGACATCTCCATCGACGGTGACACCGCCGTCGCGTTCACCGAGGATGTCGAGAAGCGTTTCCAGTCATATGGCTGGCAGACGCTCCACGTTGACAACGGTGACAGGTACAGTAAGCACTATGTTGGCACAAAGCGCGTATTGACCCTCCGTGCAGCGACCTCGAGGGCATCTACAACGCCATCGCGGAGGCGCGCAAGGAGAAGAGCAAACCCACCATCGTTCGTCTCCGGACCACCATCGGCTTTGGCTCTAAGCTACAGGGCACTCACGGTGTTCACGGCGCTCGTACGTCGCAAAATGTCCAGACCCATCCATATACGTTTATTGACGTTGTTACGCCGTAGCCTTGAAGGCCGATGACATTGTGGCTCTCAAGACCAAGTTCGGTCTTCCCGGAGACCAGTCGTTCTACATTCCCAAGGAGACTTACGACGCATACCACGAGGCCGCTACCCGTGGTGCCAAGCTCGAGGCCTCCTGGAACGACCTCCTCGCGTCATATGGCCAAAAGTACCCCAAGGAGTACGCCGAGCTGACTCGCCGCATCTCTGGCAAGCTTCCCACCGACTGGGAGAAGTCGCTTCCCGTCTACAAGGCTTCGGACGATGCTCAGGCGTCCCGTAAGCTCTCCGAGATCGTGTTGAGCGCGATCGTGCCGGTCCTCCCCGAGCTCGTTGGTGGCTCTGCGGATCTGACTGGTAGCAACCTTACCCGCACGAAGACGATGATCGACTTCCAGCCTGAGAGCACCGGTCTTGGCAGCTACAAGGGCACGTACATCCGCTTCGGTGTACGTGAGCACGGTATGGGTGCCATCGCGAACGGTCTGCACGCATATGGTGGTATCATCCCCTTCGTTGCGACCTTCATGGTATGTTACGTCTTATAGTACCCTCGAGGTACGCGGCAGCTAACGAGCCTTCTTAGAACTTTGTGTCGTATGCTGCAGGTGCCGTCCGCTTGTCGGCACTCAGCGGGCACCAGGTCATCTGGGTCGGTTAGTGAACTTCTTGCCCCCATGCCCCCGCGTACGACTCACCTCATCGATAGCCACGCACGACTCCATCGGTCTCGGTGAGGACGGCCCCACGCACCAGCCGATCGAGACCGCCGTGCACCTGCGCGCGATCCCGAACCTCGACTTCTGGCGGCCCGCAGACGGGAACGAGACGTCGGCGGCGTACTACTCCGCGCTCACGCGCACGCACACGCCCTCGGTGCTCTCGCTCTCGCGCCAGAACCTGCCGAACCTGGAGGGCTCGACGCTCGAGCGCGGCCTCAAGGGCGGCTACGTCGTGCACGAGACCGAGGGCGAGGACCTCACGATCGTGTCCTCCGGCAGCGAGGTCTCGATCGCGCTCGAGGCCGCGCAGAAGCTCATCGCGGAGGGCGTGAAGACCCGTGTGGTGTCCCTGCCGTGCTGGTCCATCTTCGACCTCCAGCCGGCGGAGTACAAGCTCAGCGTGCTCCGCAGCGGTGCGCCCATCCTCGCCGTCGAGGCCCTCTCGGTATGTGCTTCTCGACGTCATCCTTTATGGAAAAACAACGGCTCATCCATTTGTGCAGACCCTGGGATGGCAGAAGTACAGCCACGAGGTGCGTTCTTTACGTCCTGCTAACGTAGCCGTCCATCGATACTGACGATCGTCGCGCAGGCATTCGGTCTCACTGGCTGGGGTGCTTCTGGCCCGTACAAGAAGGTCTACGAGAAGTTCGGCCTCACTGGTCCCAGTACGTCAGCCCGTATCAGGTATTAAGATGCACCCTGACTGATATGGTGCCTTGCAGACATCGCGGAGGTCGGCAAGAAGGTCGTCGCCTTCTACAAGAAGAAGGGCGGCGAGGTCATCTCGCCCCTGGTTAGGGCCATTGACACGATCGGGGGAGACCACCTGTGATCGCGGATGGGTTTCGAAAGGGCTTTAGCGGATTAATGGGTGGTACGATAGAATGCAGTAGTCCGGTCGCTTGTACTTCTTCAGCTATATAGAATGAACCATACGTTCAGCGATAGATCGATGGAAAGATATGCAGAAGCAACGACCGGCTCGGCACTTGTCAGTGAGGACCGTAGTTGCAGACTTGAGTCTTGCGGTCCACCGGTGCGCTATGCCCATGATATAGAAGGCTCCTGATTGGCTGACGGGAGGGACACGAAGATTCGGGCAGAGGTCCAGCGTGGCAGAGGACGAGCTGTATTAGGCGACAAGACTGATACTCGTCCGCTATAGTGGTGTACCGCGTAGTGCGGGATGTCTATCTCCTCCGCTCGACCGCAATAGTGTCCCATTTGACACGCTCGAGGTCCTCCTTCTCTACCTCCTCGACGAGGGGCTTCAAGTAACGGACATCCTGCATAATGGTCCTTGTGAGCTGGGGGAAGGACCGAAGGCTGAGATGGGTTTGCGTACCTCCTCGGGCTTAAGCCACTGGTCCTTGGGCAGGTTGTCGTGGAGGACGCTGCACTGGGAGGCACGCTTGAAGCGGTAGGCGCGGTCGTACTCCTCGCGGGGGGTCAGGCGCGCCAGAGCCTGCACGCGCCGTCAATATGACAGTCATGACGGAAAGAATAAGTGTACTCACCCGCTCGACGTCGGGCCGCTCCTCAACGACTGTAAAGGCACCGTTCACCACACCACACAAAACGCAGAGCAGAAAAGTGACGCACGGAGGTCGTCGTACTTCAAGCCGACTTTTCTGTGGCCCGCGACATTGGCGTACCAGTCCGAGACGGGCTTGAACCACTGGTAAAGGGTCCTGTTCCGGCGGATGAGGGGGGCGAGCGAGGGACCAAGGGGGCCGACGATGGTCATCGTTGTCAGTGTTTATGCAGCGTTCGTCGTTGGGCGCCCGCGTCTCGGTGCACGCCGCGACTCTCTCCGAGCCGTGCTTGGCGCTGTTTGGCTCCGGTGGCGGGAGCTCGCAGGCCGCTCCGCCCGATTTGGCAGCGATTAACAGAAGAGCATGTAGAGATCGAGGGCGAGATGTATAAAACACCGCTCCTCCTCTTCGCCCTCTTCCACCTCTTCATCTTCTTCCATCTCCCCCACCCAGCACCTACAATCGCCATGTCTGTCTCCGAGCGCACCTACATCATGGTCAAGGTGCGCAGAACGCGTCGGGCGCGCACCCGCGCCTGCACAGATCCGAACGGTGCTGACCGCGTCTCGATGTGCAGCCCGACGGCGTCCAGCGCGGAATCGTCGGCAACATCATCAGCCGCTTCGAGGCCCGTGGCTTCAAGCTTGTTGCGCTCAAGCTTGTCCACGCCACCCCCGAGCACCTCGAGAAGCGTGAGTGCCCTCCGATCTGCGTGTTTTTGCACCGTATCTGAGCAGCAGGACGCGCCCGCAGACTACGAGGACCTCAAGGGCAAGGGCTTCTTCCCCGGCTTGATCAAGTACATGGCTTCCGGCCCCGTCGTCGCGATGGTCTGGGAGGGTCTTGACGCCGTTAAGACCGGCCGTGTCATGCTCGGCGCGACCAACCCCCTCGCGTCCGCCCCCGGTACGTATCTCTCGTGTTTTTGCTATCGCATGTATTGACTATTGTGTGGATAGGCACCATCCGTGGTGACTTCGCGCTCGCTGTCGGCCGCAACATCTGCCACGGCTCGGACTCCGTCGAGAACGCCGAGAAGGAGATCAAGCTGTAAGCAAACTTTCCTCTCATTCGCCCGCTGCTCGCTCATCTTTTTCGGCTGCAGCTGGTTCCCCGAGGGCACCGTTCAGTACGTGAACGACCAGGCCAAGTGGATCTTCGAGTAGATGCGTCCGTCAGGGAAGAAGTCGAGCACAACATTTGTATAAAACCTGGCTCAGCATGTAGTCTAGAAGCTCAACTGCAAGCCCATGACCTCACGTCCTATTCTGGAGCAACGTGCCGTAACGATCGTGCACCGTCCTGCAGGCTGCCCTTCTGTATAAAAAGAAGCATCGAACGTGCCAGCCGCAAGGTTCACGCCGACTATCAATATCCATCATCATCCGTTATATCAACGTGAGGAGATGTTCCAGCTCGGCCGCCGTTAGAATCAAACGTACCAGCAAGGCGGACAGTTTCTACCTGCATGCCCTCATCCCGAACGTCCGGTTGGTCCGGTTGAGGCCGCCGACTGAAGCTAAGTTTGGCCTTTGGTTGTTTGATACGATGGTCGCTCTAGTCTGCCAACGCCATTCTTGGTACGCACACCTTCAACGAACAGGCCACTGCAGCTGCTGGTAGACCGAACGCGTCACCTTCTTCTGTCATGACTTCGCATTCTGAGTTCACGGAACTAATCTTCTCTTTATCTGTAGGCATCAGGACGGCGCGCCATATTCCTCCGCAGTTTGCAGCGAACTTAGCTCTGGCCGGTAGAATTTGTGAAACGGCGATTTCGCGCTGTCGTAACCCCTGCAGGCTACTCATGCGACCCCCAGGTGTCGAGAAGTAGGGTACAGCAGTCCGGCGTAGGTCGGATGCTTCGTAGATGCTTCGCTGAAGGATGAGATAAAGGTTTTGAGTCAGCCTTTGGAGTGGCTATGCAAGTACTACGCATGTCCTGAAGTGGATGTCACGGCTGACTCTTTCTTTCTCGATAGCGCCGCCACGGCATCTATCCCGCACCCACATGGACACCGTAACCTCTAGCTTATCCATGAAGGGGCCCTCCATCTATCGCACTGAGACACTGCAACAAGATGGAGGTCATGGAGACAAGGCAGCATCGTGCTTGACACCTCCCTCGCAGCGGGCAAGAAGTACCATATCTGTGACGATTATTTAGCATTAAACGTGCGTCTTCCTCCTTAGACGACCGCAGCGCGCGTGCTGAACAGCGCACAGGGTACCTAGGTATGCCAGACGCCTCACAACTTTCCCATACTCGCCTTGTACAGCCCGGGCGGTCAGACAGTATGCATGCGCCGCGCGCCTGACCGCGTCCAATGCCCTTCAGCACCACCTCTACGCAACCCGGCTATGTCTTGGCGTAGCGTGAATACCCTCCGATGCTCCGTGTCTGCCGACGTCAAGGGCCTGCGCTACCCATTGACCAGTCTTTGGCGACAACGGCGACGGCGCCCCGCTCGGCGGAGGGACAATCACCGCACTGCGCCCGACGCATCCAGGACGGCTATGTGTCCCCAGTATACCCTACTGCAACTGCGTCCGTTCGGAGTCTGCAGCCGCTCAGTGCTGTGGACCTACGGGGGCCTGGTATTCCAGGGTAGGCCCCCCAATCAGCCCCCGGGCCCGCGGTGGTTCAGCATAACGTCAACCTGGTGAGCCGAGCGCTGGCGTCTGTCTCAAGCATCTGGCTGGTTTTGCAAAAGAGGCGGGAACTCACTATGGCTCGCACGGCAATATTAGTGGCTGGCGCGCTCGGCGGACTTCATGGGATCGAATCTGCACCACGGCGCCGATCTCGCTGCGTCGGGGATGCAAATCCGAGAATAGATCGACAGTGCGGTACCCATGCTGTGTCTCGCAAATTAGGGAGGTGCGTGCAGCTGCGAAGGAGCGTCAGGTACACACATCCGGCCCTCATTCAACTGTGCGCCGGCAGCTCCAAAAACCGCGGCTACTGTACCGGGACTATAACCCGAACTGTTGGGATTTTAGGTGCGCGTTCATCTCGGCCGCTTTCTATTAGCCTATCTGTCTTGGCCATTGCGTCTTACCAGGAGATGATCAGCGGCGCTGGACCCCAGGGCACTAGCGGGCGGCGATGCCGTGACGAGGCGCAAGTGACACATGGCAAAGTACGCAGTATTGGTAGGATCCGTTACCGCCGCCGACGTTCGTGCTTGCTGACTAGTATCGTTGTGCGCTTTTCAAGGCGATACGCTGGACCCCCACTCCGCAGGCCGAACGTACTGGAGAGGGATGGCGTGGAGCACCGGCCGCGAGCGGGTACTAGTAGGAAGGTGCCCCCGTTTTTGGCCGATCGGCCACGGTACTCCTCTGGCTGGCGTGTGCTTGCCGAACCGCTAGGGCTCCTCGAGTCGGCTGGCTCGCGCGCGCAATGCCGCGGAATCAAGGAGGTGCGTGTGGATGCTGGCGCTATGGCAACCGCCACTGGCGGCAGTGCCGCACGCCTAACGCGGTATGTTCGCGCACTTCAAATGGTTGCACAGGAATGTTTGCTGAGACACCTGCAGATTGAAAGACCGCCACGAGGGCGGCGCGGAGTCCATGGGGTGTCTTTCCGAGGGGGCGGGGTGTAGACGGACTCTGCGCCCAGGCTATCGTGCCCCGAGTTCTCAGTGGGCACGGTGGGGTGGGTACCGTGTGTACCATCGGAGTGGAGTTGTGTATATCGAAGAGAGCCCAGCGCGTCTTTCACGATCTAGCCGAGTCAGCGAGTTAGAGCCCAGTGCGTTAAATCGAGAGTGGCTCGGCCCTTCCATGTCCAGTATAGTTTCCGTTCCCCTGGACGGGCTGCCTTGGACATGGTTGTGCCGAGATCGCGTTGATTTCCGGGCGTGCCGTACGATGGCGAACAACGGTTGAAAATCGCAGGGTGCCGCCCCCTGGGCTGTCACTCCCGTTGTGTTTGGTGGCGTATCTTGGTTGGTTGTTCGAGTCTAGCCACAATTCGGTGTGTTTCCATGAATTGCAAAAGGTACAGCGTGGAACCGACAGGGAGGCGCGCTCAGCGCGGTGGTAGTACAGTATAGTGTATAGTGTTCAACATGGTGGTCTAGCAAGATAGTGTGGTCTATTTAGTGGTACACGTATGGAAATAGAGGTGAATAACGATAACCTGCTGTGTGGGGGAGAGGACAGCAGCGATGGATATCTACAGTGTGTGTCGTCCACGGACCGCAAGAGGGGGTTTTAGTTGCTCATCCAGGGCGTGGACGGCGTGTCGGGGTGGGAGATCACTGGCAATGTGGAAGCCCGCGGAACCGCCTGGCATCTGTCGAGTCTTGAGAGTGACGTATTTCAAAGACCGTTCTAATGATACAGAGTAGTCGATCCGACCTGGCGGCGTTCTATCAGGAACATATGTCAATGGAGGGTTATTGTGGGCAACGCAGAGAATGCCTACCTATACGCTGCCTTGATTAAGCTATAATATAAGTATGTGGGTGTCGGCGAGCTTTAGCCGTGCAGCAGCTGATTTAATGTGAGGACGTGCGGTCTTGAGCTGTAGACCTGGAACGCTGGAGAACATATCAGCACGCCATTTAGCTGTTAAGCCGATACGAGGACTTACTGGTGCTGCAGTCGTCCCAAAACAGTAGACATGACCCTGCCAGGATAAAGAGGGCCCCGGCAAGGGCGAGGGCGAGCACGAAGCAGATGGTGGACAAAAGCGTGACATCCTCCGGCTCGGCCTTGAACTCAGGGTGCTCGTACAGCTTCAAGAAGCGCATGGTGGCTGCGGGGTAGTGGGGAGGATGGGTGTGGCACGGAAGGCGTACGGAGTGGCGGACCCCTGGGTAGGCGAGCGAGCTGCAGTTCACAGTACGGCCCCGCGTACTATATAGCACGCGCAGACGCTGCACCGGAGAACGAGATCTGCGCAAGCGGCCAATGTAGCGCTGGGGAGGCGCTCGCCGATGGGTGACATTCCGGTGCCAAATAGCAGCTGCGCCGAAGATGGAACGCGCGCGGGACGCTGAGCGGGTTTTCCTGCCAGGCGCAGGATCGTGGTGATGCTGCATTGCAACCCAGCCCAGCATCGCTCGCGCCGCCCTCCATGATCGAATTGCCTTTCTGGAAAGTCTTCGCCCGGACTCGAAGTTGGCTGATTACCTCCGGCGCGCTCGGACATGCTGTCAACGCCGACCGGGGGCTTCGTTGTCCTTTTCTCCGGACTCACCCTGCTACCATGGGCATTGTCCGTCGGCCGGTGTCGGAGGGCGACGTGCAGACAGCAGGCGAAGACCATCTCTCGTTACGCATCAGAGCAGCGGCGGTTCAGCCGTAGTTGGCGCCGTCGAGTCTCTGGCCGCTGGCTGGCATTGGATCCGAGCTTCTTTGAGAACGCTGTACGAATGTAGCATGGTCAGTACATGAGCTCACACATTAGAAGCCATGATCACGGCACCGTGACGTCGAGCTGATTCGCGAGCGCCCGTGAGGATGGGAAGCAAAGACCACAATGTCAATGGCGCTAAGCGTAGCATGAACAGGACACCTGGCCAAGAGCATGAGTGCAACGACAATCCAGAACACGAAGAGAGCGTGAGTGCTTAGGGGAGATCGAACTGTCCCGTACAGCGATCATTCTCACATCCCCAATGCCCGTCTCCGACGTGGTAACGTGTAGATTAGGTTGGACGCCTTGAAAGGAGTATAGGGGAGCTCTCACGAGGGGACGTCGGATCGAACATTGGCAGGCGGGAAGTTGCTACACCGGGTGTCCGAACGAGCACTTGAAACAGGCCGCATCCTCGCGTGCTATACTGCATAACAGCACGGCGGTAACGGGGTGCTCCAATTCCTTTGCAGTGCTGCCGCCCACAGCGCCTTAAGAATCCAGACAATCAGCAGTACTCGGTGTGCGAGACAGAGTTTGGATATACCTGGACATTCTCCAGCGCTGGATATTTCAGGCTTGGTTGGCCCCTAGGCCAGTATTCTGGAAGCTCTATAGCACGGAAGCCTTGGCCTCAGCGTCCCGCACTAGAGCAGCGGGATCTACGTCGTTCTCAATACGGATGGCACTGACAGTTCCGTAACAGGCACTGCGCGATTGCGTCATCGGGACTTCCGCCGAGCGGTACGAGTTCAATACAACATAGGTTGCGCCTGAGAGCGTTCTTGTGCGTTAATCAGGAACAGTGGCATCTTGGACATCGGGGAATCAGCATCGCACCGGGTAAGAAATGCTGTCCGTAGAACATCCCATTGGAATTTCATCTTGGGCTCTGGAAAGGCCACGCCGTGTCGGGTACGAGGCCGCTCGCCTCCTCAGAACGACGCCCACCCCACTGCGCGGTGATAAAACATCATTACGACATGGTATGAACCGCACGGTCGATGCGCCTTTGTGGCACTCGTATCTCTATTGCGCGGATCGCAGAGGCGATGTCTAGCAGCACCGATGGGGTACGGCGCCACAGCGACAGCGCATCCTTGGGGTCAAGGGCGCACGCGCAGCCGTAGTCCCTGTGCGCTTGAGTGCATCGAAGGTGGGATAGCATGCCAGACGCTGGATCGAACCGCACGCGGACCGCGGGCGCTGCATAAAAAGCGCTACCACGGAGTAGTCCTGTAGGCGTCTAGAAGCAGCGGAACTTATCAGTCACCCCTATATCTTCGTCCCTCAAGTAGCAATACTCACAAGCTCGCCTAGCAAGAAGCCTGCTGCAGTAAACGTCGCGCATCGCGGTCCCGCCGGTACCAGAGCGGTGGCGACCCCCGGAATGACTGTATGCGCTCGTCCATCAGCGCGATGCAGTCCCGCACGCGCCCACCGTCATCTAGAGTGGCTTAGCCCGAGCTGGTCGCGTAGTTGCACCGCCTCATGGCGACAAGGACGATGGCCAGGGCATTCCGCGGTGCGACATCGCGCCGCCGCCAGAATACGCAGTCGCGGCCGCTGCGCGGACGCAAATCCTGTTCGACCAACAGCGCGGACCACCCTAGTCTGTGGATCCACCATGATGGTGGCGGGCAGCGCACCAGCGGTGCGGTATGAAGCACAGTTACACCCTGAAACAATGTGTTCAGCGGTTGATTTGTGTAATACGAGCGCGTTATGCGTCGCGATGAGGCAGCAACTTACGGAGGACGTCGGTCGGGGTAGGGTAGCCGAGGCGGACACTGTCTACTTCGTCAGCGTCGTCGGTGGTCAAAGTCAAAGTTGAGTTGTAAGTCCACGACTGCGACCAAGGCACAGAAGGGATGGACGCTCCGGCATATCGGACAACTTCAATCTCCTCTCAACTAGATCGGACTCGGCAGAGACAAATGTCTAGACCGCACGCCGGTTGCAAATAAGCCTTGCAGGCGGCAGTGTAAACTGTTTGATGTCCACGTCCGTGCAGGGCTTGTCGCAGCCGTTCAATCGAGTACAGTCACGACGCGTTAAGCGATTCTGACTGCTCTTTGCGTGATATGATGCGCTGTAGCAGGTACTGCCGTGAAACACTGACAATGCAGCGGTAGCAGATTCAAGCATTAGACCCCGAATGCAGATCATGTTGTAATATCACTTACCTGTATTGTCCATCGTCGATGCGACGTGTCCCCTAGTGACGCACTGGGGCGGCTAGACGGTGCGCATGATTGTGGTCCTCAGCCGCATCGTGTCCCTCAACAGCTGAAAACTCGATAATGTTGTCATATTTCGCCGCAGTCGGCGTTGAATACCCTTGCGCCGCCGAAAGTACCCAGTTGAGCTTAGCACAGGTAGTGGTCGGGTGGATAGACTCAGCATTCTTAGTGGTGGTCGGACTCGCTGCGATCGGAGCTAGCGCGGACTCCGTATTCCGCTACGCCGCGTCGGCAGCACAGCTTCCGACTCCGGATTTTCCTCCCGAAACGCACACACTTGCACAAATAGCTGCTGCGGTACACCGAGAGACTGGGGTTATTGCATTCCGGAGCCAGGCCTATGAACGAGTACTTAGAGATGCTGATACAGAGAACGACGGTGCTGGTTGTGGGTAGCTATGACAACACGGGGCAGACAGACTGGAGATATAGAGGTAACAGAGCCTAGTGAGGGTATGTACCGGGTGCCGGACGCAGCGCGAGAAATTTGCAGGTAGATGATAAGTACTAGACGATGCAACAGACCGAGGCTGAACGTGCGGATGTGAATAAATAGGAGGGAGCGAAGGCGTGGATGCTATGCACGAGAGGGTAGCGAGAGGACGCGTTAGGCGCCCCGCCGACGGCCGACAATGAGGATGTCGGGCGTCGGCGAAGCGGACCCCAGGGGCCACGGGGAGGCGCTGCAGTGGGGCACCCGCGACGACATGAGCTGCACGATAGAAGGCGGAGATGTCGTCGTTCCGAGTGGCCGGAGCAAGTGCCGCGTAGATGGCGGCTATCGAATCGAAAAGCGAGGACGCCAGAGATTTGCAAGGGGGAGTAACAAAGGCGGGACAGTGAGACGACACGCCGGAGGAGCGCAGATCCACAAGGGCCACCCATTGGCTTCGACGTATGTTATGTGCCGGTAGCGAGGATGCGTGCGAGATCCTGCTCGTTGGCGGCGTAGAGTTGACGGGAGCGGGCCTTCAGGCGGACTGTGGAGGGAGCATATAGTTAGCATCTGATGTACTGCTCGAAAGCGATGAAGGAGCTTACGCATGCGGTCGAAGCTGAGAAGGGAGACCTTCGCTGCACCAGAGGTATCCTGCACAGAGCCATCGCTCCTGAGGAGCGCAGACCGGTCGACCCAGTGCTCGTCTTGCCACAACGCGGCGCGGAGGATAAGGTCGTCCATGTTGCGCGCACCGTTCGTGAAGTCGATCTGCTCTGTGCGCACGTTGAGGTTCGACAGGTAGTTGCCACGCGAGGTCAGGACCTTCAGCGACGTTGCATGCGAGCGAACGTGCGTCGAAATGTACTCGAGCGCAGCGCCTGCGGCCTGGCCGAGCGGCGTCGCGTTCGACGACTGGCTGTCGAGCTCCATGACGACGGGGAGGGGTACAACGAGGGTCCAGAGGCCGCTTTCGACCAACGCAGAAAACTCAGAGAGAGACGAGAGGAGGATGTTGGTGTCGACGACGAGCACGGTGTACCCTGCGACCATCTGGAGCGATTGGCGCACAGCCTCCGTCTTCCTCGCAGGTGATCCTCGCGAGCGGCGGCTTGGCGATGCGCCATCGTGTTGACCGGACTCTAGGAGCGCCTGCAAGTATCGCCGGCGAGCCTTGAGAAGCGCGGAGGGCGGGTTAGCTCCATACAGACAACTGCACCCGAATAGACGGCGTACCTTCAGCCGCCGAATCTCCTCTGGATCCTGCTCGTTGTCCTCCGCGTCTTCGCTCAAGTCATCATCCACCTGCCCGCCTTCCACGTCGTCCACCTCCATCGAGTCGTCCTCCCAGCGCGTTCCCCGCATGCGCTGCTCCTCCGCGTCCCGCGCGTGCCTCTCTTCCTCGCTCCAGCGCGCGACCTTCGCTGCGAGCGCGCCCTCGACGCGCCAGCACGGCCGGCCGTCCTCGGGCGACGCCGCGGCGAACTTGAAGCCATGCACGTCACGCGCGATGCGCAAGCCCGCGCGCGTGAGGCGCACCCAGCGCCGCTTGTCGGGGTGGTTGTCGCCCGCGTTCGCGCCCTCGCGCCCGTCGTCCTCGTCCTCGACGAGTCCATCCATCGCCTGGTCAGCTACCTCAACGCGGTCGAGCACTTCGACCTCGATGTTGCGCTCCTCGCCGGCGGTGTCCGAGTCCTTCGTCCAGAACCCGCGCTCGAAGACCTTCTTGCCGCCCCAGCCCATGCCGCGAATGCACCAGTCCTCCGGGAGCGGTTTGCAGCCGCTCGTCAGGAGAATGCCGCTCTCCGCGCTAACCTTCTGGTGTTCGCGAAGGATATCGCGGCGGGGAATGTTGTTCGAGAGGAAGGACGCGAGGTCCTCCCAGGGGACTGAGCGCTCGAGCGCAGCCCGGGCGGATTGGTCCCGGAGAACGGTAGCGAGGAACGTGAGGATGACCGTGTTGTACGGGTTGAGCGTTGGCGTCGCGTATTCACTGGCCCGGCGAACTGGGTTGCGGAGTGTATGCGAGAGCATGACGAAGGTGAGTTCCATGGCGAGCTGAAGCGCTGCGGGAAGTTCGGGTTCCGCCGATGTCGGGGAAGGCACCTCGCTCGTGCCAAGGGAGGACTTGTCGATGTCAACGTCCTCATCGTCGATCTCCATCTTGGAGAGATCGCCGTCGAGACGTTTGGCCATCAACACCTTCAGCCTTCCCGCCTGCGCACTGTTAGCAAGCACCGGGCTGGCGCCCGGGGCACCGGGTGTGCGCGACTCCACTCCCGCGACGCGTCGTAGGACAGCGGTGGGGCGGCCGTACTCGAAGAGGGACCCGATGTTGATGAGCGCCATCATGATCCATTCGCGCTCCTCGACCTGCTCGCCGTCTGGTAAATGAAGTTAGCGCGCGCTCGATAACATGAACGCCGTCGCAAACTTACCTCCAATCTCGAGCTTCTCCCGGAAGCGCTCCAGCACCAGCTTGAAATCATCGAGCTGGATGTTCGTGAACAGCATCCCGTGCAGGCACACAAAGAGCTCGCTCAGGCGAGCATCGGGCGCCTGACGCCGCGCCTGGGCTGTCGGTGACCACATGGCCAGGACCGACTCGCGCGCCGTGGAGAACGGATGGAAGGCAACCATACTGCGAAATTTGAACGCGTCAGCTATCACGGTCGCAGCAAATTTTATCTGCGCACTGACCTCTTCACGAAGTGATACACGCCGCGCAGCTCCTCGTCCGTGCCGTCCTTGTCACGGCACAGTAGGCCGAGGTGGTGCTGCAGCTTGCCGGAGTTGGGCGTGATGGCAAGCCCGCGCGCGAACCACTCCTTCGCAACCTGTCTCCATCGCTCCTTGTCCGGGTCCAGCTCCATGAGGCGCGCGGCCTCCTGCCCGACGCTAGGGATGTTCTGCATGTGCGCAGCACCGCCGGCTATCGCGTCCGCGCCGACCGGCATCTCGGCTTCCGAGGATTGCGGACTATCGTCGATACGTGCGGGCGTCGGAGAGACCGCGTTGGAGGGGAGGTCCAACGCGTCGGTTGTGGCGTTCGGGGTCGACGGCCTTGGTGTGGGCGCGACTAGCAGGTTGTTCTTCGCGACTGCGGAGGACGTGAGGGTGTTGCTGGGGATGTGCGTCCCCTCCACCAGCGCGCTCACGGCCATCCAATACCGGGAGAGGTCGCCGAGTGCTTCAAGGAAGGCCCCGCGGTACTGCGAGTAGTTGCGCTCCTCGAACAGACCGCCGTAAAACACGTACGCGTAGTTCAGGAATTGCTGTGGGCGCAGTCAGTATCCGCAGCGCCTGAGCGTCCCGGATCAGACTTACCTGCAGGTACTCCAGCGCGACTGGAGATGTTGTCGGAGGGCGCGCTGCGTGTCGCAGAGACTCGAGCAGGTGATAGAAGGCATGTGACCATAGACGAATGATCAGGTTGTACTTCTGGGGGATATTCTTGAGCGACGCGGGAACGGTTGGCGCTAATGTGAGTGCGAGCATCTCACGGATGCTCTCCGCGAGTCTGGAAAAATGGCAGCGTTATCAGTGGATTGTAACAGGGCGGGGAGGCCAAACTCACGCTCGGTGGTCAGAGACCAATTTACGCCATCGCTCAGATTCTTCCTCCTCGCTTGCCCCGGACCGCGGTGCGCCCGTGCTCGCCGGACGCCCTTTGATCAGAACGCCCGGTCTGTGCGCACCACGCTCGCTATCATCTGCGCGTTCCCGCTCGCTCGCATTCCCAAGGAGTCTGCTCTCCAGCCCACTGATGGTGCGGTAGACTTCCTTCAGCTTGCGCGAGAACGCGTTGGCGCTAGACGCGCTATCCTCCGATTTCCGACTTGGATTTGAGGTATCGAAGAGTGCCGAAGAGGCGGAAGATGAGTCGGTAGTGGCGGAAGAGAGTGTGAAATTAGAGGATATAGTAGAGTGTGCATAAGATACTGAAGATGTTGAGGATGCAGAGACCCAGTCGCCAGATGATTTCGGTGTGGGGGTTGGGCGACCGACGTTGGAGGAGGGGTTGGGAGGTGCAGATGAGCCGTGATGGCGATGCTGCGAGGAGAAGAGGACGGCGTCATGTTTGCGAGGATCGAACAGTTGTCGATGAGCATCTTGTGCGCCGCGCGGTGCTTGTGAGGGTTGTGCTCGCGATGGGGCGGCGCGAGGGGAATGCGAGCTTGATGCGCCGTCGGACATCACTTCAGGCTCGGCGGTCATGGCGGGTCTCCGCACTGGGTCGGTGTTCGGGTTGTAGAGCTTACCGGGGCTCCCGTTCGCGGCTGGCCGCGCATGTGAAGCTCTTGGCGACCCGTACGAGATCTTGAGGCGGCGCGAAAAGTCCTCGGGGTCTGCGTCCATATGAGATGGAGAGGCTTCCGAAACAACGATGTTCGGACTGGGGACGGGTGGCGCATGTAACCTTCGCGGCGAAGATGGGTGCATGGGGGTGGGTCTGGACGAGGTTGAGGGTTGCGTCCTCTCGGGCCGCTCGCGTGGTACAGCTATCCTGTATAGTGAAAGGTGTTGAGATGCCACGCAAATGAACACATAAAGGATACGTACGCTGCCTGTTTTCGCCTGAGAGCGATTATCTTGTCCGCGATGTCTGGTTCCCTCTCCTTGCCTTTCCTCGAAGGGGTCGCGATTTTGGTCTGGGACGGCTCCTGCATAGCGTGTAAAAGAGGTGGTGGTGGGCGCGTCGACGCGCTGAAGACGAAGTGATGGATGGAGGAAGAGAAGGAAGACGACGGAGAGAAAGAGAGGGAGTGCTGCGATGCGCAGTGAGGGGGAGGAATGCTAGCGGGATCTGCCCTCAGCCAATTGCGAAGTCACTGGCCTGCGCACTCCGCAGTCACCACCGCTGCGCATTTCAGATCTCGATCGATCCTCCGACCCTGTCACGCCGTCCTCCTCGGGCCGCTTTTCCCCCTGGCGGTCACAGCATGTCACGGGCGGTCACCGGTGACACCCAGCTGCGGCACCGCACGGCTGTCCGCCATCGCGCCTCTTGCCTCCCGCCTCCTCCTCGTCGAGCTCCAGCCGCCGCAGCCTCCGGATCGTTCGACAGCCTCAACGCGCCCGCCTCACACCGTCTCATCCCTGCTTGTGTCGGGCCGACGGCCTCCCCTCTGCCCGAAACCCTTTGCAGTTGCGCACTCACTGTGCCTTACGCTCCCCACATCAGCGTGTACGTCCACCTGTTCGTGCAGCACCTCCTACTGGCTCGTCTACATGCTTCTCTCGTCGGTGCCTCCTCGGAGTTGGCTCTCCGGGCCCGTTCTCGTCAGCGTCTTCGCAAGATTGGCAGTTATTCTCACCCAGCGCCTTCCGACGGCCACCTGTCCCTCACGGCGGCTTTTGCTCTGCCGTCCTGCCCGCGCTACCGCTCCCAGGGCTATATATGATCCTCGATTTTTCCTGTCTCTCCTGCTCAATCCAGTTACTCTCTCCGACCTCCCCGTCCTGCTTCCCATGCTCGGATAACAAGGTTACAAGGACACGTCCCCGCCAGCGCGCCTCGCGGCAAGTCACCTCCATGCGGTTATCGCCCTATTTCTGCCCCCGAGCAGCGCCTTCCATACTTCCTGAACTGCCTACTTCTACCGGTGAGTAATTTGACGGCATCAATGTGTCTATTCGATCCTTGTTATGCTCCCGTGCAACCACTTTCTTTTGATCTGCTATCGCACATCTGGAAACGCAACACGTCACACATTCGACCGTGCTATAATGCATATTGTCTGTGTCGAGGTTTCTTGATGCATTATGGGGTATTGTGCATCGTATGATGAATTTTGAGACTATGCTTCAGGCGCTATCAACATCATAGGCGTATGCATTATAAGACAGCCGACTGTACTTGGCTTTTGCCATCCCCCCTTGGTCACAGCTTCGAGTTCCAATACGTTTAGTCTTCACAAATCCGAGGCTGGCAGGCGCATTTGCACCGCTTGTCGCTTCATCCCGTCTGCGATAGTACAGTACTGTTTCTACTAGCCGTAGACGGAGAGGCTGTCTTCCGATTACCGCACTCCATGAATGCACTGCCTCGTTTGAATGGCCACCGCTATTTGACGACGGCAAATGCGATGCGAGACACACAACGCGAAGGGTGCAGACGGGGCTATGCCTCATTTGTGCACAGACTCTTTCCAGCACTGTTCGTGCTTGAATAGAATCTGTTCCATCTGCCGCCATCTCGAAGCTTGCGGTTTGCCCTTCTTCAGCGGAACTCCTCCATACAATAGTTGAAACGCCGTCGTATATCATAGCATGAAATGCGACGGGCGTTGAACTCGTTCCAACGCGAGCGCGAGTGTACGCCCGCCGTGTGTCGACCTCACTTGAGACTGTAACATTACTATGCTTCGTCTGCCCTTCCCCATCCGTGACTGCAGCCTCTCATCAGAGGGCTACATATACATATACGAAGGTGCTCGCCTTTTTCTATCCCGTCATGGTGATATGTGGACTCGGGCCCACCCTGCGCCTCGAATCTCAATCTGAGGCTGGTTATGGTATATCGGTGTCACTCAATGCTTCGGGTGCGATCCCAGTTATCCCTCGAACCCAAAGATGTTCCTACAAATTTCCCCGCCGCAATCTGATCCCGAACCCTCGATGGCTTCAAGAACTCTCGTAGACGGATGTCACGTCACCACGCATGATGGCCACCGCTCACGAGTATGCTGCGGTGCACGCCACAGTCGCCGTCAGTCCTCGCGCTCTAAAGCCCACGCCGCGGACGGAAGGAAAGGTACGTACTCGCTTCCCGTACAGAACGTACTGGCGTCGCTCGCCAGCCACGCGACGACCCCACGCAGCTCGTCTGGCCGCCCGAGGCGTCCGAGCGGGTTCAGGCTCGCCCACTTGTCGAGCAGGTGCGGCTGCGTGTCCAGGTACGCCGCGGTCATGCTATATATAATAATGTCATCAGCGTCCGTATCTCGATCAGGAATCACGCCTCAGGACGAGCGTGACAAGTCAATTTGACATGGGCAAGCATGGACATCAACCGAGGACAGAAAGATGCGCTCTCGAGGCGCCTTCTCCCCGCGCTTCTCGACGTCTTTGGCCGCCCGGGCTCACGAGGTGACCGGCGGGGCGCACTACCGCAGCAGTGCTTCCGTACACCGGCATGGCACTGGCGCGCGCCACCGGGCTGCAGTTTGCAGCGCAGACGGCGACGCGTCGACAGCGAGCCCGCGAAGAATGTATCGTACTCACTTTGTGTAAATGTGGCCCGGGCTAAGGGTGTTGACCCTAATGCCCTTCGGACCGAGCTCGCAGGCCATGCTGCGGCCCATCTGGATGACGGCTGACTTGGACGTGTTGTATGACACCCACGCGTGGTCCTGTAATCCCGATACGCGTCCCGGCGCAGCCCGTCAGTGATATGCAAAGCTGCAAAACACCCAGTCCCGCGCCCGCAGCCACGCACGGCGCGCCCTTTGCACGTAGCCGGGAATCATGGGCATAGACCGGGTGTGCGTGTACTCACCTTGTTCGTGATACTCCCGCTCATGCTCGCGATGAGGATGATGCTCCCGCCGTTCCCGAAACGCGACATCTGGCGGCCCGCAGCCTGCGCAGTGAACAAGACGCCGTTCACGTTCACATCCAAAACCTGTAGATCGACGCGTCAGTGTCACAGGCGTACGTGCACGCTCGACAGAGTGTGTCCTGCGCCGGAGCTTGCTCGGCCTGCGGGCGGGTGCCAACTGCGCCGATCATGTAGCAGCAGGATGCGCAACCGCCCACTGCGCTGAACAAAAGAGAGGACCACGTACGTCCTGGAACTGCTTCGCCGGGTACTGCAAGCAGTCCGTATGGGTCTTCAGCACACCCGCCGCAGCGACGCACACGTCCATGCGCCCCTCGCGCTCCCCGACCGTCTCTCCGACCTTCCACATTGCGGCTTGGTCCCGCACGTCTGCGCTAATATATTCGAGACGACCATCGCTGGGGAGACCCTCGAGTCGCGCGGCGTAGTCGCGCACTGCGGTCCACTCCGCACCCGGTTGCGCGGGTAGGTCAACGCAGTACACCGCGCGGGCACCGGATTCGACAAGGGCGAGCGCCATCTCGAGTCCGAGCCCGCGGTTGGCCCCGGACACGAGCGCGACGCGGTCCGCGAGCGAGAACTCGTTCGCGAAGAGCGTGGGTTTCGCGGCTAGGAATGAATGTCAGAAGATATACATAGCGCCCTTCTGCGCAGTTGTGGGTGCACATACCCGTGCCCGGCGATGCCTCCAACGCTTTAGCGACGCCCACAGGTCCATACGATGGCAAGGTGCCGCTCTTCTTCCAGGCGTCCGAGGCTGCGTCGTGAAGACGAGAGGTGCTGGAGAAGCCGGCCCTGAGGAGGTGCTGTGTGCCAAGATTGCGCCGCTGTTGAGCCAAAGCCACAAAGGCTCTCCTCGATGTATGCGCTACGTTCATCGTAGAAGGTGTGGGTGGATGATGAGGCTTGCGCTATCCGGAAACCAGGAGAGACAATAGCGAGAGGGGGTGATAGCGATGTAGTAGAGGCGAGCTGGGAACTTGCTACCGTCCTGTTTCTCACCTGCACGTACATATAGACGTCTGAAGGCTGCAACAGGCTGCGTGACCACCAATGCGGGAGTCTATCATACCAGAAAGTGAAGAAGGGAGGTCGAAGAGGTCATGAGACCGTCATGGGATTCTGGGACCTGCGCGTTGGAGCACTCCGGGAAGCAGGCACGACGGCGTAGAAGCTCTCGCGAGTCGGCAAGTCTGATAGGTCGCTGCAAAGAAGTGCAAAGAGCGTTGGCGCATCTTTTAAGACGAGAAGACAGTCCCGCGGACGTGGTCAGCTGGGACGCAAGAGCGTGCCATGACCGTACTCCCAAGTGAACTCGAGCTCGAGTTTTGTAATTCCGTGACACCGCTTGCGCACCCCGTTGTTTGTTGGACAGCTGCATAGCGTTTGCGACGGTCCCATGCGGATGGGATTCGTCAAAATCACATAAGTAAAGCGGTGGTCCGGCCTCTGCTGCGACAGTGCAGTCACCTGGCGCGGTGAGCGCGCGAGCGCGGGTGTGATGGATGCAATAGGCACCCCAAGCGTCTCGGCCCGGGAGAGCTCTGCGAGGGCGGCTCTAAACTGTGTGAGAACAGACAAATACTGTACAGGGGCATGACGCTCAACCCGTATGCTTGGGCACCCGCGTCGTCCAGGATATGATCTTCGCGAAGAGTCTGCGGAGCGACGCGGCGCCCCACCGGGAGGAGGGCTCTTCTCCGTTCCATTCGTCCATAAGCTGCACGATCTTCATGTCCTCGTCCAGGTCTACGAAAACAACTGACTTGATTTCCTGGTAAGGACGCGAGCTATGCGTAAGTGCAGATGGATAAAGAGATGTTTCGAACACTCGGACCTTGCGAATCCCAAAGAGGCGAAGAGTGTACACATATGTTTGCGTATATACTAGGCGATTTGGTGAAAGGCCGGCGGATAGGATGCGTGTTTGAACATGTTGCACTGTCTTGAGCAAGCGAGGCTATACCAGAAGGGTATCGGTCGTTAGCTAGTTCTTCGCGGAGCTGCAAGGCTGCTTACCAGGGCGAATAGCACCGCGCTGATTTCGTGGAGGTTCTTGCACTTGAACAAGGGATGTTCTAGCAACGCGTCTTTGTTCCACCGCCGGCGTACAATCTCTAAATTGGGTTTCCCCCCATAAAGCTATATTACACAGGATGTCAAGGTAAGCTCTGCATTAACTGACCAGCCATGGGACTAACCTGCTCAAGATCACTGACTACGTCCTTGAACGCAAGGGCGACGCTAGGATCAAGTTCTGTGCTGCGCAGACTACGCCTCCGCCATGCCTTTGGGTGCAAAGGCGGCTCGTCGGCATTCCGCTGTGGCAAAGCGCCAGAATAGTGCGCTCCGCCGGTAATAGATCCTAGAATGTCATTTGCGCGAACGGCTGGTGCTATGCCAGCGCGATGGCGGGTAATCGTGGGGGACGGCGAGAGCGAGTGCGCAGCGTGAGGGGTGGTTTCGGAGTGCGACATATTGTTGGCAACGGTGTCGTGCACTCTGGACCGTGCTTGAGCGTGTATCCGGATGAGATGAGCGATGCGCGGTCTCCAGTGGATGTGGTTCGGTTTCAAGGGAGGTTGCGTACCTCGGCGTCGCTCTGACATGTGAAACGTCGTCCAGGGGCCTTGCGCGGAATGTCGGAACTACGGCAACATTCGATCAAGATCGAGGCAGCCTCCGGCCACAATCCAGAGTGCCTTGGACGTCAAACGAATATGTTGCTACTTGAAGTCGATGATGTGCGTTGCAGGCCACAGCACAGTAGATAACCGCGTGGAAGGAAGAGCAAGATGAGCATAGTTATCGCATGGTATGAGTAGCGAGAATGTAGGTGGTCGTAGTTTCTAGAGGGATCGGAGGCCTAATAGGATTACAGGCTGTGGTTCCTGAAAGTATGCCCGATTCACCGGCAATGTCCGAGCCTAAACAACTTGAACTTAGCTCAAAGCCAAATGACGGTCACTAAGTAGGTACGTACTAAATCCTCTATGTCATCCTGCCTCGACTTGCCAATAGTCTCAAGATCATTCGATGCTAATGAAACTAAGTAGGAGTAGATGAGCTGGTGGAGGAAGAAGTCAACGCAGGTCAATATGAATTCAATTCCAACTTCTAACGCTGCATGGCGCTCACGCGGTTGCAAGTGACGCCAGCCAAAACCTACCTCGATCACTACATCTACCTATCACTGCATTGAGCCACCTATATCTGCGAATACTACAGACAGGGTCACCAAGATAGTCGACGTCAAGAAGTCAGAGGTTTCAACACCTGTACCATCTTCTGTGCTAGATGAGCTTGTAAAGCGCTCGCTAGCAGACGTCGCAGAGAGGAGTCACGGCACCGCCAGGACAACGCGCAGCTTACGCACGTCAGACAGCAACTGTCTGCTCAAAAGGAACAATCGGAGGAGTGCGTACATGTAAGTGAGCAGCCGAGAATGAACTGCTCAAATGTCGACACTAGGTTTCGAAGATGGCTTTGCTACGCAAACAGATTGAAGAGAATATCCCTCAAATACTTCATAATGAAGACTGGGTACGGCATTCTACTCCACTCTCTGCACAGAAATAGGACACGGGTGCTGACGAAGTCGACAGCGCACGCCGTCGGCGGCTCCCAGGCTCCCACACGAAATACTCCTCGTCATCTTCAGAGCTGCCCGTGCACCACGCTATCTGCGCGCCCCATCTGTCAATGCTTGCCACGGCTCCAACAGCACATGGCTCTCCGAGCTGCGCGTACGCAAAGCCCTCATGTTGGTCTGCAAGGGATGGTCCGACGTGGCGACGGAGCTATTCTACGAAGACATCGTGCTCCGACGGATGGGTCAAATCATTGCGCTTGCGGACATTCTTACGACCAATCACGGTTCGCAACGGGACCTCGCGATGCTTGTGAAGAGCATTCGTCTGGATACGTGCATCGTCCTAGGGCCATGTGCTGACGCCGTCCGCGATGCTTTTACATCCATCCTATCGCTGTGCATAGCGCTTCGGGCTTTCGAATATCATACAGCCAAGAGCTTCCCAACAACACTTACGCTACCTCCGGGAGACTCTGCCGGCGCATTCAACCCAAGCTGGTTTGTCGAAGACGGTCCTGAGGCCTTCCAGCTTGCCTTTCGGGAGCGAGTGTCGATGCTCACATCGCTGGACCTCGCAATGCGTCTATCGCACAAGCAAGTCGCGCACCTACACAGGCTTCTCTCCACCGCAACATGCCTCGAAATTCTGAAAGTGGGCCAGGTGTACCACGTGGAGCACGAAGGAGATCATCTCGACTCGCTGCCGGTCCTACACCTCCCAAAACTGAAGGCGCTCTATCTTCCCGTCATCGAACCCCGCTTTGTCGCCTATGTGTCCACGAATTGGGTCATCCCCTGCTTGAAGCAACTGACGACTCTCTTCTCATCCGAGACCTTCAAGCCCCGCACGCTCCTTGCGGCCCACGGCGCCCGTCTCGTCTACCTGCATCTCTATCCGAAGAGGGACCTGGACCTCGCGATCTGCAACGAGGATCTCGCGCGTGTGGTCGAGTTGTGCCCCGTCGTGGAACACCTCGTGCTGGGCCTACCGATTGCTATGTTCAAACACAGGTCAAAACTGTCCGCATTCTGCGCCCTGTCCGCCGCTCTCCGATATCTAGATATATGGACGTGGGGGCATGCGTTCCACAGTCCCCGCCGATACAAGTTCCCTACAGCCGTTGCAGTCCACGTGAGGTACTTGAACCGGAGGCTCCCCTTCGTTGACCTCCCAACGATCTGCGATCCAAGGATTCATCTAGAGGGCGATGAAACGCGTATAGTCGACTTTCCTTGGACTCAGGCCGCCTGGTCCAAATACTGCGTTTTCCCCGTGATCACTCCACATTCAGTTGCAAAAGCAATCAGTGACGAGGACGCCAACGCAGACGAGTGGAGCGAATACAACCCGGAACGCGAAGAGACTGACTCCGACAACACCGACGACACAGACCAGTCCACCCGGGAGGATGCGAGCGCCTTACTCTTGGAGGAGCGGGGGTATGTCGACGGAAGCGAAGAGGAAGAGGACGAGGCTGACGAGAACGACCAAGACAAGTTGGACGAAGACGTCGACGACTCCGAGGGCGTTTCAGAACGCGAGTCGGACTATCGGGATGCCGGCCAATAACCAGACCACCCTACTATACTAGCGATGTTTCGAAAGAGTCGCTTCGATGAACGATTGTCAAAGAATATCTACGAGCCTTGGTCTAGCTCGGTGAACCGACAAGCGGCCCTGTCATGTTGTATATTTTTGCAGTATAATGATCTGTACATGGCTCTGATGCATGATTCAAGACAACCAACCGGCCGCACGGGTAAACTCGTCGCACTTGCGGTTACCAGTGGACCCGAGAAACTGCGTCCATGGGTGACTCGGGTGTAACGGGTGCGACGTCTCGAAGTCCGGAGCACCGACTATGTTATATGTAGAGATATAATAGATACAAGATCCGCTGTGTGCATTCCTTGACTTAGGGGTAAGTAGAAGTAACCGAGCCGCGACCCATTCAGGACCGGGCCATCAACTGGAGGGAACGGACGGAGCGCCCGCGGGCCTATCACAGAACTCTGGTCTAAGTGATATCCAAGTATCACCTAGATAACCTCCCAAAGTGACTATGCCGGCTCGTTCCGCGGCCGAAGAATATTCCTTGAATCTTGTCACGCCCGCTTGAGCATAGACCTTGGGAGACGCCTCCACTAGATTAACGGCGACCTGGGTGCGTAGCGGAGTGTCATTCCCTCCCTTCCTGAATGTCTCCAAGACGTCGACGAGATGTCTGAACTTCTCAGGGACGGGGGATTTCGCCTGGACATTGTTGAAGGTGCTGCCTGACGGCTCGGCGGTCTTCTCCGAGACGGACCGCGAGCGATCCAGAGGAGTTGGTATCGAGGTGGAAGGAACCACTGGCGGCGGAATGGAAGGACCCGTTGGCGGCGGAATGGGAGGACCAACCGGTAGAGTTGGAGGAGCTATAGGTAGTGCTTCGGGAGCCACTATCCGCTCGGGGACCGGGTGGGCAGTTTGTCGCGCGGTCGATGGACTGGGGCTTGCTGTCGCGGAGAGGGTTGGCTTAGAATCCAGTAGCGAGACTGGAGATACTCGCGAACCTTGTAGAGGTGATGATGGTTTAAAAGGCGGGTCGCTCTGTATCTCCGACAGGCGGCCCACCAGAGGTAGGCGCGACATGTGTGGCTGGGGTTCTGAAACTGGATCGGCAACAACCGGCGAGGATGTCTCGAACGCTGCCACGTTCGGAGGCAAAGATGAGCTGGTCTGCTCTATGAAGATGTTTGATGCTCGTATGTCTGATGCTTGCATGACATCAGTCTTGTCGGGACGAAGTCCGCTCGAAGGAGGGGCGGGGGCAGGTTCCAATTCCTGAGAGAGGGCGAAGATCTATCAGTTCTCGCGGTACTTGAGGCTAGACTGGAATTGACATGTACACTCACATCTGCTATAGTGGCTTGTTTGTAATGAGAGATTGTTCTGGATGGCGGCGCCGTCGGTACAGCGGTAGGCATTTCAAACTATGTACGAGCAATGGGAACGTCGTTTGTGTACGGCACCCGATAGGACGGTTGAGCTCGTTAGTTATCGGAGAAACATAAGACCGCGTGCTCTGCGTACCTGACTGGGCGTAGGAGTGCCTCGACACTTCGTCTCCTGCAGATCCTCTATCACATTGAGGATATCTGGGATTGGCTGCCGATCCACCAGCATATCTTCATCTTCGTTGTCGTCGGCGTACCCGGTCAATGACGGAAACGCACTCTGACGCGCAGATTCACGGCATAACGAGCGGAGCGCTGGGTACGGAACATCGAAACGCAGAGTTCCGTCCACCGCAGCCGCAGAGGTGGTCCTCAAGTGTCGTCGGCCTTGCCATAACGGTGCACCACCATTGGGCACCCCGTCACCCTCCTCCGGACCGGCCGCCTGAGCGTTCGCTACAGCCCTCAAAGAAGGACGACGATCACGAAAGAACTTGGGGGTGACTGGCGGCATCGTTCCCCCATACGCCAGATTCACGGGTGGGCGTCTGGGAGAGCGGTGCAGGGCGTCATCCAGAGGCGCTTGGTAGTACGGCTCAGGCGCCTGAGGGCGCACGCTCGTTCTGCGCATGATATCCGCCTCCCAGTCCAACACGGCGGACGCTTGGGACTTGAGGCTCCCGTGGGCGGTGTAGGGGGCGACTACAACTACGCGGTATCTGCGCAGGCGCAGCACAGAAACGGCGTAGACGAAGTCGCGGTCTCCAGAAATGAGCACGACGGTAGCCGGTGCGGGGTTGTCGATCGCGTATGTGAGCATGTCGACTACGTGCTGCATGAGTGAGTGCGGAGAAAGCCAGAGAGGGTACTGCCACACACCAATCATCATCTTGTCCGCAACATCCTTCCGGCCGTTGTGCGGACAATCGGTCAGAGAAACACCGCACGACTGCAGCTCGGAACGGAGACCAATCGACTTCGAGGACGACTGCTCGGACAGCTCCAAGTACGCCTTGAACAGCTTGACGCTGCCGTACTGGTGCGCAACTCGACGAATATTGTTGACGACGTCATAGCCGGGTACGTTACACGGAGGAGTACAATTTTCTGTAGTCATTTTAGAGCCCGCGCTACGGTTGGCACAATGAGCAGGTGTGCGTACCATAATCCCAGAAAATTGCGACGTGCTCGTCGAACGTATCCGTCATGCGGAGTGAAACGGGATGGTGGAGGTGACTCAAGAGGTGTGGTCCCCGCAATCCATCCAGGGGGATGCTTTCTTCTGTACGGCATGTCAAGGGCACGGGCGGTGCGCCGAAGCCTTGCCGGTTTCCCGAGGACGTTGACAGGACCGTTTAAGGCTTTCGACCTTCTGTCTGGAGCCTGAGTTCATTTCGGGGTATTGTCCCTTAAGTTGGATGCGTGTTCTCAGCATAAAGAGGTGTACATCGGCAGGACAAGAAGAGCAACACGCGTGGTACGCGGTGTAAACATGAGAGAGAGCTGGAGGAGGCAATGGAAGCGTTAGGTAGAAGACGCGCTCGGCTAGATTAGATTAGATTAGATTAGAAGTTGCGACCCGCCGGTACTACCACTCAACGCTCAGCTTCAATTGACTCATGAGTAACTTTAGACACGCTCGAGCTCAGTGAGAATCAATGGACCAAGAGATTGCATCGTGACATTGTTGTAGGTATCGTGGTGATCGTACAGGGGTAAAATTACACGCAGCACAGTAGATCTATCCGAGCATAGCGGACACACGCGCGAGTCATTATTTTCAGCCGTTAGACTACAGACCAAGTCCGTGACGGCGCAGAGAGCGGGGACGGGAGGCGGAGTACATGATGAGGGTAAGAGTGTGACATGACGTGAGGAGAGACCAGGAAAGAGGGGAAACAGAGGGTGAGAGGGAGGGTGGTGGACTCGCCCCAAGCACTAGTCAGAGGCGTCCGTCTGCGACATCGACGGCTTCTTATGCAGGCTCGACTGCACAGACCGGTCCTGGATGGAGAGGCCGCGCTCCGCCGCGTGCACGGCGGAGATCAGGTCGAAGTGGAAGAAGGGGGTGTCCTGGGGGACTATAGGGCCCTCGGTCTCCTCCGCGATCTCCTCGACCGCCTCGATGTCGGACGCCTTGTTCTTCTCGGGCAGCGTACGGCGACCACCGCGGTAGGGAACGACAGGGGCGATTTCGGCGGGCGAACTCGAGGAGGGCGCGCCGGTGCCGAACCCGCCTGCGACGAGCGCGCGACGAATCCATGGCGACAGGATGGTCGCGAAATGGAACTGCAGGCAGGAGTCAGCATGCTGTCGCAGAAGTAGACCGATTCGATTGTGAACCTACCTCGACATTCTTGTCCGCCCATCGCTCGACCTCGTTACGCGTGTCAATGAGAGCTTGTACTGCGGTAGTGTCGACATGCGAACTAGATTGAAAGGTCAGATGAGGCGCCTGTGAATAGCAGACAGCGTATGCTTACACTCCAGAGAAGTCCAGGACGATAGCGTGCAGGACAGGCTTCTCCAGGTTGTCGGCGTTCTCGTCGCGACCAGGCCTCGGGCCAGGGTCGTTCCATGGACGGTCGCTCATGCTGACCTTGCTCATGTCCCTCCCACGGCGCATGTTCGTCTTGACGTGGTCGACGAGCGCGTCGTTGAGCAGCGAGATGTTCGGGTACAGCGCACTCTCCTCGAAGCGGTACACGATGACGCCCGGCGGGGGCGGCTCGACGCGTACGGCCGGGTGCAAGACGCCGGGGCGCTGGGTGAGGGGCACGAACACCTCGCGGACGGCGGACTTCTCCGCGTGGAGCGTGACACGGCCGAGGAAGTACCCGCGGGGGTGCGCGATGCGCACGAGGAGCAGCGCGAGCGACGCGCAGATCGAGGTGTAGATACCGTTCTCGATCGTCGTGAACACGGTGACGAGCACCGCAGCAAGCCAGATGATGAACTCGAGCGGGGACACGCGCCAGAAAGCGAACACCTGGCGGGGCGAGGCGACGAGATCGGCGACGGCGTGGATGACGACGGCGGAGAGGCCCGCGCTCGGGATCCAGAAGAAGGCGGGGGTGAGGCCGTAGAGCGCGACGATAACGACGACGGAAGTGAGGATACCCGCAGCAGGGGTACGGACACCGGACTTCGACTTGAGCGCGGAGCGGGAGAAGGAGCCGGTGGCGGGGTAGGCACCGAAGACCGTGCCGATGGCATTCGTGACACCGATGGCGATGAGCTCCTGGTTGGGGTTGATCTTGTAGCCGTTCAGACGACCGAATGCTGCAAACTGATGTCAACTACTTGCTCGCAGTCGAACGATCTGAGAGACTTACACTTCGAGATCGCGATGTGCTCCAGAAGCAGGATGATCGTCGCAACGGGGAGCTCGCCAGCCATAGCGGAGACGAGCTCAGGGTCAATGACGGGAGGGCCGACATGCTGGAAGCCTCGAGGAACAGTCTGGAGGATCTTGATGGGGTACTTTCCAGCAGCAGTCTTGCGATGCCTACAGTAGAGCCAAGAGGCAATCGTCAAGACCACGATGACGAATGCGTTCCTGAACACAGAGATGAAGAAGAACAGTCTCTCTGCAAAAAGAGCGGTCAGATGGTAAACTTTAACGGCAAATAATGAATAACTCACGTCTTCTAGGGTAGCGCTTCGCTAGCTGGTCGCAGATGATGCGAATGGCATACAAGGAGAAAAGTCCCGTGATACCAAAGGCAGCGTCCATCTTCGTGACAGGGAGAAACTTGAGGCAGTTGATGATGACCTTGTATGTCGAAGCGCGAGTGCTACGGATCGGTCGTCAGTACTATAACGCCCAGTAAATTGAGAGATGCACGTACTCGAAGCCAGTCTCGCCGAGCAGACCGGGGACCTGGCCTGCGACGATGTTGATGGCGGAGCCCGTCATGAAACCGCTAACGGCGGGAGCAGGGATGAACTCGACTAGCCACCCGAGGCGAAGGAGACCGATGCCGAGCACGATGAAACCGCAGATGAATGCCACCGTTGTCGCAATCTGGTGTCCGGGCCATTGGTCGGGGTGACTTTCGTTGACGGTTGCGATAATCCGGGAGACCGTGAGGGACATGACAGCGACGGGACCGATAGAGACATCCTTGGATGTAGCGAACAACTACGCGGGTGAAGGTTAATCAATGGACGTCCGACGTGCATACGAAGGGCTTACGCAGTAGATGAGGACACCGACGAAAGCAGAGTAAAGACCGTATTGGGTAGGCAGTGTCGCAATCTTGAAATAGAGGCCACGTCAGTGGATGTCCACTACGCGTGTATATGATGAACGCACCTGAGCATACGACATGCTCTGAGGCACGACGACAATACCGACCGTAAGGCCGGCGACGACATCACCGTACAGCCACCCGAGGTCTATGAGCGGGGTCAGTATGGAGTTTTCGGTGGAACGTAGTAAATCTGTGGACGCACTGTATCGTGTGATCCATCCTACGATGGGGAATAGACTTTCTACGTATCGCAGCGCCTGGAACGTGGTCAGTCAATTGCGCTTCTTCGGAGATTGTACGCGAGGCACGTACTCCGCGTGAAGGGCTGGAGGTCACGCTGCTCGCCCAGTCCTTGATGGAGACGACGGGGACGGGGTGTTCGGGTTGGCCGATGACGCGCTTGCCGAAGCTCTTCGCCTTTTCTACCAGCGAGACCATGGTGGCAGAGGATGTGGAGGGAAGTGGCAAGTGTTTGACGTTCGCGAGAGTCGTCTAAATAGCGGCCGCCCAGGTGTGGCGCAGGGGACAGCGGGGGAAAACGAGAGACCAGGCACAAGATCCCGATGATAGTGATGTCGCAACGGCCCTGACGGATGAGTATACGCAGCAGCGCTAGCACGCTATTACGGCACAGCAGAAGCCCCGGGTGCGGCTAGTGTGGGACGGCGGCGGAGGAGGTTGGCGGTCGGAGTGTGTTGCTGGGGTGTCCCGCTTTTGAGTGCGCGTCGGAGGAGCTGGTCGTCGTTGAGGACGTCGAGGACGATGCCCGAGCAGACTTTTATGGGCATTTGCAAGCATCTGCGCGGTCAGCGTCGAGCACGAAAACATTTCGGCTCACTAGCACGCCATCCTTCATCCTGCTTGCGCAAACTCACGTGACCGGAGGTGGAACTTGGTTACTATATCGGGCGATGTTGCGCGACGCCCGCCCAGAAGCGCGCCGGGACCGCAAACCGCCGACGCCTCCGCCCGGCTTTCCGCCCAGATCTGTTCCCGACTTCGCGTCCACAAATGATCGCGGCTCGGTCGAGCCTCCTCTGTCCTGCTCGCTCTCTGGAATAGTGCTCGCTCTCCGTCCACTTGGGTGTATTCACAAGCCCGACTCCTGCATGACTCCCCGCCAAAACTACTGCCGTGCACGATCGGCCCAGCCAACGGAGGAACGTTGTACAGAAGGCGGATGCCAGCCATCGACGGCTCCTAGACAGCCTGTACCCCAGCCTACCCCGCGATGTACCTGGAGTCGCCTCGATGGCATAATTGTAGCTCTATGCTCGCTGACGCCTTCGGGCAAATCCCGTCGCAGATCTCTGGCCAGGGGCGACGTCGACCCGAAGCTAGCGGACTTTCGTGCTCATTGCGATGGCGAGCGAGCGGTGGCTCTCCTGTCATGAGGCCCCGGAGGGCAGGGGAGGCAAACCAGGTCAGGAATTTCATGAATGCTAGTGCGTGTGTGGCGAAGTCGACGCACCCCACTGGTCGCTGGCGCAACGGCGGCGCGTCGGCGTGCCTGGTGCGGCTACTCATCGACAGGTATGATCGATATTGCGGGATGCGGCGGTCGCAGATTTACAGCGTAGGTGTGCCACCACAAGATCAAGGATGGCGAGCTCGCTGCATACATGATTGACACGAAATTCACAAGGCGGACAGCGCGTTGTGGCCTGCTCGGGCTCATTATTAGTGGCCTAGGGACGCGTGAGATGCTTCTCATTTTAAGGATGCTACGTACTTCCGCCGTTCACACACTCGTTCTCCCGGCCGGGCAGCCTCACGATGTACAACACGAGATTCTTCGGCGTGAGATCGATTTATTGAGGTGTCCGCAGCATCGTTTGGTAGCCTGCATGACGATAACATCCACTGCACACCTCACACGGATGAGTTAGAAGAAGACGACTACGTGAACGCACCGAAGAAACATCGGGATTTACTCAACGTAAGTAGTCGACGTTCATATGTTGGATGAAAAGGCAGCAGCGCTGTGTCGTAAGTGCGTGAGACATTTGTTACCACACTGAGGTCCCTGGCATATGTCTTGCACGCGGAGACATCACTGCGGTGGAAGCTAAGTCATCCACAAGGGTGGTGCCTGACCGAGAACGATGCCGACCGCAGAGTACCACGACCACCATGGCGGGCCTGGCGAAGTGGACGCTTATGGATCCCGCGGAGGAATCACCTGGAATCACGGCTGGCCGGATTGGGCGCCCACGTGGCAGACTCATGTGGCAGAGGGCGGAGCGAGGACAACAAACGAGTCGGCGGCATCACCAGCCTCCTCCTCCGCATCGTCCACCACGTCCCTCTCCGTTTCTCGCCAGCCGACTTCCATCTCTAGACCCGCCAGTGCGCCGTGCGCCTGCCTAACGACACCCACGACCCCCGCATACGCACGCATACGACCACATTATGGCCCTCCCCTACAAAGCCACCCCGCTCGTCGCGCCCGGACACACGCGACCGGTCACCCACCTGTCCTTCTCCCCGCTGCAGGATGACGGCACGTACGTGCTCATCTCGAGCTGCAAAGACGGCAACCCGATGCTCCGCGAATGGACCGGCGACTGGATCGGGACCTTCATCGGACACAAGGGTGCGGTATGGAGCAGCAAGCTTTCCCCCGACACGTCGCGCGCGGCGTCCGGCAGCGCGGATTTCACGGCGTGAGTGCTCTTCCCATCCGTAATTACCGCTAGATGGGGAAGCCAATCTCTAACGTGTGTTCTCCGACCCGATTAGCAAGATCTGGGACACGTACAGCGGCGAGTGCCTGCACTCCTTCCCGCACAACCATATTGTCCGGAGCGTCGCGGTCTCGCCGACGTCCTCGCATCTTCTCACGGGCGGGCAGGAAAAGAAAGTGCGGATGTTCGACCTCGGTCGTCCAGACGCGGAACCGGACTTCCTCTTCGATACGGTCGGACCTCTATCACACGAAGGTACCGTCAAGAGCGTAGTCTGGGTTGGTGACCATACCGGTGTGACTGCGGGTGAGGATGGGCTGATCAAGTGAGCACCATACCTATAAAGATACCTACGAGAATCCCCCCGTCTGCATGCTAAGCATACCCTTCTCCGACAGGTGGTGGGACCTGAGGACACGGAAGTTGTCAACCAGCCTAACCTTCCCGGGGCCGATCACGTCCATGGAACTCTCCGCACAGACGAACAGGATTGTGGTCACGTCTGGGAAGACTGTCTCGTTCATCCCTGCACTGCTGAACGGCTCGCCAACCCACAGCCTTACCCTTCCGTATGCGCCGTCATCAGCGTCTATCCACCCAATTTTGCAAGACCGCTTCATCACTGGCAGCACGAGTGACGAGTGGGTGCGCGTGCATGACGTAACGGGCGAGGAGAGGGAAGTTCTCAAGGGTCACCATGGCCCTGTTCACTGTGTCGAGTACAGCCCAGATGGCGAGATGTTCGCGAGCGGAAGTGGTGCGTTGCTTTCCTCCTGCTGACCCTGCATACAGCCTAATCGACATGGGACTGACGTTCCTCCGCAGAGGATGGCACGATCCGGCTCTGGCAAACCACCCCGGGGAAGAGCTACGGACTCTGGCAGGGCGTCCCCGCCAACGGGGGCTGAAAGTAGACTCTCATCGCATCTCGGACATAACGCACTACTATAATGCACATCGTCCTGTTATTTCACTGTAGGTAACGCACGTCTGGGTTTCTCGAGCGTCGGGGGTCTTGGCGCAGGCTTTAGTAGTAGGATTGTGTCTGTACTAAGATTGCTGTCGCGCTCACAAGCTGTCATGATGATATGTATCGGTTATCGACTCCATTGGCCGATCCGCGAGTCTGGTGTTATGAGTCAGCCGCGCAGCAACCCTCGACCTCCGTAGAAGATCGGGAGCATGTCAGGCCCATTCGCACAGATTCGCACTCATCGACCTTCTGCAGATTGCGCGACGACAGTCGGGACACCACTCCACGGGCAGTGAACCAAGAATACCAAGAAAACTGATCCGCGACGGTGTCCCGCCATCGCCACGCCTCCGCACTCACCCCCACACGTGCTCGACCGCCTTCCTGCGGTGCACCGGATGCAGCGCGACGTAGTTGTGCCCGTCTATGCTCTCGCGGCTGAGCGTCACAATCCCGACGTCCGCCGCGAGCGCGGTGTACTCCTTCAGGCGCGTGACGCCCGCGCGCTCGTACACCACGCTCAGCGGCGCCGCCTCCGCGGAGAGCAGCGTGCCGAGCTGCGAGGACTCGACGCGCGCGACGCCCGCCGCGAGCTGCCGCTTCAGCACCTTCACGAGCGGCCGGAATTCCGCGGGGACGTGTGCCGCGCGCTTCTTCGCGGCGGCGCGCGAGTAGGTCTGCCAGGCGGGGTCTGCGTCGTCGCCGCCGCTGCCGGTGCGGTCGTCGTATGTCAGTGTGGCGGCGGGCGCGGCGGACCGGGGGCGGATGGGGAGCGTGCTGCTGGAGGACGCCTCCCACGGTTTCTGGGGGAGAGCGTTTGCAGAGGAGGTCGCGACGGCGGCGGAGGTGTTGGCGAACGGGGAGACGAGTGGGTTTAGGCCGAAGTTGAAAGAGCTGGTGCCCCCGAAAAGAGAGCTGCCTGAGCCGAACGAGAAGGCAGGTTTTGCCGAGGGCGAGGCCACCGTGACCGAGGTGCTAGGTTCTTGGGATATGGAGAGGCCGGGAGGACGACTTGGACTCGAGAGCGCAGGCTGAGGTGGCCGCGAAAACGTGTCCATTAGTGCCCGTAGCTGCTGCATGCTGTCCTCCAGTTTTTCTTCTAACGGCTACAGCGAAAACCACAACGGGGTCAGATATGCACAACGGTCTGATAGGGCGTTCGCGACTCGACGTACGATGTCGGTGCTCACAGGTGTATTCCCCGAGTGGGCGCTACCCGCAGTGGGTCCTACTATTGCATTATGTTCTGAGGGATATTCTAGATCCACATTCATCTCGCCGTCGGTGGGGCTTGCGGGTGCGAAAATGACATTATTTGCGGGACCTGGAGTGACGGTCTGGACAGCAGGGAGTTCCTTGGGGGTAGCGATTGCAGACTGAGGGACCAGCTGATGGTTTGGGTACTCCCGCAGCGCCAGCGGGGTGGCCCTGCTCAGTCTACGCTCCCGACCGCTCGGGGGAGGAGGGGTGGCCTCTGAGAGAGCGACTGCCGGCAGCTCGGGAAGGAAGTCCTCCGGCCAGTTGAACACGACGTCGGCCTGGCCCTTCAGACTACCGTGCGCGCTCCTGGGCGCGAGCAGCACTATCCTGTATTGTCTGAGGCTGAGAATAGAGACGGCGTAGACAAAATCTCGATCTCCCGAGATGAGGATGATCGTGGCTGGCGCGGGGTTGTCGATGGCCCACGCCATCATGTCGACTGGAACGCACATCGTCAACCGCAGAACGACAAGCAGTCGTGAGGAGCAGACGTACTCATCATCATCTTGTCTGCAACATCCTTCCGTCCATTATGAGGGCAGTCGATGAGGGAGACGCCACAGGATTGTAGTTCTGAACGTAGAGCTATCGACTTGAGCGTTGTTTGCTCTGGATACTCCAGATAGGCCTTGAATGTCTTGACGCTGCCATACTGGTGCGCGAGCCGGCGTATCTTGTTGACTATCATGTAGGATGGCTCGGTTGCCGGTAGGGCGCAGTTCTCTGGGGTGGGATAATCAGTAGGTTACAATTTTATACAGCGAACTCGTATTGGGGTACTCACCATAATCCCAGAAGACTGCGACACTGGAAGCTGCATTCATATCGACGTCCTCTTCCTGTGACGTTCTCCAGGGAGAGTGGCAACGTTGAAGCAGAAGAATGCCTCCGACGAGTGCCGTTGCAAGCCGTTGCTATATACCTGGCCCTGATTCAGGGTCGTGCACTTAAGTTGACAAACACGCGTGGCAAGCGTGGTCGAAGACCCTTCGGGGACAAGGAAAGAAGCAATTGGGCGGCTTCGCTTAACGCGGAGAGCTCGACACATGCCTTATTCACATACTCGAGGCGGTGTGGGTTTTCTCAAAAGGGATTGAGTCCGCCTTCGTGGTCGAGCCTGCAATGCCGGTTGCAAGGGTGTCCTTGGCGACATATGGTGCTTAAGCCTGGTGGTGGCAGTACCTAAGAAAGGATACCGCTCCGGATATTGACGCGGATGCAGGCTCGGCTAATGCCGACGCTCTGATTCGATGACTACATAGATGCACAATATGTATGCCGCCGTAATGTTCTCAATAGATGTATGCTATTGCACCGGAGATGTCGAGTGTTCATGGCTCGCAAAATGCGCGCATGGGAAGTTAAACGACGTCTATGTGTCAGCAGCCGTCCATACTCGCAGGGTGTCGTCGAGGTCCTCTATGGCATCTACGAGCTTGTCAAGGGCCGCACTCGAGGTATCATCGAGATCCTCTAATGGTTCGAGCGGTGCATATACGAGCTCGCTGGTAAGCAGTTCTCGACATACCCCGGGCGCGGTTACGGCTGACGTGAGTTTGTGCAGCGATGTTTGCGGGCACTTGAACTGTGGAGGCGTGAATACACAGCTCGCGTGCGCATGGGGTATAACGTACCTCGACATAACGCGTGCCATCTTCCTGGTCGTCGTGATCGAAGTCTTCTGCGTCAGCATCCAAACCGACCCCGACCAGATGCTCAAAGCGAGCCTCCATGTCTTCTCCGGGTTCGAGGGCTACTCTGACCCGCCCCTCTCTTTTGAAGAGAAATTTCACGTCCGCCATTCGAGCTCTTTGAAGCGTCAGGAACGAACGATATTCGTACCTGAGATTCCGCTCACCCGTTGTCCTTCAGCAGCGTGTTCAGGAATTTCACCGTGCGATTCGGGTTATCCGACAGGCATTCTCTTCAGGAGGTCAGCGCACGCGCTTGCGGAACACTGAGTGCGGACTCACACTATGAGCCCTACCGAACCCGACCCCATGACCTCGAAGACGAGGTGAGTGTCGCCCTTGCCGTTTTCGCCAGAAATCTGGGACACGTTAGGGTTGCTAAACGTACACGGGTGGCTGAGGACAAGCGTACCTTCCTGAGCGCAGTCTCAATGTTCTCCTTCGGCACTCCCTGTGTCTTCGAGCGTTTTAAGACAGCAGCAAGGACGTGATTCTGGTCCGGATCAGCGCTGCCACCACCTGCAGAGAACACGTCTTGAGTCACCACGTCCAGTGCGAAGGGACTGAACTCCGCGTACTGCGTACAGCAAGGGCGATCTCCTGTAGCGTACCAGGCGTAAGCGTTCGGTTGCGTTCCTTGAAGAGAAGGCGACGCACCCTGTATGCTCTGCTGTAGAGCATGCCCTTCTTCATGTCATTGGCACCTTTCGCCTTCTCGATCTTGGACCACTGAAGTACAACGGTTTGCAACCTGGCCCTGCGCGTGCTTGTACTTTGCGCGTACCTTGTTATGTCCAGAGAGCCATGTTGGAGAACTGTGGATCGCGTGATGGCGAACGAGAGGTGCAGGTAGCAGGACACGGCGGGCAAGCAGAAGGGCGTTCATGAGAGAGAGGTGCCGCTACATGGGCGCTCGCCAAACCCTTCCTCTGGACCCGGAGCCCTAACCTTAGTATCAGGTTCCGGAACGCTGTCGATTATACCAGTGAACCCGTTTCATTTGACGGTTTACGAGGAGTCGAAGTTAGAGGTAACTTCGCTACGCAAAGAGAGGGATCCCTTCAAAAGAACTTCCCTACACTTCCTAATGAAGACTGGGGTAAGGCCTTAAATTCCACTCCGCGGGAGCATATAGGACTACATCTACTCAGGAACATTACAGTGGCGTACATGGTCGTAATATTACATCTAGTCATTCACCCGCACACCGGCCGGCCTCCAACGCTCAGACCTTGCCCGTCTCCATTATAGACGACGGGCGGGTAACACCGCCCTCCGCCGCGCGCACCGCGGTCGCGACGTCGAGGTGGAAGAACGGCGTCGAAGGGAGCATCATCGGGGCCGCCGCGTCGCCCGGGACCGACCGCACCGTGCCCTCAGACGACGAGCGCACGCTGATCTGTGCAATGTTCGGCGGCGCCTCGAGGTCGTCCTCCCGCTCGTGCGTGCCCTTGGCGGGGCCGATGTGCTCCGGGTCGGCGATGTACTGGTCGTGGTACCGGGTGACGGGCGCGATCTCCTCGTGCATGCGCGTCGTAAGGGTGCCGCCGCCGAAGCCCCCTGCCACGAGCGCGCGACGGATCCAGGGCGAGAGTATCGTGGCGAAGTGGAACTGTGTGAGCCGCGGTCAGTCAACTCGGAAGCCATGGGCTGCAGAGAGTGCGTCTGACGTACCTCTACGGGGTGGTCCGCCCACCGCTCCACCTCCGTCCGGGTGTCGATGAGGGCCTGCACGCCCGTCGTGTCCAGGTGTGACCTGTAAGCCGAGAGGGCGTGAGAACATTACGCACCGAGGGAGCAGAGCACACTCACACTGCAGAGAAATCCAGCACGACGGCGTGCAGCAGCGGCTTCTCGGCGTTGTCCTCGACCTCGTTGTTCTTCCCCGGGTCGTTCCACGGGCGGTCCCCAGATTTCACCCCTGTCATGTCGCGTCCGCGGCGCGTGTGCGCCTTCGCGAAGTCCACGATCGCGTCGTTCACGAGCGACGAGTTCGGGTACAGGAAGCTCTCCTCGAAGCGGTACACGACTACGCCTGGGGACGGCGGGTACACCTTCACATGTTCATTCATCAGGAACTTGTTCGGGCTCAGCGGGATATACACGTCGCGCGAGCTGGACTCGTTGGTGTTGTGCAGCGTGACGCGCCCGAGGAAGTGCCCGCGCGGGCGCGCGAGCCGCACGAGAAGGAGCGCGAGCGACGCGGCGACGGACGTGTAGATCCCGTCCTCGATCGTCGCGAACACGGTCACGAGCACGGACGCGACCCAGATGACGAGCTCGACGGGCGACACGCGCCAGAAGGAGTACACCTGCCGCGGGGACGCGACGAGGTCCGCGACGGCGTGCACGATCACCGCGGACAGCGCGGCGGAGGGGATCCAGAAGAAGGCGGGGGTGAGCCCGTAGAGCGCGACGATGACGACGACGGCGCTGAAGAGGCCGGACGCGGGCGAGCGCACGCCGGACTTGGACTGCAGGGCGGAGCGCGAGAAGGAGCCGGTCGCGGGGTATGCGCCGAAGAGCGTGCCGATGGTGTTGGTCACGCCGATGGCGATTAGCTCCTGGTTGGGATCGATCTTGTACCCGTTCACCCGACCGAAGGCTGCAAGCAGGATCGTCAGGGCATGTAACATGTACGGCATATGAGGGGTGCTCACACTTCGAAATGGCGATGTGCTCCAAGAAGAGGATGATAGTAGCGACGGGGAGCTCCCCGGCGAGCGCCTTCACGAGCTCTGGGTCGATAATCGGCTGGCCCAGGTGCTTGAAGCCCCTCGGCACATCCTGCAGGATCTTGATGGGGTACTTGCCGTCGGACCCCTTGCGGTGGCGAGTAAACAGCCAGGATGCGATCGTGAGAACGACGATGACGAACGCGTTCCGGAAGACGGACATGAAGAAGAAGAACCGCGCTGCAGAGATCTGAGCGGAGGCGATTGGGCCGCGAGGGCGCAAGACTGACCTTTGGTAGGGTAGCGCTTGGAAAGGCGGTCACAGATCCAGCGGATGGCGTACAGAGACACCAGCCCGGTGATTCCGAAGGCGGCGTCAAGCTTCGTGCGTGGAAGCCCCTTCAGTGTATTGATGAACACTTTGTAAGTCGCCGCGCGGGTGCTGTAGATGGACAGGATTAGCCTCGCGCGCCGAGAATTACGCTCTTCGAACGCACTCGAAGCCGCTGATACCCATCAGTCCCGGGAGCTGGCCAGACACGATGTTGAGCGCTGATCCTGTCATGAACCCGCTGACCGCAGGCGCGGGGATGAACTCGACGAGCCATCCGAGGCGCAGTAGGCCAATCCCGAGGACGATGAAGCCACATATAAAGGCGACCGTGGTGGCGATCTGCGGACCCGCCCACACGTCCGGGTGGCTGTCGTTCACGTGTTTGATGATCTGCGCGACGGTGAGAGACATGACGGCGACGGGACCGATGGAGACATCTTTCGATGTGGCGAAGAACTGGAAAGTGCCCGAAATGAAAGGTCAGTGTTTTGAGCGACGGGCCGCGGCCCAGGAGAGGGCGAGGATCAGACTCACACAGTACACAAGGACCCCAACGAAAGACGAATACAGTCCGTACTCGGGAGGGAGTGTGGCGATCTACATCCTTCGTCAGGTGTGGAATTGAGATGCGCCGATAGAACACGCACCTGGGCGTAGGACATGCTTTGAGGGACCAGAACGATGCCCACGGTGAGCCCGGCGATGACGTCCCCACTGGCCCATCCAAGGTCTACCCGGGCGAGAACTCAGCGCCATGGTGGAACGGGGGAGAACAAACGTAACGCGTACTGTAGCGGGTGATCCAGCTGAAGATCGGGAAGAGACTCGTCACATAGTCGATCGCCTACGGAGAAGAGTGATGAGCGCGGAGGAGACGGGAGAGAAAAGCTGTTGACGTACTCGGCGACTGGGGTTTTGCGCGAGGTTCTCGGCCCAGTCCCGCGACGAAATCACAGGGATATCCTCGTCCGAGGACCCAATAATACGCCTGCACGTTCTCTTGAGCTTGGAGAGCATGGCTGCGCTTACGGGGGAGAGGGATGGGATCAGGCTTCGCTGTCCATCCCCGCTTTTATCTCTAGCTCCGGTGAGGATCAGCGTAATGCGGGGCTTACGAGAGGGAACTGACCATCTACGCAACGCGCGCCACGCGCACCCACTGGCTATGCACATGCCAGAAGATACAGGAGCCATGCGAAGGCGCGGGGCGTATCGTGGGCCAGGGCCGGGCCCCAAACGAGTGAGGACGCGTCGAATGCGGATGCGCGGGGGCGAGTGTGAGAACGCAGCTAAGCCGCACCGGGGCCTGACAAACATACGCATCGCCCGCTAGCTCATCCGGCCACTGCGAATTGTCAGTGATGGTTCGGCCAAGCCCAGGCGAGATCCACACGAGCGAATAACTGTTCGCCTATTCGAGGTCATATCCCGATATGGCAGGCGCTGTTGTTCTAGCAGTGCCACCACGCAGACGCCCCCTTCGACACCGGTTCCGGGACTGGACGCGCAGGGAGTCGGGCCTGGATTTGGCTGTGTTCCTCTGTCCTCGGAGGCGACGCGGGGATGACATCGCACATCGCATCTGTCATGAGCCTGTCGTAAATCCTGCCAGGTCTCTCGGGAGGAGGAGCTGCGCACGCGTCAGTTCAGCGTAAACCTTTATGCGGCTGTGGGCAGACCACTTACCTCGCGCGTGTTGAGAATCGTCGGAGTCCCGGTCGGACCTAGGATATGAAATAAAAGGGCGAGACGGGCTGGGCATGCCACTTATCGCGAGCGCCGTCGAAGGCGACAGACCATCAGCAGTGTGTGGGGATGAAGTGCAGGGTGTGAAGCCTTGAAGAGAGTTGGAGCGCCGATAATGATACATAGGATATGATAGGTGCAAGATCCGTTGGACACATTCCTTGGGGATGAAATAGATATGACCGAGCCGCGACCCATTCAGGACCGGGCGATTAACTTGGGGGAGCAGATGGGGCGCCCGCAAGATTACGAAACTCCGCATTGAGTGAGATCCAGGCATGACCGCCTGTACCTCCCATAGTGACGACACCAGCGCGTTCGGCGGCTGCGGAGTAGTCCTTGAACGATGCCGTACCGGCCTGAGCGTAGATCGCGCGCGACACCTGGAGCAGGCGAAGCGCGACGGTGCTGCGGAGCGGAGACGCGCTCCCCTCCTTTCTCAGGTCCTCCATGACGACAACGAGATGTCCGAATTTCTCGAACGTGGAAGGGGCAGTACTCGGTACTTTAGGTGTGGCAGGTGCAATCGGAGGTTTCGCCTGGATGTTAGTGAAGACGCTGCCTGACGGTTCCGTGGCCTTCTCCGGGATGGGCCTCGAGCGATCCGAAGGGGTTGGTGTCGAGTTCGAAGCAACCACCGGCGGCGGAATGGAAGGGACCAATGGTGGGACGGAAGACACTATAGGTGGCACTTCGGGGACCACCGTCGGCTCGGAGACCGGGCGAACGGTTTGTCGCGTGGTCGATGGACCGGGGCTTGCTGCTGCGGGGAAGGTTGGCTTGGGATTGAGTAGTGAGACCGGAGACCCCTGCGAGCCTTGCACAGGCGACGATGGAATGGAAGACGGGTCGCTCTGTACCCCCGACAAGCGACTCGCAGAAGGCAGGCGCGACACGTGTGGCCGGGTTCCTGAACTTGGATTGGCGACGACAGGCGTGGATGTCCCAAGCTCTGCGAAGTTCGGAGGCAAAGAAGAGCTAATCCGCTCTGCGGACATATCTGATGCTTGCATGACATCAGTTATGTCGGGACGAGGTTCGATCGAAGGGGGAGTGGCAGCGGTTTCCGATTCCTGAGAGAAAGAGAAGACCTATTAGTCCTCGCGGTCCTTGGGACTAGACGAAGAATGGTATGCACACTCACATCTTCTACGGTGGTCTGCTTGTAGCGAGAGGTTGTCCGGAATGGCGGCGCCGTCGGTACAGCGGAAGGCATCTCAAGCTATATACGAGTAGTGGGAAAGTCGTTCGAATGTACAGCACCCGATAGGACAGGCGAGTCCGTTAGTATCAGAGAAACATGAAGACCGCATGGTCCACGTACCTGACTGTGCGCAGGAGTGCCTCGACTCATCGTTTCCTGCAGATCCTCTATCACGTTGAGGATATCTGGGATTGGCTGCCGATCGGCCAGCACATCTTCGTCTCCGTCGTCGTCGTACCCGATCAATGACGGGAACGCGCTCTGACGCACAGCTCCACGGTATAAAGAGCGGTCCGCTGGGTTCGGAACATCAGAGCGCAGAGTTCCGTCAACTGTGGCCGCTGAGGCGGCCCTAAAGTGCCGGCCTTGCCACAACGGTACACCACCGTTGGGTAGCCCGATGCTCCCCTCCGGACCAGCCGCTGGGGCAGTCGCTGCAGCTCTCAAGGAGGGACGACGGTCACGAAATGTCTTCGGGATGACCGACGGCATCGTGCCCCCATACGCCAGATTCGCGGGTGGGCGTCTGGGAGAGCGGTGCACAGCGTCATCCAGAGGCGCTTGGTAGTACGGCTCAGGCGCCTGAGGGCGCACGGACGTCCTCCGCATGATATCCGCCTCCCAGTCCAGCACGGCGGACGCTTGGGATTTGAGGCTCGCATGGGCGGTGTAGGGGGCGACGACGACTACGCGATACCTGCGCAGACGCAGCACAGAGACGGCGTAGACGAAATCGCGGTCCCCAGAAATGAGCACGACCGTAGCCGGTGCGGGGTTGTCGATTGCGTATGTGAGCATGTCGACTGCAGGCCGCATGAGTCAAGGCATAGAGGGCGAAGAGAGACTTTCCACACACCAATCATCATCTTGTCTGCAACGTCTTTTCGTCCGTTGTGCGGACAGTCAGTCAGAGAAACACCGCATGACTGCAGCTCTGAACGGAGACCGATGGACTTCGAAGACGACTGCTCGGACAGCTCCAAGTACGCCTTGAACAGCTTGACGCTGCCGTACTGGTGGGCCACTTGGCGAATGTTGTTGACTACGTCGTAGCCGGGTACGTTACACGGAGGGGTACAATTTTCTGTGGTCATGTCAGAGCCCGGGCTCCGTTTCGCTTGGACAGACGTGCGCACCATAATCCCAGAAAATGGCGACGTGCTCGTCGAAAGTATCTTTCATGCTGGGTAGAGCGGGATGGTGGAAGTGACTCAAGAGGTGTGGTCCCCACAACTCATCCAGGGGACACTTATTGTGTACCGCATGTCAAGGGCATGGGCGGTGCGGCGCCGAACTAGTGCCGGTTTCCCAAGGACGGTATAAGCTTTTCGGCCTTCTGTCCAGCCCCTGGGCGCATTTCGGGGTATCGTGTACCAGCTTGAATGCGTGTTCGCTGCGTTGAGGGGTGTGCACCGGCAGGACAAGAAGAGCAACACGCGTGGTACGCGGCGGGTGGGAGCAAGGTTGGAGGATGCAATGTTGTGTACGGTAACGTTCGGCAGAAGGTAAGATTAGATTAGATGGAAAGCGCCAATCGTTCTCACAACCTGCTCCGGGAACGCGGTTACGCACTACTTATAAGTTACCTGACCGACTGCCAAAGACGTCGTACGCTGTCGGTCATGAAGCATCCATTACATGGGCAAGACGGGCCCGGACTTGGCGTGTCACCTATCATGGCAACGTCGACATACTATGGGTGTTGTGGAATGAAGCGTAGGTGGAGTGGTAGATTCTTAGTCGGATAGCCGCACCTATAGTGATACATAAATTACAGCAGATACAGCAGCCAGACTGGATGAGAAATCCGTCACAAACATACTCAAATCTAGATAGCAAAGCAGAGCAGATGAAACAGTAGGTGGCCGTTAGAAGCACAGCTTCGGCGCTCGGCCTTGTGGGATACTTAGATGGAAGCTCTTAGCTGTGTCGTTAACCGTCGTAGTCTGGGCTGAGAGTGATCCATGCTTGAGCTTGGGAACCCCCTAAAATCACGATCCCTTCATCCGCAGCCGCGACCGTGTACTGCTTAAACGAGGTGACGCCTGCCTTCGAGTAGACCTTCTGGTCGAGTTGCTTGAGCCGTACGCCGACATGAGAGCGCGAGGCCCATTCGACTCCACGTGCTTTAGACTCCTTCAATACGCGAACAAGGAGCTCGTATTTCTGCGGGAGGGGCAGTCGGGGTGCTTTCGGCGGGGAATCGACCGTATCTGGGATGATTACAGTTTTGGAGGGCGGCAGTACGGGCGGTGCGAGAGGTGTTTTCACTACAGGATCGACGCTCGCGAGGCCCTTTGCGCTCGCTGTGACTGCTACAGGGCTGGGCTGCGGTGCCTGTTTTGCGGCGGATTGCGAGAGCGTATCCTGAACCACGGGGAGGTGTGCCGATGGGCTCGGCTCGATGGCAATTTGACGGCAGGTGGTTTGGGTGATGGGGTAGGACGCTCAGGCGGTGATGCGGCCACCAGAGAAGGTGAACACGACCTTGACAGCCTTGTTATCGGCTCCACCGTCGCAGGGCGAACAAAGGGTGGTACGCATACCGGAAACGGAACAGTGCAGGGTTGGGGCGCCTTGAGTGCTGTCGAATTTGCAGGTGGAGAGGGCCGATCGTGTTCCTCCATGTCGCCTCTCGTGGAGCTACTGCTCAGTGCGGATTGGCTCGACAGCGAGGAACCCAAGGCACTCTGCTGTATATATAACGCATTTTTAGTTTATGTAGCAGCTGCCCAGAGGTACGATTCGGTTTCTACACTTACATATCCTCCAGGTACAGGTGCTGGCTGGTTGAAAGGGACAAGATGGGAAGGTGCTTCAGCAGCGGTAGCAGGTATCTCATGCTATCCAAGAGTAGTAGATATTCATGCAATTTGACAGCAATAGAGCATCCGTCAGGTACTAGAGGAGAGCTGCGACCGCGTGGTATACGCACCTGCTTAGACGTAGAGATATTTCCACCTATCCTCCCCTGTAAATCTTCTATCACGTCGACAATGTCAGGTATCGACTGTCGAGCCGCGGATATGGCCTCTTCTTCATCATCCTCATCCTCGATGGCTGACGGGATCACAGTCTGACGCTCAGCGGCTGGGTAGAATGGACGGTCCGCCATATGTTCAGGACCAGAGAGAAAACAGCCGTCGTCCGTGATCCCGGAGGAACTCCGATGGTGTCCTTGGAACGACACACCACCAGAAGTTCCGGCACCGCCGTTCAAGCCGGCTATTGGGGCGGAAGCGGCCGCTCTGAACGACGGACGACGGTGCGACTTCGGGGTGACCGGCGGCAGCGTTCCCCCAAACGTCAAAGGCGGACGTCTAGGAGAGCGATGCAGAACGTCATCCGTAGGCGCTTGAAGATTTGCCTCGGGCGCTAGTAGGCGGGGGAGCGTCCTACGCATAATATGCGCCTCCCAGTCTAGAACGACGGAGGCCTGGGATTTGAGACTCGTGTGGGCGGAGTTGGGAGCGACGACGACTACACGGTATCTGCGCAAGCGAAGCACAGAAACGGCGTAGACAAAGTCGCGGTCCCCGGAGATGAGAACCACCGTGGCCGGTGCAGGGTTGTCGATTGCATAGGTGAGCATGTCCACTATATCCGATATAAGCACATGTACACACGAGCCATGGACACTGGACGCACCGATCATCATTTTGTCCGCAACATCCTTCCTTCCGTTGTGGGGGCAGTCGGTCAGGGAGACCCCGCATGATTGTAGTTCGGAACGTAACCCGATAGTTTTCGACGACGACTGCTCGGATAGCTCCAGGTACGCTTTGAACAACTTGACGCTGCCGTACTCGAGCGCAATTTGGCGAATGTTGTTGACGACGTCGTAGCCAGGCCCAGTGCTCGGCGGTGTACAATTCTCTGCGCATTGTTCCAGTCATGCGCGGTGGTTGCTATATGAACTGTAGTAGTACACACCATAGTCCCAGAAGATGGCGACGTGTTCGTCGAATGTGTCCTTCATACCGAGCAGCTACTGGGTTCACAGAATGGTGGGATACACCGAAGAGAATTGACCTGCAGATGTCGTTCAAGGGAGAGGTATGGTAGTTCTAGACCACATGTTGAGTGTTGAGCGCATGAGCGGTACGCCGAAGTGCCGGATTCCCAAGCACTGTTGTATAAGGTTTGCGGCTTTCTGTTTGTGGATTGATTATTTCGAGGATGTCCCTACATATCTGGGTGCATTCTCCCTTCTTGAGGCGATGTGTATCATGTCAACCGGAGAGTTGACAGCGGTACGTGACGCACACAGAGAAGGTTGGAGGAGGTGTGCTTGTAGGGTCAGGCTAAGAGAGGAGTGATAAAAAAAGAAGAGTTTAGTGGAAGGACTGTGCTCGGTTAGATAAGATTAGATTAAGCAAGCTGCCACGTCCGATCGTTCTCGCGCGCTGCGGGGTGTATGGTAACACCTCCTTCTCTCTCTCGGACGACGATCATCTCTGGAGTCTGTTGGCACGCCCTAATAGCTTCAAACCATGAGGCTTCTATGGCTCTTGTTGCCTCTGGCACCCTCCGTTTTCTCAAAACCGACCAATGATTCGGAATCGCTGGTCTGGGGCGCGTACCGTCCGAACCTGTACTTTGGGCTGCGTCCACGGTTACCACAGTCTGTTATGACCGGGCTGGCGTGGTTTGGAACGCAAGACTACCAGTCTATTACTCGTGCGTCAATTGTCTGTACGCGTGCGTGATGTGTCGCTGACAAGGCGTGTTGCGCAGGGATACGGCACGCATGTGACCAAGGGGACGGACTTGACGGGTATTCCTGGACTGAATATGACGCGCGGGAAGGAGGAGAGCAGGTCATCAAGGATGGGGTGAACAACGTCAAGATCACAACTCAGTTCCTTAAGGTGCCTGGAGGAGAACATGGCGGCAGTTGGGCAGCGAGAATCAAAGGAGAGCCTATTGACCCAGGTGAGTCTGAGCATTAGGGGGAATAGAAGGCAATTTCTCACTGCTTTCCTCAGCGCGGCAGTCCCGTGTCTCCCCCGTATTCTACGTCGGGATGGAGGGCCTGGGCGGGATTGACATGGATACCGTGGAAGACGAAAACGTCCGTTATTTACCGCGGAGCCTGAACTCCCATTCACGTCTCTTTCCAGGGAATCAAGGGGCCCATAAGCTTCACGGGATCCACACCCGACCTGGATGACTTTACTATTCGCATCATCGACGGTGAGTGCACACGAAACCTTTGTTTGATACATTTCGTAATCTGTTTTGCACAGGCCCTCAAAATAACCTAATCACGGAAGGTCTGCACGCGAATGATTTCGCGCACAAACTTGGTCGGACACACTTCTTGGGTGCACGCGTACCGGCCGGTACCGTATGGCAAGCTAAAGGTAGGTACCGCGTTTACACCGTACGACGCTAACACGAATAGCTTACCGTGGTAACGGTATTCACAGAGATAATCCAGGGAGCTATTGTACGAACTGCACAGCAAGGAGCTGCGTCGTACAAGGACACGCCGAAGGGTTTCCCAGATCCGGCGTTCGTTCTCCAGCTACCCGACGAAGTCTACTCTGGTAGCAACCTTTTTGCCGTGCAGAAGCACTTTGATGGGCCGTTCCAGTTTGATGTGCTCTTCGAAAGCGCTAGTGCGAAGCAGAAGCTCAGTTGTAAGGTGTCACAGAAGATACATCCGAACTCTATGCTGACACGTACCTCCAGCTGACGTCCTGGATGAGGGCCTCGCCACGCTCTCCGCCGCATATAACGACCGTTTCGACTCCGTCTTCCCGGTATCAGCGTATGAGACGTCTGACCCAGAGTCTCTGAGAACGTTCTCCAAGGCTATCACGTCCAACCTGATAGGAGGTGTTGGTTATTTCTACGGCCCGTCAATTGTGGACAGGTCTTTTGCCTACGAGTGGGACCAGGACGAAGATAGCGAGGACGCTGGCGAGAAGTCTGGCCCAACTCTGGCACCGGCGAGGGAGCTCCTTACGGCGACACCGAGCAGAAGTTTCTTCCCCCGTGGTTTCTACTGGTACGTAGATCCGACTCTGCTACGGAGCTTTTTGTAACAGCCTGCCTCCAGGGACGAGGGTTTCCATCTCCTCCACATTGGTGAGTGGGATAATGACTTGAGGTTAGCTTTCTCACATATGCAGGTCCCTGGTTCCGCTAACATCATGTCGCATAGCCTCGAAATCCTCAAGGACTGGATCAACCTCATCGACGAGGACGGCTGGGTCGCGCGCGAACAGATCCTCGGTGAGGAAGCACGTAGCCGGGTCCCCTCCGAGTTCCAGACCCAAGTCCCCACCAACGCCAACCCGCCCACGCTCACCATGGCCGTCACCGCGTTCATCAACCGCCTGCGCGCCCAAAAGGGGCCGAGCGAGCAGGACCTCGGGCTCGACTATGGCCTCGGCTCGCAAGTCCCGCTCGGCGTCTCCGATGCGTCCACCGGCGGCCCCGGGCGTCGCTTCCTCGACGATCCCGAGCTCGCGGTCGAGTACCTGCGCTCGATCTACGCGCCGCTCAAGCGGCACTACGAGTGGTTCCGCCGCACGCAGCGCGGGCAGATCAAGCAGTACGGGCGCAAAGCACGGTCGCGCACGGAGGCGTTCCGCTGGCGCGGCCGCTCGCAGCTGCATGTGTTGACGAGCGGGATGGACGACTACCCGCGCGGGCCGCCGAGCGCGGGCGAGCTGCACCTCGACCTGATATCGTGGATGGCGTTCTTCGCGCAGACGATGCGCGACATTGCGGAGTTCGTCGGGGAGACGGACGACGCGGTCGCGTTTGAGGAGATCGCGAAGGCTACGATCGAGAACATCGACGGTGCGTCTGCATCGCGTAACGTTCAACTGGGATGACCGGGCTTACGATTGCTCCGCAGACCTTCATTGGAACGAGGAGAACCAGATGTACTGCGACGTCGGCGTGAACGACGAAGGTCCGTGCTCCGTGCTCCTTCCACACGCACACCCTAACACGCGCCCCACGCAGACGAATCCTACCACGTCTGCCACAAGGGCTACCTCTCGCTCTTCCCCTTCCTCCTCTCGCTGCTCCCCGCAGACTCGCCGCACCTCGGCGCGATCCTCGACCTCCTCCGCGACCCCGCGCACCTCTGGTCCCCACACGGGCTCCGCAGCCTCTCGGCCGCACACCCCGAGTTCGGGCAGGGCGAGAACTACTGGAAGGGCCCGATCTGGATCCAGATGAACTACCTCGCGCTCAGCGCGCTGCACAAGGCGCGTCTTCCCTTTCCCCTTTCCCCTTTGCGCTTACGCTTACGCGGACGAGGGGGCTGCGGCTGACCGGTTGTGTGCATACGTATACAGACGTACGCGGCGCAGGAGGGCCCGTACCAGGAGCGCGCGAAGGAGATCTACGCGGAGCTGCGCAAGAACGTCGTGGACAATGTGCACAAGGTGCGTCTGCCGCCCTGTGGCGTTGTGTTCGCGCAGCCTGCTGATACGCATCCCTCTCCCGATGTAGGAGTACGTCCGCACGGGATACGTGTGGGAGCAGTACGACGCCCTCACCGGCGAGGGCCGCAGGAGGTATGTTCGCGCTTCCCTTCTCTCGGCGAGGGTATACTGGGTGCTGACGCAGGCCGTGTGCGTGCAGCCACCCCTTCACCGGATGGACGTCGCTCGTTACGCTCAGTGGGTGCTCCTCCCCGCTCGCGCTGTGCGGATCGCTGACCTCAGCGCTCCCCGTCCCACAGTCATCTCGGAGAAGTACTACTAGTAGTCCTTGTATCGCGCGCGCCGCCCTCTGCTGGCCGTGTGCCCGCGGGCGTGTTAATTTATTTCTGGCGGACAACGCGCCCTGTGCGGATGCGTGGAAACCGGAACTCGCGGCTTACGATGAGTCTACAAGTGCGAACAACCAAGAAGGGGACGACGGCGCAGCCGGTGTGTGTGCGAGGCAGTGGCGGGGGCGCAGGGTGCTAGGCATAGAGGGGCCGTCGTGGATGGCACACGAAACGAGCAGAGAGCAGGACGTGTGGGGAAAGCATGGACAGTCGTGAAGGGTATGCGTGTCAAAGGATACTACTAAGGGAAGTGAGTGTGAGGGTGTGGGTGTGGATGCAGATGCGGAAGCCGGATGCAGGTGTGGTGTGAAATAGGCGCAGGGCGGGATGTGCATACCGGCCGTGCGTACGCGAACGAAGGGATAGTACAGGGCGTCCATCCATCCAGGAAATTAAGAGGACCGACGTGAAAAGGGGAAGGCGAGGCTCATATCGTACTCATTATCTCATCCGGGTCGAAATGCAACGAGTCGAAATGCAGCGAATCCAGACGCATCTCCAGGTCCTCATCCGAGATCACGTCCGCGACGCCACTGCTACCGCTTACGGTCCGCTGGGAGGTATATGACGGCCGGGAGGACATTTGCGGGGTGTCGCCGAACGATACGCTCGACTTTCGCGAAGACGACGACGAGAGCATTGCAGTCGAGTCCATGGAAAGCGGACGGGACAGAGACGGGGAGAAGAGGTCTTCGTCGACGTCCGGTGGTGTTGGTGATGGGGCGCTTGCCTGCTAGCAGAGCGGGTCAGTTCAATTTTATGAATGACTTCAACCAAAACAAATAACATACGAGATCTGGCTGTGGATTTGACGAGCCGCTGGCTTTCGTGAACAGCTTCTGGAGTTCAAGAACAGACAGCCGGCGGCGGAACGACTTGCGCTTTGAAAGTGTTGGCTTTGACCCGTCGTCGTCCCCACCTGGACTGAGAGACCGTGTGGGCGTCGCCATGCAGTCCTCCAGGGATGGTGATGGCTGCAGCCGTTTTGCATGCGATCCAGTAACGTCGGTCGGAGACATGGGCTGCGTAGCGACCGGCGAGTCGTACGAAGGCGATGTTGGAGACAATGGCTCGTCCGCCAAGGGTGAAGCTGGTCTGCTAGCGCTCCGGTTCTCCTTGCTGTTCTCTTTGAATGCAAACATCTGCGAAAGCGTCATGGATCGCCGCCTGCTCATGGTCGGAGATGTCGCGCGCGCCGGGCTGACTGGTGTCTCTTCCTGGTACGAATGGCGCGACGGGACGGTGTCCGCTGCGTGCGGTGCAAGCTTCATGAGGGGCTTAGGTTCGCTCACGGTCGCGCGGCGGGAGCCCTTGCCGACATTCTTGATTGAACGCAGAGCCTGTGTCGCACGGGCGCGGAACGTGCTCGACTTCTTGAGCTTCAATGTACGGTCGCCAACGTCGGCCATGCCTTCGCTCCGGCGGACCTTCACGACCTCGACAATTTCCTCGTCATCGTACGTCCTATTCCGCGTACTCCCGTTCCCCCTACTCCGAATGTCCGTCTGGCCATCCTCCATGTCGAGGTCGATGTCATGCAAACGCGGAAGGGTGCCGGCGCCCCGGTGGGGCATAATGATCGTCTCCTGAGACGCATTTGAGTGGAGGCGGGTAAAGGACGGAGAACGGTTGTCCATTTGCTGGTGGAGGCCAAGCGCGACATCGAGAGTGTCGATGTCCGGGATGGTAGAGAGCCCGTGCGCGGCGGCAGCGGCCGCATCGAACACGCACCACGGCGGGTTGTCCTCCTGCTCTTCCTCCGGCGGAATGACAAACACATCGGGCACCTGGTGCATCTTAAAATCTTGAGAGGGTGGCGGGCCGTCTAGTGAGGACAGGAAGGCGTCGGAGGGGAGTGCGGACAAAGTGAGGGTGGATGCCATGGCGTGGCGGTCGTGAGTTGGCTGGAAGGAAGGGAAGGATATCCAGTAGAGCGGACTAATCTGGAACAGGTTGAGACTGGCGACTGAGAGGGACTGAGAAGGAAGGAATGTGCTCGGGCGGCCGCTCGCTGCTCGCCACGTTGAGGGAACTTGGAAGTGCAATCCAAACTTCCACTGCCACGCGCGCGCCCGACGCGTCTCAGCGCCTCTGCTGCCCGTGACCGTGCCCCGGCGTTCACCGAAGGATATTTCGGTAGAATTATCCCGCCACCCCTCCTCCTTAAATTTGGAGTATACATACGATGGTCAGGCAGAACCAATGTGCATCAGGTGAGCTGGGTCCACCAGATCGTTGGTCTACCACGTCCGTTTAGACGTTCCCGATACTGTACCATCTAGAGGTCGTCTATTTCACGCGTCATGACCGTTCGTTATTGATCTACAGCTTTTTCGGATGTCACCAAATCGCCCTTCTTCTCATCCACCCCCTGCGCAGGCTTTACATCCGCCGCGGCGACGAGCGCCTCATCATGCAGCGCATACTTCGATTTGCTCCGCACCCACGACCCATATCGCTAGAGGAAGCTATCAGCCACAGCCTGCTCTCCATGATATAGGCGACAAATGACTGACGTAGAAAAGGAATGGCACGGGCATACACGCGGACGCGAGGAACGCGAACACGCTGCACGCCCACGCGTCGCCGAGGTGGCGGTACAACGCAGGGCTGATGAGCGGGAAGATGAACGCGACAACGGAGCGTGTCACGACCGTCGACGCGATCGCGCTTGCGCAGTAGATTGAGTACGTGTCCATGAGGTATTGCGTCAGGCCTTGCATGATAATCGCGCACGACATCCCGAACGGCGTGCCCGCGAGCACAGGCACGATCCAATGCACTGGCGGGTCGCTCGTCCTGCAGCGGAACGGTGAATGAGACATGGAAGTTGGAGGTGAAAGTGCGGGGGGAGGTGTATACCATGCGAACCAGAAGAGGCTGATTGGGAGTAGAACACCTCCCAGCATGGGCAAATATAACCTCCTGGAAATAAGCCACAGAGTGAGTACATCCGTGTACTGGCTGGACTGGAGTTGCTCACGCTTCAGGGATGGTCCGACCCCCGTTGCGGTCCATCGCCTTCCAGTACAGCCTATTTTGTGCGGGGGCGAGAGCGAGGCCAATGATGCATCCTAAGCCAATGCCGAGGAATGCCAGGCCGCCCTCGCCCGCGGAGAAGAGCCGATGCCGCTGGAAGACGATCGGGTAGGCAGCAAAGAAGGCGTATAGCGTCGCATATGCGATCGCGATGTAGATGGCGAAGAGGAGCACGATGGGCTCGGTGACAAGGAAATCTACGGTCATGTCAGTGAGGGCTTTACAGACATTCGGATGTTGAGAGTAGACATACAGAAAGGGCGTCCCATGTCTCTCCGCAGGATCTGTCTGATCGACTGAGAGCGACCGATGTCGGGCTTGGATATGTACACGATTTTGCCCTCGGATGCTTTCGTTAACCGACGTGCCCTTCGGCGAAGGAGTACAGGCCCAAACTGTACCAGCATCGATCAGCCTCTCAGCCCCTACACTATTATATGTATAAACACTACGCACCGTTTCGGGCGTGATGAATATGCATGCGAGCGCGTTCAGCGCGGACACGATGAACATGATCCAAAACGCGAACCGCCATCCGAGACTCGTCTCGGATATCCAGCCGCCCACAATCGGCCCTAGCACTACAGAATATTGGTCAGCCATGCGTGCGGTGAGGAGGCATGAGCTTACCAGGCCCCATCCATGGCGCGGTGCCGTAAAGAGCTGCGGCAATACCGCGCTCACGCGCAATCCACATGTCGCTCAGCGCGCCACCGGCATTTGTGAGTGCTAGTTCATGGGGCGTGAGTGGAGAGACGCGTCGGCCTAATCGGACGGACACTTACGCGCTGAGCCAAAGATTCCCGCGAGGGCGCGAGTAACCAGAATTGTAGCCGTGTTGTGCCCAAGAGCACCTCCCAGGTGGAAGAGGGTGAACACGCTGCCGGTAACTATGAATACTATCCGCTTCATGTCTGTCAGCGCACGCCAGGAGAAGTGCAGTTTGCAAGTGGACTGACCCGTCCGTAGAGTTCCCCGAGAGGTGCAAACACAAGCGGACTGTGGGCGGTTAGATGGGAAACATGCATCTGGACAGCATCGGCACCTACCCCAACCCGAAACCTAGGACGTAAAGTGACACACCGAGGATACCTATTACCTGCGTGATGTGTAGCTCGCGATCCATTGACGCCAATCCGCCCGAGTAACAGCTACTGCAGAACGAGACGGAGAATGTTGCCATCGCGAGCTATGAGCGCCAAGCGGGTATCGGCGCACACATGTCAGTAAAATGAACACCCCTACCGCCGGTACGTAGTGAAGGCGATGTTGAACACCCGGTGGGGACCCACCTGGAATGTGATGGCCCATTTTCTGTCTTTGGACCAGTTGAACGGGTTCTCGGGGTCGCCGAGGTCCCAGTCGACGACGTATGGGTCCTCGTGGGTCCCACCGCCCGCGTATTTCTTTTCGTGACAGCTGTCGCTTGGCGCGGGGTCGCGCCGCACGTGGCCGGCCTCCTCGTCAGTGCCCGCAGCATGCAGCGTCGTCTGCTGCGACATCGGAACCGCCATGGTGTCCTCGACACAACCTCCTGCTGGTGGTCCGCCTCTTGCCTGTGTGCCGGGGATCTAGCACGGTAAGCCGACGGAGACGGGGCTAGGGACGGCCGCAGAGCATGGCTCGGCATAGACATGCTGTTGGGTATATATAGTCGTGTGGGTGGCCGTATATTGGTAAAGGGAACGAGGTCGGCAGGGGATGGGTGGGCTCGGCATGGTGGGAACGTGTGCCGGACAAGCCGGGGGATCTCATGATTGCCCCGCGCGTTTTCGACTGTTCAGCTCGCGGGATACGTCCATTCGATGTCGTGATGCTCTGCGAATCTGCGAGTCACCTTTGTAAGATGATCAGGGTGCTTTTGTCAGTTTGAGATGGCTTGAGCGAAGGGTGTAGACTGTAGACTAAGAGTCTCGTGGAGGTACCATGTAAGATGGCGAACCCTTTGATCGGCGACATTGCCGCCTATTGCCGCTCGCTGCCGCCGGCGTCTCGAAACCCTCTTTGGGTTTGCGGCTCCCATCTGCCGCCGACTGCGCATGCGGCGCATCTCCAGCGAGACACCTGAGGACACATGCTGCTCTTCGTGCCAGAGCATTCCTGTAAGTCCAACTTCGGCAGGGGTGTGGCAGATGCCAGACAAGCCTAGGAAAGCCGACAGAACTGAGCTGCGGAATGCCTAACATGCTGTTTAGAGGACAACGTCGAAATGTATCAGACCTTCGACGAGACCGCTGCTCACGACGTCATAACCGCTAAGCTTCGCTTCAAGTTCCGTTGTTGTGATGTATAGTAATCCCGCGATAAACCAGCTAGAAGGAGCAAACTCCGAGTGGCAAAGCTGATACTGACAGGGTTTATCAGAAGAGTCGCAGATCAACGTTCGCTTACACACGGCGCTGGCCGTCTTCTCTGCGACCGCAGTGTACATACTTCGGTTCTTCCCGTGCGACGTCGACCACGTCCTCGTCGATTGCCACCATTCCGAGGCAGTGGTGACTCGCGGCTGTCCCCAGGCTTCGCCATTGAACGAAGATGTCGACAGTTATAGAGCCTGCGGAGTCCGTAAGGTCTGTTGACGCTGACTCTATTTGCGAGAATCGCACGGAGAACGAGGACGACCGCGTCGCGCTCACCGAAGGCCCTGCTACTGAAGATGCCAATGGGGACCTGCAAGTGCCTTCCGACAGCAGCGTCTGGGCGAAGATGGACCTCATAGTGCTTCCCGTAACGACAATGATGTTCTTTCTGTCCTCGCTGGTGAGTAGTTTACCAAAGAGAGTAGAGTTCAATATCGCGCGGGAAGTGCTTATGACGTTCATGTTCCCTAGGATCGTTCAAATATAGGAAATGCGCGAGTGGCGGGCTTCCAGGAGCAGCTCGGCATCTCAGATGAACAGGCAAGTCCTAAGGCAAATGATGAGGAGTATTCGTGCCAACAAGTCCGCATACAGTTCAGCTTTGCCTTGACAATCACGATAATGTAGGTGTCAGGAGAGTCAGAATCGCACACGATGAATCAACATACAATGCCGCAGACCATACACAATCGTCAACTTCCCGACAAATGCGTTACAGAAGGTCGGTAGCTGGTGATGTGAGCGTTGGTGTAACTACTTTGCTCAAGCAGCGTCGGTAGCTTATAGGTCCGCGGATATTGCTCCCGAGCATGGTGGTACTATGGGGCGCGGTATGCGCGTTTCAAGGTGGGCGCCCCGTGTCACTGTGCGCACACCTCAACAAGGATCTGAGGGTACGCATATAGGGCTACTCCGAAACTATTCTGGATTGCTTGTCTGTAGATTCTTTCTAGGCCTTTTTGAAGGTTTGCTTAGTTCCAGTTTCATCGCCCTTCCACGGTGATCTTCTGACTACGTTGCGTACGCCGCAGGTGGGCTGCTCCCCGGGATAGTACTCTACCTATCTTCGTTCTATCCGAAACGGAAGCTTCAACTGCGGTGCGCATGCTGCGAAGAGCCTAAACTTGCATAGGCCCCTCACTTTGTTTGTCAGGATAGCACTGTTGTTTTCGGCGACCTCGTTGGCGAGTGCCTTCTCCGGCCTGCTCGCTGCAGCAATCGTGAAGATGGACGGCGTGGGCGGAAAGCCTGGTTGGGCATGGCTCTTCATCCTGGTAAGTCTCAGGCTTCGCAAACGATTGCCCTACATAATTATTCGATACTGATCATGACACTCAGGAGGGGGCGTTTACCGTACTGTACGGATTCGCGGCGTTCTTCATGCTGCCCAACACGCCGACCTCTGCGCGGTTCTTCACCGAGGCAGAGAAGAGCATCATCAGACGCACCCTACACGACGACGGCATCATGCTAGTAGACGAGCATGATAAGGACTATACCTGGACGGAATTTGGCAGGGCGTTCCTCCAGCCGCATGTCATCCTCATCGCGCTGTCGGGTTTCTTCAACGGTACGCATATACGAAGGATCTCCTGCTTGCTGTCTCATATTGAGTTTGCTTTTTACAGGCGCAACGGTTTCGGGACTAGCATAGTGCGGCTTTCATCCGCATCGAAGCTTGACCATCCGAGCTCATCTTCCAACAGCTTCCTCCCAAGCATAGTCAAGGGGCTAGGATATGCGGGCACGCGAGCCCAGCTCATGAGCGTCCCGCCCTTTGCAGTAACAGCTGTCTGTAAGTTTACTTCATTCTTGATGCAACTCTCCCCTGCTAGAACTCATGTCGGCCAGTCTCGGTCGTGACCTCCTTCCTGGCGGACCGCTACGCCCGTCGTGGCCTCTCGATCATCTCCTTCTCCACAATCGCCGCAATCGGCCTATCCATCTTCCTAGGCAAGTCACCCACTCTCCCATGCTCTACCGCACCCCCCGCCCCTCTAACGCCGCTCCCCGCCCCACACAGGCTCATACATCAACCCCATCCGCTACCTCTCGCTCTTCCTCCTCGTCCCGGGCTCGTACTGCATCGCACCCGCGCTCGGCGCCTGGATGGCCAACAACACCGCCCCGGCGCTGCGCCGCGCGACCGCGCTCGCACTCCTTTCGACGATGTCCAACGTCGGCTCGCTCGTCTCCGCGTGGGTGCTCGGCGCGCTCTCCACGCCGCCAAGGTATACCGTGGGTGCGGCGGTGCTGCTCGCGTTCCAGCTGGGCATCTTCGCGTGTGCGGTGGGGAATGTGCGCTGGCTCGTGGCGGAGAACCGTAGGAGGGAGAAGTCGAGAGGGGAGGAGGCGGAGGTGGCGGAGGCTCCGGGTCGTGTTTTGCGGAATGATAGTGTTTGGTTCTCGTATGTACTGTAAAGGCACATTTACCTAAGGTTCCCCCCCAATAATTCGTGCGAGCTTTTCATACGCGTCTGCGTACGCGGTGTTCCGGGGGTGCTATCTTAAGGGCGTTAACATGTTACACGACGTCGAATACGTGAAGGGGTAAAAAATAACTGCATGATGATTTTATGAGTGCATTAAGGGGGAATCGAACCCCCGGCGGGTCGATGGCAACGACCCCAGGTTACATACCACTACCCCATTAATGCTTTCTGCAGAGTGTGTCTGTCTACAATATGTTGCATGACTACTGTGAATGCCCCTGTAATATAATCAGGAGAGCCCAAGGGGAGCCTTAGGGGGGCCTTAGGTCCACGCATGCTCGGAGTCGTATGGTTTTTATTTTGCCAGTGCTATATCATGCCATATCTACCATAGAACGCCTCCACTGCGAAGTCAGCTCATCGACCTTGAGGACCACCCCTGCAGCAGCACGGCGCAACCGGACTTCCTGCACACCCCCTCCGCCGAGAACCTTCGCACCATCCTCGAGCCCCCCTAACACCTTTCCAGCCCACTCGCCCGCCCCCAGAAGCGATGCGGTATGCTCGAGGCCAAGCGACTTTCCGCCGTCGAGGTCGAGGCACCCGTCGAGCACAATGAGCACCAGCTCCAGCGCCGCCGTGAGCAGCGCGGCCTCCTTGCTCTGCTTGGGCCCCGCCGACCCCGCACCGTCCTCGCCTGCGCCAGCGTCGTCGTCCGCACCCTCTCCGCGGGAAAGCGGGCGCGTGCCGAGGGTGAGCGCCAGCTCGAGCGCGTCCGGGGCGATGACCGCGAGCCACTCGCGCGCGTTGCGCGCCGCATGCACGAGCACGGCGAGGGTCTCGAGGAAGCGGCCGAGGATGAGCGCGCTGAGGACGAGCCCGGTGCCTGCGCCGGTGTACCGATGCAGGACGGGCTGCTGTGCAGTGCGCGCCTCGCGCGTCTGCTCGTCTCGGAGGAAGAGCCAGAAGCGGTTGATGAAGGGGCAGATGAAGTATTCGGCGGCGACCTCGGTAAACGTCGTGCGCTTGGGGTGCCGAGTGCCCGCGAGCTGGCGCATCAGGGAGGCGTGCGCGGAGGGCGTGGTGGCTGGGACTTCGGCAATTTTGGATGAGGGGCGGACGCGGAGATTGCGCTCGCGGACGAGCTCGGGCACCTTGTCTGCTGTCGCATCTCTGCCTTTGTCGATAGCCTGCTGGCTGATCCCCTCCAATAGAAATTGGACGGGGTCGTTTGTCCTGAGTTGGTCACCAGTGGTGAGGTATTTGTTATGCTGGGCAGGAGGAAGACGCTTGCTAGGAAAGGCGACCTTCTCGCTTGACAACGCCTGACGACCAGGCAGGTCAGGCACAGGCAAAGAGGCGAGCTCTCGTGCGCCCAGAGCAAGGGCGTTCAACATAACGAAGCGTTGATCGGTGGAGTACTGATTCCTGAAAAACTCTTCAATGATAGCACTGTAAAAGACTCAGCATGTCGCTTATTCAGGGAATCGGGCACGTACGGTGCTGCCTTGCGGGGACAGCAAGCGACTAGAGCGTTCAACGCAGCTTGACGCTTTTGGTCGAAACCTTCCAAGTCATAGTTGTCTTGAAGACCCATGAGCCCATGCGCCAGATTGACCGCATTTTCCTCTAATAAACATGTTGTCAGCGCTGTGTCACATCGAGAGACATACTCGATATACCTAGTTCGGTGCCATAACCACTCTTCCGCCTGATCAGTTCTTCCGCAACCTCAAGCCCGACTTCGACTTTTGTGGCCTGTAGTTGCTCGTCTCCGCTTTGCAAGCCGCCGGTGGGCCGTAGCATTTCTCCAAGTTGCGCAAGATACACCGGCCGCGGAACCTTCTTCACGCCCACCCGTATGGTTGGGTCACGCTCAACCTCTTCCAGTTCGGACGGTGTTGGCGACGCCGAGCGTGAGGAAGAAGGGGAGGCGTATCCGGTGACAGAATCGTCCGAGTCGTACCCCGAAGGTTCTACAACCGCGAGCTTGGCCTGGGGGAACTCTTCAGTGTCTGCTGGCGTGGAGTGCGCCTCTGGGGATGTTGGAAGTTCGCTTTCCGGCTCGGTTGTTTGGTCTACATCTGCGTCGCACTCCTTGAGGAGATCCCGCAACTGTCGACACCATGCCTTTCCGGGGTCGTCTCCTTCCCAGTCGCCAAAGTCTAGCGATTTCCCCGCAGCGCGAGCGACTTCCTCCGCTACCATCGACCCGCACCGACGGACTGATGGGTCCAAGTGGGAGATATACGTTGAGACGGACTGCACGAACGACGGTGAGAGGGCCATGTCATGCGCCGGACTTGGCGAAGGAAAGCATTTTAGGGTGACGAGCAGCAGAGACGTGACGTCTGTAGTTCCGATCAACGAGAGTTTACATGACCCCACCTACAAACCCTTACATTTGTGTTGGGAAAGTAGGGAGTGCCGGACATGGTCCGCATCTGTCCAAATGTCTACCGCCTTGGCAAGAAGAACGTCGAGAGCTGGTTTAGACGGTGAGATGAGTGTGTCACTAAAAAAGAACCTAACGGAAAGCACCTTTTCGATCTCTGCTGTCCTTCTGTGCACCAGCAGCCCAGCAAGCAAATATCCGCGCGTGGCCTTCATCCCAATTGCGCCCAAAAGCTACTGCACTGAAACAGTCTACTAGCTCCGGGTTGTCCTTATGAAGAAGGCCGACCAAACGCTTTACCAGTAGTGCCTCACGAGTAATGAGCCTGCGGGAGCGCACACTATTATCGAGCACTATAGGTATCGGCGTCAGGTGTGTGAGCAACGAAGTCAGGATGGACCTCAGAGTCATCGACGAAGGCAGCGAGGTGAGAAGTTTTGTCCAGAAGGCAGAATAGTCGCCATTGTCGTATAAAAGACGGGACCGAATTGTCGGCAGGGTAGCCTGGAAGAACGAAGGTTGTGCGGGAGATGTAGGCACAGAGGAAGAGAACACCCCAGTGTTCACTAGCTTAGAGAGCAGGTATGCTATGGAAGATATTTTGTCTACAGGGTCGTTCGTCAACTGTTCTCAATAGAGCATCTGTAGATCTCTCACCTTGCGAGCGTTCGGCTTGGGATACATATATTAGCTGTTCTGTGCGTATACTCACATCCGCGAAGAATGACCCATATTCCAAGGCAGGCGGCAAGTCGCGCCTTTCTTCCATGTAGTTCGCGACTTTAGCAGGGACCGCGAGCACGTTCCGTACGCAGTCTTCCCAGGTCATAGAGTGTCTCCCATACAATACACCGCTGTTTCCTGAGAATAGAATGGTGTGCAGGACGTCGATCGGATAGGCCTTCGCAAGCTTAGCAAGCAAGCGAATGGAGTAGTCTTTCATCGGCATGGATAGGAGTGTTGAATAGGCGTACAGCGCTAGCTGCCTAGCCGAAGGCGAAGAGAATGTCATAGCATCGGGACAGAAGTATTGCTCGACCAGTCCGTACGCGTCCTCCTGCAATAGTTCCGGCTCCCAAACCGGTATGACATGTTCCAGAAGCGCTCTTTGCAAGAGTGGCGCGTGTCGGGGAATATTGAGAGCATTATATGGGATTGGTGATGTGTTGTGTATCCCGAAGCGCGGTGGTAGAACTCCTATGGAGGAAAGTGGGGCAGCCAGGAGGGGAAGCAACGTCGAGAGGTCAGGAATGGGTGATTGGAGGCGCGAGATAACCTCGCGAATCTGCGCGAGCGTCGCGTCGTTATACTCCGCAGACATGACCAAGTTTCGCGAAACTAGCTGCAGACGACGCGGTGGTGGTGGAACGGAGGCAAGAAGAGGTGCAGTCAGCGAAGGCTTGCGCGGTCGCGCGGCCCGCTCCCTCGCGCGCTGCCGCCTCACGCGCCGCGCGCCTCTGACCTCATCGTTCTCAACGCTCTCGACCACCACCTTGCAAACCACGGATATGTCGGACAACTTCGCCGTTGCCGCGACGCCTCAAGCGCATGATGCGGATGTCGAGTTCTTCGTGCGGAGGGGCATGACCAAGGGCTACCAGCTGCTATCTCTGCTCACTCCTCCCGCGTACACCGTCTTCGCGCTCACTCGTTATGGTCGCTCGCACATATCTGTGAATCGCCTATTACGCGCTACCTGGATAGGAGGCTCAGCTGGTATGTGCGTTCTTTCGGGTTGTGGTGCGAGGCCTTACAAGCGGGGGCTACAGGCGTCCTTGGTGGAGGAGCTTTCGAGTACGTTCGCTCAGCGTATTCTAACGGAGAGAAGGTCAGAATCCGCAGGTTGCACGCGGCATACAACGTACGTATATGCCACAGCTCCCCATAAAAGAACCTGCTAACCCATCCATCCTCAGACCTCATCCATTCGAGCAGATGACCATTCAACCATCGGAGGTATTCTCTTCGCAGTCATCACACCTGCCCTCTTCTGGAAACGAGCGTCGAGTCTAAATTGTACGTGATACCTTGACCTCTCGGTGGAGTTTCTTTTCACTCACAATTTGCAGTGATTCTTGGTGGAGCGGGTATCGGGTCTGCTGTAGGACTTGTCTCGCACTACGCCCGCGCAGTTACCGGTGATCCTGCACCAACCGTCCCTGTACCGGAAATCCCACCAGTAACCCCTCATTAACGGGGAAGCGACGCGCGATTCGCATTGACTTTCTCGCGAAGGCCTTACACTCCCTACCTGCCTCACTTACGCCCCGCCGTCTCTGTGTAATACCAAACAGCTGTATATGTATCATGCCCACCTCGCCATTCAGACAAAATTAGCGCGATATCACATTCCGACATACAAACTACTCCAACTTCTTCCGTTCATGCGTCATACGTATATTCATTTCCTACCTTCGTCTTTCAATCTTCCATCCACAACTGGGTGAATGGTGACCAAATCCTCCTCCGCCCCGCTCAGCTCCTCGGCCCCTTGTCCCTTCTCCTGCTGCTTCGTCTGGTCGCCCCCAAATTCCCCCTTGCGCATCCGGTCACCGTCAAAGCAGTCGACGTCGCTCATATGCTCGCGCCCCGTCACCCGCAGGTGGTCGCGATAGTGTCCGCGCGACCAGCGCAGCGCGATCCCCGCGACGCGCCGCCACATGTCCCCGATACGCCCCGCGGGGCTCTTTGCGCGCTGCACAGGACTCGCCGCACGCGGCGTGGTGTTGCCCTTGTCCTTCTTGACCGGGCTCAGCGATCGGATGGCTGACAAGCGGTCGCGGGATTTCGAGCGTGAGCGGTGCGTGGCGCTGGTGTGCGCCTGGCGTGCCTTTTCACGCGAGACGAGATTGGTAGTCTCAGGGTCGAGGAGGTTGACGTGGTGCATACTTGCCATGCGCGATAGCCGGTTGACGAACCGACACCCTGCAAGAGCGCACGTTAGGTTACACCATGATGCTTCGCGCATATATGAAGGCAGCTCACCGAGAAGGTACTTGCGCACGATAGCGCTCATCAGCTGTCCGCTCTCGTCGTCAACGAGGTATTTGGCTCCCTTGAGCGGCAGGAAGCCGTCATGGCCCTGTGCCATGTACTCTCGCGTGACGATGCTGTACTTCCGCCCGCCCTTGACGCGCGGTATGGGGTCCCCGTCGACGAGCGTCGCGGAGGACTGAGCCATGGCGCTCGTTGCGGACTGCAGGAGGCTGGTCTTCGATGACGCTGCAGAGTTACTTTGCGACATTATGGGAGATGCGGTACCGCTGTGCGAAGGGGTCGTGTTCGTACTGCCGCCTGAGGGTTCTTGCAGTAGCCATACGCCGAGGACGCGCTGGCCTGCGGGGCGACGGGAGTCCCACGAAACGCGGAACCCCGAAATGACGGGGAACCGTCTGGAGGGGAGAGTCAGTGAGAGCGATGAAAAGGCAATTCAATAGTCTTCACGCACCCTTCTTGTGCCGGCCACGTCTCCAAGGAGGCTTCAAGCGCGGCCCAGATGGCTTCGCCGTCAAGCTCAAGTACTACGATAGGGTCCTCGAAGGGCAAGATCTCCAGAATATCGCCAAGGGTGACAACACCAGGGCCGTAAATCGAATCGCCACGGAGGGTACCCGCACAGATGAAGACGCCGTCCGAGCCGCCGCCGGTCTGCAGACAGAGGGCATCGTCGTATGCGTGTCGTAGAACGTCTGCGAACCAATTTGCTGCTACCGTCTATGAGGCCGTCGTGAGCATGCCAATGAACGCTCACGATGTGCAAGTGTCTCTCTACCTCTTGTACACGGATGATAGAGGAGCGAACATCGAGCTCGACGTCTGTTTTACATACCGGTGCCTTGAGCGCAGAAGAAACGGAAGACAAGAGGTCCTCCAGCAGCTTCGCGACTCGTTCGCTCTTTTTTGACCCAGGCTTGGTTTCGTGGTGCTTTCCTGTAAGTCAATTAGCGACAATTCAATCTTGGGCGACGGAATGGATGGCACCTCTGATGGTTTTGATCACCTTCCTCCTAATGCTACCTTCGGGCGTGTCTGCGAGTTCCAAAGCAATCTCACTAAGATCTCTGAAGTCCGTGCCGCTCTTGACGACAAGGACATCTCCGTGGTCTTCCTCTCCGCCTAATACTTCTTGATCCAGGTCATAGCCTTCCCAGGAGGTGACGCCCCGCGAGACGTAGTACAGATGATCGTGACCGCCGAATATTATGTCTGCGCCATGGATGTTCTCTATGGACTGGCTCTCTTGGGCGGAGGGAGACAATGCGTTAATGCTCTTGGCGAGTTTGATGTCCTATAGTAGTCCGCCTGTCAATGGAAAGTATACGTATCGAGAACTTTCTGTTCGCTGACGTTTGGTACCCTGAATAATACACACCAGCGGTTAGTTGACCGCCGTACGCTCATGCGTGCTCGGCGTACCTAGCATGGGTGAGTGCGATGATAAAATCGCATTTGTGTTCACCTTCAGGGTCTCGCAAACGTCTCGACAAGTCTATGGCGACCTCCGCCATATCCTTGTACTTGAAATTTGACGGCCATGTCGAGACTGTTGCTATCCATTCTCTAGCGCAAGACACCTCAACCTCAGACAAAGGTCCCGTGAAAGATTCCGCACGACTCTGCTTACTTTTCGACCAAGCCAATAACGCCAATGCGAACGTCCGAGCGCTCGAAGACGTAGAACTCAAGTAGGTGTTCTGGAACGCGGGACGTCTCGCTGTCGATGATGTTGCTGAGAATCCATGGCTAGGCACGGAATCAATACGAATAGCTTGGGCACTAGTGTGGGAATGTATACGAACATAGTTCGTGTCTTGTATGAGCTTGGAGAGATGCGGGTAGCCTGTGAACGATCGTCCCGCATTGAAATGAGCGTAAGCCCCGAGGGGACAGTGCGGTCTTACCGAAGTCGAAGTCATGATTTCCTGCGGACGAGGGAAGATCAGCGTCATGTAGGCCGCTCAGAAGCACGCTGCACACCTGTAAGCGAGATGTCTGGTCCGATGGCGTTCATGACCGGGACCATATGGCTTCCTCTTGTAACTGAGCTCTCAACAGAGGGGCTAAAGACGTCCCCGGAGAAGAGCACCAGGCCATCTCTCTTCCCGTCAGGCCTCAACGGCCATTGGTCGCGAATCTCATCCAGCATCGATGTCCACTGCGTGACGTCTATAGTCTCCGGGGACTTGGGCTGCAGCTTGAATGGCTGGACCCGGTAGACATCGTTGAAGTGCAGGAAGTTGAGGGTCGCCATGGATCTTTCAGTTCTCGCAGGCAGCCGTAGTCGCCAGTGCTAGAGAATCAGGCTGGTAAGAGAGGAAGATCGAGTGGTAACAAATATATCTCGGTGCACATGGAGGGCCGGACCCAGGGCCCGTCCTGCGCGCTCGAAAGTAATGAGTGGGTGACAGACGCGCCCGGCGGCATGGGCGTCTACTGCAAGCCGTTTCGTACAGCGCCCGACGCACCAGCTTGACCTCGACGTCCACATCTTCAGCGACTACTGCTGCTCTGCCACCCCTCTGCTCAGGGCTGCATCGTCGCGACATGTCCTCCGTGGCGGCTGCTCGCTTCAAAGCGACCTCTGGTCGCGTCCATCTCTTCAACCTGTCCCCTGCGACCGGCTCGCAGTCCACGGTATGGATTTCCCTTGCACCTTGCACTTCCCCTTCTCTCACATTGCGTCTAGCAAAAACGTCTTGGTCGCGGTCGCAGCTCTGGTCTTGGTAAGACCTCAGGTCGCGGTCACAAGGGTCAGAAGGCGCGTGCAGGAAATGGCAAGCCCAAGGCTGGCTTCGAAGGTGGTCAGACACCCATCGTCAAGCTCTTCCCGAAGAGAGGCTTCGTGAACCAGTGCGTGTTTCTCTTCCTCGCAACCCTCCGCCATCCTCAAACCCACGACACAGGAACAACAAGATGTTTGCGCCCGTGAACCTTGACCGTATTCAGCACTGGATAGACCAGGGGCGCCTCACGTCTTCGCCGGAGAAGCCTATCACTGCGAAGGAACTACTTGAGAGCGGCTGCGTTCACAATGTCCACGACGGTATTAAGCTCCTGGGCAGCGTGAGTGTGCCCGCTCAATTCGTCACGTCCCACACTCAATCCGTCTCCTCAGGGCTCGGAATATCTCAAGACTGCCATCCACATCACTCCCTCGCGAGCGTCGCGCAGTGCTATCCGTGCTGTTGAGAAGGCGGGCGGGAGTGTTTTCTGCCAGTATTACAACGACCTTGCTCTCAAGGATTGTGTGAAGGGCAGGACAGACCGGACGGATGCTGCGCCTACACGGAAGACCGATATTCGTGCGTTTCCCTCCTCTATATGCTTAAGTTGCATTAGTGACGCTGAATACTTTCAGTCTGGTATACCTCCTGGCAGAATCGGGGTTACCTGTCACCCACGGCACTGTCGAAGATGCCTTTGGGGCAGGACCGGTGGCGCGAGCTTTCGAAGCAACTTCTTGCCTTCAAGACGCAGGAGTACGAGAAGGCCAAGTAGAGTACCTCATATTACATATATGCCCGTTGTTAATCTTAATGCCTTCGCTCTTGGACGGCGCATTTGCGCAAGTCGGTGTTAGACCGATGATGATATGGTCACGCCGTTCGGTATGTCGGCAGTCTAGACGTCGGCAGCCGTTTGTATTCCGATGCAAGATTTCCACTTCACTCCCCCACCACTGGTACGCTACGCTTTGCGTAACGCCCCGCCTGGCCGTCTATCCTCCGCCGCATCGGGGGCTGACCTTGCCGGCTTCCGGAACCCGCTAGTGTGCGTCACAGGTGCGAGCTCGTGGTTAAATATAGCCATGTATTTCCGTTCTACTACGTGACTCCTCACTAGGTCTCACTGCACATCTGCTGTTATTTCTCAACTCCTGCACTGTGCTTGTCCCTACGACGCACACCCGAGATGTCTATTCCTCTGCTGAAGGCTGCTGCGCGTCACAGCCCGCGTCGCGCCAGCTCTTCGCCGCGCTTGTGGTCAAGCCCGTGTCGTCATGCGTCCACAAGTTATGGGGCTACTCAACATACATCTGCTGGCGACCATCTCGCCAGCCGTATACAGCGTGCGGCCCTCGGCGGCGGAATTCTGACTGTCGCGTCAGCGGCCTACTACTATGCTTCGCAGCCGGTAGTGCACCTCGACGGCGATGCAGCCCTCACAGGAGGTCCGCAACCAAAGCGCGCCACCAAGACCACAATGCAGCCCAATGTTCCGAAGAGCGCGCTCGGGGCACAATACGGTTCGCACGAAGATGTTCAGAAGGCGATCGAAGAACTCCGGACTGCCATTCCGCGGGAGAACGCCGTGAACACAGACCCGCAAGTTCTGCAGCTCTACGGGTCCTCGGACAAATCGTATCACCCGACGGCGCCACACTCGGTTGTTGTGCATCCACACAGCACGGAGGAGGTCGTCGCGGTTGTCAATATTGCGCGAAAGTACAAAGTTCCGATCGTGCCCTATAGCGGCGCGACGAGTCTTGAGGGCCATTTCTCCGGGGTGAGCGTTTCGCTTTTGAAAATATCGACACAACGGTTGACATGGGATGTTGTAGTATCCGTCTGGGAGCATTTGTATCGATTTATCCGGCATGAACAAGATTCTCGAGATACACGGTGCATATAAAACAGATGTATGATGGCGTAGCTTTTCCCCTGACCTAGAGCAACGCAGAGGATGACAGTGACCTCGTATGCCAAGCCGGCGCACGATGGGAAGACATTAACGAGACGCTGAAAGAGAAGGGTATCCCACTCTTCTTCCCAGTACGCGCATTGTTTGAATACTTGTCCGAATTTCTGCTCATTAGTATATGCATGTATCAGCTCGATCCTGGCCCCGGAGCAGTAAGTCGTAAATATATATTGCAGGGAGAGCACATGTTGAATCACCCGCCTTTTACCTAGACCATTGGCGGAATGATCGGCACAGGCTGTTCCGGCAGTACGTCCTTTCTCCCCCCTTTGAGGATTAGACGCAGACCTACAAAAACTGACTGAGTTGGGCACATCCAGCAAATGCAGTGCGGTATGGTACTGCCAGGGGCGAGTGGTTCCTTAACATGGCGAGCGTGATTTTAATAAGGCCCGAGGCACGCGTGCTAACACAGCAATGCAGACTGTCGTTTTGCCCAACGGTAAAGTTATCAAGACCCGTCGCCGCGCACGGAAGTCGTCGGCGGGCGTTGACATGACCAAGCTATTCATCGGCGCCGAGGGCACCCTGGGTATCGTCACTGAGGGTGTGTGCAGTCAGAGTTCGAACATATGATTTAGCAACGCTGACAAAAATCTGGTCCAGCGACATTACGTCTAGCACCGGTTATCCCCTCCAAGGTTGCGATGGCTCAGTTCCCGGACGTCGAACACGCCGTCTCTGCGGTGCAAGAGATTTTGAACACGCCAGCGGGCCCACACATCCGTAAGTCGCGCAGAGAAATATTGATAGGCCCGGTGGTGCGACATATTAACCACGGTTCTCCACAGAATGCGTAGAGCTACTAGACGACCACAGTGCGTCCCTCGCCAGTCGGTGATAGGCCGAGCACATGCTGAGTACACACTTTAGTGATGAAAGCCATCGCGGACGCAGGGCTCGTCTCCGAGCCGTACCCGAGCCGCGACACACTCTTCTTCAAAATCCAGGGCGACCCAGCCGCGATCGACTCCACGACGCGGACTGTGCAGGACGTCGTCGCGAAGCACCGCTCCGTGAACTTCGTGTTCGCTAAGACGGCGGACGAGGCGGAGGAGCTCTGGGAGAGCCGCAAGTACGCGCTCATGAGCACGATCGAGAGCGAGGAGGGCGCGCGCTGCTGGACGACGGACGTCTGGTGAGTGTGCTTCGCCGCTCAGGCTGGTCTGGACGCTGGGACGCTCACGACGGTGTGCGTAATAGCGTCCCAGTGTCGCGACTGCCGGAGCTGGTATACGAGACGAAGAAGGACCTAGCGCGGTCTGGCCTGCGGTCGACGATCGTGGGGCACGTCGGCGACGGTACGTTCTTCCCTCGTGGGCGTGAAGGCCGCGTCGCTGAGCGGACTTCCTACAGGCAATTTCCACGCATTCATCCTGTTCAAAACCGATGACGAGCTGAAGGCGGTCAGCGACGCCGTGCACCGACTCGTCCACCGTGCTATCGCCCTGGATGGGACTTGTACGTGTTCATGATGTAGTCAAACTGCCTCCGTTGACGATGCCGCAGGCACTGGGGAACACGGCGTCGGCGTCGGCAAGCGAGAATACCTCACAGAGGAGCTGGGGCCGGACACCGTCGAGCTGATGTGGACGATAAAGCGAGCGATCGATCCCCTGGACATCATGAACCCTGGCAAGGTGCGCGCGGCTGGAATGCCATAACACTCGAGTTGTCTACCTCTGCTGATGCGTTGCGTGTCGGCTAGCTCTACCCCGATATGCCTGTAGATAGCGAGCGGCCGCGGGCGTAGCGAAGCCCGCCGCCACCGGGGAGATTTACGCGAGCCTGAGCATCAGGCGGCTAGAAGGGCGCGCTGCGGCTGTTAGTAGCAACTTGGATTGAACTCAGCCAAGCGTTGTGTGTCCACCCCTCTTAGCGATCAATGCGCGCAGCATCCTCATATGGCCTGGCTTGGACATACCTCACCCCATAGCTATAGCAATATTTGGTAAATGAAGGCAGGGTCGATGGGCGTACTTCCGAGATCGCGGAGGTGCAGGCTGCGCGGAGCATGTGTGGTTGAGAGGTTCAGAGTAATATGACAAAGTTATTTCTGTCGCCCTGTCGGAAGACGGTCTTTTTCTGGTATAGTAGATGGTCCTGGTAAGTCGTTGAAGCCGGGGCAGATGTTTTCCGAAAAAGCCAATATGCCATTTTGCCGCCCTCCCTCCAGCGGGTGCGGACTTGCTCAAACCCTATGGCCGTCATGAGGCCTTGGAAGTGTTCTGGGGTGAGGTAGCGTGAATTGAGGATGCACGGCAACGGGAGCTGTTGATGTCATGCCTTTCAGTACGAAGTCATCGTCGGATACGAGTGGGTGCCGAGCGACGTACCGCGACAAATAGCAGGCCTTCTGACGCGAGCATCGTGTGGGCCAAATGCAACATCCGTCCTGTGTTTCAAAAGGTGCCGAGTCCGTCAGCGTCTACTGTGGGTATCTACGTGACCTATGCGGGACTAACCTCTGTCCTTAGCGTCTGGTACGAAATTGAGCACAAGACTGAGACTGATGGCGTCCCAGCATTCACGGTGCTCCACGGGGTCCATGAGCAAGAAGTTCTGCTCTTGGATCGACGGGTGCCGGGAGTGTAGGTCGATGGGGGTGACGTCAACCCATGCGGCGCAGGAAGCGTAGTTGTCTGGCTTCAGTGCACCGACTTCGAGGAGTCTATAGGGAGCTCGATGCGTCAGTGATGTGGTTGAATCGAATGCGCAGGGGCAAAACTTGCCGTAATCGAGCGTTCTTTTCTTTCATGGTCCAAATAATATCCAACTCGCGTAGCCATGCGATAAAAATGCTTTCGCTGCCGCCGCCCCTGTCGCTACTCTGGCCGATGGAGGACATGCGCTGGTACGCCTCGAGCCCTCCGAGCTCCTCGATCTCGCGCTCGACGGAAGCGAGTTCCGTTTGTGCGGTAGCCGCATTACGGCTTCTAGCCTGGATGACGTTTTGCAGCTGGGTCTGCCTTTTGATAAGAACGTGGAAGCGGCGGATGATGGTCCTGGTGGCCTGCGGGCGACTGGAGGAACCAGAAGGCAGCGAAGGTCGGTCGGAAGGTCCGGCGACGGTCACCGGAGTCTTGCGTTTGTTTTTTCGTGCTTTGGGCATTGCGAGCTGGTTTTAGCAGAATATACACGGTCGCCCATGTGTCATGAGGCACGGAGGACGGACATGAGCCTCTCGTATGCGAAGCTCGAGAAGGCTGGGATCAGGCGGCGTGAGGCTTCGAAGTTCTCGGAGTGAGCTGTGCGCCACAACGGCATCGTCCACGGAGCGCCCGGCGAGTTTGGTCCGCCTATGGGTTCAAACGTTCAAAGTCGACCAGCCCGCCTCTTGCTTTCCTCCTCCCCGACTCATAGCAGAGCACATGGGGGCATCCTCCGGGAGCCCATCCTGCCGCCAGCATATTAACTGGTCTCCTGGCAACTCCGCTACGCTCCAAACGGGTAACCAGTCCGACACGCTCATGATACGTAACTGGATACGTTCTATGCCAAGTCGTGCTGGCCGCATAAAGCCAACTTCGGTCCAAGAGATCCCGGGGTGGGTCTTGCAGGGGTATCTTCATCTCCGAGAAAGGGCAGCCGCTAAAATGCACCGTGCCGTCCCGCAGAACGTGTGCTCTTGATGGTCGAATCAATTGCAGAATTGTGGATCCAAGGGCGCAACCTTCTAAATCCTTACCGCGTCTTGTTCTCACTCTCAGGGTTTCCCCAAACCTGGCTAGTCGTACACACCAGCAAAGTGCATGAGGCCTGCTCGGCTCGTGTCAGGGCCTCCGCGGGCCTACATCGAGCTGCATAAAGCGCCATGGACCCGGAAATTCGTCGCTATAGCTCCACCCATCCCCCATGGCGCTGCCATCAGTCGATCTCCTCGTCGTTCTTGCGTGTGGCGTCCTGTCCCTTCTCTTGTGGGCCAAGGCCCGACGTGGCAGACTTGGCCCCCAACCTCCGGGTCCTCCGGGGTTGCCTCTCATCGGTAACCTCCTCGATGTACCAAGTCCAAAGGATTTCCCGTGGGATACGTACACGAACTGGTGCAAACAGTACGGTAAGCAGCGTTATTATATCCTCCGCTCTTCAATGTCAGACCTCAGAGTACCTCAGACTCTGATATCATCCGCCTCAACGCCATGGGGATGAACATCATCGTCGCGAACACCCTCGAGATTGCCAGTGACCTACTAGACAAGCGCTCCGCCATATACTCGGACAGGTAGTACTCTCAGGCTGTCCACTCTGTGCCGGAACTAATCTTATACACCGCCATAGGCCTCGGATGGTCATGTTGTGCGAGCTGTAAGCACGTCGCTTTGCGTTCTGAAAACAGTACTCACCAAACTGCTGCAGGAGCGGGTTCGGAACAAGCTTGGCGTTCGTGCCATACAACAATTTTTGGAAGGACCAAAGGAAGATGGCCCGCCAGGAGTTCCATTCCACTCCCGTGAAGCGCTTCAGGCCCGTCGAGGTTAGGTCGGCCTACCGCTTCCTCCGGAACCTGCAGCAAAAGCCAGATGACTTGATGGACAACCTCCGCTAGTGAGTGGCGCGCGCCCGCGATTCTCGGAGAACGGCACTAATGTGTGGGAACAGCCTGGCAGGGGCGACGATCATGTCCATTGGGTACGACATCGAAGTGCAGCCGCAGAATGATCCATACGTCCAGACCGCGGAGGAGGCAGTAGCTTCCATTGCAGAGACCACCAACGCCGGCTCATATCTCGTGGACGTTATCCCCATTCGTGAGTGTCCGTACTGCATGCACCAATCCTACCACTCACCGCGGTCTTCTTTGCAGTGAAGTATGTCCCCGAGTGGTTCCCTGGAGCGGAATTCAAGAAGCAGGCTCGAATATGGCACGCCGCGGTGGACAAGCTTTTTAATGACCCGTACAACGACTGCCAGAAACGCCTAGTGAGTTTCAGCTACATGAGGCTATCTGGCGTGAACCTGACTGGAGCTTACAGGATGCCGGCGAACTGGGCGATTGTGCGGCGAAGTCGATGATGGAGACCTTCGGCAAGAACCCCACCGACCCAGAGTACGCCGCTAGCGTAATTAAGTCGGCCCTTGGCGCTCTGTACGTGGGTGCGTACTTTCTCCCCCGAAGGTCGGGTGCACCATAAGGAGCGTACTCACGATCAAATAATCTACAGGCGGCGCGGATACCGTTAGTTTCGCTCGTGCATTCACTACCAAAAAGCCCTGACTGACTGTTAGCTCAGACGGTTTCCGCACTAGGCACATTTTTCCTTGCGATGACTCTCAATCCCGACGTCCAAGAGAAGGCGCGAAAGCAGCTGGACCAAGTCGTCGGACAGCACCGGCTTCCCAGCTTCAACGACCAGCCCTCCTTGCCGTATATCGACGCTATCTTGAGGGAGACCATACGCTGGCGTCCCGTGGTCCCCCTAGGTACGCCCTGATCGTCCTCGCTCTCCCACCCTACTGACGGCCGCACCACAAGACGTTCCACACCGGCTGACCGAGGACGACTTCTACGAAGGATACTACTTGCCGAAGGGTTCCCTCATTGTTGCGAACACATGGTACGTAACCCCCCCTTCTCCCGCCCCACGTTCTGCCCGCCACATGTCCATATGTTCCCGAGGCGGCCGTGTATCGTCCAATGGCGTGCATCGCTTCTCGCACCGTGCCTGCTTTACTCACGCTATTCGCTATTTTGCTGCGCAGGGCGATCCTGCACGACGAGGCGGCATACCCTGACGCGGAGCGCTACAACCCGGACCGGTTCCTCACTGCGGACGGCGCGCTCGACCCCGCGGTGCGCGACCCGTCCGTCGCGGCGTTTGGCTTTGGAAGGCGGATCTGCCCTGGGCGGTTCATGGCGCTCGACTCGATGTGGATCACGATCGCGTGCGTGCTCAGTATGTTCGAGATCAGCAAGGCCGTCGACGAGGACGGGTACGAGATCACGCCTGACGCGGAGTACGACCGCGGGTTCTTGTGGTGAGTGTGTAGGTGCTGCTGGGGCGTGCGCGACATTGTGCTGACGTTCGGTGCAGTCATCCGAAGCCGTTCCCTTGCGTGATCAAGCCGCGATCGAAGGAGCACGAGGAGCTGTTGAACGAGCTTGCTCACCACGACATGTGAAGAATAAAGACGAACCGACGTTCTTGTAATGTATATACTCCTGTACCACCCTGCCGTTCCATACAATGAAACAACTAGCTCTACGACTTGACCCACACCTCGCTCACGACATCCCACTCCTTCAGCGTCCGAGGCTCCGTCGCGTACTGGCCCAATATGATACCCTCGGTAGCGTCCTCCTCGTCCGCAAGCCGATCCTCGACCAGCAGGACGCGCAGCCCACCCACCGCCGCGAACCCGGTCTTGAGCGGCATGTACGACAGCTCGAACTCCTGCGACGTGCTGACCCGCATGCGGTCCAGCACGCTCGCGAGGTCCTCCGCGTCGCTGTCCGCCGAGCTATCCGTGCTGTCCGACACCCCACGCGAATGACCCATCGGCGGCGCGCTTGGCACAGGCAGGCGGAGGGGCGGGAGGAACAGGGCCGACGTCCCGAGGAACGCAACGCCATCCGTCGGCGCAAGATGGGGTTCCGCCCTAGGTGCCAGCTCGGGCGGCGGCAGGTCGATGACGCGCCTTGCGGAGTGTGTAGACCTCCCGGGCGTCTCGCCGCCGTCTGTGCCGGCCTCGGAGTCGGTGTCTGCGTGCATGCGGCGCGGGGACGCGACCAGGAGCCTCTGCGCGAGCGAGTCGGTGAAGTCGCCTCGCAAGGGCGTGCCGTACGGGGAAGGCGTCGAGAAGCCAGACGAGGGCAGCCGTGGGCTCCAGGCGCCCTGCGGGGCCCCAGTGGAGGTCGCTACCGCCGATGCGACGGCGGCCGCGACGGCGAGCTGTTTTGGATGCTGCGCGTGCTGCACGACGAGGGAGATGACACGCTGCCTCCGGGGCTCGTTTGGTCGTGGGACGGGTGCGGGGGCTTGCACGGTTAGCTTGAAGCCAATGGTGAAGGGCTTGTCAACGGCGATCGACTCCCGGGGTATAGACGTTACCACAAGGTCAGCCTCGACGTCCTCGAGTGGCCGCGGCGTGGTGGGGGCAAAGGTGGTCACCGGCCCTGGAGATTGTGGACGCACTGGGGGTCCGGCGCTCATTGGCCGGATGCGGGGCGAGCCTGGTCGGTATGGCGCGGGACCTGCGTTAACGGGCGGACTGCCGGGCCGTTGTTGCAATTGAGGGGACTGTGGGCGGGAAGGCGCACCGCTGACTGTGTTGCTGCGCTGTAAGTGCAATGGGATTGCGGATGGGGGCTGCTTGATGGACGAGAGCTGTCCGGGGGGAGGAGTCTGAGATTGGGAAGGGGCTTGGATGAGGGGTATCCGGCGTGATAGCGTCTGTAGATGGACTATGAGTTCGCGACTAACAGGTACACAGGACGAAACAGACCGATGTCAGCAAACGCCCAGGCTCTCCATAGCATGACCTCCAGGATATATCAAGCCTGCCTAGAGGCAGGATGTGACCCGGTATATGCGCAATAGGGAACGGGGGTAGAACCTTGGGCGAGAGGATGTAGATGTATTGGCGTAGGTCCTGGGGTTGCATGAGTGCAGTCGTCCCAGAGAATAGATATTCCTTGGACCCGGTGGCCGTGTTCTCCAGGATATTTGCATCTTGCACCTGCCAACCGTCGATGCACTCGAACTGCATACGTTCGAGCCACATCGCATCCTGGGTTAAATTCTGTATGTGCACCTCAAGAAACACTTTCTCCCGTTCCTGGGCAGAAAGTAATGCAGTGGGCGAGCGGGGCAGATGAACCTTGGTCTTAACCGAAAGCGGATTTGTGACCTGGGATGGCTTCGAATGAGCGCTATGTACTTAGGCGAATGGCATGTACTCACGGCAAACTTGTAGAACTTACGAAATGTCTGTATACTGGGGTCCTGAGCGTCTGCAGCTGGTGGAAGGTTTCGAACGCCAGGAGGCACACGATACGAGACACTGCACCCCAGGACATGCTGTCCAAGTTCCTTGATCTCATGGCTCACAACCTTCTCCAGTGTCTCCCCAACCCCTAGACGCTGATTCGAACCTCCAAACTCTGCAAGGAGCGCTTTTGAAGACGCGGTCTGCATTTCCACCCTGATGATAACACCATCCACGTCTATGTTGGCATCGTTATTTATGGATAGACAGCTAGAGAACGTTTCGCCAAGTTGGATAGCGCCGAATGCAGCAGGAAGTGTCAAGAGGTCGGTGATATGAGTGAGGTCGCGCAATGTCTTGGGATGGCCTGGCAGCGGTGCCTTGCCCTGGAGGGATGCAATGGAAGCGGTAGAATGGGCGGAGAAGGAAGGAGAGCTGGAGTAGAAGGGTTCCCATGCGCTCGCGAGTGACGGTCGCTGATGTTCTCTGCGTGAGAGAGCTTGGAGAAATGCAGCCACGAAGACATACCGAAACTCGCATCACCTTCAGCGATAGTAACTGCCCGCCGCCGCCGCTGTCCATGATTGAAATACAAGGGGACTTGAAGACTGGTGCTTGACGGCGTGGAACGCACAGAGTCAAAGAGCAGCAGTAGAGGTCTCCTCAGTAGTCGGATAGTATAGCGGCCCTTGCTGGGTGTCTGAGGATGGAACGATGGACTCGGTAAGTAAGAGGTAGAAGCGGCGGGATCCGAGCAGCGCGCAGACGCGAAGCGGTTGTTTGTTGCTGTTAGGATCCAAAGCCTCCGCCTTCCTAATTTGGTTTTGACGTCATGCCAGGCCGCGTTCGGAACGCGTCGATTCGCCGACGCGGGTCTGCCTCCCGGTCGCGTGTTCCATACTCTCTTCCCTCTCTTCCCTCATCTACGACCTCTTTCAGACTGGGGATGCCATGCAGCCATCGAAGCATCTACTAAGGACACTTGCCAGCTCGTCATCATCACACAGGGTCCTCGCTACTCGATCTCTACGAACTACCGGACATCTCAGGCACTTCGCGGAAAGCGCTACTGCTGAAGCCGTCTCGGAGGGGAATGAGGATGCAACACAGGTATGCCGTTACGAGGCCGAAAGTACATCATTCCTGACACGTACAGGCGAGCGAAGGTTGGCTGTGGGTCGACTCGGTCTTTCCGGTCAGGATAGGTAGATTGGAGTAAGTGCAGCTATCACTGAACTCCCAACCTATGCCAACCCCTTTTGACAATAGCCTGCGTCCATATATTGGATACGCACGGGAGGAGACGCTTCTGGAACGCCTTCGGGGCTTGCTTTCGCCTGTCAAGACGCATGACTTCCAAGTTGTATCGTTGGAGCCTCACGGGAAAGATGGCGGCGTCTTCGTCAAGTTCAAGTATAAAGCCTCGGACTCGGAAAATGCCCTCCAAACCATTCTGCAGAATATTCGGGAGAATGTTCACTCACACGGGGGTGTACCCTCGTGGTGCGGCTTACCCGCAGGAGAAGTTTGGCTCGTGAAGGGAACTCCTTGGAGAGAGGTGTGTCACAATTCACACACCATTCTAAATAACATGTAGATGATGTTCTCTAGGACCTGCAAAGATATGCGACGTCAATTGTCAAAGTATCCTTTGACGGCCCCGACGTATCTGAAGAGTCCCTATATGGGCTCCTACGAGTACGCACACTGCTCGGCTGCCACGCACTCTTACTCATTCGGAATCACAGCCATACGGTATGATTAGTGATATCACTCCTCCCTCTCCAGCCCCTGCAGGGATCCTGAGGGCAGCAACTGTGTCCTTCCGAAACTTGCGTGCTGCCACAACTGCTCGGAATACAATTCACTCTGCGAAAGTTCCATCGTCTACGTCTGGACAGTCAATAACGACCCTAAGGACGTCCTACCACCAACCAATAGCTGCACATGCTGTCCGAGATTATATAGCCGGACACCCCAAGCTGTTCCTGCCTGTGCTATTTTTCCTGATAGGCACTGTGACTTACACGGTATGCAGTGTTGCGTCTCTTTCATTTGTACTCATGATGCGAACATTTTGAAGATATTCGATCCGATTCGCGTCGTTATGGTAGAAGGCAAGATGGAAGATTGGTTTGACTTCAAGAGTACGTCTCTTCCGCAAATATCCAGGAGTGGGTGGCATCCACTCACACACCACGAATACGCAGAGTTCGCTATCTACAAATGGCTACGAGAGAATACCGTCGATAGGTTCTCATTTGCCGCCGATTTGGAAGGATCATCACTAGCTTCTCCGGGGGTGTGGAAGGAGCGCCAGGAAGCAGAAGATGCTTTGCAGAAGTACCTTACAGACTTCCCGAGTACGTCATTCGAGACATCGCTGCAACCCCTTCACTCACGAAGGTGATCGTACAGGCACAATATGTTTCGTCCATGGTCCTCAGGGAAGTGGTAAGAGCCGAATGCTGAACAGCATCCTCAAGGAGCGAGGACGGTTAGTGGTACATCTTGAAATGCCTCTGTAGGCTCACTCCTCACCCTCCTTGGACTCTCAGGAAGGCCATGATCATCGATGTTGGCGTTCTCACCAAGGCCGGCACCGATATGGCTCTTGTATCGGGCCTCGCATCACAGACGGGTTACTGGCCGGTATTCTCCTTCCTCAACTCCGTAAACTCCATCATCGACCTTGCGAGTGTTGGTTTGATCGGCCAGAAAGGTCAGTGTCTCTACTGCATAAAGTCATAATCATCGCGAGAGTTGACACATGATGGTTTCTAGCGGGCCTCAGTTCATCGCTAAACGACCAGCTGAAGCAAATACTGGACGTGGTCGGCCGCGGCCTCTCCCGAGTCAACTCCTCCCACCGTACCCGACACGACCGCGAAATCAAGCAGGCGGGACTGAAAGAGGAACGAAGCAAGGAGAACGACATCCGTCGGGAGAAGATCGAAGCGGGTCTCTGGCATGACGGGCGTATCGACGTCGTCTGCGGGAACGGCATCATGAGCGAGCTCGGCGTAGGCATCGAACGCTTCACGGAAGCCGATGCCGACCCACCGCGCGTCGTCGCTGCTGAGACCGAGGTATTCAACGAGAAAGGCGAGAAGGTGGAGAACAGGCCAAGCGGGGACAGGCAGGCCGAACAGGCAAAGCAAAGGCAAGAGCATGCGGAGGACCTGCAGAGCGTGGAAGCTATGCCTGTCGTGATCATCAAGAACTTCGACTCGAAGGGCGGCGGAGCCCGCAAAGAGGAGCTGCTCGAGGTCCTAGCGCAATGGGCCGCGTCTCTTGCTGAGGGTCAGGTAGGCATAGTCTACGCCTGGAAGCTTGAGCGACACTCTAACTGCTCATCTAGGTCGCACACATCATCGTGGTCAGCGACAACCGCGAGAACGTCAAGCGCCTGGCCAAAGGTCACACCATCTGTCCATCATGCTCGAGCTCTGACTGACCCCTTTGTAGCTTTGCCGTCGAAGCCGCTGAACCAGATCTCGCTTTCCGATGCCGACAATGCCAGCGCGATGTCGTTCGTCAAGCAGAAGCTGCATGATAGTGGAGTAGACATCAACTTCTCTCAGCAGCAGCTCGCCTACATCGACCGTCTGGGCGGCCGTGCCAGCGACCTCGAGAGCGTGAGTCCTGGCCTCTCACACTATGCGCTGCAAATTGACAAGACGCCGCACGCCAGTTGATCCACAAGGTCCGGAGCGGCCTGACTGTCGAAGAGGCCGTGGACGACCTCGTTATCCGCGGCGTCAGCGAGCTGCGCAAGAACGCGTTCGGGGACGACATCGAAGATGCGAAGAGTCTCCCGTGGACGCGCGAGCAGGCGTGGATCCTGATGAAGCAGCTCTCGAAGCAGCCCCAGGCAAGTGGCGCATCTGTCCTTTGGTTGAGAGCAGATGTTGACTGACGTATGCTGGCAGATCTCGTACCACGAAGTGTTGATGGACTTCCCGTTCAAGGGCGACGAGACACCGCTGCGCAACATGGAACATGCTGAGCTGATCAGTATCGGTACCGTCAACGGTGAGCGTGCTTGTGCACACCTTGGGTTGAAATAGTGCTCATGTTTCCGCAGGGCGGCCGTCAACCATCCGCCCGGGCAAGCCCGTATACAAGTATGTCTTCGAGCGCCTCGTGCACGGTACGTCCCGCCTCCCCTCGCCCATTCCCCCACCCACTCACTTCCCCCTCAGACGCGACGTTCCAGGCGACGCAGGACATCGCGTTCAATGAGAAGGTGATCGCGTCCGCGGAGACGACGGTGCGCGCGTGCGAGGACGAGCTACTCACGCTCAAGGACGTCGACGCGGGCACCGCGAGCTGGTGGGGCTCGAAGCGCGCGGTCGAGATGCGCGCGAACCACCTCCTGCGCAAGATGCGTGCCGCGCAGGACAAGGTCGAGGCGCTCGAGCGCCAGAACGTGCAGCTCAAGAAGGTGCTCGCGAAGACGAAGGCGTGAGCCCCGAGCCTGACTGTATGCGAGGCGGGGCGGAAGCGTGGATGGAGACGCTACTTACGATAGAGGTGTGTACACGGGTTACGAGGGGGATGCTACAATACTATCCTATAGCTGCGCGCACGCCTATCGTCTCGTGTGTAATGTATCACGGACATGTAACACGCCACTCATATTCGACGACAAGCTGACAGAGGCCTCCGGGCGTGTGCCAATTATACTGCCAGCCGTGTGCGACGCGCCATCCGCTTCTTCTGTTGCATAACCAGTAACTAGTCTAGTTGCCTGATAGAAGAACCCGAGGACGTTGGTGGTATCCCACACTCACCTGAGCGTGCGCGGGAGATGCAGTCTGGGGCTTGGAGCCCGAGGAGCTGAAGGCGCGCACCTCGTGTCGAAGCTAGGAAGGGAACCAGGGTAACGTCAACAGCCCCACCTCGAAGTTACGGTCATTCACGATAACTGCGGGTCGGGCACCCACAATGTAACCGAAGACCCCACGCCAACCGTAGGCATCACACGAAGAGACGAGTTCCTAATCCCCTTTATTCTCCCACTGACCGCAGGGGAGGGTAGCGAGCGTTACAAGTACATCGAGCGACTCGCACAGCGTGCCACAACCGTGCGCGCAGCGCCCGGCAGGCAGGTAAAGTACGTACATAAAGCTAGTACTGGGTTGCGCCGGGGGTGCGTAGCGCGTAGCGTGGGGGTGGTGGTGCGGATGTGCGGGGGTGCGCGTCTGTGAATACGGTATAGGAATGTGCGGCGGTAGAACAAACATCTAGAAACAGCGGGGGTGAAAACAAGACGGCCGACGGACGAAAGCGACGACTCGTGGGTGGGCGGGCAACTTGAAGAGGATAATTAGACCAAACAACGCGGGAGGGCTGGGCACGCTCTCCCTTGCGGCAGCGGGCGACTGGGGGGACTAAGTCCGGATCCGAGAGAGATAGAGAGACGATAGAATGAGAGGAAACCGAGAACCGGGGTAGGGGGAGACCTGGTGTAGCGGTGTGCGCACGGGCAGCGCCGTGCGTCGTCGCGCTCTCGCGGGCTCCCGGATTAGACGAAGCCACGCCCGCCGCGCTTCGCGTCGATCTTCTTGAACCGCTCCTCCTCCTGGCGCTACAGAGCCCGGCGCGAGAGAGCGTGAGTGACGCTCGGTGGGAACGCAGAAGTAGGAATGGCACACGTACCCGCTTGATGACACACATCGAGGCCAGGAATAGCATCACCACGATGGCCATGAAGCCGTACATCTGGGACGGGCACGACGAGCAGCGGTCAGTATCATGACGGCGTGCGGGATGACGGGAATAGCATCAGCGCAGCACAGGCGGACGGCTGTCGCCTGCCCAACCTGTGCACGCACTCTCCGCATTCGCACGGCTGTCCGAGGATAGCACTCACAGTCCTAGAAACGCGCGCGGGTCAGTCAATATCCACGCAGCACGGATCCGGGGTGGAAACGCACGTGAAGATGTTGTTCAGGGTGAAATCCGTGAACTTCGTGAGCGGCGCGACGCAGCGGAACGTGTCCGTGTTGTTGGGGTCGACGAGCGTGTCAACGAACGTCTGGTTCGCGCAGAACTGGCCGCCGATCTCGACGGTGTCGTTGTGTGTGAAGTAACCACAGCACGAGAACTGTACGCAGGGCGGCAGTGTTAGTCTCAGATTTAGGGTGTAATCCTGTCCCCACACGCAGCCACACGCATGCACGCGTCTGGAGGGCGGAAGGCAAGGGTGAAACGCACCTTGTCCTGGATCTCGATGCGGGTGTCGCGCGAGAGGGAGTTAAAGACCCCAAAGTAGTGGGCACGCTCGCCGAGGGTGAAGTACCAGACGATGGTGCCAGTGACGATGACGATGAGGGCGTCGACGATGAGCATCCAGTTAAGGAGGACAAAGCCCATGGTAACATGGTTTTTCTGCACGACGGCACCGATGGAGAGGACGAAGGTCATGATGAAGACTATGCCGAGCACCAAACCGCCTGCATTGTGATTATGTGTTTAGCACACGGATTCTGCGAGGTGGGCTCGGGCGCACCTGTGAGCATCTCGTTGCTGAGCGTGAAGTTGAACATGAGGTTAGGCTGGCGCCATATCTCGGAGAATGCGATGAGGATAGCACCGGCCGCCAGCAGACAGAAGTCCACGAAGGCGAAGGCACCCATAAGTCGCTTGGAAGGCATCTTGTTGGACTGCTAGATGAGGTACGGCGTGCGTAGAGACTTCGTGCGCGCGAGTGAGAGGAGTTCGATGGGCAGCAGGGGTGATTAGCGTACCAGAGCGGGGGAGGAAGCTACGGCCTTGCGAGCAGAGTACGAGTCAACTCGGTAAGTGGAAAAAGGCGGCTTGGACACTCGTCTTCCAGAGAGAGCGGACGCGACAGAGGTGGCTGCAGCACCGAAGAAGGAGAGAAAGAGACGATCGACGCCTGAAGGGGGCGGTCAGCGAAGAACGAAAGGGAGAAGGAGAAGGAGGAAGAGGGGAGGAGTGAGGGAGGCAGACGGACCTGGACGGGGAGGTATAAGCTCGGCTCGCGGAGCAGATGCAAGACGGGTGGCAGCGACAACTCAGGCAGACATCCGTCGCCCTCCATAAATGATGGTCGACCAACGCCGTCGCCATGGCCACTTTCGCATTCCAGCCCTGGCGAGGCTTCCGCAGCGACTCTCCGTCCACCGCGTCCCACAACGCCCTGCTCTCCGGTGCAGTCCTATTCCTGCATTGTTGTATATTCGCCGCTCCTCGTCCATTCAGCGGTGTTTGTGCACCCGACACCCCAAAGAGCCCTCTCCCAAGCCCACAGCCCCGGCCCCGGCTCCGGCGCCTGCTTGCGGCCCGCACACGCGATCGTCGGCCCCGGCCAACTCCTCGGCGATCATCCGGGCGTCCCCGCCGTTACCGCCTGCTGCGCGCCGACATAGCAGCCTTTCTGATCAGTTCTTGTATCTCCTTCAGTACAACAACGCCGACGCATGCCGCCAGACCTCGCCTCTCTCCACGGAGGCTCCCTCCTCCTCGCATGGCAGCTCAAGGACAAGCACGTCCTCATCGTCGGCGGCGGTGACGTCGCCTCAGGCCGCATCGAGTCTGTCCTCGTCGCCGACGCGCGCATTACCCTCATTGCCCCCCGCGCCGGCCTCCACCCGCTCACTCAGTGGTTCGTCGACAACTCCGACCGCATCACTTACCATGACCGCCTCTTCGCTGGCCCCGAGGACCTAGCAGACGTCGACCTCGCTCTCACCGCGATCGACGACGTCGACGCGTCGCGCGCCATCTGTGCCCTTTGCAGGGAGCGCAGGATCCCTGTGAACGTCGCGGACATCCCGCCCTCCTGCGACTTCTACTTTGGGTCCCAGATCCGGAGCGGGCCCCTGCAGGTCATGATTTCGACCAACGGCCGCAGCCCCAAGCTCGCGAACATCATCCGCCGCAAGATCGAGGCGTGCCTCCCCGAGCAGGCGGGCGAAGCCATCGAGAAGGTCGGCGAGCTCCGGACGAAGCTCAAGGAGCGCGCGCCTGGCGTGGGTGGAGACGTTGGCCGCCGCCGCATGCGCTGGATGGTCGACGTGTGCTCGAGCTGGGATATCGGCGAGCTCGCGCTGCTCGACGACCAGATGATGGCGCGCTTGCTTGACGAGGGTTGGGAGAAGAACCAGGTCCCGAAGCTCGAAGACGTCGGCGGGCAGGCGAAGAAAGCAGGCACCCGCAACTCGGGCCCGTATGGACCGTTCTTCCCTACCGCGCTCGGTTTTGTCGCGGGCGCGGCCGCTGCGGCCGTCTTCCTGCTCGCGCGCCGTCATTAACCGACATCCACGCGCGACACAACACATGCAAAATAGAACGCGGCGCGCCCTTGCAAGCCGCTGGACCACGGAATAGACGATAGAGCTCCCCTCGGGTCCGGAATTCAGCACGTCCATACTCCTCAATGTAACATACTCGCATTCACACTTGCTTTTTGCTTTGCTCCTCGCGCACTCCATGCACCGTACCCGGGATTCGCTTCAAGTTCCAGAACCTTCGCGTTGCTTCCAGTCGGTAAGCGCGGTGTAAGGCTCACGCCGAACGGAGTGCAGTCAGCGAGAGTCAGCGTCACGTCGCCGACCTGTAGATGAGTGAGCTGCCACCCCAGACAAGGCGTCGGATGCGAGACGGAGCTCGCATGAGCAAGGCGGCGCAAGTCAAGTCCACTTGCAAAGCCTCCCCATTCCGACAAGCGAGCGGAGCATAGCATGACTCAGAGCGCCCATGTATTTGGCGCCCACTATATATACGGGCGGCGACGTCGACGCGCCTCCCCACATCATCCGTCACTCCCCCGCATTTTGCCCAGCTCCTCTCCTCGTCCTAGACCAAAGACCTCAACCGCTAGACATCCTAGACAGACATCATGAGCACCAACGACTGGGACAGCAAGCTCGTCATCGGCCAGAAGGCCAAGGCCCCGAAAGTCACCCGCAACACTTCTGATTTGAACGGTACGCCACATCTCCTTCCTGTGCTCTAGCGTGTCTCTTGCAGTCGCTCATACGCTCATTTATAGCCGTACGTATACTCGGGATATCTTGGGTGCACTGGGACGCAGACTGATGGGATGTGTGCTGGCATGATGCGTGTAGGCCCGGAGGGCAGGCGCTGTCGTCGGGACGGACAAGAAGATCACTGCGGGCTCGAACAAGGCCCATCAGGGTGCGTAGTGCGCATGCGCTCGCGCGAGATCGTGCGGATGCTCATTGTGGGGTCGTGTGCGTGCAGGGACGGACCACCAGCGGATAGCGAAGCTCGACCGCGAGAACGAGGTCGCGCCGCCGCCCAAGATCGCGCCCTCCGTCGGGAAGGTGCGTTCCCCCTCCTCCCTTATCCCCCTAGTTGTGCAGGAGATGCTGATGGTGTGCATGTGTGCGTAGGCGATCCAGCAGGGCCGCATGGACAAGGGCCTGTCGCAGAAAGACTGCGCGCAGAAGATCAACGAGAAGCCGAGCATCCTGCAGGACTACGAGTCGGGCAAGGCGATCCCGAACCCGCAGATCCTCGCCAAGCTCGAGCGCGCCCTCGGCATCAAGCTGAGGGGCGCAGACATTGGGAAGAAGCTGGAGGGGCCGAAGAAGTCGTAGACTCGCCCCTCCGTGCTCGCGCCTCTACGACAACCTGCTCCCGTTGTTCCCGATCCTGATCCACGCGTCTCCTTGCTGTACAACGCCTTGATGATTTTGTGTCCTGTGTTTGTAGAGCTTTCGTCGCATTTCACTTAATCGCATGCATCTGATCTGTGTACGTCTTCGTTGCGTCGATGGCGCTATTCTGGCCGTTTTTTGCAGCGCATTGCGGACCGTCACTGAGACAATGAGGCTGCGCATCATCGAGGGTACATATGGGGATGTGCTGCGTCGTCGAGTTTGAAGTTCGAACGGCATCCGGGGTGGCGTTGCAGTGTTTACTCAAGAGACTGGGCATGATCTGTCGACAGTCATCACTGATATTCGGCCTGCGATCTGCGGGTGGCCTTGGAGAATGTCGGCGCAGGGATTTAGCCAGCGCAGGACTGCGAGCAGCGAATAACTTCAAACGAGAATCGCGTATGATCAATGCGATGCTTAGACGTGGGATGTCCCATAAACGTAGTAGGATCACATCTCGGAGAGGTTTCTCGACAAATATGCAATACTGAAATACGGCTATGAGCACTTCATCTCCCGGAGCTCTCGCGAACTCCGCCGCCGAGCATCCGTCCGCGCCGTCGTACGCGGGGAACAGGCCGGACGGAAACAGTCCCTGAGAAAGCAGGAGGCACGCTAGAACCGGGCGCGGCGAGCCTGACGAAAACACCGCGGGAGCGTGTGCGCTGTATCGTGTGCTAGAATACAAGAAGTCGGGTCCCACGCCGGTACTACAGACACACCCCGCCCCACCTCTCGAAGTACACCTTGCGCCGCGCAGCAGCTCGCATCGTATACCGTGCGCCTGGGGTCCGGTCACGCCGCAGCGTCGGGCTCGCCAGCGCCCTGTGCGTGTGCGTCCGAGGCGCAAGTGGAGGGATCGGCGGGAACGGCAGTGGCGCGTCGAGACGTTAGCAACGGGCACGTCGGGTGGGGGTGGGAGGGCACGCACGTATGTGATGTAGTCCGCGCTCTCGCACGCTTTGTACTCTTTGAGCAGCTCTTCGGCGGTCGCGCTGTGGAGGGACGTGACGTGCGTGAGTATCGTGCGGAGGGTTCGATGGGGACATGAGGCGAGCGTCGGATAGGCGTTAGGGGAAAGCTGAGGTCCCGATTGCGATAGGGCTAGCCGAGACGATAGGATGGGAAAGGCGGACGGGAGGGAGTGCGGAGCGGAGGGTCAGGGCGGAGAGGTGCAACGTACCGTGCATCATCGAACTCCTCGAGGCCGTTCTCGAATATCTTCTCCTTCTTGTACTGCTCCACGAATGCGTTGCGTCGCCTGAGGCGGTCAAACTGGTCGATCATGCGCTTGAACAGCTATCATACACACTCAGCATGAGTTTCAAGCTTACGAGGTAGAACAGAGGCAGCACGTACCGAGGCGACACTGGTGTGGTTGGCGAGCATGAGCCCGCTGACGCGGTGGTTCGTCTGCACATATGGTGACCTGCGCGTGAGCGCAACCTGGATGGATGCAGGACCCCATGGGATGAAGTTGGCAAGCTGCCGCTCGCGAATGCGCAAGAGCGATTGGTGGACCTAGATTTTCATCAGGTGAGTTGGACACGCATATACTCGGTGCGCGATACGATAGCACGCACGTCTGTCGGGTCGACGTCACCCTGGATGATATTCAGGATGGAGATATAGCATGCGGTCTTGCTCGGAGAGGTTGAAACCAGGCAGTTCTTGGGCTGCAGCAGGCGCCGCATTACGTCGAGCACCGTCGTGCGGCGGATCGGTTTGGCCTGCATTTGTATCAGTAAATGGTTGTATGCGGTGCAAATGGGGCCAGACCTTGTCGATCTGGTCGCTGGTGAACGGTGTGTAGGACGTCATGAGGAAATGACATCGAGGAGTAGGTATAAGCGAGGCGATAATCCCAACGAGGTCGTTGTTCATGTAGCCCGGGTATCGCAGGGTCTGGGTACTGGCCGCAATGACGGTCGAAGCCTGTATATCGGTGAGTGCTACTCTCCACTGAGGGTACGACCATTGCTCACGAGCTGATTTGTTTGATCGAAACTTGGTGTTTGAACGTGCAGCCTGTCCGCCGAAATGCGCGTTAGCGCGCCGTTGTCTAGGACAACTACGGAGTCGGCGTGATTCGTGAGTCGCTTCAGCGTGAGCATTGCGTTGTAAGGCTGCACGACGACCTCGCTATCCTGAGCATTGGGAAAGACGGAATATGTTTGGATGAGCTTCTTGGGGAACTTGTCATTCAGTCGCTCAAGCAGGAAGGACCCTAGTCCTGATCCGGTCCCGCCTGCTATTGAGTGCATGAGCATGAAGCCCTGCAAAGAAGTCAGGGCTGGATGATAGGTGGAACAGAAGCAATGACCTGACCTCCAAAGAGTCACTGCCCTCTGCTTCCCTGTCCACCATTTCCATGACCTCCTCGTATATCCGCTCCCCTGCAGAATAGCCTTGCGCCCAATTGTTTCCCGCACCTCCACCATCTTTGGAGACAAATATGTTCTCTGGGTTATACAAGTTGGCGTATGGTGATGTCAGGATGCCGTTGATAACCTTTAAGATGTGCAGGTCGCGTCAAACCATGCCTGAGTAATCAAGGATATGCGCCTTACCCGAGGTTCAAGATCGACGAGAATGGCGCGAGGAATGTAGTGTTCATCGTCGGCCTGGTAGAAGAACACATCTTTGCGATCGCCACCTTCTGTTGCCCACTCCTCGAGGATACCCTCCTTGTTGATGCCGTGCTCAGCACAAAGCTTCTGCCAGTATACGGAACCCACTTGAGACGCCTGTTAGCGCGTGCATCCGTGCTGGAGACGGGTGGATGGCGCACTCTGGTTGCCGCACTGGCCCAGCTGGACTGTCACAATCTCGCGCGGCATGGTACAAGAACAATAAACGGAGAGAAGGCTAGGAATACAACGAGGACGAAGACACACTCAGGAGGACAAGGACAACCGCAACAACGCGCGCGCCGATTCAGACAAAACAACGCGTCGGGTGACAAGTCTAACGCGTATGTCACCCTATGTCACCCCGTGACTGAGACGTGACTTGGTCCTGCTGCCGGCACCGCGGGCGCACCGCGTAGGGGCTTGTCCTCAATCCCCCACCACCTCCGGTCACCCGTCCAATGCCCTCCTCGTCTAGGGACTCTCGTACTCGTCATGCTCGCCGTCGTTCTCCTCGCTCCCCCCGTGGCCAGGTCGCCCGACAGGGCTCTCTCCTCGGCACCCTCAAAAACATGATTACCGCTCCTCTCACCTGGTTCTCCTCCCAGCCCGAGCTCGAAGACGCGGGAAGCAAGAGGAGACGCATCCCGGATCCCGTAGATCGCGATGAGGACGCATATGAGGACGATCGCCCGAGTGCGAAGCGCAAACGGGTGGACAGCCCCGAGCCCGCCCCGCGCGCCCCCACGCAGCCCACGCGTACCAATCAGGGCTACCTCGACATCCCGGAGGGCTTTATACCCAGACAATCGGCCTCCCGGGCTCGCCTGAAGGCACCCGCAATGCAAGCCCGGGCATCGTCGTTCGCCCCGTCGATTTCTGTCCCCGTGATGGAGAACGTCCACCTCGCCCGTCGCACGGCCTCGCCGACCATCAGCGCGTCGTTCTCTCAACCTGTTGCGATCCAGCGCACCCAGTCCATGGATCCGCCGGCCTATCGCCCGATATCGCTCTCCCGCGATGTGTCGATGGAGGGGGGACTGCCAGGTTCCGCCACCCGTGAGATGTCGATGGAGGGGGGACTACCAGGTTCCGCCACCCGTGATGTCACTATGTCGCCCACCCGCAACCGTTCGTTCCAGCTTCGTGCCAGGCACTCACTGACTCCTCAGCCGAGCGGACAGTCATTTGGGCCCGCTCCTCAGCAGAGAGGCAGGGATGCATCTGAGCCGCCACCGCTTGCGTCACTCATTTCCAAGCCGGTCTTCGTGAGGCCCCCACCGCAGCTCCAGCAAACTTACGTAGAGCAGCCGACTACCCTCGGCTCCCTGGCCGAATCAAAGGGACACACGGTACGTCTGAATATCCTCTCCTTCACAGAACCGCTATGTCTCTGTAAGAAAAACACAGAATGTGACAGAACAGTAAGCTGTCGGGCGCGCAAAATTGCTCTCGGTCTCTGAAAGACAGGCGAGACCGCTCGGGAGGCATGCATCAAGCCAAAATGAATGTCGCGTGTTATAGGCATGTTCTCCCGAAGTAGAGCCCGAGAACATGGTGATAACATCTTGAAACCCTTCTGAATGTTATCACCGTGTTCTTCCGGTGTCTCCCGTGAGAACTTCCCGTGTGTTTATACACAATGGGTATCCTTTAATCATTGAGAGTACAGCCATGCCTAATGTCTTTCCCCCTGCTGAGGTATCGTAGGCCGATGCACGCGAGCACGCGGTAATCATCACAGTCGACCAGGAAGAGATAGATCATTCTCCAAAGCGGTCGGGCTTCGATTATTGTGTGGAGTTTTCAGCTAATTGTTTGAGCCACTCCGTCTTTTCCGCGTCGAAGCATCCTGCGTGCTCGCTCTTTTCGACGAAATACTGAAATCATCGTGAGAACTGAAAAAATAGCTCTGTATGTATGTGATCGGAATATCGTGAACACATGCTGAACACATGTGGTGTTTTCAATGCCCCAAGCATGTATTCACGATGTTCCACACAGTACACAATGTTCTTTGTATGTTCGAAGCATGGCGCATGGCGAAACAACGTGGTGGCATTTTTTCGCCCGCGGTGTTTTGTTCTCCTCCGCATGTATGCGAGACCCGTATCAGAAAGTAGATTATAGACATCTTCGCACTATATGCGCCCAGCTTTGCGCAAGCTTCAGCGGAAGTCAAATGTTTATCTTGGCAGTGCTTGCTATGTGTTGATTCCATTTCGCGAAGCAGCAAACTGACACACTACTCCAGAGTCGTTCTCCTTTGCGCCAGCACAGCAGTCTGTATTTTGGCACTCGCCCCGGCTCCATCGCTGAAAGCAGCTCTACGTGTAAGTCACACATCGTCCACGTCGGTATTCCAGCAAACTAATGCATTTGTAGCGTACTTTGCCCAAGTGAATGCCGCAGAGAAAGCGTTACACGACCTCGATGTCTACAAGACGCCGCTCCTTCCGTCGCGTCTCCGCGGTTCGCAGACGATCCCCGACATGTTCAAGCCGAAGAAGTCACACGCGCCTGTCCTCATGCGTAACGAGCGCGAGCGCAAGCCTCGTCTCGGCACGTCCGAGAAGCTGTCGGAGGACGAGCAGCCTACCGCCTCCAAGCCGTACGCAGGCCGCGGTGGAATGAAGAAGATGCTAGCGAAGCGCAAGATGGAGGAGCGTGAGGAGCGCGAACGCGAGCGCGCTAGTGCTATTGAGACCGACCAGGACGAAGAGGTTGATGGTCCTCACAAACCTGCCCCTAAGCCTGTCGAGTCTGAGAATATACCGACGCAGAAGGCCGCGCCCCCAGTCACGCTGCCGGAATCTGCACCCCCCATGCGTCCTGTAGGAGGTCGTGAGCAGTCGTCGCTCCGTGTTGGCCGCACTCGCACTTCTCGCAACCATATTGCTCGCCCGATCTCGAAGGCGAGCAACCGGTTCTCTGCTGCGTTCGACGAAGATGAGGGCGACGATGCGATGTTCGACGAGAATCGGGAGCAGGCCGCAGCCGAGGAGCCGAAGAAGCTGCCTACGCTCTTCGAGAGCCCCAAGGGCTTCACGTTCGCTCCGGAGGTGAGTCATGTTGTTCATCTAGTGTTAGTGAACATGAACTCAGCAAGGAAAATAGAAAGCACCCGTCTTGCAAGACGCTGGGAAGGCGAAGGAGCCGCCGATCCTTGCTTTGCCGTTCTCGCTCACCAAGCCCACTGCTGCGGCCCCGGCTCCTTTGGCCCAGCCGTTCTCGTTCGGTGAGCCCGCCAAGGCCCCTCAATCTGCACTCTCGCCTCCTGCGAAGGATGAGAATGCGTCGCTGGCCGTTCCAGCGACCTCGCTGTTCCCGGCAGTGCCGTCCATTTCGCTCATACCGCCCAGTCCTGTTCCGCCGAAGCCCGAGACAGCAGCCTCCACCGGTGCACCGGCTATCCCGAACTTCTTCGCTAACTCGTCCATCTTCTCCAAACCGAATGTCAATATCGCCCCGCCAACGCCGTCGGCAGTTGAGAGCAACGTACCTGAGAGTGCTAGTAAAACCGAGAGTGCCCCTGCAGCTCCCGCTCAGGCTGCTCCTCCTGTAGCTGCTACTCCGTTCTCATTCGGCAACCCGGGTGGGTCGTCTTTGTTTGGCGGTAGCAACCAGCAGAAAGAAACGCCGAAGGAGGAGCAACCCAAACCCGCAGCACCCTCTCTCTTTGGGACTGGCAGCGCGTCCAGCCCTTTCTCGTTCGGAAGCAACTCATCGATCTCGTCGTCGAGCTCTTCTGTGCCCTCGTTCTTCGGGTCTTCCACAGCGCTCAAGGAGACCACCACGGCACAACCCGCGAGTTCGTTCTTCACTAGCCCACCTGCAACCACAGAAGCGCCCAAGACGGCTCCAGTCGTCCCTGCGCCGACGCCCGCTCCCGCAAGCACGCCCTTCTCTTTCGGCGCACCTGCGAAGCCCGCCGAGCCTCCCGCGCCTTCCACAAGTCCCTTCAGCTTCGGCGCTCCGCCCGCGAGTACGCCTGCTCCGGCGCCGGCCGTATCTCCAGCGCCATTCTCGTTCGGCGCGCCCAAAGTAGAGCCTGCCAAGGAACCTGCGCACAACACGCTTTTCGGCAGCAGCGAGCCCGCGAAGCCATCGCTCTTTGGTGCGCCGGCACCCACCCCATCGCCTTTCGGAGGTAGCCAGCCGGGCAGCGCTCACTCGGAGTCGGCGCCTAAGAGTCCCTTCACGTTCGGACAGCCTCCACCGACCAACACAACAGCCAAGATCGAGGCACCGAAGCCGCTGTTCCCCTCAACGTCGTCTGGGGGCACTGGGGGATTCTCCTTCGGTGCACCGACTGCTGCTGCGCCTCCAGCTGCGCCCGCGAAGTCTCCTTTCTCCTTCGGAGCTTCTCCCGCGACTCCTCCGGTCACCACTACTGAGAACAAGGTTGGCTTCACCTTTGGCGCACCATCTCCTGCGCCTCAGGTGTCGGCGCCGACAACGCTTTTCGGTGGTCATTCTTCGGGCAGTAACGGCGCTGATGTATCGCACAAGCCGTTCGGATTTGGCGCCCCGGCGCGGCCTGCCACTCCCCCCAGGCAAGAGCAGGAGATGCGCATGGAGGAGAGCCCGATCCGTGGGGGCGGTATGGACATGAATGGACATGACCAGCAACAGGGCCTGAAGCCATCAACGGCTTTCTCGTTTGGCGCGCCTAGTGGCTCGTCTGGCGCCTCGCCGTTTGGGCAGCCCACTCAGCCCGCCGCATCGCCGTTCTCATTTGGTGCGAAGACAGAGCCCAAGCCGGAGACTAAGCCCGCCGCGCCGTTCTCCTTTGGTCATAGCACGTCATCAGGTGGCGGCTTCGGCTTTGGTCAGAAGCCTGCGGAGAGCACGCAGTCCCCCATCTCCCCTGCGCCGTTTGGATCGTCCACGCCGTTCGGTCAGGCTTCGAACCCGCCCCCGTTGACTACATCTGGCTTCTCGTTCGGCGCTCAGAGCGCCCCTTCCTCAGGGTTCGGCCAGGCATCCTCGACGCCCGCGAGCCCGTCGACGTTCGGTCAACCAGCACCGTTTTCGTTTGGCACCCCGACCTCCACCACCGCACCCTCAAACCCGTTCGCGTTCGGCAGCCAACCGGCGTCGCCCGCGACTGGTAACACAGGGCTGCCACAGCCGCCAGGGTCATCCTCGGGCCCCGGTTTCGCATTTGGACAGCCGAGTCCCGCGGCGTCGCAGTCCCCCGCATCACCCTTCGGGGCCGCTCCTCCCGCGCCCGGCGGGGGCGTTGCCTTCACCATGGGTTCTGCTGCCCAGTCCCAGGCCTCCGGTCCCCGCACCATAAAGAAGCTCCCCACTCGCAGGGGTGGGCGCCAACGCTGATATCATATCTCGCTCTCTTTCAAGTTTCGTTCCGCGATTTCCTTCTCGTTCTTACGTTATTCTCCTTCTCCCTGTCAACCTCTCACAAGAACTCTCCACATGCATAACACCACACATACATACATCGTATACGCTATACATAGTCCGCCTCTCTTTTCTTGTCTTCCTAGCTTGCCATCCCCATCGTCCCGTCGTGCGTCACCCCGTCGTCCCTGTTGCCAGTTACCATCACCATCCCGTTTTCCAGAAGTTCCCCTTGTTCTTCCCCTCTCTCCTTTCTTTGTTTGTCTGCATCACGTCGTCTGCTCGTAGTCTCATCGGGTGAATCCCGCTCATCGATCCGTCGTCATCTGGCTGAAGGCCAACATCTCATGCACGTAGTAGCATTGCATCGCATCGCATCATAGTAGCTAGTCAGTAGGTAGGTAGGTAGGTAGTTAGGTACAGGTTATGTTAGATAGCTGTCATCTCGTCCGCACGCGTATTTCTCGGGCTGAAGGCCCATCATCATCATGCATCGCGTAGTAGTATATCATTGCACATCCCCGCGCGGACTTGGTGTACATAGTAGGAGGCCGGTTGGGCGTCTCAGATATGTATCCTCGTTTCTCCTCCCCGGCATCCAACGATGTCAGACGTCTGCGCCAGCGCACGCCGGCCTGCCCATCCCCGGCACGAAATACGGTGCGTTTCGCACCCACGCGGAGGATCTGGACAGACCGATTCACGTCAACCTGCGTGGACTCGAAACAGGGCGAGGGTGGCTCCCTGTGACGCGTTGCGCTGCATGTACTCGGTAAGCCGCATGTAACGCTTCCGCGAGGCTGATATGTTCCCGAGCTCTCTGACACAAGGTACCCCTGCGCAACGTACAGCGCACTGTTCCGCGCGCCCCGGGGAATCGCAAGACCCCTGTTCCGCGCCAACCCCTACCCTGCCGGTCATTATCGTTACGGCCGCGTCGCGCTCAGTCTAAACCAGTTTCGAGCCTGGGCTTGCGCCTAAGAAAGCCGCAGCACAGGGTTCTGGCGCATTTGTGGCCGACCCCATGTCAAGATGGCCACAAATTTGCGATCCTCAAATAAAGCCTTCCTGGGACGGTGCAGTCTATTCTACATCAGGATGGCTTGCGATAACCAGGGGGCGGACAGACATCCCACCATCGATGCAGCCTGGAGGTCCGCGATGACGCTCTCCATCGGTACATTCACGTAAAGTCCGTCCGGCACGCCGCCACGAGGGGCCACGGATCCCGACATAGCGTTCCACGGCAACGCTCCCCGCGCTACGCCAGGCTTGGCTCCGAAAGTGAGAGCGGAGTTGGGTGCGAATGTGACCTGGCGCATCGTGCCTCCATCAACACACGACTTGCGACGTGCATTGTTCGTGCGCAGGCGCACGCTCTCACGCACCCGATCGTTTGGCGATTAGCCTTAGCGTGCAGTGGGCAGCCCGCGGAGACGCGGGATCGGAGGTCAGGGACTCGTCGGTGGTGGCCACGCAACATGCTAATGACGTTTGGGCATTCAGTCATACTAGACATGCTAGCGGCCGGCGGGCGCAGACTACATAATTCGCAATAGTGTGATACGCAGCCCTTCGGTCGTCGTTGGACCCGGCACTAGCCAGGCGCTTCGCGGAAACGATTACGGCGCACCTAGGGCACCATTCATGCCTCCGGAAGGCATAGCGCGGAACCATCCCGCATCGAGGACGCGCTCTGGATGTATATGGACCCACAACGGATAAAATGGTCCGCTCTCCGGGTTTCCTATGGGAATGCGTGCCTTCCTATCATCCGGCATCCAATCCAAATACCCGTTTCTGCACAAGCACGCGCACGCCGTTTCCTCGGCTAGGTTCAGCGCCATGTTCTGAGGAAGTGCGTAGGTTTGATGCTTCGACACTTCGACGCTTGGCCTTTCGGGACACCCGCAGGGAAGCTAATACAATCGCCCGCGGCATCGTGCCCTAGGCCCCCCTGGTCGCCTCGTTTGCTCCGATATCGCAGATCCCGGTTGCTCACGTTTACGAGATGGTGGACGCGAGGTCCGCTACGCGCGTGTGTCAGGGTCCTCTGACATGGGAGGTATAAAGCGGTGTCGGGGATGGGTTGACGGGGCCGCCAGAGTCCGCTCCGAGTCGCCATGCCCACTCTTCCTACCTTCTCCGCTTTCCTCGCCTTCAATGTCGCGCTCATCATCTTCGTGGTTAGCTGGCAGGTGCGGAAGCGGCGCAGAGATGCCCACCTTCCGCCTAGTCCCCCATCGGACCCGATCATTGGTCACTACCGCACCTTCCCGCGTACCTACCAGGCGGAGGTCTTCTTCGAATGGTCTAAGAAATATGGTCAGTCATCCGCTGCTTGTGCAAAGGTTGTTTACCGATTGCTTCGCAGGGGACATTTTCTACTTGGAGATCCTGGGCAGGAAGATCGTCATCGTCAACAGCTACGAGATAGCGAACGAGCTCATGGACAAGCGCAGCGCGAACTATAGCGATCGGCCCGTGTTCCCTTTGTTCATGAAGTAAGGCGCTATGACGTTGCCTCTCTGGTGACCAAGCCGGCTAATTATTTTTTAGCCTGGGATGGGGCGTTAGCGTGACGTTCTTGAAATACGGCCCGCAATTTTTCAAGCAGCGGCGTATCTTGCAGCAGTACTTTACCAAGCAAGAGATACCCCGTTTCTGTCCCATTCACACCGATGAAGCGCACAAGATGCTCAAGAATATGCTCGACCGTCCGAAGGACTTTGACTGGCTAATCCGGCGGTGCGTGGTTTAGGGCGTTCTACTCATACGTAACGATCTCGTCCTCAACGCGAGCGTCCCAGATTCGGCGCGGCCGTGATCATGAAGATTGCCTACGGGCACCAGATCGAGTCCGACAGCGATGAGTACATCAAGATGACGGAGAACGTCTCACTCGCGCACGTTGATGCCGGCGACCCGGGCACTGCGCCTGTGGACTTTTTCCCAATCCGTATGTGGTATTTCCTCCAGCACGTCAGCACAGCTGACCCTTTACCACAGTCCAATACCTACCTTGGTGGTTCCCGGGATGCTGGTTCAACCGCGTTGTACACAGTACGTCCTGCGTCCCCTTGACGCCGTTGCAGGTCGGCTTACCGTTTCACTGTGGCCAGACTGGAGCTGGGCTATCCATAAGTTCCATGACTATCCGTTCGAGCAGGTCCAACGTCAGATGGTAAGCTTATGCTTCTCGGCCGCTCACGCCTCTGCTTCCCTCCTCTGATCGCCCCCAGGCCGAAGGTCACGCCCCACCCTCCTTCCTCCTCACCTACCTAGAAGAGTTCTCGAAGCCCGACTACAAAGGCGAGCACAGCCTGGACGACCTCAAGCATGCCACGGGGGCCATCTACGCGGGCGGCGCGGAGACTGTAAGCCCCATTCTTTTCCTCCACGCGATGTCTCCGCGCGCTGACCGCGGCGCCGCAGACGTACTCGACTATCAACACGTTCCTGCTCGCGATGCTGCTGCATCCCCACGTGCTCACGAAGGCGCAGGAGGAGATCGACCGCGTCGTCGGGCCCAAGCGCCTGCCCGACTTCGACGACCGCGAGAGCCTGCCGTACATCGAAGCCATCTTCCAGGAGGTGCTCAGGTGCGTTCTGCCGCGCCCGTTCGAGAAGCCCGCTTGCTCACACTGGTGCGCCTCGCGGCAGATGGCGCCCCGTCGTGCCTCTCGGTAAGCACGCGTTCCGACGTGTTCTCGGGCGCAGTCGTGATCTCACTGACGTTTTCGCGCGCGCGCGCCTGCCAGGTATCCCGCACAGCACGATGCAGGACGACACGTTCAACGGCATGTTCATCCCGAAGGGCACGATGGTGTTCGCGAATGCGTGGTACGTCACCCGTTGTCCTTTGTTCCTGCTACAATAGGTATTCACGCGCCCGGCGGTTTTTAGGAGCATGGCGATGGACACGCGTGTGTACCACGACCCGGAGACGTTCAAGCCCGAGCGGTTCCTGCCCGGCCCCCATGGCGGACCCGAGATGTTCCCCCACGCGTCCTTCGGCTTCGGGCGTCGGTAAGTGCCACGTCCATATGCATTGTCCTGGTGGTTCTTGGCATGCTGAACACGACTCGTGCGCGCTGCAGCATCTGCCCCGGCCGCTTCCTCGGCATGAACAGCGTGTGGATGGCGATCGCGTCGCTGTGTGCAACGATGGACATCCGCAAGCCCATCGGCCCCGACGGGGAGGAGATCACGCCCTCGGGCGAGTACACCTCGGGCCTCTCGTGCTGGCCGAAGCCCTTCCAGGCGGACATCCGCCCGCGCTCCGAGGCGGCGCGGCGCCTCATCCAAAGCCTCTGAACAACAACCCAACGACCCAACGACTCCACGACCCAATGACTCACTGATACTACGAACTGACATGGCACACGAACATTTGTGCTGATGCGCCACGATTCCGACGATGGCTGGTAGGAGACCGCGTAGGCGGCTCCACCAGCGACGAGATACGTATAACTCTGTACATGTTGTAACACTACCATTCGCTGTGTTGTATTGTACTTTATCGGCTCCGCCGTCGCTATCGTACTGCACCGTTTTGTTTCTCGCTATTCTTGATATTTCTGCAATACAAATGCTTTCTTGTAACTTCTTGGGTCGCTCATGTGGCGATGTGGAACCCGCCGCGGCCTTAGTCATTACTCACAAGATTCGAGGCATCTTACTCGTGATAGACGTTGTCATCACAGGATGCGTGAAAAAAGTCCAGTTTCATGCTATTCTAGTCTTACACAGCGGCCCACGGATGGCTCACGAGCCGTTGCACCGAAATCAGCGCCTGGTATCGTACGTCCGGGTTCGCGTGGGACATGAGCTCCATGACGCGAGTCTTTCCTCCGAGGTCGGTCAAGATCCTGGTCCAGAACCGACGTAAGCAGTCGTCCCGCGTACAAGCGCTCCCGAGTAAGAGTACGTACTTCTTGCCGCGCTCGTAGTGTTTGACGTACTGGCCGATGTCGTGCGACGCGACGGCGAGCACTGTCGGGTCGTTCGACTCGGACAGCAGCCTGATCAGCAACCTGTGGTACGAGGGTGAGTAATTCTGTTCGGCCGACGCGCTCTTGCTGCACTTACTTGAGCAACTCGTAGTCCTTGTCGTTCAGCTTTGTCGCATTCTCTTTCCAGAAAAGGTCGGACTCGTGCACAGGCGTCCACGACAGGTACCCTGACGTCAGCTCAGAGCGGTACTCGTCGTAAGTGCTGTGGAGTTGTTCAGTAAGGCTATTGGCAGAAATGCGAGCGCGACATACGTGAGACTCTCAAAACGCGCGGCAAGCTCGTCCCGGAGGAATTGGATGTCCTCAACGATGTCCTCGTCCGTCCACTTCCGTCCAGCAAGGTTCTTCGCAAAAGGCAGAAGGTGGGCGACGAGCATCGCAGGAAGGTTGGCCTGTGGTGCTTTCGAGACGAGGTTCTGCCGATATTGTGAGTATCGTTGTAAGCGTTTGAGCTCTAGAACATACCCTGAAAGTTGCGACGATCACCCGAATGACCTTCTCCTTCGCTGCACCCTGAGCGACATCGACGAGAGTGGGTATAATATCAAAGCGTCTTCAAAAACGGTCAGCATGGGTTCGTGCTATGGCAAGGCTGTGTTGTACTTCTGGATCTGCTCTGCTACTTCTTGCTCAAATGTGAGCAGCCACAGGCAGAAGCCGACTTGGTAGCTCATCTGCGGGGTAGGGTTGTGCTTCAAAATGTCGACTAGCCTGGCATGATTATCAGTCCTGTGCGAAATGGTGAGTATATCTATCTGTATGGATCTCACCCTCCAACTAGCGAAGCATTCGCCCATACGGCTTTCCGGCACTCCGGACGGGACAGAGTAGACTCTAAGCATTGGACGGCAATATCACGTTTGTTGGTGGACGGGTTTGCAACAAACAAAGCGAGGGTGTTGAGGAAAGGGTGCATCTGCTGAGACTGCAAGGGTGCCTTCTCTGAGCTGCGGACAAGGTTAGGGTCGGTGTGTAGTAGGTTCGGTGCGCAACGCACCTGAGAAGTACGGTGAGGATCTGTGTGGCCTTCAGCTGAACAAAGTCATCCTGGGAGTCCAGAATTCTGAGGAAAGTTGAGATCTATGTCGGCTGCGTGTGCTATGATAGCATACCTTAGTAGAGGACCGTATGGAAGCTCAGGATCCGTCTGAGCGGCATTGGTAAACCAGGGTATCCGTTCCTCGTGATCTAGTGTCATAGACGCATCAGTATATTGAATTTGTGATCTCGGGTATATGCCGATATTTACCTGTGAGCGCATCCGCAATAAGGACAAGTATGCATGACTGCGTATCGACTCTCTGGAGCTTCTTGAGCAGCCGGAGATACAACAGAGCGTATGTTTGACCGTCCGAGACGAGTAGAGACTCTATCTTGGACCTAGACTGGCGGTCAACCTTCTTGATGAGACTGAGCTCCTCCGAGGTGATCAGGCCTGCGCGCTGGTAACCCTGTGTCGAGTGGGGGTGAGCAACCGCTTCTGTATAGTGGCTGAGGCGCGTACCTCCCATGGCACGGGCTTCGCGCGAATCTTGGCCGAGTTCTCGTCGAGGTACGAGTTGGAGACGAGCGAGATAGACATGCTGTACAGCGCGCAGGGTGCGCAGACGCGGTGGACGATGGGGAAAGCAGCGGCGGCGCCGAGCAAGCGCGAATCGGGACGGTGACCTCAGTCCCTGCGCTAGCGCCGGTGTTCCCACGGTCCGTTTCGGGAAATTAAAGGCTGCCCTTAGAGCTTTCGAAATTTCAGCCGTTGGGTTGTCCGCTGCTGCTGGTCTCATGCTGTCTCGAAATGTCGCCGCCGTCTGCAGACAACGCACGAGGGGTACGTTCCTCGACATATGCCCATATGTTTCTGTATCATAACATACACTTTCGCAGCGTGTCTGCATGCCCCGTCACGCTCACTAGCCTCCGTCGCCGACGCACCCGCCGCGTCCTCCTCCACGTCCTCCGCCGCCAGCGCGCCGAACGTCGTCCTCAATGCCGCCGTCATCCTCAACCGCTCCCCCATCCTGACTCGCACGCCCACGCTCTTCGAGCGCGCGTACTTCGCCTACCAGTCGCGCATCCGCCGCGCCATCTTCAACCCCTTCCCGACCGAGTTCTACTTCAAGACCGGCTCGCTGCTCGAGCGCAAGTTCGCAAGGGAGGAGCGCCTGCGCGAGCGCGAGGCGTTTGGTGGCCCGTGGTCGCTGAAGCGACGCAAGCCTGCGGCCGCTGCTATGGACGAGGACGGCGTGCCTCTTGCATCGGGTGACCAGGCGGACAATATGGGCGAAGAGCCCGTCGAGCCTCCTGCGCCGCGGATACACGAGTCGGACAAGACGGGGGATGTGAAGAGTTTGGATCGGAAGGGCGAGCGTAACCTGTACTTGCTCGTCCGAGGGAAGGACCACGCGGGCAAGCAGGTGTGGAGGTTCCCCCAAGGCCCTCTACAGGAGGGAGAGCAATTGCACAAGGTAAGCACTACATATAATGTTCCGTGTTTAAATTGTCGATGACACGTCTTCGTAGGCGGCACTGCGTGACCTTGAAGCAGAGTGTGGTATTAACATGGACGCCTGGGTCGTAGGCAAGAAGCCCATTGCCGTGTATCAACCCTCATTACCCGAGAGCACCAAGAAGACTCTCGGCGGCGAGGTAAGCAACATACTGCATGTTCCTTCTTATTGCCCATCGAAACTGACGCTGCCCGTTCCCCACCCAGCTTTACACCTTCTTCCTCAAGGCACACATCCTCGCGGGTCAGGTCCGGCCAGACGGCAAGAACGTCACCGACTTCGCGTGGCTCACAAAAGAGGAGATCGAGCTTCGAGTGGAGAAGGATTACTGGGCGAGCGTGGAGGGTATTCTATCTGACTTCTAATATATCACCTTAATGTGCTCCGGACCACACCCACTCAGTAGCAGAGTATTAGACTGCTTTCATTACATGGTGCGCACGCGTGCGCCCTGGAGGACTATCCTAGTATCTAGTATGCTACGACTGTGCACCGAGGTGTGTGGGGGTGACTACTTCGGTCCGGAGATGGCCTTGCGGTTGTTTCCCTTGACGGCGTCGTCGAATCTACGTACAATGACCTCGCATTTCGCCGTTTTGCAAATATGTTTGGACTGGGCCTTGATCGCGTCCGAGAAGAGCGTCAGGCCAGCGGCGCGTTCGACGGCGTCGACTGTACAACCGATATCAGCATTTGCACACCCGTCCGACAAGGTGAAGCTCGAGCGCGTACTGGGAACCAGGAAGCTTTCCAACTTCGCCTCGTCCGGGATGACAGCGTTTGGCAGGACGAACGCGCCCGCCGAGATCTCGGCGACGTCCGGAGTGGAGGGCGACGACGGCTTGGCCGCGAGCACGACTTTCGCAAAGTGCGTCGGGACGGAGATGTTCGGGGGCGAGCCGATGACCTCGTGCGACTAGGGGAGCATCCCAAGTGAGCTCACTGGGTTTAGATTTTAGAGGCGGTTTGCATGCTTACCACGCGCCATTTGCCGTCCGCCTCGAGCTTCGGCAGGTACAGCGGGATGGTAAACACGTAGACGTCAGAGAAGCTCGAGGTGAGTCGTCTGCACCAGTCCTCAAGGTACGCCCAGTCTGTGTGCAGGTAGTGAGAGGAATGTCGTGCGAGAATACGAAGCAGGCGTACAGTGTCGGTTGAAGCCCGCGCCGACTTGTGGTGCAATGTTAGTCAACAGGAACGTCTCGTTCATAGCTTCCTGCAGTAACGGACACACAAGTCAGCTATATGCGCTGGCGCCCGATACAAAACGCGCCCACCTGTGAGATCTTAGCGTCTGCAGCTGGGACCCTGTCGTACCATGTTCAGCACGAAGACACTTGTTAACGGCTTCGGGGGGAAGAGCCTACATGTGTCCACGGTCGTAGCCGCTGCGGAAGTAGTCCTGCAGCTTCGCCCGGAACATAGCAGGAATAGACTGGTCTTCGGAAAACTGAGAGTTGGAGCGGTCGCCCGCCTCGCCCACCTCTCGCGGCTCAAGCTTCGACTTCCCGAGTGACGCGAGGGTCAAGTGCTCTGCTGTCTGGATCTCCGTAAGGGGCCGGCATGGAGGGAACGAGAGCTGGCTGAGCACGCACCCATGCTGGATGCCGTAGCCGACGGTCGTAGCCCGCGACGTACGCCCGCCGCACTAGTATGTCCGCGATGGGTCCTGCATATTTCCCGTTAGCATTGCCATTCTCCCTACCAGACACCAAGGAAAGAGTGCATCCGACGTACCCGGGTTCCCGTACTTCAGCACTGAGGTGTCAACCTTCACCACCTGCCCTGGTGCGGTCTGCATCTGGGTTCCCTGACCTGGCTTCACATGAATCACCGGCGGTGCGGGCGCACCCTGTGCGGGCACCGGGGGGAGCATGTCCCGTCTACTGCGTGCGGACACTGCGGTAGCCACTCCCCCACCGACGAGTGCGCCGACGGCGAAGACAGCGGCGTGAACGATCGTTGCGCTCGGCATCTTGCTCTTGAATCAGTCGAGGCCTCTAACAGGCGAGCCCGGTGTGCAAGGTGAGCGGGAATGAGAGAGAGGCTGGTTGACCGACGCTGCTGCAGCTCTCAGACGCGATCACGTCCACTTTTCTGTGGCACGGCTGCACCCGGCCCGGCATATACTATGGGCGTCTGTCATGGGCACTAGAATGCTTTGCGGAAGGAAGGTTTCTGCAGCGATATGAGATTTCCAAGTGAGAGCCATGATCAAGCACAATCCAGGATGTTCAGTATGTTGAAGACAGTGATACCTGTGCACGGTCCATCCAATATATACATTCATCTCGCTTACTCTAATTTGCGCTATCGATCAATCATACAACCAAACGGCACTGGGAATGGGAAGAGGGCAGAAGAGGAGCAGTCGAGCATGAATGCATGGGCGGGGAGTGGACTATGGTACGTGGACTTGTGATGGTTGGTAGTAAGTACTTGGGGGAGGCATGCAAGAAGAGGCGGAAACACACGAGAGGAGAGACCGGGACACAAAGGGAGCCTTTTCAAACGGCGGGGAGGGGGTTGGCCGGCGCGCGCCCGCTTGCGCTGCAGAGGCGGCCGCCGGCCGGGATTAATGGGAACAGGAGAGATGCACGCGGAGCGTTCCTGGGGAAAACACGCAGCACGACCGCAAACACGAAGAGCAGCGTAGGATCGGAAAGGGAAAAAGAGCAGAAAACCACGACAGCGGGAGAGGGGGAAGAGCAGGGTGGCGAAACGAGGGTGGCGAGTCTGTTTACGAACGGGATATAGCATGTAACGAGTCCGCCGTGAAACATCGCCCGGGCCCCGCATACAATACGCTTGCGCAGATGCTGCCCTTTAGATTTCCAGCGGCTCGTGCGAGCGCGCCTCGAAGCCACCGCGGTTGGTCTGGCTCTCGCGGCGCTCCCTCCGGGACTCGAAGCCACCGACGCCAGGCCCGCGGGGCTGGCGCATAACGGTGGGGCTATCCATGCCGCCACCGTTCATGCCGGAGACGCTGGAAGGGAGGGTGGGGACCGGAGGGATGCCATTGTTGCCGAAAGCGCCGCCGTTGCCAAATAAGGACGCAAAGCCCGGAGAGCGACGCGAAGGGGAAGCGATGGTGGCATAGCCTTCGCGAATGTTCCCGTTCGAGGCCCGAGTGGTGAGACGAGGGGTTTGAGCTTGAAGACTCTTCATGTCCGGCATTGACTTCTTGACGCGGAGAGACGATGCAGTCATGGGAGCCGTCGCCGAGAGGTACGAGGCCGGGGCGCGGGAGAGTGTCTGGCGCGAACCAGGACCGGCGCCGTTCTGAAGTCAACAGCTTAGCAACGGGCGGTCAGCAGCGGTCGTTCAGTCCACTTACAGCATTGGGATCGAAGCGAGTAACCACTGCGTAACGCTCGTCGCCTTCTCCGACAGAATAATGGTAGACACCGAGCTTCTGGGCCACGAGGTGAACCACACGGCGCTGCTTGGGGGACAACGTGCGCGAGAACGCAAGCTCGTCGCGCATCGGGTCGTCCTTGAAAAGGAGGATCCGCGAGTAGATCTCGAGCGTCGACGGGTCGTTGAGGTCCAACTCGGTGGAGGGCGACTTGATCCCAGCCCCGGGAGAGACCGAGGGCAGCGGAGGAGAGGCCACCGTGAAAGACTGGGACGTAGGCAGGGGCGGCATCTGCGGAGGCGAGTACTGCGAGCTCTGGTACACGTTAGATGCCGAGAACGAACGCTGGGGCGTGAACGGCGTCGACAGAACGGTGCCGTAATCGTCGTATCCCCCTTGCTGCATCTGTTGTTGTTCCTTCTCCAGCTGCATGGAACGCATGCGGCGGATAGCCTTCTCTCTTTCGATCCGTTCCTTCTCCCCGGCTTGGAGCACCTTTTTGTACTCAACTCGGAGCTTGCGGCCCTGGACATCGAAGCCATTGAGCGCTGCAACGACGGCGTCTGCATCGACGGACTGGCGGAAGTTCGCGAAGGCCAACCCGCGGAACTGGCCGGACTGGTCAAGGTGATAGTTGAACGCGTAAGGAGTCGGAATGGACAGCGACGCCTGGATGAGTCGTCAGAACGACCCCGCGCGGCATGTCGGACGAAGCGGAGGATCTTACAATTATGTCAAGCAAAGTCTCACGTTTAACGTTGAAGGGGATGTTCTTTATGACGATCGCGGTGGGTATGACTTCGTCGTCGCCCAACGGTGTGCCTGGAGTCATAGGCGGGGCGTGCATGTGGCTCAAAGGAGGGGACCCGCCGGAGGAGGACAGATCGGAGTTGTTAGGCGGCGACAGAGAGCGATTGTCAGGAATCCCCCCCGCGTTATCGAGCCATTGCTGGATTCGACGATGGAGAGTGAGTTATACGGCCATCGATGCGGAGAAACCGCTCTCATACGCACGGTAGGCAGGCCGGCACGCGAAGGCTTGTTCTTGAGGGGGGACTGATTCATGCTGAGGGGGTTATACTGGGACTGGGCGGGGATAGGAGGGGATGTAGAGTAGTGGTATGGATTTCTACCGTTGCCGCCTGCGTTGCCTTCGTAATCGTAAGTATCATGAAGACGTTGCTGGGAGGGCTGCGAGGCGAGGGAGAGGGTGGCGACCTGGGAGGCAAGGTCCGGGGTCGAGGAGGAGCTAGTCATGATGTCGATGCCGGTGATGCCTGAGGGGAATTAGAGGAGGATGATACAAAGCCGTTCGTGAAGATGACTCGTTAGATGGAAATAATGGAGAGGTTAGCAAAGATGAGGGAGTGGACAATGCACCAGACAGCGAAGATGGTCGTTGATGGAAAAAGTACGCCCGCAAGACAGACGCTCGGCGGTGTGAATTCCCTTCAGCCTTCCCAAACAACACGAGGCCGTCTGGGTATTCCATCCTCTCTTCTGTTCATCGCAGTCTGCAGAACATCAAGCTACACGCAACGCGTGAGCAGAGGTAGTGCCTGATAGATATCGTCGTCGATCGTCGCCGCTGTTTCAGTCGGCGTACACAGCAGGTCGTGCGCCGATGTCATGATGAAGCTTAGATACAGTGTATTATACTACACTCGGACCGCGTGCTCTCCTGAGTTCAAGGTGGCTGTAGTGCGCAATTGAGACCGTCCGCAGTGGGCAGTAGTGCTGCGGGGCAGGGGGGACGTCCATATGTACAGATGAGAAGCTGTGCGGCCTGTGGAGAGCAGACCAGCGTCGCTGTCGTCGGCGTCGAGCAGCTCACCCTAGCTCACCATCCACATCTTCACGATCATGACCCGCCGGCGCCGTTCCTCCGCTTTGCCTCCGGGAAACCTGTGCTACAGCGCGAGACAATCGCAGGCTTATCCTAATAGTCCTAGTCAGTATTGTAAGTCAATCATCTTCCGAGTCGCGCCCATATCTGTTACATACTCTGGTTCCGCACCAACCCCTTCATGATCCTCTTGCCCCCAGACGGTCTGCCCGCTCTACCCCATACGCCCTCCTATCAACCCCCGCCGGGCCCGCCGCCCGCAACAACTGGTCAAACACCCATCATTTCACCCGAGGATGACATTCAGCGGCTATTCAATGTGTGCAAAGTCGGCCGCGGCAATGCAGAGCTCTTACAGGAGGTGCTGGTGTATGCGAAGCCGCAGGAGCTCAGGAATGACATAACTAAGGTGGCATCCGCGCCCGTGCAGCGATCCAGGGGCATATCACTGATATTCATCGCGGGATGTGGAATAGGAACTCCTCGGCCGTGCGAGGGCGTCGCAGGACCTCATCGGCTCGCAAATCGCATGGGCAACCACGGAGGCGGAGAGGTCGCGTCGCACAACACACACATCGGTTGAAACGACGCAAGAACAGCTTTTGGCGGCGCTACTCGCTGCTCATGAGCAATTAACGGAGGTCCTGAAGATGCACGAGGACTTGGAGCGGATTGCGATAGAGCAAGAGGCAGAGGAGCGCATGAAGACAGAACGGCTGGTGCGTATATCCTTTCCCCCGCTGTATTCGGGAACACGGACCTACTTCTAGCGGTTATTGCGCAGATACAAGCCCTCACTGCCATTGCCGAATACACTGCGACGCCAGAGGAGGATTCCCTCATAAACTGGGTCATGACTATAGGAGACCCTGAGGGGACAGGCAAAATCAATCCCCAAACCGCTACCCGAATATTCAGCGCGTCCAGCTTGCCCCCTGACGCCCTCGCAAGGGTATGGGAAATTGCGAGCGTTGATAGTAAGGACGGACTTCTCGACCGGCAAGGTGTGGGAGTGGCGCTGCGCCTCATTGGACATGCGCAGAGGGGAGAGACCGTAATGGAGGCATTGGTGAACCGACGTGAGAACCAAGTACATCTTTTGAACGTCTCGCAGTCTGCTAACAGTGCATTCGCCGCAGCCGGACCCATTGCTTCTATCGACAGCCCTTCTTCTCCGCTCGGTAATGAGGCCGTTGCGGGGCCATCCTCGGGAGTTCCTAGCACGCTCCCTCCCCTAACGTCTCACGACAAAGCTAAATTCCGGAAGATCTTCAAGGGTGCGGGTGCAGACAATGGATATCTTGGTGGTGAGCAGGAACCTTGGTAATGACACTTCAGGCGCTGAGCGACCCCTAGGTCAGCAAGCACGAGAGGTTTTCATGAAATCCAAGTTACCATGGAATACGCTATCACAAATCTGGTGCGCAGACTTTGCCCAAGCTTGATTAGAAGCTCGCTGAGTAGACTTTCTTTCGCTAGGAACCTAGCCGACACACAACATCGTGGAAGTCTCGACCTCAGCGACTTTACGGTTGCCATGTACCTGATCCAAGGCCTAATGACCGGGCAGCTAGCGACGGTACCCGCCAGTCTGCCGCCTCAGCTGTATGAGGACGCTGCACGACATACACGCACACCTTCTCCCTCACCCCGCCACCGAACGGTCTCATCTCCCAACACCCCCGCCCTACCTCGATACCCACCGCCTCCTCCCCCTTCACATCCCTCCCTAATACCTCCACCCCAGCCCCAACTTATACCCCCAATCACAGCTTCGCCATTCTCTGGAGCTCCGCCACCGCGCCATCCCTCAAGGGGCCCCTCGCAACCCAGCCCGCGTTTGGAGGTTACACCGTCCATCAGGGTGCAAGCAGAACACATATTCTCCTCATTAGACTCGCGAAATCGGGGTCGCGTGAAGACGGACGCGGTGCACACATATATGTGTCAATCTGGTCTGCCAGTGAATGCAGGCAGTCGAATATTGTACGGTGATCGCTTTCTATTCCGTTCGCGCTCGTAGCTGATGGGTCACACATATCACAGAGAGTTGTGCGACATCGGACGCAAAGGACATCTGACGAAGGATGAATTCTCAGTAGCCTTGATGCTCATGAAAATAAGAAAGGAAGGACAGCATCTCCCTTCTACTCTCCCACCCGGACTGCTTCCAGCATCTACGCCCTCGCATGAAGATGATGCGTACGATGGTATTGCTCGGGATCATTCGGTATGCCCATTCTTAGCCTATATGATGTTGTACATCGTGCTGACAACGTGAAGCATGATAACGCCTCTGCTGGGCCTTCCCGACCCCCGCCATTAATCATTACATCTCAGAGCGAAAGACCCTCGCGGGCAGGCGCGCCGCCGCCTGGCACTCCAAATATCCGCACCTCCCGCAGCACACCACAGCTCAACAACGGCAGTGCGAATAGCGTTCCTAGCTCCCCCTTTGCGACCGCTCCTTCGACCCCCTTCCCCGGGTTGTCTGTTCATGGCTATGCCCCGGCGGTAGCCGCGACTCCCTCTGATTTGAACATCACGCCCGAGGAGAGGGCGCGGTACGATAGGTTCTTTGCACAGTTGGATACCCAGAGAAAGGGCTACTTGTTGTCGGACATCGCAGTCCCTTTCTTCGGGCGTGCGAACTTGCCCAACGACGTTATGGCGACCATATGGTGAGTTATATACCGCAGTCCTCCCGCCGTCTGACGTTGACCGCTTCGCCTGCAGGGACCTGGCGGACTCGGAGCACGACGGCCGTATCACAAAGGACGACTTCGCTGTCGCCATGCACCTCATCCGGCAGAAGCTCGCAGGGAAGGAGCTGCCCACCGTCGTACCTGCATCGCTGTTCCCCGCACACGCGTCCGCGAGAGCAGAAACTGTCTCGCTACCATCAACTTCAAGGCAGGATTCCAGGCCACCGTCGCAGGAGGCGCCCCCGCCACCGCCGCGACCAGCTTCTGGAGCTCAGGTCGAACCCGCGATGACACCCTTGCCCGACGACTTGGACGACGACTTGCCGCGTTCGGATACGCCCCCGCCGCCGTACTCGCTTATAGCGTCGGGCTAGTCATTTGATGCGTGGGCTTTGGGTGGAGTAAGATGTCGTATCTAGGACTTATCATATAGGGAGGATTTTACTATGCTGCTCAACGGGACCATCTTCATTTTGTATTCTACATGGCGGACAAACGTGCAGCCAACCCCCCACAGGGCCTCATATTGCATCGGAAAGCTGAGGAAACGTAAGATTTCTGCTTCTTTAAGCCTAAACGTCGAGTTAGGCGCCCTGAAACCATACATTTCCTCCGCATTTCTCAGCAGTCGGCGTGCGTCGCTCCCGTGGTGCTTGGCACACGCTCACTCAGAATGGGATTCGGAAGGGGACATACGCCTAAGGCTAAGGTCGACGCCTGATCAGAACGTGCAACGAGGCTTTACGTAAAGTAGATCTCAGAAAAACGAGGCAGGTGTCGCGCCGCTGGCGGAGAGAAATATCGCGCCTGGAGCTGTACGCGGCCTGAGGCCTTTTGAACGCTGTTCTCGCGGCTGTCGACGACGAGCAGACCAGTGAACACGACGCGGGAACCAGGGGAGCGGTAGAGTCGGCAGCTCGCGTTGTTTGTGCCAAACAGGTCACGATGATCAACGGCGCGACGCTGCGAATCAACAGCTCCGGGTCGAAACCGCATCCTGCTCAAAACCACCACAACTCTATCCAACTCCCCATGTTGGGCTCCCTCGCAGGTCCCAAACAGCCCCCGCCTGGCCAGCAACAGCAGCAACAGCAGCCCCAGGCCCCCCAGCAGCAGCAGGGCCCCCAGAATTCCGAGCTCCAGCAGATCCCCCAGAGCGGCCAGGACTACACGCTCTCTAGCGTCCTCCACTACCTCCAGACCGAATGGCGGCGATACGAGCGCGACAGGAATGAGTGGGAGATCGAGCGGGCGGAGATGCGGGTGAGTACCTGCTGCCACCGCGTGCGGCGCGTTCCTCATTGTGCTCAATGCGTGCGCGCCCTCCCCACCTCCCACCCCCCAGGCCCGCATCGCGCTCCTCGAGGGCGAGCGCCGCTCTTTCGACAATGTCAAGCTGGACCTGATGCGGCGCATCAAGATGCTCGAGTATGCCCTGCGGGTCGAACGGTACGCGTCCTCTCTCCCAGACCGCCGCGTGCGTGCGCACGACATTGACGTGTCGTGTCGCAGCTCCAAGCAGCTCACGCAGCCCGCGGCGCAAGCGGTCCCTCCTGCGAAGCTCGCCTCGTTGCAGTCGCAGGTCGCTATCGCGTCACAGAAAGATGACGCGAGCAGCGGGAGCTCGCCGCGTAGCGAAGGTCCGTGCCCTTGTCGTGCGAGTTGTTCGAGGATATTCATAGCGAGAAAGATTCACCGCTACCACCCGATCGCATGTCTATTGGGTCCGTCCCCAACGGTGTCGCCTCGGGAGGACCGCCCAGTCGCACTCAGACGTGGGTGGGACAGACGGCGTGGTCTGGCGTCAACCCCAATGCTGCCACCATGGGTAGACCCGCGCCAGGTCGCGACCCGAAAAGCAGGGCGAGGAGTAGAGACTTTTTGAAGCAGTGCGTATGGAAAGTCCGTTTATTCCACAGCGAGTTGACTTTGTTACAGGTGCCTCCAAGAAGTCTCGTATCTCACGTCCCCACAAGCCATGAACCCGCTTCCCAACCGACCACTCCTTGCTACCAACACCATGCCTCCTCAGCTCCCGAATGTTCCTTCATTTGAACAGATTGGCTACAATGGCCGCTTGAAGAAAACTATCCCGGAAGTCGGGAAGGACTACTCTACAATGAACGGCATGCCGTCCGGTCCGTCGAGCGCGCCTGCATCGAACGGTCCGCAAGTCAACCCGTTTGACCGCCCCGGTATCACAGGTCCGAACATGTTCGGCCAGCCTCAGATGCAAGTGCCGTCCGGGCAGCAGCAACAGTATCAGCAACAAGTCCAGCCGCCTCAACCACCGTACCAGGGCGAAAGCAAAGACCGTGAGGAGCCGGAACAGCCGATGTCTGATGATAGTGGGGATTGGAAGGAGAGGTTCCGGTTATCACAGGAGGGCTCTGAGCAGACTCGCCACCAGCTCAACAACAACATCAGCGGTGCGGGTGCGTGGGAACGGCGTGCGAGGGAGGAGGAGGATGGCAAGGAGGAGGAAGAGGATGAGGAAGACGACGACTCGAGTGTGATGGGCGAAGGCGAGAGCACGAAGGTGTGGAAGGCGAAGCGGACCCTCAGGAAGTCAGTCTCGTGACCCATTTTGGAGCGCATTTCCCTTGGGATTTTTGGTTTCGCGAAGCTAACTTATCATCTAGTCACCTCGATGCGGTCCGCGCTATTGCGTTCCACCCAACAGAGCTCTGCCTGGCGAGTGCGGGCGACGACAGTACCGTTAAGGTCTGGCGGGTGGATCTCGCCAGTCTGACCGCCCCCGCGTGCGTACCGCTTTGCGTAGCTCCGCACCTTCCTTCATAGACTAAGCTTAATCACAGGTCAAGGGCCACGACGGAGGTCGAGCCGCAGCTCACGCTCCGCGGACACTCGGCGGCCATCACCTGTCTGGTGCACTCGCCCGCGAAAGGCCTTCTCTACTCCGCTTCGATGGACTCCTCGATCCGTGTATGGGCGCTGCCTCCCCCCTCTCATACAACGTATGCGCCGTACGACGCGAGCCGGGCACGCGGTGAGCTTATCGGACACACGGACGCGGTGTGGGACCTGGCGCTCGCCCGGGACGAGAGCACGCTCATCAGTTGCGGTGCGGAGGGGCTCGTGAAGGTCTGGGACGTCTCGGGCTCTATAGGCGGCGGGTCGCTGAAGCTGTCGTGGTCGTACGAGGGCCTCGAGACCGCGGGCGACTTGAGTCCCGATGGTGCCCTGCCGGGCGCGTCAGCCGTGGAGGCGATCAAGAGCGACCTCAAGAAGGTGGCCGTGGCGTACCAGAACGCGGTGATCAAGGTGTTCGAGATCGAGACAGGAAAGGAGCTCATGAAGCTGCAAGTTGAGCCAGTTGAGGGTGGTGAGTGGTCGTGGCCTGTTGTGGGCAGGTAGAAAGGGGTGTTGACAGCGCGAGTACAGATGATTCCGCGTCGGCGCAGGCCAACGCCATCGTGTCGCATCCGACCATGCCCCTGCTCATCACCGGCCACGAGGACAAGCATATACGCATATTTGACATCAACACCGGTGGGTGCTTGCGCTTCCTCTTGCCTCGAACTCTAGCTGACCGTGCCCGCACCCACACGCAGGCCAGTGCACACACTCGATGCTTGCGCATCTGGACGCAGTTACGTCATTGTCCCTCGATGCGGCGGGCTTCCTCCTCGTCTCGGGCAGCCACGACTGCTCCGTGCGCTACTGGGAGATCCTCGGCTCCAAGGCGTGCAAGCAGGAGAGCACGAGCCACCGGGAGAAGGCGCGCGAGGGCGTGCTCGACGTCGAGTTCCACCCGTCGCTGCCCGTCATGGCGAGCGCCGGCGCGGACGGTGTCGTCAAGCTGTATGCGACGAGCTCTGCGTCATGATGTGCATAACCTCCTCTGCCCCGCCCCCGGATTGTTCATGTTGTTGTCCTTTTGCATTGCGTGTACTGAGGTTGCGTGGACTCCGTCGGCGGCCGTGCGCTTTGCGCGGGCACCGTGGGCTAGAGTCCGTGGTGCCGCGTCCTTCTATGCGGTCCGTTCCTGCTTTCCTGTTCCTGTACATTCGTATATACCTCGCTACGACTTTTACGACCGCGATAATAGTATTGTTATGGAGCGTGTACGGCGGGAGAACGAGGGCCAGGCTTCTATGGATACATCGGCTAAGGCTACAGGTGGGCTTCAGGTCAGATGGGAAAACTTCTATGATACATTATAGAGCGCTGTCGAGTTTCTTGTGTGAGTCTGTTCAGATGGCTGCGTGGGTGTGAGTGTTTGTGCGTAACGGAAATGCAAAATGAGGGGGCGCACAAATAAGCATGCCTTGCTCAACAGCGACGATCTCGGCGCCCAGTTCGCGCTCCTCGACGAGCTCGCGGACTTGTCCAGCGATGACTTCGTGTATGGGCCTGTCATACACGCCCTGCAGATCGTCCTTGCAGTGCGTGATGAACACCCGGAGGCCCGCGAGCGCCCCGCGCACGTCGACATCGGGGTCCGACACCCTCTTCCGCCTGCGCTTCCGCGGCTGCTCCGCACCGCCGTCCGCCTGCGCACGCTCCCGAGCCGCAACAACCTCGCGCGCAAGCACCGCCAGCTCGTCTGCGAGGTGCCCAGGGCTGAGGTGGCCGTAGAGCAGCGCGTCCGCACGGCCCTCGGGCCATGAGCACTCGATGAACACCGCGGACAGCGCATGCGGGATCTTCGGCGCGGCGGCGCGCCAGAGGGCGCCGTTCTGCGGGTGCGCGGCGACGCTGTCGGGCTCGACGTCGCCGAGGAAGAGCAGCTCGCGGGCGGAGGGCACGTGTCGGAGCGCGAAGGCGCTGCTGGCGTACGTGGGCGCGTCGGGGGGCGTGCCGTGGCTCAGCGGGAAGGTGCGGACGGAAATAGTGTCCGTTAAGGACACGTACTCGTCTTCGAGTGAGAGGCTATGGAGGCGGGATGAACGGAGTTAGACGACGAAGGTGAGAACTGTTGGGCTCACGGCGACAGATGGTAGGCGGCGTTAGGAGTTACAGTCCAGCTGGCCAACGACGGCCAGAGTTTGCCGGCGAAGACGTCCGCGATAACCTCCAGAGTCTCTTGCGTCCCGCGGACAGGCTTTGACGGACCCTTCGCGGACCCCGCGGAGAGGACAAGGCCGTTGATATGGTCCAAGTGCGGGTGTGTTATCAGATAGCACCTGCGGAGGAAGACGTGTGAGAAGGTGATCGTCTCGCTGTGTTCGAGCCGTGGGCGGCGGAACGCACTGTATCCAGGAGTTCACCTGGGCCGCAGTCGGGGCTGTGGGCACGTCCTCCTCCGAGTCGGAAGGGGGTGCGAAAACCTCAGGATGCGCGGTGAGCAGCCTGTTGAGGGCACCCAGCCCGGACCCTGCAAAATGCACCGTACTCGTGAGCGTCTATTCCAGGAAAAAATGAGCTTAGTGGGCGCTTTGTGTACCTGCGTCAAGCGCGATGATGCCGTCCTGCCACGACGAGCCGCTCGGCTTCAAAAAATAACTACGTGGATGAGCCGCGCGTTCTGTGAGCCACATGGGTGGCCTACCTTGAAAGGTTATCCTCGAACGGGCCGCCGCCTAAGGTGCAAACCTGGTAGTGAGCGGGAGTAACACGCGAGATGCGGCTACGGTGTCTTACCGCTTCCGACGACGAAGACGTCGAAGGTGGCCATGAGTGTGTGTGCTTGGCCACGCGATCACTCGACACGCGAGATAGACTTCGAAGTCAGCGAGAGTTCACGGTATTCGGTTGTGGGTGCGGTAAGTAGTCGACTCGTCGGAGGATGTGGTGGTATTTATGCGAGATGCGGAGTCAGCCTCGCAGACAGCTGGCACCAGCTCGGATCTGAGAGCTCGCGGGCTGTGAAGCTGGCGACGACGACGACGACGGCAGGCAACGGAGGCTGGAGGATGTGCGCGTGAGTGCGAGTGGCCGGGAATATATGGCGCGTGCCTCGGGCGGACGCTGATTGTGGAACAATCGCGCAGAGCCCTGTTTGCGGCTCTTTGGGGAGCCCGTCGGTCGCCGGGGCTGTGTAGTATGTACAATGCCCGCTTGTCCCCTCGTGCGGGAACGCACGCCCAGCCGCTCTCACTCTCCGGTCTCTGCGGAAGCTCGAAGCTCTGGTGCGCGTTGTCTGACCCAGGGCGTCCAAACACGCCCGCTGGGAACGCCGGGGCCTTCTCACACTTCGCGCGTTCTCGGGCGATCGTCAATGTTCACCCACATGCCAACATTCATTGCTCGCCAGCCGATGCCTAGTGGCGTCGGAGGACACAGCCCGGGCATGCGACGCGCGTCGTGGGATGGGAGTCGGTGGACAAGAGGTCAATTGACGGACAGGGGCTCGTACGTACGTGGTATGACGGATAGGTGTGGCGGGCTGCACGAGCGCCCGCCTCGAGGCGTGAGGGCGAGGACGCCCACCGGGATCGCGGGAGGCGAAACAAGGAACGTCCATCGGAGAATAGGGGGATTACTTAGTCTTGGTCTCGGAACAACGCAGCGGGAGAGGAAAGAATAAGGAAGGCGACATCATAAGACTATCCAAACGAGGGTGGCGCGAGCAGGGGTGAGCGAACGAGCGGCGAGTACAGGTAGGGTGCCCGTGGTCATAGGAATGGAGACATTCACATCCGGAATCCGGAGAAGGAAGGAATAGGAAGAACGCAGTGGAAGAAGAGTCCGGCAGCAGTCTCAAATTATTGACCTGAGTATGCCGAGCCGTCAGTATTTCCCGCTGCCGTGTGGCGGAGGCACATCGATCAGGGCGCACCTAGTAAGCTATTAAGGGCCCTCTGGACATCGTAACTGTGCTCCTCGAGCGCGGTCACCGCTTGCGTCCGGCTGAAACCCATCCCGCAGAGCGTCTTCACCGCCTCCACGTCGTCCTCCACCGCAGGCGTAGGGTCCTCGACGATCTGTTGCTGCGCAAGCGACGGCACCGGGGGCGCATCGTGGTTCTTCTTCTTGCGTCCAAACGGCAGACGGATCTGCACATATGTCAGTCAAGTCCAAACGCAGCCACCTCTGTCAAAACACTTACACTCAGTCTGTTGTGCCGCGTGGCAGCGGCCTTCTCCTTAGTTGAATCGCCCGTTGACGGACGGGGCTTGGGCGACGCGTGGCGCGGCGGTGGAGATGCGTGGCGAGGGGTTGGCGAGGAGACACGCGGTGCCGAAGGAGACTCCGAACGTCTGCCTGGCTGCGTCGAGCTCGATCCGCGGGGTGAAGACGCTACGGACGACGTCGGGAACGGCGTTGGCCCAGCCTTGTTGGGGGGAGGGCCGGGAGGAGGTTGGTAGGACGGCGTTTGGCTGGTGAAGGAGGTGTCCAGGGCGAGCGACGGTTCCTCACCACCAAACGCGTCGTCAAAAGAAAAACCCCCGTTGCTGCGCGAAGACGAGGTACTGGCGTTCAGATTGGGCGCTGCGCTGGCTGTGCCGTTGGAAGCTCCGAACGCATCGTCAAAGGAGATCCCCTTCCCAGCGAGCGCGGAGTGGGATGGCGCAGGAGTAGGAAAGATCGGCTGAACGGGCGCAGGAGCGGGTGCAGGGGCTGACGAAGGCGCGGCGCTTGCACTCGTCCCGAATACGTCGTCAAAGGTGCTGCTCTGGCGGGGGGCGGTCGAGTGGGAGCCCGAGGGTGGCGGCGGGAATGCTGCAGCGCCCGCCGTCTCGGAGATCGTCCCGTTGCTGACCGCAGGCTGGGCGGCGGTGGCAGCGGCGAAGTCAAAGTTGTCCTCGAACGCGGAGTCAAACGCGAGGTTCGTAAACTGGGACGATGTGGCGCTGCTGTCCAGGCTAGGGAGCTTTCCTAGGGCGTGGTCGAACTCGCTGACACCTGCGCTGGAAAACGCGTTACCATTCGGCTTCGCGTTCTCCGCCACGGCGGGGATGGGCGCGGACGGCGGCGGCTCCCTGGACACAGCCGGCGTCTCAAACATGCTCGCGAAGTCTGTCACGGCGCCAGATGCCTGCACCGGGGTGCTCTCAGCGGGACCCGGGCTTGAGAAAGCGTCTTCTGCTGGGACCGAGGTCTGCTGAGGCTGCGGGGTGCTCGAGATTCCAAACGAGTCGTCGAACGCCGATCCGCTAGTGGCAGCACCGTTGGCGTGATCGCCAGTGAGCTTCGCCTTCACGGAAGTAAGCGGCTCGTTGTCCTCATCGTCGCTGCTGCTGTCTGTGTCGGACTCTTCCGGTTCGAGCTCCTTCAATTGGTGCATGAGATCCGTGTCTTCTCCATCAAGCTGTGGACTGAGAGGGGTGGCGGTCGCTGGCGCGGTCGGCGTGGGCGCGCTCTCGTCCGTCGCGTTGTCATCGATAGCAGGGAAGTGAGAAACAGTAGGGTCTTCGGGCTGAGGCGCGATGACATGCTCGTGGCTGGTAGCGGTCGTCGGAGGTGTCGTGAACAGGTCGGTGTCCGCGGGCGACACGACTTCCTGCGAGTGCGGGGACCCGATGACCAACGGGGCGGGGGATGCGGAGGGCTTGGGAGTCTCGGGCTCGGCTGCCTGAACTTCAGGCTCGGGAGTGAACGCCTTGAACCCGAACGGATCTTCCGCGCTGTCCTCTTCAGCCGCCGCCGTAGGGGCGGCAGTGGGCGTCGGCAGAACCGATGACGCGGCAAAGGGAAGGAACGGAGACTCCGGGCGCGGGCTCGCAGACCTGGCCAACCTGTCGAATGGGTTGGTACTCTTGCCCATGATAGATGCGGGAGGCGACACCTCCGGGGACATCGGGAGCGGCTGTCCGGCCGCAAAGACCAAGGACGAGTCGGGGCTAACCGCAGGCGGCGGAGGAGAGACGTGTCCATTCGTGAACAAGGCACGGGGCTCCTCCACGGTGCTTAGCTGTGCTTCGGCGTCCTGACGCTCCTTCGTCGTCTCTTGCAACTCCGCGCGGGCGTCCTCGAGCTCTTTCTCGTACTTGGCTTTCTCCGCTTCCCGGGTCGCGAGCTGCTTTTTGGCAATGGCGAGGAGGCCCTTCTGTTGCTTAGCGTCCTTCTTAAGCTTCTCGACCTCAGCCTTCGTCGCCTCAATCAGCGTGCCGACCTCGGACATCTTCCTCTGGAGATCCCGGACCTCCTCCTTGTCGCGGAGGAGCGCACCTTCCACCTCGGCCTTCTCGACCTTTGTCGCGCTCAAGTCACTCTCGGCGCGGATCAACTCCTCGCGCGTCTTCTGAATCTCGGCGCTCTGACCGGCGAAGCGATCCTTGAGGGTGCTCAGCAGACGAGTCTCAGTGTCATAGGAGGCCTTGGCAGACGACAGCTGTGTCTGCAAGCTGGCCAACTGGGCCGCCTGCTCTGTCAACAGGCGCTCAAGCTGTTCGCGTTCGTTCTTAGCAGTGTCCAACGACCGGTTGGTGGAGCTGAGCTGGTTCTTGACGTTCCCGATCTCGGCAGACTGGTCGTGCAAAGGAGGCGAGCTGGCGTGAGGCTCGTCGTCGTCGCCTAGTAGGTCCTTGTGCGGCGCAGGAGGTGCTGCTGTAGGGGCTGGGTCAGCTGCAACGCATGGCGCAGGTACGAGCAGAACATACGGGCGCTGTAACCACCGAAGGGACCTCCTGCGAAGGGGTCTGACACAGGCGCGGCAGGAGGAGGCGACATAGTAGGTGCCGGGTGGGGAGACAACGATCTTGTGGCTTGGGCCTGCGAGTAAGATCCCGTAGCCTGAGGCTGCATGAACGACCCGGTAGCTTGAGGCTGCATGAAAGATTGAGAGTGCGTGGGCGCAGTCGCAGAAGCCGGAGGGGAATCGTCCCAGAGCAGGTCCCTGATCGCCTCGGGCACCGCAGGCTGTGAGGGAGCCGCAAGAGCGGACCCAGAGCCGCGCATCGCTGGGGGCACCAGTGAAACTGGGAGGGAAGACGGGACGTCCTTGCCCGCGAGCTTCCCTTGGATGAGATGCATAGCGACTGCGAAGCCGTCGCGCGTCAAGCGCCCGTCGTTGTTCAAGTCCGACAAATCCCTACGCAGATGTTCAGCTATGCCTGAAACTCAGATTTGGGACGTTGCTCACCAGACTTGAGCAAGCACGTCCTCGGGAAGCTTTGATTGAAGCATGAATGGGACCGCTACGTCACCCTCGATATAGCCACGCTTCGATGTGTCGAGAGTGTCGAATATCCGGTCCGCATTCACCTTCTCCTGCGGGGTGACGTCCCACTGAGGGGTAGCGCCCGTAGACTGCTGCTGGAGGAAGGGGAAGGCAGAACTCGACGTCGAGGGTGCTGCAGACCGCGCAGGTAAGGGTGGCGCTGTGGGTGTTGACATCATTTGGCCAGTCATTTGCGGTTGGATGGATGAGTATGTCTGGCCGGTCATCTGCGGTCGAATGGACGATAATGCTTGACCTGTGTACTGCGGCTGTACAGATCCACCAGGGAACCCTCCAGTGAGCGAAGGGCTGATATGTCCGCTGCCGCCTGTTGCTTGTGGGACGACGCCATTCGTGGCCTGGTCGTAAATGAAGTGGGGCAAGGACGCGGGTAGACTCTTTAACTGCCCGGACATTGAGGCTTGGATGAGGTACATGGCGATCGTGAAGTCTGTCGCGTCCAGAGAGCCGCGGTTCTTTGTGTCCGCAAGGTTCCTACCACCCACAGGTCAATATGATGAGCGCGCACGCGGACGTCGTGAGCTATACTGACCATATTTGCGACAGTTTGTCGACTGACAGCTTAGACTTGACGAACACATCCCGTGCCTTCTCGCCTGATCATGTAAGTTTAGTACATCAATTGTAGCGCTACAGAGGAAGGTTTCGAGTTGGGGGCGGGAACGTAGCATAGCATCCGTTCATTTGACGAGGAAAGCGTGCTGAAAGTGTCCTCGTCGAGGAGCAAGACCTTTGTACTCTCCGATCCTTGCTAGCTGCCAGCGGCAACGGCAGTGAGAGAGTCCCCCTTTGAATGCCGCGGCAGGTCCTCTGAGGGTCAGGACATGGGCCATGCTAGCGTGAATGGGACATGCCCTGGTCCTCCCAAAGGAAAGTATCTATGAACACCATGCTTGAACAGCTCTCCCGCGGTAACATCGCGTCTGTGTCGAGTGCAGTGCGGTGGGTGACAGCATCACCGAGAGCGCCTGACTCCAAAAAGGGAGCCAGGTTCTCTCGACGTTGCCGCCCTGGACAAAGGCCACTGGTCGAATGAACTGCGTGCAAGCAGCGTCTATCCCAGACCGCAATCCCCGTTGCAAACATAATTAATGGCGATGACGTACCGCTTAATAGTCCATTAACGGGGTGGCAGCCCAGGAACAGCTTCAAGAACTTCGCCTTGTCCTGAGGCGTAATGGGCGGGAAACCGGGTGGTGGCGACCTGGCGGGGGGAACGCCAGAGCTCGAGGGGGTTGCGACTGGTGGGAGGCCCTCAATGGTGGGTATAGGTCCAGCTGCGGGGAGAAACCGCTTGATTACAGGCACACGCGATCACGAGAGTCCGGGGCAGCTCACGTTTGCTGACAAGGGCCTCCGACAGCCTCTCGCCGCGCTGTGCATGCCCAAGGAGGCGGACAGCGATACCGACGCCCTTACGGGTCAGCACGCCGTTGTTGTCCTCGTCGGCGAGATTCCAGACTTCGGCGAGCACGGAGGGTGGCAGCTTAGAGCCGCTGAAGATCTTGACCGCGGCATCCCCGGTGACGACGCCTATCTTCTGCGCGTCCGCCTGGGTGAAGATGGTGTTGACGAGGGCGAGTTCTTGGGGTGTGGGGGTGAACTTCGACATGGCCGACGGTGGCCTGGGGGAAGGAGTTGCAGCGAAGGGAGACGCCAGATGAACGTCAGTGCCCAAGCCGTCGTGGGAATATCGAAAGAGGCGCGCGCTCCTCCGCCGGTCCGTATTTTGTCCCCATTCAGCCTGCGCAGTTCAGGGCGTTCCGTACACGGCCGACGGTGGTATGCACACTTCATGAGCACTCGAAAAAATCTCTATGCACTAGATATCTACAGCGGTCCCAATCGTAGACTGTGCCTGCTTCTCCTTCTCGCGCGCGAGTCGCCCCTTCCCCCGAGCCCGCTCGACCAGCAACCACATCTCCTCCGCTTCATCCCACAGACCCAACTCCTCGTCGTAGGCCTCCTCGAACCGCGCGACCTCTCGCGCAAACTCCGCCCCCGGATCGTCGCGTGCAAGGACGGAGCGAATTCCGGCCAAGAACGCGGCGAAGACGGAGATATTGTGCATCGCTAGCAGCCCATGTGCGGACATCTCATGCGTATGCAAGAGGTGGTGAACATATGCGCGCGTGACAGGCGGTTGTGCAGCGTTGGGCGAAGTAGGGCATGCCGCATCCTGCCACGCCTGGCAGTCGATCGTGCTATGCAGGAGACGCGCCGGGGGAGAACGAGGGGAGCAGGCGGCGCATTCGCAGACAGGTTGGCCCCCTTCCGATGGTGTGGCGGATTGCCCGTCGAGGAGAGAAGACGCAAGCCTGCCATGGTCGTGGATGTACGGAGAATCAAACAGATTGTGCCCAAGATCCAAGCGACCGCTCTTCCGTTTGCGCGGTGGTGCACAGTCAGACGGAGTTGGCACGGGGCCGTCTGGAATGGGGAAACGGAAGTCGAGTGCGATCCCCATGTCGGCAGCGCGCTGTGCCCAGAACGAATCCACAAGGTCGACGCCAATGTCGCGCACAAGGCGAAGCACTTCGTGCGGCGACGCGGGCGAGTTCAGAATGCGAGGTTTTCCCGACGGGAGGGCTTGCAGCGACGACTGTAGCAACCCTGCCAGAGTATTTGAGGACTCGGGTGAGGAGCGGTGTCGGTCGCTCACGCGGAGCAGCCCGCCGGCCAGATCCCCTTCGTCCCGTGCAGGTTGTGATTCTGCTTCGAGCGCGGCACGTAGGGGTAGCAAGTCGAAGACATAGCCCGCGACGCCGTCGTCAAGTGTGTTCAATGGAACGAGTTCGGCCGCATCTCTGCGTTCGACGGGATCCGTAAGACGCTCTGCGAACTCGGCGCGCGCGTCCGGAATCGCGCCCCCCGCTAGATGGAGCAGAACGTGTTGCGGCCGCGTGTTGGCATCGGGCGTGGATGAGACGGCGGGCACTTTGAGTATGTTTGAGAGCCACGCGATTGACCGCTCGATGCTTTTGGTGAGCCGTTTCTGGGAGTGTGGCGGCAGCGTGAACGGTGTGTCGGATAGCGCTACTACGATGTCGGGCTTGCACTTCTGCACGTATGATTTCCATGTAGATGCGGTGACCTGTTGCAGGGTTAGTCAGTCTGCGATGTCAGAGTTCAACGGGACGAATGACTCAAGACGATAGGTGCTGATTTCCTTGCGAGACGGAATCTCGCCACATAGGCATTTCTGTAAGCTTTCGCCCGATGGAGGGTGCTATCCATGTGTGGATAGCTGTGAGATATATGGTGCGACTCGGGTAACTCAAAGGTGGCTCGCGCGTATATGAGGAAGAGCCGGGCAATTGAAGTCACTCTTGGGCTTAGGTAGTAGTAGGCACACCATGCAGGAATGTACTTCATAGTCATAGATGATTATCCACATACCTTGCGTACTCCCCGGGTGCAATGCGCCGATACGAAGTCGTTCCCATTGGGTGGCATTTTTCTCCCATCCGACGGATCGCGGAGTGTCATAGTAAGGATATGCTTCTCCGGAGAATAGCCCAAGAATTTGTGTAGTGGATGGGGGCCATCGACGAGAGTTGGGATTGGAGGGCTTTTGTTGATGCTGGGAAATCATAGGTCCTGCGTTAGAGGGAATAGCGGGCAAATATAGTCTAGCACAGAAGGAGAAGGGAGTTATCTTACAAGGACTCGAAGGGGAGTTGTACGTGCTGAATGGCCTGAGAGATATACAGATGGTCGCGCGAGAGGTGAGGTACAATGCCGCGCGAGGTCGCGGTGAGCAGCGCTGGAGTCTCCGTTTGATAAGATCCTCCGCTGTCACCGCGTTCTATAGTCAAAATCCCGGTGCGCGGGGCAAACTTGTCTGGAGCGGGTTTCGCGAATGCAAAGAGGGGATGGGTAGCCATGGCAGAGCGCACACGTCGCGGTACATACAAAAGAGAGCTGCGGCAGGTGCGCGTGGGGAGCGCGCGGTAGATTGAGTTCAGTTTGTCAATTAGACGTGGTTGGCCGGATGTCCAGAGAAGTCGAAGAGGGCTCGCGAGGTCGTGGTCCGTGGAAGAGACGAAAAGTCAGAGCGCCCGCAGGTCCCCGCGCGCGTCGCGACCTGTCGCAGCATTGGACGCGCGTAGCGCAGGTACATGATCACCCGTATAGGCTGCCTTCTCCGTCCACCCGCAGTGCCTCGCGCACTACACATCTCAACTCTCTTCCTCCTCTCATAAGCGTGTTTTACGCAGGTGCTACGGCTCGCTTGCGTCTCCCTCTTGTTCGACTCGGAAACTAGCGCTAGCTCTAGGCTCACACTACACGTCCCTAACGAATTCTAACGAGATATAGCCTGCATATATACTCCCCACCGTCATGGCTCACGCGCGAGATGCACTTGTATGTCTAATTTAAGGCTCTCTCCGTGTGGCAGAGCTGAAGGGCGACGCCTTTCCATCTAGTGGGAGTCTGGTCATGACGAGTCCGTGGAGGTCAACCAGCGTGCTTTGATCGACAAAGTACTGGCCAGGTACTCTGGAGAGTTCACCGGTGAGTTGGCTACATCGTGACGACGGGTTGTCTCTGAAGGAACGTAGTCTTCCGAGAACTTCTGCAAAACTCGGACGATGCAAGTGCGACCGCTGTAGAGATTCACTTTGAAACGAAAGAGTACCTTGAGCGGAAGAATAGGACGGTGGACGAGGTACCGGAGCCTATTGCTACACTAGCGGAGGCCAAGCTTCCGGACTTGAAGACGGCATTGGTGGATTCTCTACGTTCCGGTAGTGCACACACATACGCTAACGCATATCTTCCAGGTGCACCAGTGGACATTCAAGAATAACGGTGTTGTCTTTAGGGACGAGGACTGGAGTCGTTTGAAGAAGATTGGTTCGCCCGTCTAGCTAGTACTCTCGCTGTATACATTGCCACTAACGCTGCTGCAACAGCCGAAGGCAATCCGGACGAGGAGAAGATTGGCGCGTTCGGCGTAGGTGCGTTAACGAATGTCCACTGCGCGCGCGTCAGCTGAACAGCATCCCGCAGGCTTCTACAGTCTTTTCTCGGTGACTGAGGAACCGTTCGTCACATCCGGGGGTAGGCGTTCTTTCTATTCATCGTCGACTCGCCGCTGACGCCTGAGGCTGTAGGCCAATGGATGGGATTCTATTGGAAGGACAAGAAGGACCAGGTCAGTGTCATTCGGCCGCACATCCCCTTAGCCCGTTGCGCTAAAACCTGATATTTGCAGCTCTTTGCTCGTCGAGGGAAGCTCCCCGAGTCTGCTGAGGACCCATGGACGTCATTTGAGATGGGTCTACGGGAACCCACACCTATCCCGCCTCCGTTTGATTTCACGCGGTTTCTGGCGTCCTCCATCACGTTCATGCGGCACCTCCTCGACGTCAGCGTATTCTTGGACGATAAGCGTCTGTCTCGTCTCACGAAGGCCCCGGGTGCACCGCAGGCGATGAGTATCCCGAAGGGTCTGAAGCCTTCGAGCCCGCTTAATACCATGCAAGTCAACGGCATCCAAACTACCCGTACGTATTCGCAGTACTTTCACAGATGTGTCAGCATGATTAACGTCCATGTACAGCCCTTTCAATAAGAGCGGAGGTCATGCAGTGGGTGTACATGGCGGGCACGGAGAAGCCGCAACCGAAGAAGGAGCCGCCAAAGCCAGCTGCGGGCGGTGGAGGCGGCGGTTTCTTCACTTCCCTCTTCTCGTCTCTCACAGGGTCTGCGAACGCGTCTCGCGCGGTCACACCTGCACCAGCACCGCCGCCTGTTCCCAAGGTTGACCCCTTGTCGGTCGTTGAAACCAACGTGATGCTGTCGATATTCGCGGCGGACATTGCGGTGAAGCTAGACCAGAAGATGATTGGTGAACTTCATCGGTCGACGAAGAAGAACCCGCCCACGAGAATGAAGTATGAGCTAATTTACGTATGTGAATGACGTTTCAGATTTGCAACGAATGCTCATAAGGAGAGATAGACCGGTAAAGCTGAGTATGATGCTAGCAAGAGTGAAGATGAGAAGCACGGCAGAACGACCGGCAGCGTGTTCCAGGGACTACGTGCTGACATCGATGGGTTCGTGACTTCCATACTACCCCGAGCGCATTCAACTCATGTTACCCTTGCTGCAGCATGGGTCAGGCCAAGGTGTTCATTGTGAGTTCTAACTTTTCTATGCACTACGGCAAAGTGTGTGCTGAACTGCCGTATGAAGGGTCACTCGACGGGCCAGACAACCGGCATAGGTGGCCACATGTCTGCTCGCTTCATCCCCACAGTCGAACGCGAGTCCATTGATTTGGTGTGAGTACCCACGCTCCTCGGTTCTGCAATCTCTCTCACACTCTCCAGGGATCGGAACGTCGCAGGTATGTTTAAAATCCAACTGCTTGGGCACGGACTAACAAAGTCGTAGTTTGGAACAAGGAGCTGCTCTACGTGGGCGGCTTCCTCGCGCGCTCGGCGTACGAGATAGAAATGGAGCATATCCAACAGGTTTGGAGTGCGGCTGCAGCTGCAGCTAGCCCCGGGACGGGCATAGATCCCGTACTGCAAGCGTCCTTGCGGGCTCGTGCTATACATGCACTGCGGTTCTTCACATTCCACCCTTCTACTCCCTCTAGCGTCGTGTCGGTCGCGCTTGAGGAGGCGTTTTTCTCCTGCATCACGAGTTCACGCTTCTCGATGATTTCCGGACACAAGAGCTTCCCAATCATATCCACAGCCGGCGTGCGCGACGCCGCAGAAGTGCGTTACCCCGACCCTACATTCTCTGGATTCGTCAAGGAGCTGCCGGTGGTTCCTGCCGATGTGCTGAAGGACGCGAAGCCGATGGTGGACGCGCTACGCACGCGGGGCATGATCAAAGACATCACTTTCGTCGACGTTTTGCAAGAACTGCGAAACCGGCCCCTTGGAGAGCCCGAGATGATTGCGTGCTTCAAGTGGTGGATCGACATGTACAACCAAAGCAGCGCGACGAACCTCGACTACGTCCGCACCCAGCTCGTCGGTGCGGCCGTGCTCTCTATCGAGGAGAAGGACAACCAAGCGGGACAAATTATTCCGCTTTCTGTGGTCGAGAGCTTTCTCAGCAGGAAGTCGGGTAGTGCAGGCGCGCTCATCCCTACGGACGGTCCGCTACCCCCGCATCTGCTCCCCGTCGCGGTCTCCCGCAATTTCGACTCGCAGGCGTTGGAGAGCGCTTTTGGCTGGCGCGAACTCACGATCGTGGAGTGGCTCAAGCACATTACCAGCCCCCCTGTACCCCACGAGGCGGAGCATCACATCGAACTGAGCGCGCCGTGGGCGGAGCGTGTCTTGCAAGTCGTTGCGCGCGCGTGGCCGTCGCTGCCCTCGGCGCATCGAGTCGAGGTTGCAACCATCCTGCGGGCACACTCGTGCGTCCCGACCTCAGCGGGGCTGAGGAAGCCTGCAGATGCGTACTTCCAGAGCGCGCACATCTTCAATGACCTGCCGGTCGTGACGCTCCCGTCCGGAGCGGTGGTCAAAGGGCCGCTGGAGAAGTTCTTGCAGGGGATCGGTGTGCGGAAGCATGTTGACTTGCAAATCATCTTTGACAGGTATTGTCTTCGCACTGTTGTGAAGTCGCCCAGGAAACTGACTTCGTTGCAGGATGATCAAGACGGGAGACTGGACAATCGCAGAACTGATCAAGTACTTGGTAGCCGTGCAGACTACCCTCACAGCTGAAGAGCTCGAACGGCTGCAGATGACTACAGCGTTCCTGCGGGAGCGAGTTGGGGACGAGAAGGTACCCCGGTACCGTGCAGGCGACTTGTACGAGCCGCTCGACGTGCTGAGGGAGCTGAAGCTCCCGGTTATTGACTGGGGAACGCACCCCAAATGGCGCAGTAACTCAGAAGAAGGTGTTGCACATCCACACTGCCCTCCTGCCCTGTGATCCGTATTCTGATGCACTTCGCAGCGAAATTCTTGTTCAAGCTTGGCTTGCGCCGGTATCCGCCCCTTCCTGACCTCATCGGGCTCGCGGCGAGTGGTGATGAGAAGGTCCGGTCTGCGGCGTTGAAGTACCTGCTCGACAACTATTCAACACGTTACGCCGATTACGACCCTAACGCCTTTTCGAACGTGCCGTTCATTCCTGCTGTGAAGGGCGGAAAGCCATGCATGGCAAAGCCTCACGAGGTGAACTATATGATTTATTCACTACGCATGTCAAGGCTGAGGCATTCCGTGCAGGTGTTCTCTGCGCCTGAATGGGCCGCGCTAGGTTTTATGGTGACCGAGCCATCGCTGAAAGGCGAAGCGCTCACGAATCTCAAGGTCCAAGAGCATCCACCAGGGCCCCGCCTCGTTAATCTTCTTAGGACCTCCCCACCACCCACTGAGGAAACTGCGAAGCTGTGGTTCGCAGCTCTCGCGGGCCGAGTGACATGTTCGTCCTCTGTGAACATGTGTCGCACCCTCGACTGATGCCTTTCTCCAGCATTCTCCAACACCGAGCTGAGGGCGCTGGGGCAGTTGGCCTTCGTGCCTGTCAAGGCCACTAACGGGGCGATCCGGCACTTGCCTCCGACGCAGTGTTACTTCAAGGGCGACTCGCAAGCTCAGTTCCACTCCAAGTTGTTCACCTTCGTCGACTTCGGGACCACTGCGAACGCTTTCCTCAGCGCATGCGGTGTCAAGCACGAGCCGTCCGTAGAGGAGGTGGCCAAGATCCTTCTGGATAACCCTCGACGGTTCTACGAGCTTGCCGAGGGCAGAGAGAAGTGAGGGAGGGTTCCTTTCTTGAGGATCTACGGTGCTGACTGTTGTCGTCGCAGCTATCTCACAGAGCTACGCAACATCGCGGTGAACATGCGGCTGGTGACATCAGGTACCATGGCGAGGTTGAAGCGCGCGGCGTTTCTGCTGGGCTCCCGCAGAGTCCGGAAAGAGAAGGCGGCGAGCGGCAAGAAGACAAGCGTGGAGCTCACCGCCGAGCTGGAGGAAGAGGACTGGGAGTATCAGCACGACCTGCTGACCCCCGACAAGGTTGTCATCGCGGACGACACGAACGCATATCAGCTTTTCGGTGATGTGATCTTCACTGCCCCCCAGGAAGACCTGCTGGAAGGTAAGACGTCGCGGTGGGATCTGCCCTGGGTGCCATGCTAACGGTCTCCGATACAGCGTTCTACCTGGAGCTGGGATGTAGGCGGTTGAGCGGCCTTATGCGCGAAGACTACCAAACAAGGAGCGAAGTCGTCGGATCCCGCAAAGCGGCAGAAACCCGTACCTTGATCCTGGAGCGCCTGCCGTTGTTCTTGCACGAGCACACGCACACGAAGACACGAGTGTCCCATTCTTGGCTGAACAACGAGAAGAACTTCGTGGTCAAGACGTTTGGCAAGCTGACCGTTACGAAGACGCTGCAGCTCGGCGACAAGCGCGCGTCGAAGAGTCAGGATGCGTCGGCAGTCGCGAGGCGGATAGGACGCGGGCCGATTGAGTTGTGGCTCGCTGGGCACGATACGGTCGACATGTATGAGTGCGTAGCTTTTCTCACAATTGGCTTCGTGACCGTGCTAATGACGATCGCGACTGAAGGGTATCGACCTCGATGTGTCGCCTTCTGTTCGACGCTCCGAAGGTTAACGACGCGTTGCTCTTCATGACCATCCTATCGACGGATTTGCGCGCGTTGCGGAGGAGGGGTTACAACGGTATGTTCCCGAACGTTGACTTCAGTCTCATGGTGTTAATGGTTTGGGCAGTGGATCGTATCCTGCGACAGCAGAAGGCCGACAGGCAAGCTGCAGAGGAAGCTGTGAAGGCCAAGCAGGCAGCCATGCTTGCAAGCCAAGGCGTGGCCAGTGCTTCCTCCGACACACTTGTTTCCGATGCGCCCAAGCCTAACGGGACACGTCCCGGGTCGCCACTGTTCAACGAGAAAGAGTCTGCCCCGTTGCCGCCGATTCCTGCTGGAGCTGCGTCCGCAATGTCAGACGAGTTGACGAAGCAGCCCTCGCGTCCTATGAGCATGGTCCGACAGTCGCTGGACGCTGTGAAGCGCCGGCTTCAGAAGGAGAATGGGGGTCCTAGTAATGCGCCTCTGGGACCTTCGCAGGAAGAAGACACGCCAAGCGACCAGCTGCCGCTACTCCCACCCCGTCCGAACCGCCCTCTGACTCCTCAACCGCACGCGACGCCGCGCAGTAGTATCTGTGAGTACTTACCCTGACTTGGAAAGTGCACAGACATTGAAGCCTTCATATAGCATCGAACATCGACCTAGCGATCAAGGCATGCAAGGAGGAACGAGGCGAAATGCTCAAGAATCGGCGCCAGATGCAAATGGTGAAGGAGTCGCTGAACGAAGGTTACTGTGATATATCCGGACACCCTGCGGACATGACTTTGATTGGTAGAGTGCCATCCTTGTTTTGGTCAACGAGCTGAGCTGACGGTGAGTTCAGGCGATATGGGTGGGATCAAGATCTTTGTGGCAAAAGGTAAGCGAATGTCTAAATCTACCACTATCACTATAGTACCGGTATTGACCGCTGTCCTGAAGACGTCCCCGATGGCAAGTCACTCATGCGAGACAAGAGCGACGCGCTTGCTCGTTTCATATACACCATTCGCCCTCTGCAAGAGGTTTACACTCTGCCACCGACCAGTCTCCATATATTCTACGATCGCGCGGGCGACACAATCGCGTTCAACCGCAACGCCAGTCTTTTCCTGAATCTGCGTTTCTTCGAGCAGTGGCGTAAGTGTAAACCTCCCTGGGTCCAGTGTATATCCACTCACGTTCATATACAGACGACGCCGAGGTCGGCTCTGGACAGCTGACGAATGCATATATCTCTTGGTGCGTGTTCTGTCTGACCCCCGGGATGCTCCTGCTCACACAAGACGTGCCGCCATTAGGTACTTTACGCTTGCCCACGAGATCGCCCACAACTTGGTTCAGGCGCACAACTCGGAGCATGAATTCTACTTCTCGTCTATCTGCGAACAATACCTCCCTGCTTTCATGAAGCTCATCGCCGGCAAGTAGACTCATCAAGTTACCGGACCATGTAGACGGACGTTTGGATTGTACCATACATACCCTGCTTTGTAGTATATACGCTATTCTGCTTTGGCCATACGCTTCGCCCAGCTATCCTCATATTCAACCCACTCCATTTGTATTGCCGCGAACGTAGACTGACAAACAACAGTCTGCAAGAAGGGATCAATTGCAAGTACTTCCGCGAAGCGCCCATCTAATGTCTGATCGGCACGTGACCAATGTTCGAGACGCGTTCAAAAACGCGGGCACGCGGCACTGGCCACCCAACTCAACTCACGACCACCAACGCGTTTCGGGCTCTCCCTCTCCACGACATCTCTGTTGTAAAACCCACCACCTCTCTTCCTACTTCACTCGGAATGGACCAGATCATGTCGTCGCTCGCCCCTCGTACTGGCGCGTCCAACAAGCCCGCCGCGGGAGGCTCTGGGGCAGCGTCGGGAGGCAGCGTCACGAAACGGTACGTGGCTAACCGCGAAGAGACCGTACATTCCCTCTGAGCTTGCTTGTGTAGCCTGCAGAGTGAGTTGATGACCCTCATGGTGAGTGCCACTCGTCTTGTCGATATTCTCCGTCTGACTGAGAGTCCAGATGTCTGCGTCTCCCGGTATCGTGAGTGCCTAGCTGTGGCTAAGACGCGTCATACACCTAACACAACTCGTAGTCTGCATTCCCGAGGTCGGACGCGAACCTGTATGACTGGGTTGGGACGATTGATGGTCCTGCCGGCACGGTGAGTGGCACTATCTGTCCGTGGAATACATTCATGATTTATGGCATGACACCCGGCGCAGATATACTCGGGCCTAAAGTTCAAGATCTCCATATCGTTCCCGCCAACGTACCCAATGTCTCCACCGACCATTAAGTTTGATTCGGCGTGCTACCACCCGAATGTTGACCTCGTAGGGGGCGGAATCTGCCTTGACATCCTGCAGGTAGGAAACCCTGTCCGACGTAGTGGCTAAAAACCTATGTTGACATGCCACCTACAGGACAAATGGTCGGCTGTTTACAGCGTACAGACAATCCTGCTGTCGCTGCAATCACTACTGGGAGGTACGTGCACACGCAGGTTCTTATTCCCTTCACCTTTTTGAACATGATCTGCGCAGAGCCGAACAACGCGTCTCCGCTCAACCCGGACGCGGCTGCCATCTGGGATTCGCCTGACCGTACGTCCATAACGTTCTACACATTGTCCTTCCTCGAGGTGGCTCACTCCGGACCGCTGTAGAGTTCAAGACACAGCTTATGAAACATTACCGCCCTATCGTCGACGACGCCGAGTAGTCGCACACGGGTGACAGTTGTTCACATCTATGTCCCTTCCTCCATGTATCTCATACTGTCGTATCATCGCATGTTTCGCTATCACTGTGCTGGACTATGCAACCTGGATCCTGTCTCCTTTCATGTCCAAGCTCTTGTATATAGCTCCAATCTGCCTGGGTCTGCGTATGTGAGCGCTTTCCTCGGTCGCTCCCAGGGTCGACGCGTCCATCCCACATTTACGGCTCATCTTCGTGGCGTCACTTAACATGTCCTCCAGCAGGTCTAAGTATGGTCGCGCGTGTGCAGCGCGCGCATCTACAAATACCGAGGACGTACTCGGCTATCTAGGAACATACCCGTGATGGAAGGAGCTGGGCGCGGTGCTGGAGAGCGCGGTCGACGATCGTCGCCACGCATTGCTCTTCTCTGCATCGCACCATCACCTCCTCCCCGGTCGACGTGTCTGTTCACCTTCTCAACCCCTTCTGAATCTCCTTGGTGAGTACTTCAGTCTCTATGCTTTCGAGCGACTCCGCCGCCACGAGCTACGGTCGCGTGGCTACGCTACCAAGAGCCCTTTTATGGGCGCCTACCTAAGGAACGCGATCAATTCGTTTGGCGATCGGTGCGGTCGCCAGCCCGACGCCCCTCCTCGTCTAGCCTGCTCTGGTCGGCGCAGCAGCTGCACCAGGTTGCTTTACGCCCCCTTGTCGTCGCCCGCTCGCGGTTCTCGTTGCTCGTCGTCCCTTCTCCTCCTCTCTTCAACTTGCTTATATTCCCGCCCAGTTGATCTGCAGGCGGACCAGGCTCGGTTGACCCGACTACTTAGTGCTATATCGCTCGCGTTCCCTCTGCAAGACCTCTTTGCGACCCGCGCAGCTTGTATCGCACGACTTTCATTCCTCCTTTGGCCGTAGATTTGGTGTCTGGTGCACATTGTATGTCCATTCTTCGTTTGCTTGGACCGTTCGCAAAAGCTGATACGCTTGGTCGCGTGCAGCTGCGTCGCCTGCCCTATATACATACCCTTCACTCGCCCATCCCACACGCTACACGCTACACGCACCCATCCACGACACACCTCTCGGCCAGCAAGCACCATGGTCCGCCGCTCGCCACCTACCCCCCTCCGCTTGCACAACGGCCCGCTGCCCGCGCGCGGCCAGCCGCGGCACACACTCCCCTCGCTCCCGTGCCCCGCCTTCTGCGGGCCCGTCCCCACCTCATCCACCACCGCCCCTGGGCCCGTCCCGCGCGCGCGCATGGTGCACACCGAGCTGCCGCAGCTGTACATCCCGGACCTCGCGCTGCCCGGCTTACCTGGGGTGTTCTCCGCCGCGCTGGACACGGGGAGCATGCCGGGCTCGCCGACGTCCGCAGGGTCGTCGGTGTCGAGCTTGAGCGGGGGCGGGGCGAGGAAGAGGAGCAGGGAGTTTGTGAGGGGCCCGTGGGACCACTCGGGCGCGATTCGGGTGCCGTTTGATGTTAGCACGGTGTTGGCGCCGCTGAGGCCGGCGGCCATTAACGTGCGGTGAATTTGGAGGGGTGGATTGGGTTGGAGGTTGGGGTAAGGGAGTTTTGGAGGTTGCGTTGGAGAAGATTTGCTTTACTATGCATGTCAGCGAGCAATGAAATTACCGCGTTCCTTTACGTCTTGGGTGGCTTGAGTGGCTATTGTGATTGAAGATGCACACACGGAGGGTGATATCAGACCGTCGTTCGATTTCCCTGAAGAACATGTCTATGGTACAGCCCAAGTGAGGGGTACAACAGCGAGAACGAGTGCGAACAAAGCAAAAGATTGAGCCACACGGGGAGATAGATGGATGTGGCGTGCGGCGTGCGTGCGGTAGACCTTCCCGGACTAGATGGATAGATACAACCGCTACTTCTTGCCAGACCTGAAGAACAGTCAGATGCTGGGATGGCAGATGCACTGGGAGAAGACTCACTTCTTGATGCCGCCACCCGGAGCTCCGCCTGCATGGGCGTGCGAGGGTCAGTACCACCGAGCCACAGCACAACATCGTACGAGACGGTCTCACCCTTGGTAGCTGGGAGGGGGTCAGCGAGACGGAACGAGGGTCTATGAGGAGTGGATCGCACCTTTGTCGCGCGCCGCCTTCAGAGCGGCCTCCTCTGCCTTCTTCCTCGCCTGGAAGGCGACGTCCTCCTCGTCCAGCTCCTTCTTGTCCTTCTTTGCTGCCTGCAGTACGTGTCAGTAACGCAGCCCTTGGGCGGATGTCATGAAGCTGACCTTGAGAGGCTTCAGCTTTCCGCCCTGTCTGCTAGCCATGATCGTTGTAGAGATGCGAGTATGCAGGCGTCTATACACAGCCGGTGCGGCGCGAAAACCATGCGGAAAAGCGCTGTCGAACTCGAGCCGGGCCGGGCTCGAACGCGCGGCTCGCTTCCCGGCGTTAGCTGAAGCCGCGCATCCTTTCCCACATCGGCGGCTTCACGAAATCGAGAGCCCTCGGAAGCCGTCGGAGAGCATGCGGCGTGGCGGCGAGATGGTGGCCAATCGGCGAATTTGTAAGTTAGATAGAGCACGCTGGCACGACGCAAGGCAAAAGGTTTCGTAACCGGCTCGCGCATGCCAAGGTCGAGGGAGGCCAAGGACCCCGCGGCAAGGAGATATCCGCGTCTGAATACTTTCGAGGATTGGCGGAGAAAGGATCCGAAGGAGGTGTTTCAGCGCGTGTCACCCGACCCGGTGACCAGGAACGGAAAGGCTGTCGGTAACGGCCGGCACGGGTGATCCGAACGGAGGCACAAGGAAAAAGATCTGGCTGACGACGGCGACGGTCGACGACGCGGCCGTAGCTCGACGCCGAGGACAGCAGAGGACCTTCCGGAGAGGGCTGTCACAGCTCCGAGACTGCCATAACTGACAGCGGCTGGCCGGCGTACTGGTGGAGTGGGCGTGCTGGCGTCTGTGTGGGGCAGTGGCGGGTGGCGGTGAGGAGGCGGGGGAGGAGCCAGGAAAGGCAGGGGCGAACGATCGGTGTTGTTGCAAGTGTCACCCGGGCAGCCGCCCGGCCGAGAACTCTTCCCAGAATTCCATCCGACCGCATGCGACTTTGACTTTCCCCATCTTTTATTATTATTCCTAACTTATTCGCCCTCCCACACGGCCTGCTCAGCCAGCCACACGCCGCCCTCCTTCTCCTTCTCTCCGTCGTTCATCTGCAGGCGCACCCCCAGGCTCTCCCCGCGGGATTCCTCCGAGCTCTCTCCTTCCATACCCTCAGCTCCGCGCTGAGCCCACCTTCGTTTACCCCACCCTCGTTCTTGTGGCCTGACCCGTGCATGCTCTGAAACATACCCGCCTGGAGCAACTCACCATGCAGCACTTCCTCAGTCTCCTCCTCGCAGTTTCCCTGCTCACCACAACTTATGCTGCTACGGCGGACGAATGGCGGAAGCGTTCAATATACCAGTAAGTCGCGTCGTACCGTATTCGAGGTGGACAGCGGTGAACGTTTCTACAGGATCATCACCGATCGCTATGCGCTCCCGGAAGGTGCGGACCTCACTGCGTGTGATCCCGCCAAGCAGGCGTTCTGTGGCGGCACTTGGAACACCATCAAGAACAACCTGGACTACATTCAGGACGCGGGGTTCACTGCCAGTACGTCCTGACGGACTTCGCATATATTACCCCGTCGAATGTGTACCCTTGCCCCCCGTAGTCTGGATCAGCCCGGTCTCCCAGAACTACGAAGGCCCTCGCACGCCCTATGGTGACCCTTACCACGGATACTGGATTTCCGACGCGTCGAAGCTTAACTCTCGCTTTGGAACCGCGGACGACCTGAAGGCGCTCTCGGACGAGCTGCATGCTCGCGGGATGTATGCGCGTATTTTCATTCGTAGCGGACGCGTAACTGACGTGCCAACAGGTTCCTCATGGTCGACGTCGTCGTGAACAATGTCATGGCCTTGGATACCGACCCCGACCTGTCGACGTACATGTTCCAGGACAAGGTTCGTCCAGCCACCTTCCACTCATGACAGGAGTTTGATTGAGTCTGCGGCGCAACAGTCGCAATACCACTCGTACTGCCCGATCCAATGGGGCAATACCACCAGTGAACAGAATTGCTGGCTTGGCGACACCAAGGTGACCCTCCCCGATGTGAACACCCAGGACCCGACGGTTGTCACTGCCTACACTGCATGGATCAAGGCTCTCGTTCAACAGTTCAACATCGACGGTCTGCGTATCGATGGTAAGTCCCCGTCGTCTAATTTTGGAGGAGGTCATGAGCCCATACTAAATCCACCGTTTCTTTCCTCGTGCAGCGGCGAAGTGAGTTCCCGTGTCACCCACATCCAGGCATATGGCGCAGTTTTAACCTTTTGATTCAGGCACGTGAACATGGACTTCTGGCCGAAGTTCTGCGAGGCTGCCGGCGTGTACTGCATCGGCGAGGTCTTCGATGCTGATGCTGGGTAAGCATGTGTCCCACTGTTGACTTGGCGACGCTCTCACCATCGAACGAACAGTCAAGCCCTCCAGTGGCAGGGCGAGCAGGCGCTTGATGCGATCCTGAACTACCCGATGTACAACGCGCTGGTTCAAGCATTCACCATTCCTGGCCCGCAGAACATGAGCGCTGTCACGGACATGATTGCGCAGATCAAGCAGAAGTCTTCGGTACGGCGTTCCATTCCACTTAGAGCGCCCCGCGGATTTAATGCTGTCCCGTAGGACCCGACTTTGCTCGGCAACTTCCTTGAGGACCAAGATGTTCCCCGGTGGGCTAGCCTCTCGGTTGACCCCCAGAGTCTCTGGAACGCGATGATCTTCAACTTCATGTCTGACGGGTGAGTTGCGACGGCGACTGACCGGGAGACTATTTCATGTTTATCTGACACGGCTTCGAAGTATCCCGATCGTTTACTACGGACAGGAGCAGGGCTTCAACGGTAACGCCGATCCCGTAAGCTCTTATATGTGTCAAGGCAGACGTATTCTAACCTGAGGTGTGAATGTAGATGAACCGTGAGCCCCTGTGGCCATCCAACTACGCGAACACTACTACCCTACAGCTTGTCACCAAGCTGAACACGGTAAGTACAATTCCGCGTTCTCTATCGGGCGCAACTGACCCTCGTTGTTTTAGCTGCGCAACTTCCTGATCAACAGCACAACGGACTGGGTCACCAACCAGGTGCAGGTGCTCAGCCAGACCAACGACGGCATCGCGTTCATGAAGGGCGATGTCATTACCGTTTTGACCAACATCGGTTCCCCGGTAAGGATCCCTAGTTGTTTCAACGGTATATGCTTGGTATTTACACGTTGAACTTGCCACAGCCCCAGAACGTCAGCATTTCCGCGCATACGCCGTACGACAACAGCGTTTCTACCACGGAGTGAGTGCATATAACCACCTTGCACAACTACGACTGCTGACCCTGCTTCCCTTCAGCATCCTTACCTGTAGGCAGTACGCCGTTGGCAGTAACGGCAGCATTGAGGTCGAGTACTCCAAGGGCGGTGTCCCCGTCATCCTCGTCCCTGACACTAAACTCGACAACTCCGGGCTCTGCGGGCACGTCCAGGCCTCGGTCGTCTCCCAGAAGGGCGCCCAGGGCACCGTCAACGGCGACGCCAACGGCGCGCTCAGCACCACCCCGCTCGCGTTCGCCGTCGGGCTCGTCACATTTGCCGCGGCCCTCCTCACGGCGGCGCTATGAGCTCCCTCAGCCGTCCGCACCACTATCCCCCATTCTCACGTGTCACGCCCGCACGCGCCTCACGATCCCCGCACGCCCCCCGCTCCGACGCAACGCGACACTATCCCTCCCTTCTTTTCTTCGGGTCTTACTATTCTCCCTTTCTGTCTGGATTCTGGATGCCCGCTGCCCGCACGCCCGGGCGGCGTGGCCTAATACCTCCCACGGCTCCCCCTCCCCGGCTCGGATGGGGAGGGGGCCGCTTCGTGTCTGTACTACTCCGCGGCTGGCCTTTGTGTGGCTGCGGTCTTGGATTTTGGTGTAGTTTTTCGTGTGTTTCGTGTAGGGCGGAGTTTGGATGGTTGAACTTAATGGTGTACGAGTACAAGAACACACGCAGGTTCTCGCGCGCGAGCCTCCTTCGAGCAAGTGTGCATTGCGGACCAGGTAGCGTTGATATCGGCGTTTGGGCCGTAAGTCCGTCAGGTTAGTACCCCAGAAGTCGAGCGACACATCGCAATGGTCGTAACTTCCCAGCCTCACGGCGATCCATGCCCTCGTCCGACGTCCACCTCAATATTGTCTCCAGCGATATTGAATTATGGGTCCATGTGTGGAGCGGCCTCCCGCTCTGGCGGGCGATCGGGCTTTTCGCCAGAGACATTCGGCTGAGGTTATTTTGGCGTCCTCTTGTACATGCATCGAAGGGCAGGTGCGGCGAGACATGGGCGCGAATGATCGGCAATCATGCATCTGCAGAGTTTATGGAATGGTTGGATAGGCGAACCGCCGGTACGTACAACTTTATTTGGGGACGTCATGATGCTGCTGGTCTGAGACGTGGACGGAATGTAGGTACACTGAGCCTCTACGGTGGTGTCCAGCGACCGAGGAAGTTTGAGCTGACCAGCATAGACACCGTTGGCATACTAGACACACCTTTGAAGTTCGTGCGAGGATGCGCCCACCGCTGCAGTGTTTGCAGACGTGCAAAGCGCGTCGCGTACCGTGCGTAATTAAGCATCGTCAGTGAAGCATGGCCGCTTCTTGAGTACATGATCGCAGCGTGCGCTGAGCGCTCCGTTCACCAAGTGGACCAATGTCTCGCCGCCACCAAGCATCGATGCGCCCCCGCGCCCCAACGTTCCGCCGGCCGCAATCCCCGCGCTGCTCCGCGCCGCCTCCCTTTGCAGGTGAAGAGAGAGTCCAGAATGCTTGCGCGCAGGTCTCGGCGCGGGCGGTGTGATACGCGCGGCTACGCGACGTCCAGAGCTTGAAGCCTAAAGGTGGTTTCAGCGCGCCGTGTACGTACTCCATAATGGAACAGAGTCATCGACGGCAGGGTCGAGGAGGCATGCAGGAAGGTGAGGGCGAGGGCAGGCCGCCAGCGGGGATGCACGGGCCCTCGACAAAGGTATAAGAGGGCCCACCTGCCGAGCGAGTTGCTCAGCAGTCAACGACTCGTCTTAGCCCTCCAGCTCTCACCGCAGTCCTCACTCGCCCACTAAACCCACCCACCTCTCCTCTTCTCTCTTCACGCATTCCAAGATGTTCGCCCGTGTCGCCGCCATTGCCCTCGCGCTCCCACTCCTTGCTGCCGCCCAGAACTGCAACACCGGCCCCATCCAGTGCTGCAACAGCGTTGAGAGCGTAAGTGGTGTCCATGCGGCTTCGTTACATGCTCATTTGCTGACACGCACGCATCTGCAGTCCAGCTCCGCTGCGGGCTCTGCGCTTCTGTCGCTCCTTGGTGTCGCGCTCGGCGACATCACCGGGCAGATCGGCCTGCAGTGCTCGCCCCTCTCCGTCGTCGGCGTCGGCTCGGAGGCGTGCGGCGCGCACCCCGTGTGCTGCCAGAACAACAACGTCGTAAGTTCCGTCCTGCTCCCATCTAGGAAATGGTTGTTGATGGTCTGTGCAGGGCGGTCTCATCTCCGTTGGATGCATCCCCGTCGAGCTATAAACGGTTTCCGTGGTGGATTGGTGTCGCGGAGTAGGGGTGGTGGTAGGGTGTGGGAAGGGGAGTCTCGTAGGGCTTGGATAATGTTTGGTGATGAATCGATCTATGTTTGAGCCTCACGTCCGGTGTGAAATACTGTGAGTGGCTAATGCTCTGAGGGTAAGTTCCATGTAGACAGGAAATCCGCATCCCTTGCCTTAAAAACAAGGGAAGCTGTCGGCATCGTGATGCTTGGACAACGAAGTACCCGGTGTTTCGTCGTAATAAGAGCTAGAAAAAGTTGTCAAGTACCTGCGTTGTGATGATTTACACGATGAGTGGGATGTCAGGGCAGCGGACGTTCCGAGGCATAGGCGTCGTCGGTGTTTTTGTCGTACTCGTCGTGGTCACGATTGGAGATCATCCTTTATTAACCTGACCCACGGGTGGAACCAAGTCTGTTCATCGTCGCCTTGGTGCATAGCTGATGAATCAAATCTGTAGTAGCAGGCGATTGAATAAGAATGCTGCCACTCGGAGCGCTGAGTACTTACTGAGACTGTTCGGAAGCGAAGAGGTGCGTATGTAGAGGCGCGCGGACGAGTACAATGGCCACAAACAACACCAAACTCCTGTGCCACCGATCGTACGGCCAACGTACGGCGTCTGTTCTCTCCGGCGCTGCTTAACCTTTCACTAGACCTGGGACCATGACCGGCGAGCCTAACCTTCGACCTCACTCAAAGCCCGCGCTTTCTTGCTATATTTTGGCTATGCCGTGCATACACAAATCTGTGACAGTTACGCGTGATGGCGCAACCAGAGCCAGGTTTTAACCAGTCGTAGCTCAAGCTGCCAGCCTGAGTGAACCCCGGGGCCAGCGGCGGACCGGCGGGACCCTGGCCCACAACGAGAACACCTGCCACTCTGCTCGCCCCGTTTGCCATCAAAATATTATGCACGTGTATAAGCCATACATTGTCCTTAGTGCGGCTTTTTGACTAGAGGTAACAGGGTCTGAGACTGACTCAAAGGTACGCTTTCGCACAATAGGACGCCCAACTTGAATGCGCCACTCGCCCGCAGGGATCCGTCCTTCAGCCACGCCTATGAGATAATGCTATGTAGGCCACGCCAGTCTTTGTTATCTCTGGCATTCCATGACGGGCTGCGGGTGGCGCCTCGCATTGCTAGACAAAGAGAGGGTCAGTGCGTCAATGAGTGGCTCAATGACACGCGTTGCGCTGACGCTTGGTTAGACCAATCCGCATAGCCCTGGCGGTGTATCTGAAGTGTCGAGGCGAGCTGCGGCAACCCCCACCGACTACATATACCCGCAATGTTTGGAGTGGCTAGAACATCGTTCGCAACATACCCCCCGCTCCATCTGCAATCGCCCGGCATCATGCGTACCCGCAACCGAACGTACTCTATCATCGAGACTCGTGAATCACTGAAGGCACGCTCCCCGTTAGCGGACAAGAGCACTCAGGTCCGCGAAATTTGTCTGTACGACTACCACGCTACGGGAATGCCGGGCTACGCTCCCTCCTCCGTGATCAACCCCCTTGCAAGCCAGTATGTGGAGCGGCTGGAACAACTGTGTGCTGCACAAGACCAGGATGCCTTCCAGATACAAGGAGCATTGAGGTGCGTGGCGCGTTGCACTGTTCCGACCTTGTAATCCTACAACGTAGAGCTGACGCGGTCCGAATACAGGTGGCTATCTGGTACGGAAACGCAAGGCCGACCATGTGAAGAAGGCGCGCTCCACTTCCTCGACCCCATCATCAACCGCAAAATCGATATCGAGGCCGAGTTACGCACGATCGAGGACTACCCGCCCACCACGCACGAAGCGCTCAGCTGCTTAGCGCACTCGATCGCCGCGTACATATACTTCAGGAAGTACATGGCGAGTGCGGAAGAGCTCCGTGCGGTCGTGGATGACTCTCGGATCCGCTTCCCGCGCGGCCAGTACCAGACGCGTGTCGACGACCAGTGGGAGAACATGTCGCACGCCGCGCGCCATGCCACCCACGCCGCGGCCGGCGGTTTCGTCAGCCCTGCGGTGCTCATGGTGGGCTTCGCGCTCAAGACGCTTGTAGAGCATGTGTCCGTCGACATGTCGCTCAGCCTGCAGGATTTGAAGCAATACAGGCCCCTCTGGCGTGCGATTGAGCGGTGGACCCGAGAGCTGTTCGACGTGAAATCGCGAGGGCCCGGGAAGCAACCTCAGGCGCCGCCGCCGTCAAACCAGTGCAGCGCGGCTAACTGCGCTGCTGTGAACGTATGCCGCCAGTCAGGACCGAGGCCGCGCAGTTGCAAGTGTAGCGTGGAGGTGGCGCCGCGGTACTGCAGCAAAGAGTGCCAGGACCAGGTGCGTCCAAGCGTTCAAAAATATTTTGTGGAGTGTCGCATGCTGACTGCTTGTTTTCAGGACTGGACCAGGCATCAGGCAACTTGCATGAGCGGCGGCGTTTTCACGCCACCGGCAATTATCATGGCGCGGCACGAGAGGGTTTACGATGACCTGATTGTGATGTCGGCGTTGGGGAATCCCATTGTGCGAGTTGAAGTGATGGAGGATGATGAAAACAGGGAGGATCCAATGAATGGAGAGGTTCTGGTCGTATTCGAGCTTCCCTGCCCTTTCGGTACGCCCGGTAAGGAGGTCCTGTACGCTCTGAAGCACTACGAGTGACATGCGCTCTCCACCACTGGCATGTAATATCGATTTGATACGCTTACTGTTGTTTATATGTAAAGCGACGCCTTGATACACCAGGTGGATAGGCCCCCTTCCCGCCGCCGGTAGTTCGTCACGGCACCAGTCCGTGCGCTATAATCGCGAAGGCACTGGTACTAGTACTACTAGTACGGAGCTGCTTACAACCATTCAGATATACATTCATAGTAGGATTCCGAATGCCCGAAACGTAGTGGCAGTTACTGTGACCAGTACTAGTACACGAGAAACAAAGCTGGATGCGGTAGATCTGTGACGAAGATGTACGGGCCGATGTCAACTAGTACTAGAAACTAGTTGTAGAATAGATCCTCGAGGGTGGCCTTTGCCTCATCGTACTCGTAATCCTGTAGGTATTCTTTGTCGTGAAGCGTGCTGAGCGTTTCCAAGACATAGTCCTGGCAGTTCCAGGTGACTATGTCGTGTCGGATAGGCTGCTGCGCTATGGTCTGCTTGACCTCCCGGATGGTCCCCTCGCCGTCGATCATGGCGACGAAGACCAGCCGCTTGAGACGAATGGTGTTCGCGGGGTCTACCTCGCTGATGTCGAGCTCGAGCCTCCCTTCTGCGTTCTCGTTGGCTTGGTAGACGAAGTGGTGGAAGTCGTCGTCGCCACCATCTACAACGCGCAGGTGAATGGCCCAGTGAGCCAGCTTCTTGTCCGACTCTTCGTAAATGGCGACGGACAGCTCGGCGGATTGAGGCATCTATGCATGGAGATAGGCATCATCAGCTCATCGCGCTAGCGGCTTGCCCAACGAGAATACGCTCACGATTCGAGTATTATAGGTTTGCGCTGAGACTCGAGGGAAAATGCACTGGTGGCGGTATCAAGGCGTAGAAGAGGCTCGGCGGGGTTGTTGTCGTCGTGTGCTGGTCGGCGCCGTATTTATAGTGTTTGGGTACGGCCATCCCTCTCCTAAGGGTCTTCACGGGCATGAGTCTTGAGAAAAATTTATCACTCCGCATAGGTCGTACTGCCCAGGAGCGGGCGAAGGGCGGAGCCTTGAAATCACCGCCGAAGCCTCGGCGGTGGTTCATCACCACATCGTACCCGCTGGGTCAGGGTCATCTCCTGCCAAAACAACCCTTTCGTAGCCCACACCTTGTGCCCGTTGAAGGGAAGTACGTACTGGCTACTATCTTTCTACATTTCAGGCAGGTGAAGTTGCGCCGGCGAGTTGTTCTCCGGATGTTCTGGCCTCTAGGTAACCGCCCTTGCGGCGTTTGTGCTGCCACTCACATCTAGATGACTTCCGAAACCTCCTTTTGTGCAGGTGCTTCATGAGTCAGTACACACATATCCGGGAGATCTGGTAATGATTCCAAACCGTTTGACATTTGCGGCTAGTCTGTCGCGGTTGTAAAATCCATCACGGACGTTATAGGGACATGCTGTATGTGGGTTCCGCATACAGCGTGTTTTGCGGAGGCGGCCGTGCCAGCTCCTTCGTGATCATCAGCATTGCCATATTCAAGAAGCTTGCTCGCAGAGACTCGACTCACCCGCATCGGGACCTGGCCGTCGAAGAATATATTCAGATCCGGACCACGGAGGGACGACAAACACTGAACGAATGGGGATGGGGCGTAACACAAGGACAAGTGGTCACTCCGATCTAGATGTGGCGCAGAAACGGTCAGAATCGCAGAACTCGTATTCGCCGCGTCATGCTACATCAGTAAAGTCTAGAGGCTTCTATGTATCGGTCCAACACGACCTCCTGGTCGTACCCCAAGATGCAGGGCGGCAGGTGATCCCACCAGTCGCCCGTATCTGTAACCGAACGAGTATTCATCGCCTTTAAGTACTCCCAATGTTCGGGATAAAATCCGCTCATTTCCCAGTCGATGATACCAGTCAGCTCCGGGTCGTCTCCGTCGGTTATCATCACATTCCGTGGATGGAAGTCGCCATGGGTAAACAAGATGCGGTGGTCTTCCCGTAGCATCGAGCGCAGCCAGCTCTTGTAGCTTGTCGCCACTCGTGGGGATGAGTCATGCATGAGGTAATCGTTGAAAGCGGCTTCAGAGTAGATGGGCGACGGGCTGACTCGTATGGCGTTGCGAGCATCCTTGCATAGGCGGCGGCCAACGGGGGCCCCAAAAGGCTCTCCGGGAGGAAGTTCAACTCGTCGCAGAGCCAGGAGATTCGCATCTAGTATCCCTCGAATCTTTCCTTTCGCCTCCGAAGACAGCGATGACCAGCGTGCCTCCAAGGTGGTGCCAGGAATCAGAGTCATGAACATGAAGGCGGTAGCCCCAACGGTGACCAAACCCAAGGCACGCGGTGCAGGGATGGCGGGGATGCGCTCTTCCAGATACCGCATAACGTCGTGCTCGTCGTAGTCGAGGGAGCGGGTGAGCTTCACAGCGACATCAGGGCTAATCTGGATCACGGCACGGACGCCGCTTTCCCAGACCATCCTGCCCGAGAAAACGCGTGAGACGACCAGCGAGGAGACATCTGTGGGATGTCCGTCGATGATCCCAAGCAGATCGACGACCGCCGGAGAGAATGGGCGCACGATAACGTGGGGGAGTGGACAAGAGAAGGGGGTGCGAATTGGTAGCGGTCCATGATCGAGAAACGGTCTCTCTGGGAGGGCGTTTGGTAGCTGTAGTACTGTCATGAGCCGCCGCACCGCTCCCGATGGCCGAACCACTTTAGGTGGCGGCGGAGACGGTGGCGGTTCATTCAGGCGTTGCTCTGTCCAACATGTTTATCGTCAATGTTGGATTCCTAGCAGTAGAATGACATCAGGTACTCACGCCTCTCCTGTTGCCGTACCACACGCTCAGGTACCGCTTGGCGGTACTTAGCATAGGTCGAGTGCAATAGGTTCACGACCGGTTCTAAGTCGATAGAGGGGTCGTCGTCCAAAGCTTTCGTGATCTGCCTCAGAGCGGACTGATTGAGGTTCCGGTAAGCTTTTTCCTCCAATTGTGCAGTGGTCATAATGCGATGGAGACAGCAGTCGGCGATATAGGTCGGAATGTGAGTAGATGGTGGTTACGAATCTCGCATGAGCACAAGTAGCGCCGTAAGGGGACACACTGAGATGTTTACCTGTGTTGTGATGCTTGTGCATCACCAGCGCTATTTAGAGTTCCGTCGCGGTTGCCAGTACTTGAAGGTTGCAATAGCTTTTAGTTTGCAGGTCTACGTACGCCATGTCTCGTCATTGATATTCCCGCGTACTTGTGCGTCTGACATGTTTGTTCGCACTGTTGATACGTAAATATCACGACCGTTCCGGGGCGCTCATTCAAGCTTTATTGAGTCTTTGAAGCGAATGGTTTTGTGATTACAAATTCGACGAACGTATGCAGGCATACATGTACACTCGGCCCTCGTCCATGACCCGAGCTAATTGATTTCATGACAAGCAATAACCTGTTCCTTCGCATTCTACGACTATGGAGTCCTCTAGCTCCTCGATAGAGAATTTGGCATCGGTCAGCTGCTCGGCAACCCATAACGCTGTTCTGCAAGACGCTGAATCACAGTACACTGAACGGATGGGCATCAGCCAACCTACCTTGTGTGTAGGGTCAACGGCCCAGTCTTCACTTTCGATTTGCCTCGCGCGAGAGCCATGAATATAATCATTTGATCCTAAGCACGACGATATTAGCCACGGCGAGGACCATATTAGAAAGTGTACTTACCTGCAAGTACTCGTCTACGCAGCCACCGTGGGCGAGGTTCGCTGCGAGCTCCCTGGCGGCATCCCGTCCCACCTGTGCGGGATCAATGCGCTTGCTCCCAAGCGCGCTCCCGGCGAGGATGCAGCCGTTCTCCGTCTCCGCCCACAACACGACGCCGGAGCCGCTTCCAAATGCATCGGAGGGCTTCTCTCGCACCGCGTCGATACTGATGAGCGCGGTGTCCACGCCAGACTCAGCTAGCACATTTATGGCACCGACGCGCATGGCCTCGGCAAGGCTCTTAGGCAGACCAGCGACGTAGGACCGCCCATGGATCACTTTGACCGCGCCCCGCTGGATGAGTGTCACCGCAGGCAGCGGGCCGAGTACGGGAGGCACCGAGACGTGGACCTCGCCGCCGCCTTTGGGGTAGTATCCACGCGTTGGGACGCTAAGCGTAGCGGGCACGCCGAAATGCTTCTGGATGAACGGTAGAAGAACATGCTGCATATAGTCGATTTGGGGCGCTTGTGGGGCGTTTGTGCCTCCGCGCAGTATGAGCTCGGATGGTGGCCCGGTGGTAGAAGGTGCGAAGATGAGGCAAGGCAACGACACTTGCAGCAGAAGAGCGATGGAGCCCGCTGTCTTGGGATCGGCTGTGTAGGGCTTGGAAGTCTGTGGCTTGACGGTAGGGTAGAATGTGATCGAGGTAGACTTGACCTCGCATCCTTCTAGCCGTGCTGAGCGGATCTCTGCAACGAGTCGTAGACCTGGGCAATTGGATTGGGTAAGGATATTCCGATCAAACGTCTTCGTCAACATACCTGCGACATGCTGGTTCTTCAGGCCCGGAGACTGGCGACCCGCGCGTATGTTGTCGATGGCTACGGGTTTGGACAAGAGGGCAGAAAGCGCGATGGCGATGCGGAGGAGTTGGCCACCGCCCTCGAGCATACCCCCGTCGAGCCTGATGAGTTCAGTAGAGTCCATCGCGTTTGGCGGTGTTATCGTGCACAGTGCCGAGTCGAGGTAGTAAACAGTGATGCATTGTCTTGGAGCAGAAGGAAAGTGGCGGTTTAGAGCGAAGAGGCGGCGACGCGCGCGGGGATCGGGACGCGTAGCCGCGGACAGCAGCCGCGCACTTGATTGACTCTGGCTTGACCTCCGACGCTCACCTTCTCCTCGCTGCGTCCTCCTGCGCACGACCATAGACCGCGCGCTGCTGTATACCTCGTTTGCATATACCCCGTCTGGCTGGAGGATTGTCCTGAAACTCGGAAATGTCTGTCGACTCGCAGAAGAAGGAGCTCAATGCCTTCCTCTCCTTCTTCGCCACCTTCGACCTCTCCCGCCCGGTCACCACCATAGCGGACCTCTCAGATGGCGCAGCGCTGTTTGAGATCCTGACGCTTGTGTGAGCACCGTCAGTGCGTCCGCACCGCGCCTTCCCTGACGTCCGCGCCCATAGCGACGCGGACTACTTCCGCCAACCCACCCGGCCGTCCGCGCAGCCCTCGGACAACTGGGTCCTCCGCTTCAGCTCGCTGAAGCGGCTGTACAGGCTCATGACGCAGTACTTCTCCGAGGTGTTGCACCAGCCCACCGGTGCCCTGGACGTACCCGACCTGCAGGCCATCGCGAAGGACTATAACGTCAATGCCACGATCATTATATGTCGACTGACCATCGCCATTGCCGTGCAATGCGAGAACAACCAGGTCATCATCGAACGGATACAGAAGCTGTCCGAGTCGGAGCAGCACTCTCTCATGCGGGTCATCGAGCAAGTTATGTCCAAGGCCAGGAGCTCTGCGGAGGCCGGAATGGAAGTCAGCATCACTGAGTGCGTTGCTAGTCCGATTATTGACTAGACAGGGAAGACTAAACTCGTGATTCTTAGGGATGACCACTATTATCAAATTCAGTCAGAACGCAGTCGCATATTGTCGGAAAAGGAGACTTTAGAGAAAGTGTACCAAGCTCTCCTGGAAGAGCACCGCACACTCCAGACGAGTCACGACGACGCCGTGTCGGAGAAGGACGATGCTCTCGCCCAACTACGCCAGGCGCAGCGGGAAGCAGACAACCGGAAGCCGGACACGAGAGGAGACGCGGTATTCCGCGCGGAGATCGACCGTCTGCGTGCTGACCTGTGAGCATGCGTGTTCGATGCTCCGGAGGCGGTAGAGCTGATACGGCAGGAGGGTTATAGCCAGAAGAGCGAAGATAACCTTGCGATGGCCGAATCCGAACTCGACAAGCAGACAGTGCTTGTGACGGATCTCACGCGCAAGGTGGATGAGCTCCAGGAGCGTGCAGACGAAGCTACGCGGCTCAAAGATCAGCTGGACGAGTACGCCCCTACATGAAGGTACTACGACATAACATTGACCCTGCCATAGATATCGTCATGCGGCAGACAGGCTCCAGAAGACTGAGAATGTCATGGAGAAGTACAAGAAGAAGCTGCAAGAGGCTGCAGATATGCGGCAACAAGTCAAGGTATAACACTTGGAACATCAACGCGGTTTACGGCATACTAAACGTGCTCGCAGAGTCTCGAGAAGCAGAACGCGGATCTCGTCGACAAGAACGCAGCGCTTGAGGAGGAGTACCGCAAAGTCGCCGCGTTCAAGCCGCTCATGGAGTCGTACAAGTCGCAAATCGCGGAGCTCGAGACCAAGGCGTCTGCGCGCAGCAAGGAGAATGACGCACTCAAGTACGAGCTCGAGCAGACGAAGACGAAGCTGAAGCTCACGTCCGAGGAACGCGCGAAGGATTCCGAGACGCTCGAGCTGTACCAGGAGCGCGTGCGGGAGCTTGAGCTATCCTCGCAGCGCCCTGTGGCTGCATCTCGCGCGCGGCCGCAGCCGAGTACCGACGCCGAGGGGAACATGTCCGAGTTCACCGAGGCAGAGCTCCTCAGCGGCGGTGGCGACGCGCCCCGCGATCTGGACGTCGACGACGACATCGCAGGCCTGGGCGAGGAGCTCGACTCAGCGATCACGGGTACGACGATGACAGACCTAAAGCTGCAGGTCCGAAAGCTGCAGCGCGAGCTCGAAGCGGTGCGCAAGAACGAGGCGGATGGCAGTCGTGTGCTTGTGCTTGAGAACCTTCTCGAGGACGCGAACCGGATGAAGGCGCGGTACGAGGCGGACTACCTCGCAGCGCATCGCGAGAAGCTTGTCATGCAGAACGACTTGGAGGAAATCCGCAGCGGAAAGTCGATGGGCGATGGGTGAGCAGTGCGCTTTGAAGAAGGGAGAGTAGTACTGAATGGAGTCGCAGAGCGGAAGCCGCGATTGCGCTGCGCCAACGCCTCAACGAGACTGTCGACGAGCTCGACACGTTGCGAAAGGAGCACACCGAGCTCGAGGTTAAGTTTGACTCGATGTCCAAGGAACTCACCATCGCGAAGTCTGACTGTACGTAATTGCCTGCTCGAACGATGTCCAGCACTAACGCGCCTCTGTGCCTGCAGTGACGCTCGTCAACAAAGACCAGCTCGACATCCTTGCGACGCTGCGCGAGTCCGTGAACGAGGACAAGGTGGAGCTCGAGGCCGAGGTCGAGCGCCTGCGCGGGCAGATCAAGGAGCTCGCGGACAAGAACAAGATGCAGCTCGAGCAGATCAACGGCCTCCTGCTCGAGAAGGTCAACCTCCAGAGCGAGGGCCTCGACCAGCGCGACCGCATGCTCCAGCGCGAGCGCGCGATCGGCGACCTGCGCGCGTCGATGTCGGGCAAGGACCTGCCGGAGGACATCAAGCAGCGCATGCTCGCGCTGCACGAGGAGAACATCAGCCTCAAGGAGCAGTCTAAGACTGCGCAGGAGAAGCTGGTCAAGGCGAAGGCGGTGCGTCATCGCGGCGTTCCTCTGCCTTTGTTGTGGCGACTGACGTGCGCGCGCAGTTCATCAAGCAGCAAGACAAGCTGTTCAAGGAGGAGCACGCGAAGAGCGCTGGGGGCGTCCCATCGGTGCGTGTCTTGTCGTGGAGGGCAGCAGCCTATGCTGACGGTCGTATCGCGCCAGGGTGCCTTCGAGGAGGCGGAGAACAGCTACCGCTCGCAGATCAAGATCCTCGAGGAGGACGTCGCGCGGCAGAAGGTGCGTCTCGCCCGCCATACCCCGTTCGCTGCCACTGACGCATTGGTATCAGAGGCTGCTTGGGGAGGCGACGAACCGGTACAGGCGCGAGCAGACGCTCACGCTCAGCGTCATCCACGATATGAGCATGCGGACTGTGCGCCAGCAGCTTGGGAGCGCGAAGCAGCAGAGCCGACCAGAGCCCACGAGCTGGCTGAAGCAGCAGCGGCAGAACGTGAGTCTCCTTGTCCGCTCTTGCGAGTACGTTGCTGACCCTGACTTATTATTGCACAGCTCGGACCAATGCTGCGGCGATGAGACAGCTCGAGCGCGTCGCTCCTTCCTCTCCTTACTTTATGGACACCCTATAACCACAACGACGTATAACACTCCTTGCTTGTTTCGTTTGCACACATGTACCGTATCACTTCCAGGCGCCACCCTTGCATATCCACATCCGTCTTCTAGCCCATGGTCATGCCCGCGCACGCCGAGTCGTACAAGATGCGAGGGGATTGAAATAGAGAGGCTAGGGAATGTGGTTCTAATACAGCATGAGATACTCCATTACGCGAGACACTCCGACTCCGACGACAGGTCCGGCAGCTGGTACACGTAGTCCGAAATAAATACGGGGGGCATGGGAGGCGGCAGACGCGGGCGGGCCCGTCAGAGGGGGCGTCACCGGTTGAACGACAGAAGCGACATGTCTCCGAGTTTTCTATCCCAGCGCAATCATGTCAGTCAGTATGAGTGTACCAGAAGTAGAGACGGGGAGGGGACTGACCTTGGCTTGATGAGATGCCGGATCGTGCCGAGGAAACCGAGCAGGACGAGGAGACTGGCGGCGGCGACGTACGCCCACCCGAGGAACGGGTTCTTCCCGCCCATCCACGACACCGTCGAGATGACGATCGACTTCGTGCCCGAGAACGAGCGCACGGGGAAGTCTGCACAGCTCCCACATCAGCGCTCCGCCTCTTTCCGCGCACGGCGCACAGCGGCACAGCACAAGAAATACTACGCACTGAGGTTGACGACGATCTGGTAGCGGCCTTTGAGCAGCTTCGTGTTATCGTTGCGCCCAAAGAGCTTGGAGAACGTGGGCAGGCCGGCCGTGCGCATCCAGTTCTGGAAGTGCTCGTCCTCCTTCAGGTTCGGGACGTTGTCCGTGGTGTATCCGTCGGGGTAGCGCTTCGCCCAATTCGGGGGAGGTGTGATTTGCGCAATATCGTAGCCCGGCGACGTCGCGTACTTCTTGGCCTCGCCCGGCCATGCGATGCCCGTCTCGGAGAGGTTGTACGTCTGCGTGCTGTCCGTGGTGCTTACCAGCCCCGAGAAGCTGTCTATGGTGCACCCGGCGCTACGGCGTCAGCACTGCTCCGTTTCACCTGCGATGCAGCCGTGCTGCCCGGAGATTCGACGCACCATTGAAAAGAGAGTTCGCAATCAGTCCACAGGGGTAGACGGCCTTGCCATCAATGTTGCCAAGCGGCTTGCAGTCCCCGCTCCCCAAGCTGCTCGCGCTCACAAAGTCACCGCGCAGCTGGTTCTGGTTCAGACTCTTCACGTATCGCCGGTGGTTCTGGTAGAAGTTCGTGAGCTTGTAGTAGAGCAGCACGGGCGGCTCCATGTCCGCGGGCACGTCGAACTGCACGACGCATTGCTGCTCTGCGTCGAACGCGGCATCGGTCGCCCCGGTGCGGTTGATGAAGGCGTATGTCGGGGCCGTGAAAGGCGCCTTCGCGTCCGCCGCGCGCAGCTTGTACGAGAACTTGGAGGAGGGGATGTCGGTGAATGTGAGCCCGCTGGTGTCGGTGCTCGTGGTGTTGGACGCGGAGAGCAGCTCGCAGTCGGTGTAGTCGATGTTGATCTCGCTCACCTGGCCACGCACGGACGAGTGAGCGGGCTGCCCAAGACGGCAAACGCTAGGGAGCACTTACGAGACCGCTGCCCCAGACGAGCAGCGCACCGATAGGCGCAAAGATGACGCCAATGATGAAGAGCGTCGGGAGGACCGTCCGCGGGGTCAGGATCGGCTGCCAGGCCTTCAGACGCTGCTGCTTGAACGCCGTATCTGCAACGCAACCTCATTCGCATCACGCCCATTCACTCCGCATGCAGACCCAAAACTCACTCGCAGGCCGCCGCCAGCTGCCCTTCTCCTTCTTCGGCGCCCCATCGTCACCGCCCTTCTTGCGGTTGAAGAGGCCCATGGTTCGAGACAAACGTCCTCAGGGGGCAGGAGTACCAGGCGAGCAGCGAAGGAGCCGAGAGAGATGGGCTGGCCTGAGAAGGGGTGGGCAGGGACTCGGCAGTAGTGGGAGGAGGAGATGAAGATGCTGAGAGCGCTGACTGGTCGGCCGGCGGTGCGACCGTCTCAGCCTTCCGCAGGATAGGCGCCCACGCTCTGAGCGTGCCGCCGGCCGCGGCTGTGGTAAGCTTGGTGACTGCACATCTTGGGTATCTCCCCCTAGACAAACACCATAATAGCAGACAACATCTAGTCCAATATTATACAGCGGGGATAATGCGACAGCAAAGCGAGATGTACAACAGCAGTCCTGATTACTCGCAGAGTATATCCTAAGAAGGTCCCAGCTTTACCGATGACTTCTAGCCCCTGTACAGCCCGAAGAGCATGAACGTGAAGAACGACAGCAGCGCTGCGAACACGTAGAAGACCCGGCCCTCCTTCTCCACGTCCCCGTTCGAGAGGAAGTCGCGCAGGGGCAGGAAGACCAGTCCGACGAGGAAGTTCGCAATCCCTGCACATAATTGACGTTAGCAAGCGACCGATCAAATAGATTCCTTCTGGACTCACAGTTGAGCGAGAGGCCAACAGAGGAGAGCGCGGAGACAGCCTGTAGTCATCGTCGTCAGCAAATGTGCGGCTGCACAACTCTGTGTGCGCACACACCTGGTGAGGCGACACCTCTGGTATCATCACGAATGGCACAGGGCCAATACCGATAGCGAACGACCTGCGCAAATATCTGTCAGTTTGACTGACGCTTCGAACAGATATCAATACGATACGCACGCAACAAAGGTGATGATGGCGGTGCTGGCGAGCAGAACTGCGCCGCTGTCCAGGCCAAAGCCGACTACTACCAACGACACGATGGCTCCGGTTGCCGAGAGCGACAGAAGCTTCTTGCGGCCCAGACGCTGCGAACAGACCATGTATGAGTGATTGACAGCGCGGGCGAGGGGTGAGAGGAATGAGGATACATACGTCGATGAGGAATATCGGTGCGGCCGTCATGAAGAAGTTCACAATTGTAATCCCGAGCGAGACGTATGGCCCAACATCGGGGAGGGCCTTGGAGAGGATGTTGTTGCTGTAATATAGCACTGCAGGCAAACGGGGTCAGTATATGCGGTATACCTAGACCATGTCCAAAGACCCTTACCCGCGTTGACACCTGTAAGACGGTAGTCTGCGGTCAGATATGCATACACGTAGCGGAGAAATACAGTCTTACCTGACAGTTGTTGGCAGAGCATGGAGAAACATACTATGGCCAGCGGTTTCCGGAACTCCCTCCGCAAAAGAACCTGGGGCACATTCACTGCTGCCTCGTGTTCGTCCGCGCGACGGGCAGGGTTTAGCGAGGTGCTCTCCTCGTCAGCACCGAGAAGCGGGTCTTCCGCGTCCTCGTTCGAGACTACGTAGCGCATATATTAACGTGAATGCATCCGGGTATGTCGAACGACCAACCATCCGGGCTATGAATCGCGTGTCCGCTCTTCCACAACCTACGTGCGCTAGCGGCTTTATCACGGAGCAAGCCATGCCTATTCAACCAAGCAGGAGACTCGACGATCATAGGTCCAGCGAGAAGCTGTGCGAGGGACAGCGCGGACGAGAACAGCAAGACCAGTCTCCAAGTGCGGGGCGTCGCAAGCTGCAGGCCCATTGCCTGGGTGATCATGATGCCGACAACGATGGCAAACTGGGTGAGCACGCCTACACCAAGATTACGGAGTGAGCGAGCCCTTCAATGTAACCTTAGGCTCGTGAGTGCACTGACCGACGGCTCCCTTGATCTTGGTGGGGGCAATTTCGGAAATGTAGATAGGCCCGACGCACAGGCCCAACCCCGCAGCAACACCAGTGAGAAGTCTGGGTAAAACGCGTCTGGATGTCAAGGCTGGAGCCGTAAATGTTCCTTGCTCACCTGCCGATGATCAGAGGCGGTAGCGTGGCTGAAACGGCCATGAAGCCTGCTCCGACGGCCATAACGAAGGCGCTAGCGAGACATGCGCCCTTGCGTCCCCAACGGTCCATGACGACATTCGCGCCGAGACTCCCTAGAAGACCTCCGACGGTGTATACGGAGGTGAGGACAGAGAAAGTGGCGTCGTCCATGGCTATGCATGTGGGAAGGCCGTAGTACGTGGACGGCAGGTCAGGCTCAGTCTTGCGACAAGTGAGGACTCCGGAAATTTGGTTGAGACTGGATATGTGGAATCCATACTGGAGGAGGTGGGAGACATTCAAGAGCGAATTCGGACGAGTATGGGGAGGACTTGCCTGGAAGGAGACGATGAGAACCCACACGCAGACTATCCATCCGTACACGGTAAACGCCTCGGGGTCGCCGACGGCCATCTTCGTGAGGCGAACGTAGCTTAAAGGCGGTCAGACCGGAGAGCAGAGCAAGGAGAAGTGAAAAGTGAGATTGTGGTTAAATGCAGAACGCGTCCAACCGACTGCGCGTATGCTTCCCGCTAAACCACGCCATAATCACTTACACGTGTCATAATTTCACTACGATAAGAGCGGCAATGCCGCAGTAGACTCGAGATATGTTCGCGGAGGTCATCAGAAAACCCCGTACTATAATTACTGTAGACGGCTGTACAAGCACTACTTAGCTGTAGATTACAAACCAGATACCAAAAAAAAAAAAAAAACCGACTGCGCGTGTATAGCACACAGACGCCCAAATGCCCCGGAAGCGAGAGCGAGCGCCTCTTACGAAGGTGGCCGAGATAGGCAGGTCGGTTACCAAACTTGTGCCGAGGGGCGAGGGGAGCCAATGGGAGGGCCGGAAGAAAGGTAGAAATTGATGGGGCGGGCGGGGCGGGAGCGATCAAGACATTGAACAAGACGCGGGGTCGAGCCTCTTCGGCACGCCCTCTTCCCCTCCTCCTCACCTTGCGAGCCCCTCTTCCGCGACGTTAAGATCGACCGCGATGCCCTTCGGGATGCCTAGTTTTACGACTAGATGCCCGGTAATATCACTGGATGCCCGAAAAACGGATGCCCGTTATGGATGCCCGTTGCGGATGATACCCTCGGAGAGACTGTACACCAAAAACCCCCCCAAAAAAAACCGTGTCCATAACACTACTAGCACGATACGCATGCTCGATGTACGCCCAGTGCGATACACTCCACTCTCCGAACCCATTGAGATCCTTGTGCGGCTTGAATTCTAGCCCAGCGACGATGGATGGCATCGAGGAACGCCGGATGACACACGAAGAGAAGCGATCCCTGAAAGGGAATTCTGTGATACGCGTGTGCTTCGTGGCCCTGCCTCGAGGCTACCACGTACTCCTGCGTGCCTACTGCCGCCCTGCGACTCCTTCTCTCTCTCATCGCAACCACACTCCATGAGCTCTGTCTAGCGCACCCCGTACCCGTCTGCCACTCCAATGCGGCGCCCTCATACGCCAGCGCCTATGACTGCCTGGCCATCCGCGCCCCGCGGACGCACATTCCGTCTCTCTCGGACAACTGCTGTGGCTGGGAACTGTACAGTTCAAATACGCCCCCAGAGCAGCAACGCCACCACTCCTCTTTAAAAAGTCGGAAATCAACAAAGAACTCTCTCTTGTGCTCTCTCCCGTGTACCGCACAGCAACCCCCCCGCTCGGCTCCACTCCTCTCCATGAGCCAGTCTACCGAACCGGGTGACGATGACATCGTCGTTGATGCTCTCGATGCTCTCGTCGAGGACGTCTCGCAAACGCCGGGACTAGACTCCCAGGAGGTTGAGATGACGCTGGACCTCGCTGCTGAACACGTATGTAGCATGTGCACTCTGCTGCCCCGCGTCGCCTGTTAACTTTTGCCAGGAGGACAATGGGGATCTACCTGTGCCTACTGTGCTGCCGAGACCGCTGCCTCCCCCCAAGTCACAATGGCAGGCTCCTGAAGCTGGCAGCGTACGTGCGCCTCCCCCTGCTCCCCCGTCCTCGCACCAACGCAGCTTGCATCGACAGACGAGTGCGTCGTTCACGCGGCTTACACGACAGGCCGCGGGGCCCACTACGGATGCCAACTCCGCGACGAGTACCACCCCCCTACCCACCCCAAAAGGCAAAGCGAAAGCAAGACGGCAGCCGAGCTCATCGGTAGCCTCGCCGGCGTCGAGCCCCATGGGCCCTCCGCAGCCTGCCCCTCAGTCGGCGATGCCATCGCAGTCGGACAGTCAGGTGGTCCTGAGCCCGCCTGTGCCCGCGCCCCTCGCTGCCACCCTCCGCTCTAACCAGCTGGGCGCCGACGTCACCGGCAAGACAAACATCCCCGCGCTCAGACACGATATGCTGGAGCTCACGCACCACCTCGACCGCCTCACCCGCACCCATGCCACCGACCGCGCGGCCATCCGTGATGCCCTGCTGAAGCTCACGATGGCCGTTGACGACCTCCGCAACGACGCGTCCCCGGCTACCTCACCCACCGTCGCATTCCGTGACCTTGAGCAGCGTGTTCATCGCCTTGCTCAGGGACTCGAACGAGAGGAGGACACCCGCGCCCGCGAAATCGGTGTCATGGATGTCCGCCTCGGCTCCGTTGAGGATGACACCCGCGACATTTCGCGCTCCGTCACCACGGTCAGCCAGGAGCTCGCCGGGGCCATCAGCGCACTGTCGCAAATCCGCGCGACCCTATCAACGATCACCCAGCAGGTCGGCGACCTCAGCAACAATGCGCGCGCTCTTGTGGCGGCGCCAGCGCCCACGCGCGAGACCGCACTCACGCCGTCGACCCCTCACGAGTCACGCAGGCGTGAACGACAAGTCTCCCCCTCCCCTGCACCTACCCAGGCCTTCCAGCGGCGCCTTCCACGCCCTCCCCAGCCTATCCCCACGGATGGCCACGGCGCGGAGGGACGCCCACCCAAAAGAGCCCGCGGGAACGGTCAGCGCGGCCAGCATCAGCCTCAGCTCGCGCCCGTCCCCGCACCCCTCCCCGCGCCTGTCGCTGGTCCGGCATCGTTTACAGTCCGGTTTGGGGCAGTGGGCTGGTCGGCTGACCCAGCTTCCCTGCGCGCGGAGGTCCTTTCCACGGGCCACTTGGCGTGGAACGCCATCCCGAACGTCTTTGAATCGGTAATGGACATCCGCCGTGATCCTGTAGATTCGCGTTTTGCCCTCCTGCGCTTCCCGACTCGCTACCTTGCTAGCACTTTTGTCGAAGCGTGGGTGCAGCACGGTCACCGCGAGCAATCGCTGCGTACCGTACACGCTGTGATACTGTAGGGCCTGTTACACTACTCCATGCCAAAAATATGTCTGAGATGTATGCATAGCGAGAACGTCGACGTCTCAATAAAATCCTACCCCTTGCGCATTCTTTCGTGGAATGTGCATGGGAACCTTGCTCTCCGCTTGCATGACCCTGCCTTCTCGTCCACTCTCGCCCAGTTTGACTTAGCCCTCCTGCAAGAGACGCACCTGCGCCCGTCCCAAACGTCGCAGCTTAGGCTCCCGACAGGGTATTCGTGTATCTCCATGCCGCGCCCAGAAACCAGGCAAATGCGACATGGTGGAGGCGGTTTACTGGCGCTCATCCGGCCGGGACTCGTGGTGAAGGACATCTCTCCAAAAGATCAGTCCGACATCATGCTCCTCGAAATTGGCGACCTCTCCATCCTCCATGTCTATGTGCCGCCCGCGCATTCCCCGGCGCTAGAAGGAGCGCTCGTCTCGGTGGAGCAGCGTGTACACGACCTCCTTCTACCCCGTACGTTGCTACCGGACCACCGCGTCCTCGCGCTCGGAGACTTCAATGCTCGGGTTGGAATCCTGGCTACGTCGCTCCCTCGTGTATCGCCGGACTTGACCGTCACTGCCAGAGGCCGCCGCCTACTCGAGATGTGTAATGACCTGGGTCTCGAGCTACTTAACGGCTCAGATTTGCACTCTCAGCCGAACCGGCTCTCGTACACCTCATTCCAAGCAGCAGGCTCGTCCGTCATTGACCTCGCCTTTGTGTCGACTACTTTGGCCGAGCCCTGTGCGCTCCATGACTGTACAACATCAGCTACGACCCTCGATGTCCTGCCGCGCAACCCAGATTGGTCGGACCATGCGGCGCTCGCCCTCTCCACTCACTACCATATCTCGTCCACTGAAGTTTGCGCTCCGCAAAAACGTAAAAAGCGTCGACCGATCCCCATCGCGGCCGCGCGCACACCCCTTGACATCCTCCTCCAGAACACACTCGCTCTCGTGGATGGCCACGAGGCACAGTTGCGTCTGTTCTATGGGAACCCCTGGGAGGCTGGGCCCCCTCTCTTTGCGTACATCGGTGCTGCACCTGACCCCCAACCGGATGCGACTGGGGTAGGCGCTAGCGTGTACTGGGGGCCTGATGCTCTCTCCGGCTGGAGCCAACGCGTCCCGGGACTGCAGACCATCCCCCGAGCTTCTCTCTGGGCTGTGATTCATGTGCTACGCACTGCGGACCCGACTCGTGTGCTCCGTCTGTGGGTCCCGGATGACCACACCGCCCGTACCATCTGTCACTGGGCGCCCGCTATGGCTCGAAAGAAATGGACCTGCGCACACGCCGACCTCATCAAACCTCTTGTTGAGCTCCTGCAAGCCCGTCCGGCAGCAATACGTGTCCATGTCTACGATGCCCTCACCCCGAACCCCCCTCAGGCGACTGCTACACTAGCCGCCTCCGCTGCGGCATCGCAGCCCATCCCCCCTCTCCCTCTGCCAAAGCACCTCGCTCCACCTCCCTCGTGGCCGCCGGCGCCGCCTGTGCATGTACCCGACGAGGATGAAACCGGCTTGCGGCGATACCTGAAGGCATCCACGCCCCTCCCGGCTCTCTCTACACATGCAGAAGAAGCGGTCAGACAGGACGGTGCCCCATCGGCAACCGACCTCACGTTACAAGACGTGCACTGGCGAGACCCTGGATACCAACCGCTCCCGCTCTTCAGCCTGCGGAAATGTAACCTCCGTAAGCTGCTTGACGTGACTGGACCAGGTGGCTTTTGGCCGGCTTTTCATGACCTCATGGGTGACCAGCCATCACCCCCGCTTGTCGAGATCATGCAGCTTTTTCATGTCTTCCACGGTCGCATGAACCCGCCACTCGTACTGCCTCCGCAATTCGATCATCTCGAGCACGCGCTCAACCGCCTCACGACGAACTCCCTCCCGCGCAACACGATTGACACGTCCACCGGCGCCCACTTCTCCAGGCCTTTCTCGGTCGAGGAGATCGACGCGGTGAAGACTCACATTCGCTCACATAACAAAGCGTCCGCGCGAGGTGCTGATGGTGTGAGCTACGACGAGGTCCTCCAAATCCCCTCCGAGCGGCTCTGCGAGCTCTTCCAGGCGTGCGTTGACTCGACATCTGCCCCACAAGCGTGGCTCACCGCGATCATCGCGGCTGTCAAGAAACCTAAAAAAGACGGGAAGCTCCCGGAGAGCTACAGGACTATCGGTCTAGAGAGCTGCCTCCTCAAAACCTTGACCCTCCTCATTGACCGTCGCCTGCGTGCGTGGGCAGAAGACGTCGGCCGCATCCCCGACTCACAGAACGGTTTCCGTGCGGGCCACCGCACGTTCAACAACGCGTTCATCCTACGTGCGGCTATCGAGAAGGCAAGGGCGCTGGGGAAAACACTCTATGTGGTGTTCCTCGATCTCGCGAACGCCTTCCCTTCCGTCGACCAATCTACGCTCTGGGCAAAGCTCTCTCGATGGGGCGTTGCTGGACCCCTCATTGACTGGCTGAGGATGCTGTACTCGCAGCTGCAGTACCTAATCCGCTTCGGAGGCGACACCACAGACACGTTCAAAGCACTCATGGGTATCCTCATCGGCGACCCAGCCTCGCCTATCCTGTGGATCCTGTTCCTCTCCGACTTCGACCTGCGCCCGCACAAAGACGACGTCATCCTCGACGGTGACCACCGTGTGTCGCACCTAGAAATAGCCGATGACATTGCGCTCGTGAGCTACTCCGATGACGGGGCACAGGACAAACTCGACCAAACGGAGGGTTACTGCGGGCTCTCATGCCTCTTTGTCAACGTACCCAAGACGCTTGCGAGTATCCACGGCCCTCTGCCGGACCCCCTCCCTGCTCTGCGGCTCTATGGCAAACGCCTCACCTACGTCGACATCTCCGTCTACGTAGGCATGTCCTTCTGCTCAACGGCGCGCGACATCTTCCTCCCGCACTACATCGCAAAGGAGCTCGCGGCCCGACGTGTGGGCAATGCCTGCTTCGCACTGGAATCCTACACAGGGCCCCTACCCCCGCTCATGGCCATCCGCCTCTATCTCTCCCACCTGGACCCACATCTCACAGGCGGGTGTGAGATTGCGCTCGACGTGCGCCCCTCCGCTCTCGACGAACTGGAGATGATTCAGCACATCTTCCTCCGTCGGGCGCTCCACGTCAGCAAGCGTTC